AGGAGATCAACAACAGCTGAACCAAACAAATGCACTGAACATGGCGCGATTCAGAAGGGCAGTAAACAGTGCACTGTGGGTGCAGTTAGCATTAGTTGTTTGTTATGCACCAGCATGTACAGTGAATATTGTGCTCGCTCATACCAAAAAATATTCATTTCTCCTAGTCGTCATCTGGAAAGTAGCATTTATTTTACTTTGCTTCAACTCGACGTTAAACCCGTTCCTTTACTGCTGGAAGATTAGTGAAGTGAGAGAGGCAGTGAGGCAGACAATTAAAGAAGCACTTTGCTGAGTTAGGTTTTCCTCGAGTTGTTCCTCAGACTTTGAAAGCAGAATCCCTAAGTCACGATAATTATTTGAGAGAAGTCGTTAAGTACGTTTTTGGATAAAAGTAAATAAGTGGCTCAATAGAATAGTTGCACAGGCTGTTGTCGAAAGTCTTTATATCTCTGAGAAAAATTTAATGACAGACTAGGTAACCGTAGCTATGTGTTTTCAAAAATATGGTTTCTTGCCGCTATGCTACAAAAAACAAGATGTCATAATCGAAGAAAAGATATGCAAACATTTTACTTTCATGTTTTCTCCTCTTAGCAATATGAAGGTATCAGATAAAACTTCGAAGAGTAGTTTAAGAGATGTGTTTGAGGCCGATGTTGTGTGTTTCGAGAAAACTATTTCGACTCATTAAACTCGTAATTAAAAGAAAGCGCTTGACGTTGATGTTGACGCCATATTGCCAAAAGAGACAGTCCAGTTTAAGTCTAGAATTTGTTTGTTTTGTGATCAGAAAATTACCCGTAAAGCTTATGTGAAGAAGTTTCTGTTACTTGTATATTTAACTGAAAGTTACGAAAGTATTTGAAATAAAATTGATCATCTCTGTTTGTTATGGAATTTTTTTACAGATCGATCGATGTGCTGAAGTTATATTGGCAACGGCGAAAAACAAGTTTCGTATTATTGTATAGAGGTCACCATAAGTTCAGTTTGTCACTGGTGTATCTTTAGGTTGTCTCTGAGTTCTACGAATTTTATTTCCTCCATTTCCGAGTGATTAACTGCTGTCCCAAAGTTCCTCAAATGTTTTTTTTTATTCGTTTTCAAAGCTTTATTATGAGCTCAGAATTTGCTTCAATACCATACCATCTTTATCGGCCTAAAAACGACATGTTTATTTCACCCATTAAAGAAGTGATAAAATAGATCTTTTAAGACCTAGGAGTCTCATATCGCATTGTAAAATAAAAAAATATAGCCCATGTCTTTTTGTTTGTCAAGGAAATTCCCTTTCAATGCTAATTTGAATTAAACTGAAACGTTATCTAGTAAAATCAACAGCTGGTTGCGACAAACATCTTTTTGTTTGATTAGTTTTAAAGCTACCGTCGCTGTACTGAAAAGAAAATTCCCTGTGAAAGAACTCTTTCTGAGGAAGGATTGACGCATCTCTTAGCAATTAATTAAGTCATTCATCTAGTTTTTCTGTCAGCTAGTCTTTGCATCTTTGGCCTTACATCCTCAAACTTATTCAATTCGCATTGAAGCCATAATATTGAGTGCCTTCTCGCAAGCTAAATAAAGCGGGGTTGTTTGTTGCAACATGAAACAATAATTTTAAAGATGTCTTTGAATAGTTGCCTCTTATTCATATTTCATACGTGATGTACATGACAAGTTAAGCACAAAAAAGCTTTTTTGACACAGCGAACAATTTCCTGACGTATTTCAAACGTATAAACAATAGTGAGAAGGTTTTTATTTGAAATGTTACGTAGGAAATAGGGTTTCAGGGATCGTTCTTGTGCAATTGGCGTTAACTAAAATAAAATATTTTTCTGGATGCTCTCACAGATTAACTCATGGCAAGAATATTGTCAACTTTTGAAATATTTGATATATCCAGTTTAATGCTGGTCTGTCTTCAAGTTTTCTTGATCCTATGTCTACCGACCCGAGTGATTAACTGTTCCTAACTTTCGCTTCTTTTTCCTTGAACTCGTTCCATGACGCTTTTTAGGAATTCAGAATTCACCACAATACAGGGATAATCTTTGCACTTAATTACCGGCCCAAAAGAATGACAGTATATTTAAATATACCGTTTAAACTGCTTATGCTGTCATTCAAAAACTGACAAAAGAGAATTTCCTTATCATATCGTCAAACAGAAATATTACTGACCGATGTCTGTGTGCTTGCTAAAGGAATTAACATTAAAGGAAGAAAAATTGTAGATCGAAAATGACAAATGTAAAGTTGGAATAAAAATTGGCATCAAACGAAAATAAATTTTTTTTTTGGTACCCGATGGAACTCTGGGATTAAAACGATACCGAGCGCGTAGTGCCATCATGGCTGATGGTTTCTCCGCCTCCTTTATTTTCAGTTAGCGCCCATTTCTCTCATCTTGTTGACCAAAGGGATGAAGAAAGGAAATTACATCGTGGGGCGAAATAGGCAAAATAGGGAAAACAATTTTTGTTAAAAAAATCATCATAACTTTCCTGACGAAAGTGAAAAAGCTGGTAGAGAACGAGTTTGAAAAAATCGATGGTGCGCGGCATAACATCGTGTTACAGTTTTGTTTTTAATATCAGTCCGGGGACGAAAAGCGGAAAGAAAAAACCTGTCATTACAAATTGATTCAAACACTTAAAAATACGTTTACATCTGTGACCAAAATTTGAATTTAAATTGTTTGATGCATTCGCAGATTGTCTCAAATCGCACTTTTCTAAGACCAAATAAAATCGCGCCAGCTTGAAATTTTCATTTCCAATTTTTCATGGCTACTAATGACACAAGTCTGAACTTCACACGAATAATATGGACACCAGGTTAGCACCCTATCAGTGAAAGTTGATCTGGATAAAAGGAGATTGTTCGTCGTTCTTTTAAAAGCATTATACCACAGATGTCTCTCCATTTTCTATTTATTTCCATTTCATACCTGAGGCACTTCAAAGGTTCAATTTTTGAACACAACTGACAATTTTCTGACGTATTTTAAACGAGTAAACACTGACGAAGAATTCTCAGTGTGTATAAATATCATTATTGAAGTATGAGGTGTAATTGATCGTGGCTGGATGTGGGCTGTTTAGACGACATATTACTCGTTGCAATCTTAGATAACCTACAACAAATTTCAGAAGAGTTGGAACACAGACGAAAACAATTGAAGAACTGCTATGCTCTCCTCTTTGTTGGTTGGGCTTCAACCAGAATCAGTTTCATACCTGAGGCATCCCACAGCTGCAAATTTCTAACGCATTTTAAATGATTAAACGCGAGGGAGGAAGTCTTTATGAAAGGTTTCAGTTATCATAGTTCGGCTTGTCCTGTTTAGACGAAATATTTCTCGTTGCAAAAACAGGGGAAACGAATGCAGAATTATGTCGACAACAAATTTCACCAGAGGTGGAACAAAGACAAAAATATTTCAAGTACTGCGATGCTACCCCTCTTTGATAGGTGGGCTTCAATCAGCATTAGGTTTTTTCGCAGCAGTCAACATTTTCCTGGCCATCACAGCATTTCTTGGTAATTCTCTCATCCTTGTTGCCCTTCACAAGGAATCCTCCCTTCATCCGCCGTCCAAACTCTTGTATCGCTGTCTGGCAACAACTGACCTGTTGGTTGGTCTTGTTGCTCAGCCTCTCCGTGTTACTTATTTGATATCCTCGGTTCACGAACACTGGAGCCTTTGTCATTATGCAAGAGAAGCAAGTTACATTACAGGCGTAGCATTATGTGGAGTTTCTTTGCTGACGATGGCGGTAATAAGCGTGGACAGGCTTCTTGCCCTGTTGTTGGGGCTGAGATACAAAGAGATTGTAACTTTGAAGCGTATTTATATCACTCTAGCTAGCTTTTGGGTTTTATATCTTGTCGCCACTTTATGCATCATTTTCGATCGGCGTATAACCACTTTGTTTATCTTGATATTGATACCAGTTTGGCTGCTTATTTCACTCGCCTCGTACACAAAGATATTTCGCACTCTTAGACATCATCAGGCACAATTTCAACAACAGCCGAGCCAACCAAATGCACTGAACATGGCGCGATACAGAAAAGCAGTGCACAGTGCACTGTGGGTACAATCAGTATTAGTTGTTTGTTACACACCATACTTTATTGTGAGAACTGTAGTCACTTATAGTACAACATATTCATTACACTCAGTCGTCGCATTGAAAATGGCAATTATCCTTGTTTACTTTAACTCGACGTTAAACCCGTTTCTTTACTGCTGGAAGATTAGTGAGGTGAGACGAGCAATGAAGCAGACAATCAGACAAGCACTTTGCTGTCCATGGAGTTAGACCATCCTCGAGTTATATATGATCGTATAAGTACTTTCAGTGCAAAGCTGACCGATAGAGAACGCTTTTCTCTTTAATTTTTGCTCGAGGTCTGTCGATAGTATTTTTTGCTAGTCACGTAAAACAAAATAAAGGAAAGGTAATGGAAACACAAACCAAAACTTTTAAAAAATATTTTTCATGCTACTAAATTTTTTTCTAATGCATAAATTATTAATCCAAGGAAAGATATACGTGTACAAGAGGATATGTAATGTCTTATAATCTCTTGACTTAAATTATACTCTCATGAATGTTATTATAAGAAAGCGAAAGAAATAAAATTGACTATAACAGTTTTTATTTAAGACTACGCGGGATGCGGTTTCAGAGGGTTGCTGCTCCAGTGCCGATCGATTCTTCATTAAATTAAACATTTACACGGATTATCATGAATGTTTTGAATTAAGTACAAGTTAACGAGCTTTAAATAGCCTATACTGAGTTAATAATATTCTAAATTTGTTCAGTTTCTCGAGAAATAATGGCTCTACCTTCTCGAACGCACGTGTACGCTTGTTAAAATCCTACCTGACATAAAAAATTTAAAACAGGGCTCTTGTTTCGCATTCTTGAAGTTCCGGTAATTCGAGTTTTTATTGAACGAATCGGTTGACAATGTTGCACATGTGATGAACGTTGTAAAGAAATCTGCCGCAAAATTTTCCTCTGAACAGTTCAGTCGACCAAAACGACACAGTGCAGAGGTAGGTAACGAATGATATTGCCTATTGAAGCTAAAGCTTGTTCTAAAGCTGCGAATTAAGAGACAGACCACGTTGGTTTTACTAAGTTAGCGAGAAGCTAAGCGTTTAGTTCGATTTAAAGACTGCATTTAGCGAAATATCAAGAGATGTTTCAAAACCGTTTGCTTCAAAAAACTGAAAAGCTGAAATGAGTCCGCATTGAAGACCGTCAAACGAATTAAATGTGGAAAATTATTTTAAGTTTAAACAAACACTTTGACGACTCCAAACGGGTAACGCAATGAGTATCACCTTTTGAGCGAGCACTGATTTATATCTGTTTAAAAAAATGAAATATTTCCCGTCAATTCATATAGATCTTTCCTTTTGTAGCACCAGTATGTTTCATTTCATTAGAATTTTCTCAATTTTGAAGCGATCAACTTTTGCTTGCTATAAACAGAAACCACAACTTACACAACAAAAAGATGTTTGTTTCCTGCATTACACCAGATTAGACGGCATCTGCTTTAAAATCTGATCGCGTAGCTCATCAGGTTATCGATTATCTACTTAAATCATTAGCCAAAAAAGCTTACTTTACAACCCATTGCCTCTGAAGTATGCCAGAAGCGTGTGCCTATGGTTACAATTACTTTATCGTTCTTTGGAAAATAAATTAAATTCAGTTGAAGAAAATGGATGGAACGAGAAAGTCAAAGGTCAACCGCTCAGGCAGCCATAGAACCTCCAAGAAGGCTCGTCACGCATTCTTCTTACATGTGGTGTCAGGGAATGCGTGACTGGGCGATTTGAAAGTTATTACTTCAACCTTAGCCTTCAGTGCGAGTGAACGTTATAGGCCCGCGACTGTTTATCCGACCGATCATGTTTGATTTGGAATTAGAGTGAACGGTGAGGGTAGGGGGCAGGGGAAGGGCGGGTTATCGTCACTTCCCCATCCCCACCTCTCCCTTTATTTTTGACCGTCGGCTGACCCCTTGGTACAAATTACTTTTTTCTCTCCCCAGCCTTTGGCTGCCATTAAAATCGAAGATGGCGGCCATAATTATTGCTACGAAAATACTGAGCACTCGCTCGCCTGAAAACGCCTGCTCTGCAGGCTTCTTCAAACTGATATCAGGCTTTCTTTTTTTCGGGGAAGTACGATAGTATATTGCAGCGCTGTTGGGAAATGAAGAAGATAGAACACTTTTTTTTACTGAGCGCTTACGGGATATAAGAGCGATCTTCACAGTAATAACGCTACTTGAGCAGTAGTGAAATTAAGGCCCGCAAATTCAACCCATGACCTCTACGATGCGGTGCAATGCCTTACATCTACTCGGTATCCAGTCGTCGCTTTTAAGAAATCGGTGAATGGGTGGAAGGCTGATGAAATTAGGAGATCCTCGCAGCTAAGAACACTACTGAAACGAGTAGTTGTAAATAGGACCTGAAAAAAATTCCAGGCCCGTACGGGATTTGAACCCATGACCTCTGCGATACCGGTGCAGCGCTCTACCAATTGAGCTAACAAGCCAACTGGGAGCTGGTCAATGAATTGGGTCCAAATAAACATCCAAGTGAATGAAGATTTTAGATATATGAAAATTCACATATTTGCACTGCGGTAGAAAGATGAAATTAGCAGATCCTCGCAGCTAAGAACACTACTGAAAAGAGTAGTTGGGTGGAAGGCGTTTGGTAAGGAACGCTTAATTCAAATGAAGAATTTTGCGAGTAACTCCCTATTCGCCTATTGTTTTTACTATCGTTTGTTGCGCATGTGAGGTAATGTTGAAGCTCTTTTTACCATCACTTTATTCCGTAGTATTGCCAAGCACTATGTCCGATGTCTCACTTGAGATCGGCGTGCGCACATCAACAAAGATGGCGTCTTAACTAGAGTGCAGCCAAGAGTTTACACGTAACGCGTGATTGGCGCAAAAATTAACAGGTAACGCGTGAATTTTTCAGGAGAGCGAGCGTGATTCGTGAATTTATAAACCGAAGTGTGACATGATTTGCCTCCAGAAATACGCGTCACCCGTGAATTTTTCCTTTCATTCCGAGAAAACCTCAAGGTTTCCCTGAAACCTTGAATACAAGAAGAGAGATTTGAAGTTTTCTCTTACAAATCTGTGAAGCATGAAATGCTTTGTAAAGTATACGTGACGAGTAAATTTGTCTAAAATTATGAATTTTCCCTAATTGGTCCTTGTTATAGAATCATACTGAGTTTTGAAAAAATTATCGCGGGTTTTCAGTTAACAAAAGGACTAATTATTTTCTGTTAATTCGTAGATCAAATATCATGTCCAACGTGCTTTTTCTCTACGCGCAAGCGGATCAAACCCGCAGCCAGGAGTTGAAAGATTTTCTTCAAGGAAAATTAGGCTCCTTAGCTAAAGTTAGCACAGTAAGTGACGCCCTGGAGGACGATTCTACTCTGGAGGATGAGCTTTTTCAAAGCCCATGCATCGTTCTTGTTTACACTCAAGAAAGCGAAAAGTTTCTGCAGGAGGGAGCGTTTGATTTTAACGAAGAATTTGTAGTATTCGATGGCAGTATCACTAAAGCATTCTTGGAGGAAGACGAGATGGCAAAGCGGGTAATTGTGATTCATTACGGATGGAGACCAGAGCAATGGTTTTACGATCGAATTCCGAAGAGGATTTTCCACGTTAGTGAGTCGCTGGAGTTGAAAGCCAACCCAAAGGTGGAACAAATTGTGGACACGATAAAAGGGATCGTCAAGAAAAACAAGAAATAAAACTTAGTGGTCATTGGTCATAGAGTAGTTGAGAGGTTTTATCAGAACCAAACGACTGTTAAAAAGCAACAAAAACAAAAACGGAAAACTGAAAAAGACAAAACTAAACACCAACCCAAACATAGACTAAACCAGAGAGAAAACAAACAAAAACATGGTTAGAGACACAAACACGAACATATAAACAAAACACAAATTAACGAACCAAACAAAAAACAAACAAACTGATAAATAAATACGAAAGTCTCTTCACACTAGATCTCGTGGCACGTGTGGCACGTGGCTCGTGGCACGTGGCACGTGTTCCGAGGTATTTCACGCCCTTGGATTTAAGAGGTAAGGAGCTCCTTCGCTTCGTGTTTCCATATTCTCCTCACGCTCATTTAACCGTTTACACCCTAACATCAGTATGCATATTCTCCCTAATGTTCTCCATAAGTTCCTAAGGTGCTGACAAGGAGAATTTGTTTAACAATCAAGTTTTTTTGAAGTTGTTGATCATTTCCTTCATTCTCGTAACCTTAATTTGTGATTTAAGGGTCATGATTTAAGGAGAAATTAGATGTTTGTCACTCTTCGGGGTTAAAGGGTGAATCGTATGTTTCCTGTCATGTCTAGAACTACAGTGAAGACTCCAAAGTTATTTACCGGTATTGCCATGAAATTGAGTAACTCTGTTTTAAATTTGCATCGTTCACTAACATGTCAACTTTTTAATCTTAGCTGTCAAATTAGGCTACTTAGTACTCTGTAATCGATATTTACAGTAAATAAATATAAGGCTAGTTTACACTACGTGTACACTCTTGGCCTCTTAGTTAAACAGTTTAGGTTGAAGTTTTACATACTGCACAGCTTCTGATGTCATAAAGTGATAAAAGGTTTTGTTTTGGCCTTCGTTACATAGAATCCTTTAGTTTTTTTTTAAAAACAAGAAGTGAGCTTTGTTTCGACTATTACCGTTCTTCTTCTTGTTAAACATGCATAATTTCGTACCCATAGTAAGTTACTAAGCTGTTTGACTGTTGTAAACCTAAAATTTAGGCTTGCAAGTTCTTAAGGTGAATAAACTCTATCTATCTATCTATCATAGACTAAAAATGTGCGTGAAAAGTCTAACGAGACTAAAATATGCGTATAAGGCTTCATGTCGCCCGTCAATAGTCTTTTGGCTTTTATTAAGTTGATTAACTACGTTCTAGAAATGGCCTGGCTCACCTTTGAGTTCTTGAGAGCTCAGTGGCAGAACACCGCAGTCAAAAGTATGAAGGCCTGGGGTTCGAACTCAGAATTTTATCTTTGTTTTTTGGTTTTTCATGTGGCAAAACTAAAAACACCTTTCTTTAAACTACGTTTTTCGAAATGCAATTTGTTCTAATTGTTTAAATTTCGATCAAAGAAGCTGATTACGTTCTTGTGCACTTTAAGTTCAATCTTCTAGCGCATCATCTCTCTTTATCTTAATCTTGTAAAGGTATTCGCTTAATGATCTTCCGCATGATAGCCCTGAAAAGAAACAGACAAAACCAAAACAATTTTTTTTAAAGTCCATAATGTCTAAAGTATAATTCCCATGAGAACAAAATATTCGGTTACAAACCTGATTTCATCCAGTTTCTCCTCAACTGTCTCCCACGGCGACCTGTCTTCATTGTACTCTAAGAGATCTGTCATTGAACATGAATAACCATTTCTTTCCTTTAAATTACTAAAGTCACAATTTAAAACAGAGACTTGCTCCAGAAAGCTTAACAAAGGAAAGTATGCGGATACTGTTGGTTTCATACGTCATTGATTGTTATATACAGTCAGCTACAATAGTCCAAACGATGCTGAACTCATTTGTGAGTCACAAGTTAGCCACTGTACGTCAACCTACTCTCATTGTTTTAAAATCAAACCATCTTGGTTTCTTTTACACTTATTCCCAATTCTTTAAACAGTTTCTTCTATGTTGAGCTATTATTTTGGGATTTCTTTGACGTCAAGACTATTTTTTCTGGTTATATCAGACAGTGTGTATAAAATGTCGATGCGACGGAACTTGTGTAAGCTTTTTGTTGTTCCGTGAATTTATTTATCTTAACGTTATGTGTATTTTATACCTTTTGCCAGAGTCATCTCGTCGATAATTTCTTCCTCCTGATAGTAATTTAGCCGCAGATTCTGTAAAATAACAAGAAGACATAAGCAAATATTTAATCTGGACGGAGCAAACCTTTGCATAACGTGAAAGGGATGTGCAAGCCAGCGCTGTGGTGAGTTCTCACACTTACGGAAAAAAAACTTGTCATGGCCCTATGCATTAAGCAGGAAAATTCGCAGCTCGCTTTGTTTCACAAAGTGCTAAAAATTTATGTTATGCCGCGTCCCTCTGCCAGGCGAAGGAAAATGTAGGACCAGGACTTCCTTCGTAAAGTGCCAGAATATTAACGACTACGCATGTTATCCATAGCGCGGGAAAAAGTTCATAGATCTGCGCTCACGGCTAACAGTAGCAAAATTTGAGAACAAAGTCGCGTTAAGCACGTGAAGAGGGAACATACATTTGTTTTGCGTAACTAAGGAAAAATATTACTGGGAGGTATACTCTACTCAGCAATAATTTCATATGCTAGGATCCTCATCAGACTACTTGTATTAAAAGAAAAATAGAAATTGCGCAAATGGATTAAAGCATTACCATAAGAACTTTAAGCGATGCAGAGAAACTAGGCAAAGTCTTAAATTAACAAACTTACGAATTTGTGGAATCTGCTGTGTTCTAGTCTTGTAATAATGAGCATTCTGTCCACATCATACTGGAGTCTGGCATTCTTCTTAGCCTCACAGTAGGTACTACTGATTTGAGCGATCAAAATGTTAAGAAGTATCACCATAACAGCCATCATGTACGTCAGAAGAACAAACAGTGGAAGCCATCTGATGACGAAAACAAAATAACATCTTAATTTTCACCGAGGAGAACTCTACACCGAGCTAGTAACTCTGAGTGCGTGACCGTATTTCAATGTACAGCCGGCTAAATCCAAAAGTTTGTTTGAATTTAAATCTTCCCCTTCTAATGTGAACCCAGAGATAAAATAAATATTTTACTAACCTCGGTACCCTGTTTTTTAGTCCGCTCAGATTTATAGACCAATATTTAATAAAAATTTAATAATTAACCAATTAACCAATTAACCAATTTAATAAAAGAGAGCGCGGAATTCGGTTAGCAAGAGGAATCTGCGCTGTGCAGTGTGGTTCTAACTTAGTGGTCTAGGGGTGAAACACTAAAATATGGCCATTCACACGAGTTTTCAAAATTAATTAAACCTTACTTGAATTTTGTATAATCGTCTGCAGCCGGCTGTTGTTCCACGAAAGCTCTGACACCACTCAACATAACCATATCAAAACCACTAAATAAAAAAAAGAATAATGAAAATCACAAAGCTCAAACGATTACATTTGACGCTCAACTTTGCACGCTTGGCGTCAAAAATGGAACGCCTAATTGACGCATGCACCAGAAAGAGCAATGCCAGTTTTCCAGCTGGATTACAAGCCCCAAGGCAGATAGTGACCTGAAATTTTCTTTACAAAGGTTACAGGGCAACATAACGAACCTACAGACCCGACATAACAACTTTCGGCATAGACGTGAATACGTGTGCAACGCTAATTGGTGGGTAAAAGAATCGTAAAATCTTCGGTAACTCGACGAAGGTTACTAGCATATTAGATTCGGCGAAACAATCTTCGGCGTGAGTACGACGAGTACTCGTGCAGCTCTGGGTTAATTTACGACTCGTCCTCTTTACTAACTTCAACTGATACAAGCAGAAGGAAAATCCGCAAACATAAAGCTAATATATTTACCCAAAGACTTTGACATCACTTGTCACACGTAAGGATAAGAAAAACGCTCCACAAAAAGCCAAGAATACGACGAGAAAAACGCAGCTGAAGCGAGTAATATCACGGTACACAATCCTGGCTAGCGTCTTTGTATACAGTCCGGTTGCCCTACAAAACACATACAAAACATGAAAGCAAACAGAGCAATTTTTAATTGGGAGTCGCAAATAACCTTGCATTCATTTGACATTGCGTAACTCGCCCTATGATTGGTCTAAAAAACTCACATCATCATCTTAACAAATCTGTTGGAAAGCTGAAACAGATCGCGACTAGACTACTGGCGTTTTCCCGCGCTTCGGATCTATTACCCTTTTGCAGCTCGAACGCTCCTCGATGATTGGTTTAATAAGTTCACGCCTTCCTCTCAACCAATCAGATCGAAAGCTCAAACCCACTGCGACTTAGCCACCCGCGTTTTCCCGCGTTTGAGGTCGCTTGCCTGTTTGTACTTCGAATTCTCATTGGTTTTCTTGTGATGTTCACCGGCTTTCTTCTGATTGGCCGCTCTGATTACTCCGGCTATGGTTTTAAAATACCTGTACGAAGAACGCGTTATATCAACAACATAAAATTACCTGGTTACACAAGAATACTTGAAAAGCCGAAGGACGTTGAATATAAAGCCCACAGAGGCGACAACCCACTGGCCTTCATGCCGTGAAAATCGAAGAGGAATTACTGACAGAATTAGTATCAATCCAAGCCAGTCAAACAGATTGAAGTAAACTTGTGGAACTTTCAAGTAACTCCAGCGTTTCCTACAAGACGAACGAGACAAGGAAAAACTTCTTAGCTCAGCCTCTTAGCTCGTGAAAAGAAAAAAGGTAGAAAATGCCGTAATCAAATGGATATCAGGGATGGTATTACAGTATTTAACTTTACAGTCCGCTAAATTCAAAAGTTTGAATTGAAATCTTACCCCTCTATTTAAGCTCAGAGAAATAATAAATATCTCACTAATTTCGTTTTTTCTGTCCGTACTAAAAGTTACCGAACCTTGTTTTTTCCACTCGAAGTTATAGCCCGCGTGCTTCGCTTGAACCATAGAGCGGGAAAACCTTGGTCCGTGACTTACTGTGCGGACCTCAAAAGAGGTCTGTCTTTCATAGTGAGACTTATTCGTCTGAGAAAAATACCAAAAATAGAAACTTCTTCACTTTACCATTGCACGGACGATCCCAAACGCGATCGAAAGAACATGAAAAAAAAATTGTAAGAACTGATGATGTACTTACTTTTCGATTTCGTTAACCTCGTCAGTAATGTAGGCCGCAATCCACACGACAACAAAAATCTCGCAGATCATTCTTAGCCCGTCCGCACTTCCCTGGTATTTTGTTGGGTCTGATTTAGTTGCGCCGTAAAGCAACGAGAACGACAATAGCAAGAGGAAAATTAGGTACAGACCGGTCTGAACACTGAGGAAGAAAAAGTTCAAAAGCAAGTGATGAGTCCACGGCTTGTATATCTTTAAAGACATTGCTCCTACTGTTCATAGCTTATCGAATAGGCGTGGCTTTTGGTGTTTTCCAGGGGAGGTAGGTAAACGTCACTGATGGAGACAAAAGAAAACCTGTTCTATAATCCAAGTCAACGTCATCCAATTTCAAACATCCTTGTTCCCTTACGACCCATCAATACTTATTTTGTTTGATTGCTATCCCAAGGGGTTCCTCCACGCATTCAACGGCCTACAAAGAAACTCAAACTAAAAAAACAGCGAAAAATCTAGAAAGGAACTAACCCAAGATACTTCACGATAAAGAAGATCATCGCGGTTTGCAAATTATGATTTTGAATAAATAAGGCATTGCTCCTTAACGTGCGGTAATATAATGGTGTGTTCTTGAACACGACATATTTGCCAAGCTCTAATGACCGGTATGTTGTAATTATCTCACCTGAACCAAAAATGACCATAGTGGATCCATTTCCTTTTGACAAGTCGTCGAACCACTGGATGTTGAATGGCTTCCTGTGTCAGTTAAATAATATGATACGTCAATCAAATGCAATTAGCTCAAAACGTACTTTCTAAGGATTATCAAAACGTAGAAGCGAGCCGGTTATTTTACCTTATTTCCACTGTTCGCGATCAAGAACAGGCAAGACTTTGACATCCAGTCGAAATCATCATGTGTGGGGTCTCTGCCGCTTTCATCACCGTCCAAGATTTTGTAGGAAAATTGATAACTGATTGGATCGCTCGGTTCTGAGCTCCAAGCAAGCTCGATGTCCTTCTTCATTTCCAAAGAAGAGTCCTCCCTGAATTTGGGTAAATGTCGCCAATCAGGACTGATCATACAGTTGAGGACAGCTGTAACAGTTTTCTAAAGAAGAAGATTATATGACCAGTCTGAGTAGAGGATATAATTCCGGTAATTCAAAACCAGAACGCAGGGACGAACATTTTTCGGGGCTCGGTGCCAACGATACAGCAACCGTAGCGTAAAATTGGTTGAACAAAATATGCAGTGTAGTTCCTAGTCTTTTTAAATCTTTTTATTAGGATCATGCTTGGCAAATAAAATGTGATAGAACTTTTTCATTTGAACAGCTCGGGCCTGTGTTCAAAAAGCGGAGATAAAAAATAATTTTTTTAAAAGTATGCACCTTGCTCAATATGCAAGATGAACCTCCCACACTTCAAAGAGCTCCATCTTTAGTACAGGATGAAGGGAGGGAAGGGGAGGGGAGGGGAGAGAGAATACTGGGTGGGGTAGGAGAGAGGAGCAGTGGTGGAACAGGTTGTTGGGTTACATCACTGACAATGAGATAACAAGACTCTTAATTTGCAGCCAAAAAGTAATAAAATAGAGTTCATTTCCAGTGGTCAAGAAGTTGTTGATCTGGATACCGTATAGACTTTCTTTTAAGTGTAAAACTCCTCTTTTTGTCTTTGCTTGGTTTGGGTGGGTTTATTCATAATTTATTAATTTCTTATTAATATCTACAGAACGGAATTATTCAATATATTTCCATAGGAAATCACTTAACCCCTAAACTCCCGTGAGTGACCAAGACGGAATTTCTCCTTAGTATAACTATACAATATCAAGCAGACAAGTGATGAGAATAAAGAAAAATATCAATCATGGGATTTCTAATTGATCCAATACCAAATTCTCCAAACTTACATGATGAGAATCATTTGGCAGACAGTAAGGAGAATTACTAATGAGATCTTGGAAGTTAAAGGGTTAAGGAAGACTAAGCCCAAGTTGCATTTTTGATTTTCCTGCCCCTGAAAATATGGTGATTCCTTCCAAGTACAAGTGAGCAAACAAAAAAAACAAAACAAAAAAATATGCTGTCAGGAGTTTTAACAACAAGGCTTTTTCCTTATCCTTAATACCTACCTTCATGTTTGGGTGTTTCACAAGCTCTTGAAAGCTCAAAGGGATGTCATAGACATTATCTGAGAACAACCTCAAGACCCTATGGAATATGAAAAAAAAAACATTTATATCTACCTCTATAACTTAGTTAAAAAACTAATCCAAGCAGCTAAATAACAACAATCATGACTAATTTTTTGTATAACAATACCAGATCAATATCAGTATCCGGGCAACAGCCCACCTACCCCTCCCCTAACTCAACAACAGTCAATTGACAACAAGTTAAGGTTAATGTTGGGTTAGGGGAGGGGTAGGTGGGCAGTTGCCCTGATACTGATATTGATCCACAATACCTTTCAGATCCCATGTGCTCTATCATCAGAGTTGAAACTTCATCATTGCGTCGTTTCAATGCCAACTTAAGAGGAATGCTTCTGCTATTATCATTTCCTGCATGTGGATTTGTTGTTATGTACAGCTGTCCAGGGTAGTGACTTAAAATAGTTTGTGCCACAGACGTGAAGTTTAACTCTGCAACCAGGTGAAGTGGTGTCTTCCACGACAGCTCTTTTTTGTCTTTGAAAAACTTGTATTTCTTAGCTTCATCTTTGCAGAAAATTATTTTGACCAGACGATTTATCTGGGTATAAAAAGAGAAACATAATGACCACTTTTAACTACTAAATTCGGATGTGAGATTCTCCCATGCAGAGGGTGAACATTTTCATAAATATAAGTTGAGAGAATTTGGTTTTCTATTCAGATAACACCATGGAGCTGATAAACAATGTCTATTCTCATCACCAGTTCACTCACTACTGTATTGATATGTAAGGAGAAGTTACAACCCCATCTGAAATCAAATGCATGATTGAAAAATTTAATGAGCACACAATGGATCCAAATGATTTGTGGAAAAATACAGGTACGTTTAAATTTTCCACTTTATATCATTGGCAAGCACCAATATCTTTTTGATCCAACAGTTATAATAATAAACTAAAAAAAGAGTGCAATTTTCAAACTAGTCACTGTGCTGTAATCTGAAATCTGATTAGATGAGTTCAATTGTTCCATTCTCACTGGTTGAGGAAAAATGCAATGTATAGCAATTTCAATGCGATTCCTAACTAATGGCGCTACTGAGAGCCAATCAGATTGCTAGGATTACCACCAATTTCAAAATTGATGTAACAACAGTTTAAAACATACCTCTGCCTCTATTAATCTTGGATTATCAGAAAATGTTTCACTTGCTGGCCATTTCTTGAGTAACACTAGAAGAGGATCTTCTGAAAATTGCCTTCCTCCATCCTCAAATCTTGCAATCAAGATTTCAACTTTTACCTCATCTGACGCATCACTCCAAGATATTTCCTCAATAGAACAATACTTCTCACGCACCTGCATTAAGTGAAAAACTTGTCACAGAGCTGAAAACAACTCTCTAAAGGTCACAAACTTTTTAGGGATCACTCTGAATACCATATCAACAGTACGAAAAAAAAAAGTTGGAATTTTGACAATGTTTAAGTGGTTGTGTTTTGTTTCATGTTATTTTGTATTACAAGGATCTCAACATGCCATGTTGGAGGCAATTCTGTAAGCAGTAAAATCACTGCATATTTAATTAAGCAAATAACCAATTAAGGCAGGCTGTCAAACAAATCATAACACATCGTAACATGTTTTAAGCTGAGAATTTGAAAGAACTTTTCACCAATGAACCCTTACAAAAAAGTATTCACAGAGTATTTGTTTGAATAAATAAACAGGCAGTTTACTGAGGTTCTACAAGACAGCTATATTGATTGTGTTGTTTGGTTTTAAACCAACATCTGTTTTTTTGGCTTAACTTTCTTGAAGTGCCTGTGTCTTTTAACTAATCTCTAAAATTGTCCCATTTTCAATTTGAATATAATACTGCTACTGAATCACAACCAAGATTTCCGACATGTCCAACTATCACTCAGTTTTGTCCCTAAGATCTTATTTGTAATTCTCCTTACTATCTGCTATATAAATTCCTATGTCATTAATTAAGAGAATTTGGTAGTGGATCAACTAATTATCCCTTTATTTAAAAATTATTCAAAAGTCTTTATTCTCATCACTTATCTGCTTGATATTGAATTGATATTGTAAGGAGAAATTCTGTCTTGGTCACTCATGGGAGCAAAAAGGTTTCTAAGCTAACTAAAGCAATCTTGGATTCAAGTGAAGACATTTTCTCAGAAAGATGCTGCATGAATTAGAATTTTCCTCAAAAGCCTTGTAAAATAAATTTTATGTCTTTATTTTGGCCTGATCATTTTACTCGTTGTTACAAACACCCTTCCCAGTCGCTTCCGTAAGTGATTTTTCAATTCCCTACTCCAGTCCCCTTCTCTGCCCCTCCCTCCACCCCCTCGATTCCATAACACCTGCTTGCAAGAAAGACACTGCTCGCAAAGTTACAACGAGGAACTTCTGACTAAAAATAAATTTTCTCGAATGAACATGAAACCTCAAATAACACATTGAACATAATCGACGTTATGATCCTCGCTTCATAAGCTGTTACCTTTCTTCGAAAGACTTCGCTGAACTCGATCAAGTAATCATCCATAAAACTCTGCGTATACATTGAATAAACAGTCTCTTTTTTACTTTCTGTATCCTCGCTCTCATTATCGCTGCGTTTTGATCCTCGCACATCTTCCAGCGACAAAGTCACATAAGTTGCGTTTTGATCCTTCGCCATAATAGGCTGATTTAGCTTCAGAACAACGTCGAAATCAAACAACTGGCTTGACCAATGGCAGAGCGGCAAATTTAGCACCGGAAGTCGTGTTTAGTCCTTTCCGCGCGCTTTCCCGTCGTCAACTGACGTTCCCGTCCTGTTGCTAAATCAGCCATAATAGCACTCAAAACACAAACAATGCCAACTAAAAAGGTTTACAGTCCTTTGAGTTCCACAAAGACATCAATATTAGCACATATTTTCGAAATGAAGTAGAAGAAAAGTCGGGCGTCGTTCACAGATGGACAAACACATAAACAGGAGTAATGATCATATGAAAATGCGGATGACCGGCTGTCTAATCAAAATGCGCCTTTTCTGTCAAATGAAGCCCACGCCGTGTTAACAACTTCTTGGCTTCCGGTCTCGCGCATCTCGTACACTTTGCTTCCGGTAGGGAACGAGGTGATAGGTTCGAATCAGGCAGCTTACTACACCCTCGCTGTCTACAGGGGCATCACAGAATTTTTCGGAATTTCGTTAATTGGTCTTAAAACACAAATTAAAAATTAGTATAGGTAATGGCTTGGGAATAAAGGATGTTTAAGAAGTAGAAATTGCTCAAGTCGCTGCATGAGTTAATCCTTGGAGGAAACACGCCAAGTCTCGTTAATGATACAAAAGGTAAAATCTTCCTTTATGTCCTTTACAATGAAGGACAAAAACTCGCACTGTTGCACAATTTTGTAGGAAGCCATTTCAGTGTTTATTTAGTGCCAATGAACTGTAAAATGCAGAAATCTGTTTAAAAAATAATTTCAAGAAATTATCTTTACACTGTAAAAGAACTGCTTTTACATGTAAAAGTAAAAACTACCATGCTTTTTGAGCAGCTCAGTTATTCAGCTTTCACAAGCCAGTAAATCCAGGACCTTGCTGTAAGCTGTGGTGTTGAGAATACTCTCTCTCTCCCACTCCATCTGAGATCTCACTCAGGAGTCACGAGCAAGAGCTTTATACTTAGCTTCTTTGCGCTGTTCACAACTACCCTTAACCTTTTAACTCCCATGAGTGACCAAGACAGAATTTCTCCTTACAACATCAATGCATTATCAACCAGATAAGTGATGAGAATAAAGAAAAATATCAATCTGGGGTTTAGATGATCTAATACTAAATTCTCTGAACTAACATTATAAGGATTGTATGGTTGACAGTAAAGAGAATGGCAAATTTGATCTGGGAGTTGAAGGGTTAAAATGTCCAGGTGTTTATATAACCCAACAAGGCAAAGATAATTGTTCTTCCTTTTTTCCACTTATGAGATATTTTATCACTTTCTCATGCTAATTTGCCTGTCATGCAGTCTAGATATCTTGGCACATGAATTTTAATTATTATTAGACAGGGTTCGCAAGTTGTCAGAGGTCAGATTCATGAGAAATCACCTTTATTCTTTTAGATTACACTATGTACACAACAGAATTCAAGATACCCCATCACATTCAGACTTAACCCTTTTCACTGTAACATCAGCATGCATATTCTCCATAATGTTCTTTATACATTTCCTAAGGTGCTGACAAGGAGAATTTGTTTGCCAATCAAAATGTTCCTTCCCTGGTGACCATTTTCTTTATTCTCATGACCTTAATGTGTAATTCAGGAGTAATATTGTAGGGAGAAATTAGATGCTGGTCACTCTTTGGGTTTAAAGAGTTAACTCTGAAATTAACCCCTATAAAACATTGCATATAATTTTTTAACACAAAAATTCCATGGATGTTAAGACTCAACACCTCCAGAAACTAATATTTTCAACAAACTTAATGTCAACCAGTTTGAAAAGGTTTGATCCATACTCTTTAAAATCCATAATTTTGCAAAAAGACACTCACAAACCAAACTGCTACAAATAGTATCAGCCATTGTTCTTATAACTGTGGAAACCATATAGTGCTGACTTTGCCCAGCAAAAAAATATTGGGCTTATTTATTTCTGATAAATTACTGTTGGTAGTTCAGAGGAAAATCATGAGTTCAAAGAAAAAGAAGTAATTTTTGAATACAAATAAATGTTTATCCCAGTTGTGATATTTTTTTTTTCACAAGCAGTCACTGATCTGGATTGAATACTTTTCCTGGAGTTTTTGCAGCTAGTGATTTGACTCCTTCTCCCCTGAAAAAGAAAATTGATAGAGAAATATTTAAAATATAAAATACATTTATGAAAAAAAAAAAAGAAAAATATTAATTAACTTACTACACACACACACACACACAAAATTACACCAACCTACAGCCACACTTGAACAGAGCACCCATAATTCTTTTGGTGACAAATTTACCTAATTACCTCTTACCCATAGAAAATAAATACAGAAAAAGTCCAACAATTCTTAAAAGGGAAAGTGACAGAAAATCTCACAGCTACCAATCAATTTTCCACTGAGTTTATTTCACTGACTATATTTCCCATACTTTTCACCTTTTTTCTTCATAACTTAAAGGGCATGCCTTGTTAAATGTTAAAAAAAAAAACTCTAAGCAACACAATAGTCTGTGACTTTTTTTGGGACAAGGCAGTTTATCAAAAAATATATTACCTATGTACATAAAACACTAGACTATTACAGCAAAAGTATTTGACAGATACACTAAACAAATGGTCCATTTATCATGAAAAAATTACAAATGCTAATGAAATATAGAAACAATCTAAATTGCCTATGGTGTGGGCAGGAGGGAAACTAAAAAACTTACTTCAGACGCTATAAATTAACTTTTTGCTTGCTTGCTTGACTGCCAATAAAATGTGTTCAGATAACCATGGGGTTTTTTTTTTCCCAGTAAAACTGGGCTAGTGTGCTTCATAACAAATGGTGCTATCTAAGTCTTATGATTGCATGCTGAACAAATTTCTCAACCTGGGAAAAAATTAAAATGTAACCTGTTTGTACCCAGTCTGGAACTCTCTGTTATCAATGTCTAGATTCACATATATGAGATTAATATTCACTTTTACAAATATTTCATTCACCCTTTCTCTGTAGCCTCTTCTAACAGCTTCTGCTGGCCATACAATATAACTGGTGGCATTGAAGCTCGACGCAGATCTCGGTCACAGTAGTAATTGTGACTAAGTTTGTGAGCTGGACCATCTGGGATGTTAGGACTTGGCTGTGTTCTTTGAAAATAAGTCATGGATTACCATCAGTCAGGAAGAACTTTAAACACTGAATTGATGTAAATGGTTTCATAAACCTCTCCTCTTTATTAAACCCCCCCTCCCCATAAGTTCTAAAGGGTCCTTTGCAATCCATCTTCCCCCCAAAAAATCTGGAAACCCTAGAAATTTACCTAGATATTAATATTGACCTAAAGGGAATCAACACATACATTTCTAGGATATACACGTATTTACGGGTATAAATACCAGAGAGAATGCCTATATGCGAACAGGATTGCATATAAAAATAAAAGCTACGAATTTCACATTTGAATTGTATTTAATAGGGGCAAAACAAACCTAAAAGAAAAAATAAGTTGCTAACTTATTTCTAGACGCAATACGCAGGAATACCTTGCAGATTGGTCGTAAGCATAACGAGAAGAAACTGTGAGTCTTTTCTGTGTTGATAGAGAAAAAATATCAATCAAAAATCTATTCTCAGGGAAAACACAAAAGTCGGCGGTTTGTTTTACTTACGCCGATTAGAAAATTGCGAATCGCTTGGATAGCTCTCGAAGCTGTCGCCATCTTGAGAGTAAATCAAGCTTACATGGGATCATGGGAGATTTTCATCTAGGCCTTCTCAGCCACAAAATCTTTTCGTAAAGTGAAAATAAAAAGCCAAAACAACAAAAATTAGACTCGATATTGCAGCGAAATTTAGAGGAGAGGGAAATAAAGCTATTTTTCTTAAAGATTATTTCGAAGGAAGTTTGAAATTATTTCAGTTTATTAGTTTCTCTTATTTCCCAGCATTCAGTGCGCATTATAAACTCACTTTGACCACGTGGTTTCTTCCTCTTACAGCCGCCATATTTCCACTATGGACAAGCCTGTGAAACTAGCCAAGGTATTTTGATTTTCCTCGATCTAACATGGCTGATTTTTAACTTTAACTAACTGGTGGCCCTCAAATGACCCCACTCTAAGTTTCAACTTAGATAATTGTAGATATTTGCGTGAGTTTTCGATATTTTTACCAAATTTCGGAAATTCGCCGAACCATTCCTTACAGGATAAAATTTACGTTAAATGTATTTAAAGGAGGCTCTGTTAGGGTTTATTCGTAGATGAAAAAATTAAAAGAAGCTAAGGATAGGACAAATCATGACAATTTTTTCGAATCATGCAAGTTACGATTCGATGTAAAGGCTCAGTAATATATATATACATGTTGTGTTTTATGAAGCGAGCAAATCTGATGTGACTCTCTTTCCTTCACTAGGTTACCAAATGTTTGGGAAGAACCGGCTCTCAAGGTCAGTGTACTCAGGTAAGTAAACGTCTTCATGTTCCCTTACTCTACTGCTCGTAATCGTACGCTTATCGAATATGAAGTCTTTCAATGATATTCATATGAAGTATATGGACAGGCGATGGTTGTTAAAGGCAGCACGGCAATAAGCAGGGGAAATTGTTAGTAAAGATGAAACATAAATAGCATTGTCTTTATAAGTGTAAGAGAAAGCTAATGTACGAGACAGGTCAGAACCATTCTAATGGCTTTCCAATGATACTAAAGGCAATACTTTTGGAAAGGTTAACAGGGTAATTTAGTGTAATCAGCTGAGTTGATAACGCAAATTGGTCATTGTAAAGAGTGAAAAGGCTGACATTTCGAGTGTTAGCCCTTCATAAGAGCAATTTTGGAAAAGTTACCAACCATCTATAATGGAGTGTGTTAGTTTGGGCCATTGTGGAAGGAAGGAGGAAGGATTTGGATGGAAAAATAGAATGTCTTATTCTGTTGCACACAGGAATCGCTAAGCTGTGGTTGTGACCTTAGCTTTCTCTGTGATTGAGCTACCTTGTTAATATGGTTTGAACAAAGATAACAATCTCATGTGCACATTCAAACTCCCAAACACTTAAATTTCATTGTCCAATGCTCCTCTAACTAGGGTAAAGTGATCTTGTAAAGGTTAACTTGCACACAGTCAAGTCTGATAAGATCTTCATATCTTCTTACACAGGGTAATGCTTGTGAAACAGCTCATAACTGCACATTGTTTATACAATCAACTAAACAGCAATGCACTTTTTACTATTCAACCCATTAATTCCCAGAGTGACTAGGATCTAATTTCTCCTTACATTGTCATCCCCAAATCACACGTTAAGGTAATGAGAATAAAGAAAATGGTCACCAACTGGAGAAGCTCTGGATTATGAAACAAATTCTCCTTATCAGCACCTTAGAGAATGTATAGAGAACAGTATGGAGAATATGCATACTGATGTTAGGGTGGAAAGAGTAAAGAAAATGATGTTTTTCTTGTATTCTTGTAACTTTTTCATTAATTGAATTCTCTGGTAATTTTTTAGGTACGAGTAGAGTTTCTTGATGACACAAACAGATCCATCATCCGTAATGTCAAAGGACCAGTCAGAGAGGGAGATATCTTGACTTTACTGGAATCAGAACGTGAAGCCAGAAGGCTAAGATAGGTCAGTTGCAATACCAATGTGTAAACCTGATAGTGTCACGGTATATGTTAATACAAAAAGCACTCATTGCAGAACCTTTTCCTTTTGCAGAAGACAGGGAGATGAAGAACTTCACCTTGATATTCCATATCCATAAAAAAGGATATCTCATATTGAAATAAAAAGCTTCACTGTCAAATATACTTTGGTAGCCTGTCTTGTTTTAGACTGTTGCAATCAGTGTCTTAAAGCATCTCAACTCAAGTGGGAATCTTGAATGCTGCCTTAAGAGCTGTCTCTTGTAAAACCAAGGATGTTCCAAAATTTAACCAAATTATTTTATTTTTAATATTCTCATTGTTTACAAACTGACACAAAGAAAGAATTTGGACAAGAACAAATTTTTACACCTCAAACATACAGATTATGAAACGTTTTTCATGTAATCTCAGCATGTGAAAACATGTCAAAAAAAAAATAATGGCAAAGTAAATGTGTTTTACTTTGGCATGATCCCTGCATCACAGAAGAGGACTTGGGTGAAAAGGAAAGTAATTTGTGAACCTGGGCCCAGTTGTTTGAAGGCTGATTAGCGCTAACCCAATGTTAAATTTTAATCTGGGTTTCTTCATTCCTTTATTCAAAAGCATTTTTGGGATAATTCCTGTGTTCTTTTAAGAGCATTAAATAGTCCTATTCTAGACGAAAAGAATTTGACTGAATTTTCTTTTAAAGTTATTAGATCTGAAATCAGATTTCACATTAACCACTGGTTATCTTAACCCAGCTTTGAACGACCCACCCCAGGGGTCCAATCCAAAAAAAATTTGGTGTTAGAAGGCCTTTAAAGACAATATCTTCTCACAGCCAAACCAGTAAGGAAGCCAGTCCCAGGCTTACTTGGCTTCGTTGCTCTACTATTTCTCAGAGTATTCAGATTTTCTTGTGTTCAGCCAATGTTAGGTGGAGTATTCTGTGGGAATTTTCAGGCCCACAACTGGCCCAACCGTACTCAGCCATGTTACAAGGTAGTTTGCAGAAACATTTTCCTCTTGATCTTCAGCGACACCTGCAATTTTCTTCATCATATCTGCCGTGTGACAAGGATGAAGTTGGTAAAATGGAACCCCAAGGTGTGGATGTTCCTAGAGACAAAATGTGACAGTTTTATTACAAAAAGATTCGTGTTGAATTTCAAAGCATGGGATGATCAGAGAGAGAAAAAGATTTCTTCCCAGGAGGAGTAAAAAAGGTAAAACCGGAGGAGGGAGGGCCAAATATGTTTTTCCTAACTCCCTGCCCATTCTCAATTGGTCAGAAGTCTCACTCCTATTGAAAAAGACCAATTCAGTGAATGAATGCCAACTTCCAATGTTACCCCACTACTCTACCAAAATGCTCTCAGCATAGGCTAGGAAGGCCTTGCAATGGTATCTAGTTGACATTTGAGAGCATGCTATGTACAGAAAGATAATTTAATAATCAACGCTAGAGCAACATTCACTTGGATGTTGGAAGCTGTCCACAATAGCAATCAGATTTAGTCTAGAAAACTCTGGTCACTCTCTATCAACCTTAAATGTTAGAGTTATCCAAAGAAGCATTCAGATTTGTTTATCTATCTTGTGATAAGCTGAGAAATCTCTGGTAACTCTCAATCAATCCCCTTGGTCTGACACAGTTTCCCGCCTTTAAGGCAGTTTTCTTGTTTTTATAATTTTACTGAATGGTTCAGATTGGCTGTTAAGAAAACTTTTGATTTGTTTCCACTGAGTGGAAAAGCGCTCTATCATAAAGAACTTTTTCTAAACAAAGCGAATACAACTTGATAACCACTAACTCCCTTAACCTTTTACAACCTAACATCAGAATGCAAACTCTCCATACTATGCTCTACACATTTTCTAAGGTGCTGACAAGGAGAATTTGTTTTAATAGTCAAGAGCTTCTTTAGTTTGTGATCATTTCCTTTATTCTCGTAACCTACATGTGTGATTTGGTCACAATATTGTGAGGAGAAATTAAGTGCTAATCACTCTTAGGGGCTAAAGGGTTAAGAGTGATGAGCATATAATTTCTCCTTCCAATATCACCCCTGAATCATACATTTAAGTCTCAAGAATATAGGAAATAATCACCAACTATCTAAAGAAGCTCTTGATTGTTACATAAATTATCCTTTCCAGAAGCTTAGGAAATCTATAGAGAACAGTATGGAGAATGTGCATAATGATATTAGGGTGTAAAGAGAATGACTGTCACTTCCTCTCATACCTGTTGTGTTAAAAATGTCCATTTTTCAAACTCAAGCCTTTCATGGTAAACTTCTGGTACATTTTTCCAAACTTCTTCTAAACTGACTAATTTACCATCTCAAAAATAAAGAAACATTTTAAATAACTAATGAAGCTTTAATAAGCTTGTGGGTCACTAATAGAAAAAATCTCACACTTTCGTTTCCATTAAAACAAAAGATGTGAGCTGGATTGAAAAAAAAAACGGTTAATATATTTATTTGATAGATAGTTTTATAAAATAATTCAAATAGTACGCGCGCTCTGATTGGTCATAAAACCATTTTACATGAGCGTATGTAAACATGGTTTTCATTCCTTTTTCATTCATTATTTTATAAAAGAAATGTAAAATGGTTTCTGTGTTTACATTAGGCTATGTAAACATGGAAACCATTTTACATTTCTTCAATAGGTTAATAGATAATTATATCATAACTCTTTAGTAATTGTTTTCTTACAATGACATAAAAAATTATCCAGTTCCTTCTCAGTAAGTTGTAATCATCTTTAATTTATAAATACCAGATATAAAAAGTTTCCATAATGACATAGCTTCTAAGAAATACCCCCTTTGACTCAAACATTTTCAGAGGCTTTCCTTTAGTTTGACCTGAGAATTTTAATCAGCGTATCAAGATTAATCTTGCTACATATTAAGGTTGAAAAAATCAGTAAATATAGTTCACAGCCACCTTTGTTTTATTCAAGTGTCTGAAAAATGAAACTATTTTGAGACCCTGAGTAATGTCTACAACATACAAAGCTCAGATTTATATCAACACAAACTTACTCTTATTTATTACACCCATTTTGAAATCACTGGTGGTCCCTATAATCTGATTAGCTCTAACTGCTGTGATTTATTCACAAATTGCACCATTTTTGCTTTAAATTGCATCTTTTTCCCAGCCAATGGGGAGGCTACACTAAAAACAAAACAACCAATCAGATTTCAAGGCTTGTTTAAAGTAACAGATCAAATTGCAGAAAAATGAAAGACAAAGAATATCATGTGGCAAATTTTGCAACTTTTGTTTTCAAAACCCTTAGCTTTTCCCCCCCAAAAATGGATGAACCTAATTTCAGACCGGTTCAGTACTGCATCAATAAAATAATTGAACTGACCAAGTCCTGTATTTGGGCAATTTCAAAATGGATGTAATAAAGTGGTAATTGTACCTCATGTTGTGCAATTTTGGTCCAAAATCTGATACTTGTGATTTCAAATTGAACTTGCGCTGTGCACTCATTCAATTTTGAAATCACGCATATGATTTCAGCCCAAATTGCACTCCACTCAGTTCAATTACCATTAAAAAATGAAGCACCAGAAAATATCACAATTACCTTGTCTGCTTGCAGTAAAATAAAGCACTGGGACACCATAACTGGTGCTGTAGATAACATGATATTCATACGTCAGAAATGTTTTTTTCACATCTGACTCTAGCTGGCCAGATGTTACACAATCCTGTAAAAATGATATTAAAACCAGTGGATTACTCAAGAGGTTTCTCGCTAAAGCTGTATAATTATCTATGAGGAAATATTGAACACTTGATACAATACATATTAATCAAAATAACACTCCAGCTAGTGAGTGGGGTGTTATCAACCACCTAGCAAAGAGAGATGTGCCGACAAATTTTACCATTCTTTATATTTTTTTCTCGGAAACATATATCACACATTACTGGGTACAGAGACAATCTAACATCATAATTGTAATCAAGCTAGCCTACTTAGTACAAATGATTCAACATCAGCAGACTTGTCCTGCCAATTAAGTTTCCTATGATTGCTCATAAAATTACTCTGCTATCATGAAAGGTACTTTAGTTGTTATTTAGATATGATAGAGTAATTCTCAGGACTGGTATTCCTCCCTGGATAAGATACTTGTCCATTTAGCTTAACCCCCAGCCAGCTTCCCAACATTTTGTTGCAGTGTTACAGAATTGGTTGTTGTTGAGACAATAGGGTCTTTTTCAAATATACGAAAGAGGTTTCATTTAAAATGTTAGAGTTAATTTCTCTATTAATATCACTCTAAAAAGGAAAATTTTCCTACCACACATCCAACTGTTTTATCATATTTTGTTACAGTTTTAGAGGTGGTGAAGTGTTTTGAAACATGGGGGAGCTTATCTTTCACACAGCCATGTACACAACAGTTTTGAGTGTGTCGGCAATCAATTTTTCAAGCAGACTTTCAGCCTGGCATTCTACTAGGTTCCTACAGAAAAGTTTTGATCAAGTTTAATTTCCTGGACATGCTGTGTAGTTTCAGTGATGGAGAACTGCTGCAGTTGATATGCTTCTCAAACACAAGCAGGAGCTGTTTGAAAAAGTTTTGCCAAGCACAAATTATGCTGATAAAAGGCTTTGTGAAAAGATCACAAGATTGAACATTTTGCCAACATTTATGCTGCAATATTTTCAGCACTAAAACCAGGCGGGGTGCTGTGTCATCCAAGTTTTTGTTTTGGGGAGGCTACAGCCTCCCATGCAACCCCCTTCCCCTGCTCTGCTGTATATGAGTTTGCATGCAACTGTTGTACAGCTGAGTGGTTTATTGATCCATAAGCAAGAGACCATATTCCCAATTGGTTTACCCAAATCATAACCCATGCAGGACATGTATGTTGCAAGAACAAAATTTAAAAAGTTTGTATTTCACAAGCTGGAGTCGTGATTTGCAAACTTTTCAAGCATAAAAGTACAGTCTACTGCTGTTATAAACAAACTTCAATTTTTTATAGGTTTCCTGATGCAAAAAACAATAGGTGTTTAACCAATCAGGGGACTTGTAATATCTCAATTCATTATTTCATAAATATGTATCATCAGGCAGTGCATGGTTAAACTGTCATGCCAACAAACACAATGTAATGAAACTGGGCCAGGACTGAACTTGTAAGCTTTTCTAAGCTATAAGTTCTAATTCTATCACATTGAAAGCAAACCTTACATTGTCGATTTCCTCCACACCCCAGTTCTTATCCTCTGCACAAGTTTCCTCTGTATCTGCTTCACTTGCTTTATCAAAACCCAGCTGCACTTGTTTTTTGGTAAGGTACTTCACTTTTCGTTTTCCCTTTTCACATTAAACAGAAAAACAACAAAAAACCGTAAAAATTTCAATAGTTAGCCCTTTTTTTATTTAGCGTGGTTACGATTGTTTGAATCTTGAAAAATTTAGCCTGAGCTTTTCAAGCTGGTCATTCAGAATCCGTAAAAATATTCTTCATTACTTGCCTATATCCTTCCTTTTTTGTTATTAATTTTTCTTCATTTTATACGTTTTCCCATTGTAATAAACTAATATTTGGAAGTTTTCTCTGACGCTTAAGGTACTGTTTAATTACTTGTCGCAAAAAAAGAAAAAAAAATCCTTGATGACTCCAGTTTTGGTGGCAAAACTTACTTAAATTGCAACAGATCAAGCTAAAAAATTAATCACGCAGAGCATTAAACATCCAAATTAGTTACCCTCAAATGAATGGAAATTTTATGACAGTGAAACAGATTTAGTGGCATAACATTAATGTTTAATTTGCTTACATCTTCACATCGACCCGGCCACTTAATGTACAAGATTTCTAATCATACCTTAGCATATTCCAGATTCCAAGAATCTCCAACTTTTCTGGCCCTTTCCAAGAAGTCGAAGAGTACATTTTCGAATTCTTCGTATGAGAGGGTGCCTGTTTTCCACATGCATAAGATTTAGTGGAACAAAGTGAATATGAATCCTCCTCAGCTGTTTGTCCAAATCGAAGCAAATGTGCGAAATGTGACAGGCACTTCAGCGGATAAACGGATGAAGGGTAGGGTGGGGTAGGTAGGGGAAATGTTACGATGCGTGAATGTCAAACCGCAATAAACTATTGTTAGATCGTTTTCTTATAGAAAACGTGGCAGATTAAAAGTAATATATTTTAATGTAATTTCTATCCCCTAACCTACCCAACGTGTAGAGTAAAAATACATTTCCGGAACGCAAATTTTCGTATGATGAAATATTTGACTAAGCGTGTCGGTGGAAGTGGGGAATGCATATGTATAAATACGCTGGGGGTAGACAGGGTGAAAATGCGCCTGTTCTTTCGTTCCCTATGGGTCAAGTAGATCTTAGAGAACATTTTAGGTAAAGCCTGTAAGAAAATTTTTATTTTTTATGCTAAAATCGTTACTTTCGATAACTAAGCTGCCGTATATTGACTTCCGTGCAGTACAAATCTGAACCAAGTGATACTACTCCATCCCACGTCAAAGATTTGTATCCGTTACGGTATTTCCCATTATTTGAACGCAAAAAAAATAGCTTTCGTGAATATTGAATGAGCATACCTTTGAGGGTATAAAAATGGGCCCCATGTTAAATTAACATCATTTCCTTTGATCATCTCCGAGTATTTCCGTATTTCCTCACTCTCTCCCCACCCCCTCGCCACATGTGTTCGTCTCATCCCAAGGTCTTCTTTTGTCTTTCTCCCACGCGCGATGCACGCGAGGAGTAACAATTTACTCTCACAATAAAACCTGCCACAAGGCTGGTCAGTCGATCGCCTACCGGTAATTTGCGTTAAAAATAAATTTTATTCGTTTGGTAACTTTTACCTGATTTGTAATCGGTACACCACAATCATGCGAACGAGTAATGCATTGAAATAACATTCAGAAATATTGTAGTCTCTTGCACGTTTCAGGCAGAAAATCGTTCAAATTCATTCGGCCACTTTTGCACCTGCTTGTCAAAGCAAGGTGTTCTTGTCTCTCTAGGTGCTAAAAATAGCGCAGATTTTTCGCGTTTGCTGTCGATCTAAGAGACAATATTTTAAATCAGCAATCTTCTCTTCTGCGCCTTCTTAAGCCGATGATACTGTCCTTTTGAGTATATACGGGGAATCCGAGATGTGGAATTTATTTTGTTGGCGGTTTCAAGATCAAACTGATACTCGTTATTGAAAAACAACAACACAAAAATTACGATTCGCGTCTATTCGAAAACAAATTAATAGGATTAACTGAGGGAAAATCCCTTCGAATAAAATTGAATAGTAACTATTTATCATGACAGAATATACTGACTTTTCTTCAAATCTTGGCCAGATTTCTTAAACTTTCTGACCTTTTCCAAGGACGCGAGGAAGTGACGTCACTATGAAGGCGGAGCTTGCATTGTCAAGCGCGGGTTCTGACTGACAAGTGCATTGTTCCTGTCGCATCGAGCAACCATCTGCGTAACAAACAATGACAAAGTTACTACGCCGATATGGAAAACAACCCTACCACACATGAAATTTTAATTTTTGTCTCGACTACGGTACTTGAAAGAAGTCCGAAGTAATATTTCTCCCTTGTTTTTTGGTTTATGTTTACGCCGGAGAGGCAAAACACGTGAGTTTGCGATCACGAACGACACGATAAATAGAAGCGAAGTGGAGTTAAACAACACGATATGGTGTGATCATGCGTGAGGTCTACTCGCTTGGCGATAAAAATCTGAGAAGGACCAATTTCAGTGACAGGAACGACTCGCTACGCAGCTGTCTTTGATCATGTTTTCGGACTGAGAGTGCGAATTCGTACGTTCCATCAGAAGCATAAAAAAGTGTTCTTTATACGGCAGAATTTCGAATTGAAATACGCGCGTCACTGCGCTATCGGTTTGAAATTCGGTATTTTGGAATCGTTCCAGTGAGTCGTTTTGAATAAATCGAATTTTCTCTCGTACCCATGGGAATTGATGCCAACTCGCCCAGCAACAAAATTCAAAATCCGTTCATTGACAGCTTCCACATCTGACATTTTCTACAGTTTTTTTTTACAAAAGTACATACGGTTGTTATTTAAATAAGGACGATTCTTTCAAAAATTTTAGTGTTGCGTATTGCACAAAAAACCCAGCGAAACGTAAAGTTCACTTTTTTCGTAGTCCTGAGTGATCTTTTTAAATTCTGGAATGGAACGGAAGTATGACGGATGGGATTTGGAATGACGTGGACTCGGTAATAAAACGGCAGTCAAAATTGATTGACTACAGACATTTTCCTACTTTTAATTCCATCGATAAGTGCGCAACATTTACTTGATCAAAACAGCGTAATATTTCAAATATTCATTTTTTCCCTGTCGAGGTTCAGTACGGTTTCAAGTCGCAGTTTTCCGCGGTTTGTCGGGTTTAAGAAATTTTGTAACGAAAATTTTATTGAAGATTTTTTTAATGTTATTACAAGCACAAATAAATAAATTAACTTTGAAATAAGTTTATTTTGTATCTAGGCTGATATAGAATTAAACTATTGGCCAATTTAAGGGAGCTAAGATGTACTTGTAGCGTTCGCCTCACCTGTCAAGGGCTCAAGGCTTAGGCAAGACTCCCGAATTTTTCATCACACGTGTTTTTTTTTGCTGTTAATTCTCTTTCTTACTCCGAATTTTTTTCCACTTTCTCTGGTTATCAGCTCTCTACAAAAACACTAACACTCTCCATTCCAGTCTGACTTGGAAACCACACACGAAAAGCCATCTCGTAGTTGCGCTGCTGCTCTGAAAATCCAATTTGAATTTTTATTAGACACAATTGAGTTAGGAAAGATTCAAATTAAGCGTTTCAAATGTTGCCATATTAACAAAGAATATCTAAATAGTATAAATACGATGATGTGATTAAAACTGAGGAGGAAAAGTCAGAGAAGAAGTCGAGGATGAGATTTCATAACATGCGTCGACTGAATAAACATATATCTTGGCTCCTCAGAGATGGGATGCTGATAGATCGCGGATACATCTTAGCATTTCGTGTGGTTTTCTTCGCGACACACCTTACTGTTTCACTTTCCCGTGTATAGAGAGAGAGCTACTGTGACGGTCCATATTCTTGGCTAAAAGCACAAGAGGGTGTCAATATGCCTCAAACAGGACTCGAATCCAGACCGCGGCTCCCGATCTTGATCTCGGTACGCCAACAACTCAGCCATGTCTTCCGATGTCAGGTATGCGGATGCATCATATTTTTTTTCTTGGAGTCTCTATCTCTCCTCCGTAGTTCAAAATTTAATGTGTGACCTGATATGGCGCTGACTTGAGGGCATTCTCCTCCACGGGAAAGGTGAGAGTACTTAGTTGGGAGGGGCGCTTTTTAACCCTAATTGCGGCGTAAGCCGAACTAAGACACAGGTCACGCACTGTTTGGGCTAATAAAATTGTAATTTTTAGAAAATATTCTTATAACACTCAGTAAATCATTAAGTCTACAATTCTTCACTCTATCCATTAGCTTAACCCTCTGCAAAAAGTTTTTCGGTCTCAATTCGAGCAATTATAGCCACAGATGTTTTTGGCATTCGATAAAGAAATTTAAATCCGCCTTGAGGTGCTCGGACAGCAGTATCTAAACCATGACAAACTAAGAGTCTGCAAGCCAAAACGTGCAATTTAATTTCATTGCATATTGCCTACCGATACTTCATTGTTACATTCAGAACTGATTTGTTCGTTCATTAACTGATTCGTTAATTTTAATCTTTTTTTTCGTGTGGTTGATAGAGTGACAGCTACAACTGCGGTCATCTTGGTGTTGGAATTTGAGCAAATGAGGATGTCTTCTTTTAAGATATTTCTCAATATTTTGAATCGATTTTCTATTTATCTTTGTTCCGGAAACAAATCAAAGTCGGTAAAGCAACACACAGAAATGTACATATTTGTACATAGGCACGAAGAGAATCATCAAGAAAACGAAGAACACGTTATTTTCGTTGCATGCAATGATTTCTGGAGGTTACTACACTAAACTTCGTCTTTTCGATTTTTCGTCATTGTACTTTTCACAACTCCTTCGTCTTGATCGCCAAGTCCATTCCAAAGTAAATCTTTTCCATTGACTCAGAGGTCCCGTCCATCGGCCAATCAGTGCCAATCCACTAATGGTTTCTATAGTTACAGGCGCTAGGCCCCGGTCTGTGACGCGGACCCCACAAGGCATGACGAACTGCACTGACACATCTTTGACAGGGCCAGCGCAGCATGTACTCTAAAGGCAAGGCGAATACCGTGCCTTCTGATGCCCAGGCACGCGAAAAGTAAGCTTCGTTTGATTTTTCCTGCAAAATGGATGTCAGAAATGGAATCAGCGTGTCCGAAAATGGGGGAAGATGTTTTATATTTCGACCCATCGCGGGCGAATTTCGAAACTTTCACCGCCGGTCTGAGCTCGGCTTTGTGTTTAGGAAACTGTCCTATGTGTCTGTACATTGATGAAGCGTAAATGGTTTATCGCCCGTTTTCGTTCCTTCGCAGGCTGGCCTTGTACGTATACGAGTATCTTCTTCATGTTGGAGCACAGAAGAGCGCACAGACTTTTCTAAACGAGGTAAACTTGATCAGAAGTCGACTCGCATTCACGGAGAGTATGCAAGTTTTAAGCTTTGTGCGATCCGCGACGCGAACTACGCGCATCGCGTCGCTCGATTGTTACACGCGAATGAAACACTGAAGTATGGTTGAATTCCCTTTCAGATAAGATGGGAGAAGAATATAACGCTAGGAGAACCGCCAGGCTTTCTCCATTCGTGGTGGTGGTAAGTTTTGCCAATGACTGAACTAATTAGAGAGTTGTTGATTCGAATTTTAAACTAGGTCCTCATTACTCTGTTCAGAAGAATAAATGATAGCTACGTTTTTTAATAGTCGTTTATGCCCAACACTGCCATATTTTATTTTCCACTCTTCTAAACTGTGCTTCTTGGAGCTTCATTAACCTTTCTCTGCGATTTAACCGTAGTTGTTTTTTTAATTTCCCGCCCAAATTATCCCTGCTCGTTGCATTTGATGTTAGTGTCTTTTTCCTTTCTTGTTGCAGTGTGTTTTGGGACTTATATTGTGCTGCTCCCGAGAGAAGGGACAGTTGTGATCACTCTAGTGAAGCAAAGGCCTTCCACGATTATGTAAGAGCAAATATGTATTTATGTAGTAAGCTTTCGATATAATTTTAAGCGAGATCTTTGCGAGCGAACGATTATACGTTCTGTTGATGCGTACACCATTTTTGTCACGCTACATCAGTGTATTGTTACATTTCCACGCGCGCAAATCTGTCTCGATCACCGATTTGAAACATTCTTCTCGTCGCTGGTATTGTTGTGGGTGCAACTAGATTTAACTAGGCTCTAGTTAAATCTCCAATGAGCTGCACTCTTGCGTTAAAAAGCGAAGAAACACGCGCAGTTAAAATGGTGTGTTTTTCGTACACTACATCCAAGAATTTCCAACACTTGAATCGTTTTGCCCGCTGTCATAACCTTTCAGCGAAAATGCAAACCCATTTCGTGGTAATTTTAGCTTTACCCTGTGTAAAACGTAACTGATATGCTATCGACTCTCTCGAACTGTTGCATGTTAAGCGTAACGTTCTACAGCGTTAAGAATATTTTTATTCAACCGATCTTTTTAGAGTTGAGGCTTTTACTCGGTCAATATTCAAATTCCTATCGAAGGCGCGCTGGTTAATTTTTTATCGAAGACGGGATATATTGTGTCATGTAAAGGATAGGGAAACATTTTGATTTAGTACGCTTCGCAATTTTTCAAAAGGTCGAACTGGTTTCGTCCGCGTTATGCTTTTTTGAAGATCTTCTACTTTTACCTTTGAATGCTTTACTTGAACAAAGGTCTTTGTCATCGCCACCAGTTGCATTTAGGACACACATTCTAAAGTTTTAGCTCTCTTCAAATTTATTTGACTGGAGATTACAGATCGCTCCACTCGATGATGTTGTCTTTTTTCTCATGTGATTGAATGTTCTTATTCTAGTCATTTTAAATCCCGCGTTACCGCTTGAATAGATCTCGGTGAATGCTCATGAACACAGCTTTTGAATAAATTACCCGAGGTTATAGTTACGACATGATCGAGTCGCTAGTCAGGTGTAGGCGTACGAGATATATATTCTTTATACAGAACGAAATCACAATGAAGAGCGTCAGTTTTCATCAACGATTAATAAACCGCTTAGTCCGTGCTAAGACGCGAGAAGGAAAGATCAATCGAAGGATTGATCGATCGATGCTTCGAAACCACGAGACCGCGCCGTGGACGAATATTTTGTGTTGATAAACTGTGGGGGAGATACGTATTGAGGTTTCCCAAAATTTGCATAATTTCAGGAAGGAATGGTATTTTTTCGTCACATGATAGAGCTTTCAGCTTGCGCGAGCGCCATTTGAGAAAAGCAAAGCGATGAAATCCTTCCCTACAGAGCCGATCAGACGTTCGCAAGTTGTTTTGAAAGCGATTATTCGACCAATTTCATGTCGCACGCGCGATAAGCGTAGCCCGACAGTGTGTAGATAATTTGAATATACATGGCCATAAATAGCCCAGATTTTTATTTCCACGACACTGACAAAACGGAATACACGTCATGGGTGGCCGGTCGAACTTAAAGCAACACTGTTTTTCTGTCGTTTAAGTACAAAGTCTGACAAGTGAAGTGTCTGTACAAGAGAGGTTTTGGGTGATTTTATAGGCTTCGTACTCGCGCCTTGGCAGGTGTTGAGTTTCCAAAACTCACCCATTCCCGTCAAAAGTTTCCCCAAAATGCTATTGTCTCGGAACCTATGAGCTCGCTGATCCAACGATAAACTGTTGTTAAATTTAGCGCATGGCCTCTTCTGTTTTTTGAGCAAACAATACAATCCAATTTGGCGTGATTTCTTGATTTTTGCTGTCGGCCTCTCAATAAGCTCGTGCTTGAAATAGTTTCAGAAAGAAATGCCATGCTTTCAAGATTTTCATTGTTTAGACAAGGATTGTGAGAATACGAGTCCTTTGGTGGTTGATGACAACAAAATTGACAGTCTTGTATTGTAAATGTATTTTGGTGACAGGGAATTGTTTTTAAAGATAAAATCACTGCAACCGATGCTTTAGTGGGTTGGTTATATATCTGTGCTTTCTTGAAAGGATTGTACAGTGAACTTCTACATCTGAATGGGACAATTAGAGGGAAATAAATGTTTTATCTTTTTGATGTATTATGTAAGATGTGTTGTTTCAAATCTAAGTACTCTGAATTTCCTGTCGAAAGTATGATTTCTAAACAAAATACTTGGTATGTACAGTAAAAATATCTGAATTCTCTTTTTCTGGTCCCATATGAAGGTCTTTTTCACAGTTGGAAGAATTTGATGATATATCAAAATGAAGTTGTCAACCTTCAGTCTCAAAAGAAGTTTTGCTTCGCTATGGATATTGTTTAAAAAGTGTAAACATTGAATGTCTGAGACTATAGTTTTGCAGTTTGCAGTACAAATCTTAAACGTTTTTGGAATCTTTGGGTCCTTTGTGTAACATGCTCTAGATGAACCCTGATTTCTTCATATCATTTTAAAAAATGTTTGGTTTTCACCCTTACATTCTCAATATCTGAATGCGAATTCTCATTACTATCTGCCATACCTCTCTTATTTAAGTTTGTTGTAAGAATTTGGTGCTGGATCATATGATAATCGCCTTGTTAAAATTTTTGGTTATTCTCGTAACTTGGCTGTTTGATATTGTATTGATATTGTAAGGAGAAGTAATGGCTTGGTCACTTCTGATGGTGAAATTGTTTACTCATAACCCTTAAACTCCCAGAAGTGATTAACATGAAAACTTCTTTCTATAATAAAGGGGTAAGTTTCTGAAGACACTGGGGTGCTGTGTTGGTGGGAGAGTATAGCAGGTAATTTAGTGTTAACAACTGAGTTGAAAATGTAAATTAGCCACCGTGAAGGGTAAAAAAGCTGAAATTTCGAGCGTTAGCCCTTTGTCAGCTTTTTTACCCTTTACAGTGGCTAATTTACATTTTACACTCAGTTTTTAACAATAAATTACCTGCTTCTTTCTATAATAACCATACATTATTCAGCAAACAGATAATGAGAATATTCAAACCTATCAGGCAGAAGCTGCTATCTGATCTAGCACCAAGTTCTCATGACTAATTTACAAGGAAATGTGTAGCAGCTACAGGGGAGAATTAGCAATCAAATCTTAAGAGTTGAAGGGTTAACTGCAATTTTCATCAGTTGGTGCCTTTGTCGACAGAAATTTAATGCTCAAAGGACAACCTTTATAATGTTTTCTCAATTACTCTAGCAGGGTCTGTTTCTCACCCCCCAAAAAAAACCAAAAAAACTAAATTTGTAAAATTTACTTTTGTCATAAGCACGATTTTAAATTTTTAAGGAAAAAATTTGGAAGGGAGCTCTGGCAAAAACAATTTTATTATTGAATGATTTGATTTTGTCCGTAACAGATCTGATGATTTTAAAATTTGCTCTTGTGACAAGTATGATTTAAAAGTTTTTTAAGGAAAAATGTGAAGGGAGCTCTGGATAAAACAGTTTTGTTTGATTCTGTTAGTATCAAATCTGATGACTTTGAACCTAAACCTAAACTTAATTTGGTTTCAACCATCTACCTCCAAAGTTCTGATAAGAAATTCTCGGTTGCGACACTTTATTCTTTCCCCCGTAAATTTGCGAAGATAATGCATTAGTTTATGAAGGTCAGACTCTCTTCAGGTTCCTGATGAATTTCTGTTTTCTCATAACAAGTTTTCAGAATAAAGTATGAGAATTGTTAGGAGAAATGCTATATGACTAAATTGGTAGATATAGAGATTTCATTGAAATTTGGTAGAGTCGATTCTTATGATGTAAAGCAGTAAAACTGAAATTATCATAAGTTTTAAAAGGAACTGCATGCTGTCCAATTTCATTTGCATGGCATGTAAACTTTCCTGTCACACTGTCCATTTGTAAGCATGGTACATGAGCTGTTCGTCTGATTTTCAAATAGTGCTTTTGATAGCCAATCACCCGCAGGAATTCGGTCTAGTTTTGATTTGAGTTGATAAACATAAAACACAAATTTTTACTTCCTCAGGTCATCCCAAACCTTCAGCAAGGGGCTGTACCTTCCCCAGGATTCCCCCAGATGGCTACAGATGGTCCCCCAGGGGGTTCTAATATGCCTGGAGGAATGCCTCCTTACTTTCCGGTAAGCAGTGTTTTTGGTCTTGTACCTTTTCCTCTTGGAAAAACTCACCTATATAATCCCTGGTTTGCTCCATTCTGCACTCCAACATTTTTCTTTATCTTTTCCTTGCAGTCGTCACAACCACAAGCATCGCCTCATCAGCCTCCATCACACCAGACCCCTCCTGGTTATATGCCTAATCAGGTAATTTTAAGGATGTGTTTTAGCTTTCTGTCTCCTTCAATTCAATTGAAGAAGATTGTCTTGAAGTGTTTATCTTAAAGAAATTTCTTAGTTAGGACCTTTTTGTGATCAGTGTCACATGAAATTACAGCATAGTAGCGTTCACCAAAGTTGTCACATATCAGGGGTTTATCCACAGTGTAAAATGTTATAACCATCTTGTACTTAACTGGCTTTTACTCCCAAGATTTCATTAGTAATTCTCCTTTCTGCCTGCTGTACAATTTGTTTGAAGTTAGTATGGAGAATTTGGAATTGGATCAACCAATAATCCCCTTATTGATGTTTTCCTTTATTCTTATTACTTGTCTGCTTGATATTGTACTGATAGTGTAAGGAGAAATTCTTTCTTGGTCACTAGTGGGACTTGAAGGGTTAAAAAGTAGATTCCATGTGGCAGTCTGTCTGTACAGTAACAGATAACAGAAGATGTCCAAATGTGTTGAGAACCAAAAAGTGGCATGGGAGGTGCAACCCTGTCTGTTACAGCAACATAGATTGTATTTGTTTTTTGTAATAAAAAAGCATAAAAATCATTGATGGTGATATCAGCTATGTGTCTGTCCTCCAGTAGATCATAAGAAAGAACCAATCAAATTGTCAGCTTACTATATGTGTTAAATGTTCGTCTATAACATGTTGTTATGTAGTTGATGTAGAATTTTGCAACATGATGTCAGTTATAACTCTTTGTTTGTATCTTTTATAGCCGCCTCAAGGATATATGCCCAATCAGGTATGAAAACTTAACTCTTACACCCAAATTTCATTGCTAATTCTCCACACTGTCAGCCTTACAAGTGCTATACTGTTAGTTCAGAGAATTTGGTAATGGATTAGCAATAATCCCTAAAGAAAAAGGCAAAGTTTTTCTTAACTCAGAATGATTCTCTGAGCAAATTTAGTCACCATTTTTTTTCCTCCACACACCATGGTGACCAAAACTGAAGCACCTTGAATAGCTGACAAGGTGATCAAAAGCCAATCAATTCAGAGAACTTCTTTATTTACTGGGTACATATATTCCTGCTTAATGTTTAGATCAGCAATGTTTGAAGTGTACTGAACAGAATCTTTCTTTCTTGTTGCATCTGACCTTGCCATGTACTTTTTCTCTGCAGACACCATATGGTATGTCAAGATATAACCCAGCAGCGAACAGACCTCCGAATGTAAGGATTCCAGGCCAGGTAATTTTTTTCTCTGAGCAACCCAATATTGAAAGAGTTGTGCACCCACTTTGTCAATGGTGTTGGAACGTAAGTGCAGTTAAAGCAGGGACAGGTAAGGTGGCAATCTCCTTACCAGCAAGGAGGTGACCTTCACAACCAGGCTACAGCCCAATCTAATGGCGTTGCAGTATTTCATTGGGGGAAGGGGGAGGGAGTGAGGCAGTAGAACTCCTGGACACTGTTTCAGAGGGAGGATAATGCTATCCAATAGAGAAATCACTTTTCAGCGGATAAGTGTTCAAAAACATTTAGTGATATTCACTAGTTAGATATTTTTTCAAGTGGATAGCAATATCCACCCTTCAAACAACCAGGATCAGCTTGCTTTATGTTACTGAAAACCAGGATGAGTTGCAGTGGAAATGTCCAGGGCTGATAATCTCAAAGTCATCATGTAAGGGGCTATTGGGAATTTTTAATGCAGTATTTAAACATGTAGTGGATTTATTTCAAAACCAGCTGATGTCTGTTTTTGTTTTGTGAAACCTTGAAGCCTCCAGGAGGCGTGGCAGGTGTGCCAGGAGCGCAGCCGTTGTTACCAAGTACTATGGACCCTACACGGCAGCCAGGCGGATATCAAGGTAATGATAATCATATTTTGAAAATGTTATTTTGAGAAATAGTAATCTCTGAAAAACTGCCGATAAACTGTATATAAACTCTTTTGTTTGTATTTTTGAAACTTTTTTTAGCTGTTGGCCACCATTGTTCTTTTGTCCCATTGCATGAGTAAATTGTTCATTCCTGATAAGTGTATTGGACATTCTCACTTCCTTTACTAATTCCTTTGAAATTGTATTTTTAGTAATTGGTGACCCCGCCTATTTTTTTTGGTTCTCTCCATTATTCCTTTACAGTGTATTTCCTCCTTAGGAAATGATTGCATTTCAATCCTCTCACTCCCTTTCCTACATGTGTACGAAGACTTTTTCCCCTCAGTTGTGGGCAACCACTCCCTAATTTTTGGTATTCATTATTTTATTCCATGGCATGATTTAACTTTTCCTCCTTAGAGAGAGTTTTTTTCTTCTTCCCTTACATTTTCTGGTATCTCCCTCATGAATTTGTGCAAGCCTTTTTGTCTTGGGTGCTTTTAACCATCTAAACCCTAGGAGTGACCAGCTTGTAATTTCTCCTTACAGTAATAAATCTGAATTGTTCAGTAGATCATGTGAATGTAAAGAAAATGAAAGCCAATGTAAGGGGCTTTGATTGTTAAACAAATTCTCCTTGTCAGTATCTAAGGAAATTAACAGAGAAGGGTGTAGAGAAATGCATATTGATCTTAAGGTGAAAAACGGTTTACTTTGTTTTGCCCTGGAAGGATACTTTGACACCAACTTCACTTTGTTGTGTTTTGTTGACTTCCACAGGGCAACCAATGCAAATGAGCAGAATGAACCATCCTCGAGTTCCTGTTCCACCGGTGAGGAAACAATATATTTTAGCATCTTGCCATTCTTGTAAAAATACAGGGTATTGTTTGGCATGAAATTGTTAGTGGGTCTTGTATTTGTGGTTTGGTGAATGGTACCCAGTTTTGCAGAAAGAAGGTGAAAAACTCTGCCAATCATGTCAACTTATTTGTTACAATTTTCAAAAACTCCTCGTCTCTGCAGTCATCTTAACTTTTAAAATGTTCCCTCTGCAAAACACATAAAATATGGCAATTTCCAAATTATAACTTGTGCGCACTCCATGCTACATAGCAGTTAGCACTCTCAATGTATATAGTGTTTGGCTATTTCTCATTAATTGTATTAGTAAATAGTAAGTAAATGTACCTAAATCTAACCAACCAATCTTGTTATCTTACTTTCAGAACTATGGTGGGATGAGACCCCCACCAAACAGCTCAGTAGCGCCAGGCGTCAACATGCCCATGTAAGTTGTTAAATCTTTGAAGCTTGGAAAAAAATCTCTTGGGGTGCTGTTCATTACAGCCTGTACATGTAAATATGATATACTGTGAACAGATTCCAACATGGGTAACAAAGAACCCACTCAAGTTTGCCTTACCTCCAATATGTGGCTGATTAGCTCATAGAGTAGTTGTGCTACTTTTAGATTCTAATAGGCTAATTTTCAAAAATGATCCTTGTATTTGTGCAAACTTCCTTTTCTGTGATTTCTTTAATGGCAGTTCACCTGTCCTAAACTCATTATCTAAGATTCTGATCAGATGATCAAATTTAGATGGAGTTAAAAAATTGCTCAATTTTACAGAACAAATAACAGTTTTCAGATCATTGAGAAGTGTTTTATGTGCATTAATTTTTCATAGGCCTGGTAGTAGACCCTGGAATCCTACAACATCGGTATGTATAGCTGTAGCAAAGCTTTGAAGATAAATTTAGCGAATGTCACCTGAACCTAATTCACATGAGGTTACACACATTCAGTATCTTAAAAGTGTAGTTGTTGTTGAACAAGTTGAATCAGGACTGCTTATACTGCCCATTCAACCCATAAAATCATTCAGTTTTTTCTTTTTTTGGGGGGGGGGTTGTAAGTCATGTTTAAAGTGAAAATTACAGCTTGTTATTTGATTTGATTCTATTTCTATTTTAAAATGTTACATTACCATACAAACAGTGCAATTAAGAACAACACATTACAACCAGAAACCAGAAATCATAACTTACACACGTACACTTAAACTTGCTTGTGTTACAAGTCATCTACTTGTGGTACAAATCACTTACTTGAGGTACAAGTCACTTACTTGAGATAGAAGTCACTTGTGGTACAAGTCACTTAGCTGAGGTACAAGTTACTTACTTGAGAAACATGTCAATTACTTGAAGTACAAATCAGTTACTTGAAGTACAAGACATTTACTTGTGGTACAAGTCACTTGAGATATGTCACTTGAGATACTAGTCAGTTACTTGAGGTACAAGTCAGTTAGTTGAGGTACAAGTCAGTTAGTTGAGGTACAAGTCACTTACTTGAGATACAAGTTCCCTAGTTGAGATACAAGTTCCTTACATGTGATACAAGTCACTTACTTGAGATACAAGTCACCTATTTGAGGTACAAGTCACCTATTTGAGGTACAAGTCACTTGAGATACAAGTCACTTACTTCTGGTACAAATTACTAACTTTAGAAACAAGTCACTTAGTTGAGATACAGGTCACCTGTTGTACAAGCTACTTACTTTAGATACAAGTCACTCACTTATGGTACAAGTCCCTTACTTGAGATATAAGTCACTTATCTGAGGTACAAGCCACTTACTTGAAGAACTTCTTGTTTCAGGTCTCAGGTCCTCCCGGAACACCAATCATGCCATCTCCTCAAGGTTGGTTTTTAAATCTTTTATATCTTGCAAGTCTGTGTGTGTGCAATGTGTTTAGAACAGAAAAATTGAATAATATACTTGGACAGGAAAACATTAGAAATGTGTTAGTTAATATTTGTTGATGTAGGCCCTTGAAAAAAATGTAATACTGTTCTTTTTCAGACCCATCAAATACTGGCAATGAATCCATGTATGCTATGATGAAATCTGTCCCTGGTGGAAACATGTCAGCAGTGAGTATAAGAAACCCTTAGCTATTAACTGAAGTAACTTGGAATTTAGCACTTGCAGCGTATATATGTATATATATCTTTTTTTTTGTCTCAAATACCAACCACCAAGTAAGCAATGTCTTAGAGTTTCTTTTCTTGACAGCCCAACAGAGAATTAACCAATGATTTATTTACCTTTTTCACAGTACATGGGTGGTGGCCCAGAACCCACATTACCCCTAGGGGGCCAGGAGCCCCCTCTTGTGATGAATGGTAAGGTTATTTAAAGTACTGTCTGAAAATGTTCAAAGATGCAACTTGGCTTGTTTATTTTATTTCCTGGAATAGATGCCCACACTCTTAAGTGCCCTACTTTATATAAGTGCACCCCTCTGAAATAAGGGCCCCCTCATTCATCACTTTCTTTATGGTAGGGATACATGGAAAACCTGTTTCTATTACCACTTTATTTAAAACTTTTAAAGCTTCAACTGCAGAAGAATTGATGCAAAAGAATAGTGTACATCCTTTTCGATTAAACACCCTCCTTCTATCCAAAAATTTCAATAAGCTCACGAGCACTTACTTGAGGAAATCTGGTATTTTTTACCTTTTCTGTTCAGAATAACAGGTGCCGATTTTCTCATTGACCAAGTTTCTTGACAAAGTATATATTCAACTTGAGGAAATTAATTGTAAAACATTGTCTTGAAAAAGAGAACTAGAAATTAGCTCTATGAGGATTCCCCAAATGTAAAAGATCACAAAGATTTAGCTTTGCATGATACAGAATTAATTAAAAAGGACATTTAAAAATATGCTTAAGTATATAAAATCATTTAAAATAGTGTTGCATACTCGCAAAACTGCCGTTTGATAACTTTTCCTTGATGCTAGGAATATCTAGTCATCACCTTTTCTATTTTAATGCTTCAAAGTTCAATTTGCTGTAAAAATGATGAAATAGGGATCTCGGTAAAGTCATTGCTAACATTAAGTCCCATGCAAGTATTGAATAGAATTTTGATAATTTCTGTAACAGATTCAAACCCTGATATGGACGGTCTCCCAAAGGTAACATCAGTACTTTTAGTGTCTAAGAGTTAAGGTATATTTATGTAGTAAGAAAGTGGAAGGAGAGGCCTGGGTTTTAGTCAGGCGACTGTGCTGCGTGTATGTTGCAGTAAGGAGATACTTTAAAAGGATAAACGTACAATTTCTAGTTAGGTGTAGTAATAAATAATGTTTGTAAGTTGTTTACCAAAAGCCAGAAAGTTAAACAATAGGACCTTGTCAGATAAAGCTGATATGACTGGCCGGGTATGCTCATGCAATGACATTATAAATTTGGCAGATGAAAGGACATTGAGGGGGGTTGTAGTTTTATCAGATGTGTCTAGCACTGTCAATTTGAAGAGTTCCTCTTCCAAAACTTGCTCTGTTGGAAGATAAATTCTACCAGCTCTTAAGAGACATAATCTTGTCTTTCACTGAAATTACTCGCAAGTCATCAGCCATGAAAGATCATTCTGCCGCATCCTCTCCCTACCCCTCCCCTAATGATTTTTACTTTTGTCTCTTGTGTTTCTGCATCATTTGCAGGATAACCAGAATGACCACAACCCCGGTACCCCTGGGGAAGGCGATAACCAGTTTAGCAATTTACTGCCTTTTTCACAAGACAATGTAAGTGACATGTTGTTTCTCGTTCTCTATTTTTGCAATTTGAAAAAAATTAGTTAATAGTTTTCTTGCGACACTTCCAAAGGTGGCTTTTTGTTTTTTCTGGTTTTGCTTGCAAATACCAAGAATAACAAAGAATAACGTCATCAAAAAGTGATCAAAAACAAGTTTGTTAACATGTCCATTTATCCGCAACCGGGGACCTTTCAAGAGACTTGAAGCAACCTGATTAACTTTGCAAACGAAATTCCAGATCTTCACTGTTTTTTTTCTTCTTTCCTATATGGAGAAGATGACTTGTGTAGGAAGCTACCTCTCTTCGGTTCCCTTTGCTTTCATTGCTGCTCTCAATCCTCTGGAAGGTCAAATTTCTAGCAAATTATTTTCATTTGTGTGAACAACCATTCTTGTGGTAATTCGTTGGGTTAATTTCTTCAGCTTCTTTTGGTAATCTGGACTTGAATATATAAAATGGTGTATAAAGTTTTCAAGAATCAAGATCGATTGTGAGAAATTATTTTAAGATGCTGAAGACTTGAATTTGATTGAAAACATTTATAGGGCATTACTTGAAATATATGATTAATGTGAGTGTTGAGTGCTTTTTTAAAGCGTAACTTAAAAATTAAAACTTTTCTTTGTCGTAAGAAGCGAGATTAACTAACCACCAAACATAAATTTCATCACATGTGACCATCCGTGAGATAAACCTCGGCAGATGTTTATGAGTTTGCTTAGGCTTCAAATGCAGAATTCTTCGTTCTTTGAGTCAGGTCTTGCCTCATTTTAAGTAAACTAAGAAATCCGTGTACTAATTGCAAAGGACATGTAATGCTGGTAGAAATCAAATTATAAGTTCTAAAACTTGCAAGTTCGATTCTTTGTTTTTAAAAAATGTCAGCTACACTTCTACAAAGGCATCCAGATCTCAAGAGTTGTAAAATTTTGATGGGATCTGTAAACTTATGATAATAACAGTAATAATGATAGTAATAACGATAATGATAATAATACCAGTACTAATACTAATAATAATAGCGATAATGATAATTATAATTATAATAATAGTAATACTGATAATAATAATTATGATAATAATAATAATCGTAATAATAATATCTCAAGAGCGTCAGCCGACTCGCCATGGCGGTTTTGAGTGGGGTTCTTATTTTTAACGTTCTCATCAAATGCAGTAGCTTAAGGAAAATAATATATATTTATTTTGCATCTACTTTGTTCTTTGATATCCTTTTTGACGCTTTTTCTTCATGAACTTTTAAATCTATAGACACGCGTCATATTAAATTGTGTGTGACATAGAGTTTCGGTGGACATGCAAATGAAACTAGAATTTCTGCGCATGCTGAAAGTAAGCGAATGTTGATCGCAGACGCACTTTGCCCAACTGAAAAATGTGAATGTCGTTCTTATCCAGCCATACTCTGTATAACATTCTTTTGTCTTTTTTTTTTTCCTATTCTTATCACTTCTGTAGCTTGCAGAAACAACCATAGGTCATGTGACACCATAACCACTTCGTAAAAAACTTTTCATTCATACGTTCATGCCATTCTTTCACCGTCAAAACGCTCGGTTACTTTACGCATGCCTGGAGAACTCGGCGGATTATCCCGAGTCCCCACTTCTCGTGGTCAGCAGTAGTGATACTGTTGGCCAGACGGGCGGAAAGGAGGCACTAATGAACAAGGTTCCCCGTGAAAGGGTCGATTGTAATACTTTATAATTCTTATTTGTTGCAGACATTTCCAAGTTAGAGTGAACGTTAACAGGCTTTTAAAAAGTGAGTTGAATTATTTTTGCTTAGGAACTGGTAAACTTTGCATAAACAGAACATGATTTGCTAAAGAATGCATGTTTATTGTGGTTAGAGGTACCACGTGACTTATGGTTGACAAAAAAAAAAAAAAGGTCATCGATATATGTAACTTGTTGTTTGTACCCAACTTGCACTTTAGGCGTGGTTTTCGGTTTAGGAAGCAACATGGCTTTAGGCCATACTTCGTCTTGGCACCTGAAGTTTTTCCCAGCCTCATTGTGTGAAAAATTTGGCGTTAACAAGTAATTGGGCGATAGTTATGCAATCGTAGCTTCGGGAGAACTCCTTCGAGAAATACGACGGGAATACACAATTCCCAAAAATACTCCCTATTTGAATTATGAAAGCAAGTCGAGGAGTGATTCGATGAAGTTCCGACTAATCTCCGACAAATTCTGAGTTGGTTTTTCCATCGGGAATAAGAGCGCAGAGCGTAGAAATTTGTTTGAAAGTCTAACGCTTAAAACGTTTGGTCTCGCATTTTCTTCTGTGGAGTTTGTTTGTTTGTTTGTTTTTTTGTTTGTTTCACTCTTTAAGAAGTGAGAATACCTCGGTCGTTACGTGCTGAAGATTTTTTTAGATTGGTTCTCAAAGATCGGAGACTCTTCGGGTGCAGTCTTGCGCGCTATGCTCGCTGGTGCAGCTGCGTGCATTCACGTGATCACGTTTGCACACGTTTGTTACAGTAATTCACCTAAAGGATGATAGATTGCAAGAAGTTTTTTTTGTTGTTGTTTTGTTTTGTTTTGTTTTTTTAGTTTAGATGCGTGCATACAAAATGTTTAACTTTCCCAAGTTTTGAAAAATGCTACGCATGTAGACAACTAGTCTGATCTCATTTTATTTGACGAACAGTTGATAATGGACCTTGTAATTTCTTTCCAGGATCACTGCGAATCTGTAGCGATATTAAAGATCAAAGAAACCATGCAAGAGGAAGCCAGAAGATTTGAAACGACTGACGGAACAACAGATCATCAGGGAGACTACTTCATGCAATAATGGTCAGACAATTACTGTCTTTGTATATTTCGTCTGTCATAATCAAAGGATTTGTAGCAAACAGCAGTTCTTCCTCAGCGGAGGTATGGACTCCAGTGTTAGGAACGAATCTAATAGTTGGAGAAACCTCCCGTGTACGAACAACCCGTTTTTCTTGCGCTCTGCGGTTCAACGCGGTGAAGTATGCGTGAAACTTCAGGGCTTGAGGCAAAAGGGGCCATAAATAGCCTGAGTTAACAACTGTCTGTGTTTTCATGCCCTTTCCTTTCTCGCAAATGAGTAGAAATATTCGGCGAAAAAAAAGTTTATTTCTAATGACGTAGTTTAAGTTAACTTCTAACGTTTTTGCCGATTGGCTTAAGTGCAGATTTATTTGCTTTTGGCGCGCGCACACGCGTAGCTTAAGATCATGATCAAGTAACATCGAACTTTTGATGGATGTTGAGAGGAGATAACGTGGAGGAAATAAAGATAGGCGCTTGTTAACTCAGACTAAACCTAGAATAGATTGTCTTTAAATAAGGTTATATTATATAGAAAGGGAAATATGTTTGTATAGTTCTTTTTCCTTACGTTGTGTGTAAGATACTTGGATATTTCTTGGGACATCTTTAACTCTAATATCACAATTTTACCCGGCTATTTGTGAGTGATGTTTTGAACGGCTTCCACCCTCTTTTAACTCGGAGTTTTTTCACTTAAGGTATACTTTTCACCCAAGCGGGCGGGATTCAACAAAATAACGTCTTTGCATTGCTTTTAAATAATGTTCACTGCAGATAGTTGAGCTATTTGGCGCAGATTTTGGGATGAATCGGGCGATTATGAAAGAATTTCCGTTCCCTGAAAAAAAAAGCATTGTTACCAACAGCATTTGACTGTTAAGAACAGAAGCAAACATTTTGTTTCACGGAGTAATGCCAACCAACTTCGTTCTCAGGTTCTCTCGCCAAGCAAGGAAGAGAGACCATGGGAACTAAGTTAATCACGCTCGACCTTTGAATTTTAAGGGAAAAAATACGCACTTTTTCCTTGAGATCTATACAATGTGCTCTTCGGCTTTAGGAAAGACACTGCGCATCTGAGTGATGTATCTTTTTCTCCCGTAAGTTGAATCTCAAATAAGGAAGAATTCTGTCGTCCGAACAAAAACGCGTGTAAATTCGCCAATATCCGCTCAAGAAATACGAATACTCGTATTACCATTGACATTATCATATCATCATTTACTCAGCTGCTTTTGGACTTAATATTTTTTGCCTGGACGTGTTCTCTCAAGGAGAAGCCGTCTTAAACCATTATTTAACACACAAGAAGTTTCCAGAATCGCTACTAAATTAGAAGTTTTGCAACTTCGCTGTCTTTTTTTAAAATTCACTTTGACGGATCAAATCCGGTCTACAAGGTATGAAAATAATTCCAATGACACTGGTTCACGAGGAACTCTGATTGAGCGTGACTTTTTGCCGCTCGTGCAAGATGAGACCACGAGGTAACCGTTGCTTTCTTTCAAAGTGGCAGTCAAATATAGGTGCGACTTATTAATTCCGACTCGGGTTTGTTTCCTGGGGCTTCAACTGCAATTTGAAAACAAAGACTCGTCGTTTTAACTTTGAAATGCCTGAAGCTCTTTAGAATTCATGACTGCGCTTTGAAAAGGAAGCTTTGGCTGCTTCTCGCGTAGCTTGGATCGCATTTATGCCAATTCCGCCTCAGGAGTGCCTTGGCTTTTTTGTAAGGGATATAGTTGAGATCACTGTCAGTATTTGAGTAACTGGGAACCTACCCTGCGCACCTACCCCTCCCCTAACGCAGTTAAAGTTGACTGATAGCAATTTAGGGTTAATGTTGGGTTAGGGGAGGGGTGGGGGAGCAGTTGCACAGATACTGACAACGATCCTGTAGTTGCTCATATTTAAGCTGTACTTGGGTAGAATGTAGCAGTTTGTGAAACAGACTCTAGCTTACTAGTGCCAGAACCTAGCTAGTCCATTTTTATTCATTTTAAGATATATTTAAACATTTCATAACGCGATGCGGCATCAAGAGCGACACTTTGTTGGCGTCACGCAAGGCTACCTAGGTTGCGTGACATTCGTTTTGCTGGAATGAGTTCTAGTGACTTAGCTTTTCTCTTAGCGGTTAAGGAAATTGAAGAATCATGCACGCTTCATTTTCGCCCAACAAACATTTAGTAACTAGTTAATTTAAAATTTTCTTTGGAAAAAAAACGTTTTGGGGGGTTTTCAATTGAGCTACAACCGTGATTGATACTAATGAAAACGCAAGAAAAAGGATTTGATTGATACACGATAATTTGAAAGGATCGAATTTGAAGAACCAACAAATTTAGCTTCTGTAGTAGTATTCATATATATATATATATATATATTATAAATATTTAGGAGCCGTCGTAAGCCTTCTGACTCTTGAATGCCCTGATAAATATCTGTATAAATGACCTATGCCCTATAACTAATGTTTCTGATTAAGTACGCTCATACAGTTTGTGATCATGTTGATATTAAAGAAATGGACATTTAATTTTAGAAGGATTTTAGAGACAAAAGATTTCCCTTCCTGAATTGGCTGACAGAGCATGCACACACCGTTTTAAAAAAAAAACAAGTTACTTGAATTCCCATGAACGCGAAACGGCCAGGTTAGTTGTCATTCAAAGGTGACAATTTTTATGTCTGTAATTTGATATTTGTCATGCAACGAGTTATAAGTGTGTTTATTACAATTAGAAGAGCTTCAGAAATACCCCTTGAGAGCTCCTTCCCACTCGTAATTTATCTGGCCCCGGTCTTTCGAAGGTGGGAGATAACGAAATATGTCTCTTTAACATGCGTTGGATTGCACTATCTGCCCCGTGAGGTAGCAAGGTTTATAGTAGCCTGTTCCCAAGCGCTCAGTTTGTGAAACGGAGCGAATATCTGAGGAACACGGAAATGGTTGCGAAGTGTAAACGAGGAAAGTTTCGGTTAGTTCGCGTTGAGAACGTGTTCATTACACGACCAGATCTAACCCCCCCTCGTTGTCCCCCACTCTGCTACTATGGAGCCGTTTACTCTTGCGCTTCGTATTGCTGACTGAGCGCTTTGAGAAAGATTGGCTCTCGGACATATCGCTTCATTCTCGGACTGCGTAGCGTGGTTCTCTCTTTGCCCTCCGTACAGGATTGGACCTAGGTGGTGCTAGTTTTATCCTTGCGGTAACATCATTGAATGAAACATTAAGGGAATGAGATGAAGAAAAATGAAATGATTGTAGACTTAAAAAGATCGTGATTTCAAAGCAATTTTTCTTGTTAAGACCATAGGAGATGTGTAGAGACTAAGCATGAACATATGTGAACTGTGCGTAGGGTTGAAGATGCGTAAGGGAGATTTCTGGGGATTGTTTTGGCTCTAGTACTTGTAAAGGTTTGACTGTTTCAGATTTCCTCGATCGTCGCTAATTCACCTACTCCTCTCTGCCATATAATGTTCCAATTTATTAAATTTGGCCCAGTCTACAGGGGAACTAGCTCGGTCAAAGCTAGTCTCTACTAACACTTGAATAAAGGGGGTAAGTTTCTCAAGAAACTGTGGTGCTGCGTCGGTGGGAGAGTATGACAGGTAATTTAGTGTTGAAAACGTAAATTGGTCACCGTTAAGAGTTAAAAAGCTGACGTTTCGAGCGTTAGCCCTTCGTCAGAGCGATTGACACGAGGAGTGAATTACCTTGCTAGACCGCGCATCAAGAGGAATAGCAAAGCTCATGGCTTCGATAGAATTGACTAAGAACAGATATACCCTTTTTGGCGGAGAAAGTAACGGATCTGTTTTCCCAAGCTTTGAAGCCCACAGGAGAGCAATGAGTTCGTTCGTGAACATTTGGGATCCACAACTTAACCCTAGTTTGTTTGCTCATTTACAAAATGCTATTGTTTCCATATTCAGAGTAGATTTTCTTGGCCTCTAATCGGTGGGTGGCTTTGAAACTAGCACACAACAGGCAAGAAATCATGATCTTTCTAAAGCAGCATCAAATACCCTGTAAGAACCTCTTTTGGCACGAGATTTAAAGGCTTGAATATTTAGACAATAGAAATTCTTTAATGAGAATTTTTGGTCGATGACCTATCCTTTGTTTCCCAACTCACTATAAAAATTCCACTGTTTCAATATTCAGAGGAAATTTCCACTGCACGTCAAGACGACTGATGATCGCCCTTCCAATGCGCCATTAAATGCCCTTAAAAACCTCTTTTTGGGAGACATAAAAAGACAAGAATGGCGAAACAACAGAAATTCGTCAATGGGCTTTTGAGTTTGATAATTAACAAAATTCTTTTTTGATACTCATAAGGGATTTTCTCTGCCCACTCAGGAGCTGTGCCTTTTGAAAGTTTCATTCTTGTTTTTCCACACGTTTCGCCACGAAGCTGGCAAAGGAAGAATTCCTACCCTCATTAGAATTTATCATGAAAAAAGGCAGACAAATTCATACTTTATTTTATTTATTATCGGCACCCTATTGATTACTTATTGGTATACTTGAAAACTTGCAAAAAAAAAACCCAAAAACATAACGAAAAAAAAAAGAGATAGAGAGAAACTAACACTTGAACAGAAATGTAAGTTACGAAGAGCGCAAAATAAATCTACAACTCAAGTGTTATCAAATACATAATTCTCTTAAGGTATTTTTACTCTTTATAAAAGAGAAACATTGCTGCAACTATTTAAAACTGATATAAAGAACTGCCACTTGAAGGGGAAAAAATGCAACAAAACTTTTTAATGTTTTAATCTCACGAGGTTATTGAGCAATTTCTTTCCTAGTAATCAATAAAAAAAATTAAATGTGCGATAGCCTTAAAATCAGTCCTTAGTAACGGTCCGTTTCACTTCCTGGTAACTTGGTCAAATTCCCTTGAGAATGGGTGCTCACTACTGACAGCTACTGCAGTTGCACTCTGTTTCCTCTTCCAGATTTTCCCTGAAGTACACGACACTTCCGGTCAAATCGAAACTGGGTTTTCCCAAGTTAGCCGATATTTTCTGTGATTCCTTAGTTCCAGTCTCCACGCAAGTCATAGGGAATGATGTCATCCTGGTTTTGGTAGCCTGGCAACCATTATGACAGCGGAGGACTGGGCTAGTAGGGTAGCAATCGTGGCTCTCACCGTTGATGGTTCTGTCAACCTTGAGGTACTCTTTCTTGAGGTTACATCCAGCTGCGAAAAAAAGCGCAGATTGTAGTAAATACCCGCAGACGTTCATTTCCCCTTCTTTTCGGCCCTCATGTCTATAGCTTCTAACGAAGGGAGAAAGCTGCCCTCGTTTGTATTTCCCCGTATTTCCGTGCGTTTTTGAAGTTATATATCTTTTTTCCTATTCTTTCGCAACTGTCAACGTAGAGGTTTAGAACGAGCCGCACCCAATACACACAGAGACTGTAAGATGTTGTTTGTGTACATACCTTTGCAAGTATCCATGGTCACCATCCACATACGACCATACATCAGATTATCAGAGTCGGTGAATACTTTGCCTTGTGGGGTTTTCAGGTCACGGAACTGTTCTGCATTACAGTCACCACACATGCCACAAGTACGGTCGAAATAGTATCGCGATACACGGATATTAATCTGTTCAGAAGAAAATCAGGAAGAAAATTGAGTAGAATTTAACACTTAGCAGGGTATAAAACACGCGCATCTCAACTCACGTGTGCTGGAAATTGCGCGTGTCTCGTGCATGAAGTGAACTGCGAATGACTGACCTCGCACGGGAAAAAAGATGCACGTGAACTCGTGAGGAAAGGTGCGCGCTTCTACTCTCTAGCGCATGAGGAAAACAGATGTGCGCGTTTTATTTGGCGTATGAATAAAATGGCATGTGTCTAATCTCGAACGATCTAAAACGCGCCTGTACTATATTACGCGTGAAGCACGATTTCATAGCCTTCATCAGGCGTGAGGGGGCGTGTATATATCGCTCACACAAATTCCCACGTGATTTCGCGCATGAAAGTCTGGGGAGAAGACGTGGGGAAGACGCCCGCAGCAGGCGCTTCATTCTCTCACGCTACAAGAAAGGCAATGTTCAGGTTTCTTCGCGCAGCTGCTTTAGCATGTTAATTTAACACATACTTTGCTTCCACGCACGATCTCTACTTGAAGACCAATATCGCACAAAACATGAAGTTTGTCGCTTGCTGGTTCTTCGATTATGGTGGCGATGTTCTTGTGGCGGATCGGCCGATTTAGTTGGATTTTTCCGTTGACCTGCAGATCAAAACGAATTGCAAAAGGAATCAGATTGATGAAAAATATATGGCTGATTGTGTGGTCTGATCGTCCATGTAAGGGTGACTCTGAAGATAGCGGCTGTTGATAACAGTCACCGAGGTTTTGAGAAGTTGCTTCTCAGTGAAGTGTTATAATTCTGATTCGTGAAAACAGATTGGCCGCATTGCCAGGATGGAACCGACTGTAAGAATCACGTAAACTAAGTCATAAGGGATTGGCTAGTTTTGATCAGCTACTAAAGTAAGGTCGTTCTGTTCGTGATGGAATTCTTTAGTCGGCATGATAAGTCGATTGTTGAGTGCCGATGGTTGATGAAAACAGGGAAAATTGGTGACAGTCGACATGAATTAAGATCGAGGGTAAAGGTGCAGAAGAGTCGAAGAAAGGATGTCTGGAAAAAATGAGGCAAAAATAAGGAAACCAAAAGAAATTAGAGAAAATATAAATGCGTACCTGAATCTGATATCCTGCGCTTCCCAAATGTGCTATTCGTATCTTTTCCTGCTCCACTAATATTTCAATGATCTTCTTATCAGGATGTCGAGTGTCTTTGGACATGAGTACTATGAAGGAGTTGTTCTTTGTGCAGTCTTTGGCCAGCACGTGCATGCACCTGTCTGGTAACGTATGTTGGATCTCGACGTCATCAAAGGTTTTCAAAGTGTCCTGCTCCACGGTGCAAACCGCTGAAAATGAACAAAATGTGAGTCATGCATATGATCAAAGTGATGGCTTGTTCCAGGTTACATGGCATGAAAGGAAACCACCACTGTGGGAACAGTCTCCGTTAATTTTTTCAAAGTTTTCATTAATATGAATATATTCTTTATAACTCCACTCACGTGTAGACACATGCATAAATGTGTTGTAGTAATTGGATCCCCGAGGAAGAAAACCTTGGCTCTTGAACTCGACGTCTTCCATTGTCATCACATGAGAAGGTGTGTTGAGTTGAAGATCAACAAGTTGGTCAGTTTGAAATTTCACAACAAATTCGACTTTGTTCGGCTCGTTCCTAGCAAATTCCCAATCGCTGAGCCTGCAAGGAAACAGAAAACGTTACCAGTGAACTTCTCAATGCTCTTTCAGTGTCGTTTCATAATAAATCCTCTTCCAACCAAAACGATTCAAATGTGAAAGGGATCTCAGTCATTATTTCAGCGAGATACCGATACAAAGGATAGACTAATGCCCAGCGATATAGCATCATTTCTGCCGTTATGCTGACAAAAAGGACGTTTTGGGTCGATGACGTTTAAAATTGCGTGATTTTTCCACAAATCATATACCTTTCAAGTTTTTTTGCGAGTCTTTCTTTAAAAACCGTTGCTTCCGCTAAATTAAAGTGTACCGTGAACCGATGAAAGACGCACGTGATTAGCGCCGGTACAGACATGAATGGGGTAAGTTTGGTTCATCACATCTCTTTAAAAATCGCGGTGACCTATCTTTTCAATTACATTTTTCGAAGCAGACATTGGTAGAAAATATTTGAGGAAAATTTTAAAAAGAAATGTTGGATAAAATTTTTTTTTCCCGAGGAATCACCTAAAATATAGAGGGTAGTTTTCTTCGTAACTCAAATAGGGAAAGCCATAGACAGAAGATTAAACCACCCTTACCTGTGATAATAGCGCTGAGAAAACTTTTTCAGAAGTTTGTAGCACATCATTAGCACTGGTTCTGGCAGTTTGTTGTAAGAAGTCACGATGTTCAGTTGTCTGCGGCTTGGTTCTTTGATGGAGATACGGGTCTAACGAGAAATTATCATTACGAAATTTATAAATTTGGCGATCGTTTATGCGAAAGGTTGGGGTGATGTTGCAAAAGTATATCGATAAGTATCCAGTGCCTCAGGTATCAGTCCTTCTTTGTCCCCTTGGAGAGGGGGGACGGAGTGTGGAGGATTTTGGGGGAGATCACATGGGTTTTAGGAGGAGCAGAGGGGGTATCAGTCAATTTACTACCGATGAAGGGAAGGGGGGTCATACAGAGCCTGGGTAGGGGGGGGGGGGGGGATCAGGTCAATTCTATCGTGACACAGCCAATGTTCTCCAAACTCTTTTCCCCCTCCCCTCCCTCCGACAAATGATGACCAGTCCTCTTGATTTTACGGACTTGAAATGTTCAAAATAATAAAAGAAAAATTGGTTCCAAAAAAAAAAACTCGTCAAGAGAAATGACGCTTCGTCAGAAGTCGTTTTCCTGTGAAATATTTAATGCTGAGTGAGTAGTAATTTTCAGTTGAGTGCTTAGCACGGCTATTTTCCATCCGCGGCCCCAACCGACACGCATGCGCAATCACAGCGAGGGAATATCACCTAGTATTCTCTTGCATCACAGCAACTTTTCATCCTCACCCCACCCTACACCCATGCTTACCTGCACTTCATAATCATTGAGGCAATTTTCACCAAATCTCAAGTCGAACTCCACTTCATCATTACTGGTCACTTGGTTGACAATGCAAACTTTCCTCAGCCATGGGTACATGTTATGGATATCGACGGTGACGTCAGTCCTCTGATTGTCGACGTCATAACTGACGTCAGCCTCAATTTTTTTCTCAGGGTTTGTGCCTTGAAGGTAAATTCCGGCCTTCCATGTCTTTAGGTGTTCATTGAATCTGTCTCCTTTGCCAAACTACAATAAATTAAGTCAAATATGAGATCAGTGAAAATGAAGTATAAAAAGCGCCCAATTACTGCTCCAAAAATATCTGTACCTATCATAATTTAAGAGCCTCTTCAAATTATCAAAAGAATGAGGTCGCTTCGAACCTACAGAGGAGTTACTTCTAGATCTTACTTCTAATCTTTTCAGATCTTACTTCTAGATCTTAGGACGGTGGATTTTTGAGCTTCACAAGTTGCTAAATGATGCTTAATAGACGTAAATGTTCGTCACAACGCCCCATAGACGGTTTATGATTGGGAAAACGTATCTTTTATTCAAGGAATTAAATGATCGACCAAAACGTATGATCACTCCAAGGACGGTAAAACTAAAGGCAATTAATGATGGTTATAGTGACATTCATTTTGAAAACCCAAGTGGACCTTGCATTGCATCATTACTCTCCCAAAAGCGGAGCCCCAAACCAAAGAAAATATGAAACTCATAGGGCCGAGTAAGTTTGGTTGTCACGTGATGACTGTAGGTCTGTCTGTACACAAAACAGTATTTCGTAAATATAAAAAGATGCATTGAAGTAATTTTCAATTAAAAAGATTGATGAAGGGTGATGAAAATTAATCACTTAAACTGACAGTTCGACCAAATTAATAACATAAGGTTAAAAAGACAATGTTGTTAATGATGATCTTTTGCTACCTTAAGCTGGATTTTCTGAGCTGGATCTCTGCTTGGTTGGACGAAGATGTTGAGCCTGGCTGGACCGCTGAACGGGAAAGCAGGAGGGTGGGGAATGTGTGGCATTATGTATCTGCCACTCAAGCACACATCAAAACCAAGCATTTGTTTGCCATAGCACAGTTCCTGCGGGAACATGTAAAAAAAATTCAGACACTTACTTGCTTTAAACGAATGCTGCTGTTGTTCCTATTTTCTAAGTCAAATGAAGTCTCTTTTGAATTTGTTCATATCGCCGCGGGATACTTTTAGCTATAGTTTTTTACGGGGATGTTCTATTCAAGAAAAGTTATCCTATCAGGCATATACAAATGAAAACTAGCTGCTCTTTCTTATTTAAAATAGTGCTAAATGTTACACAAGAAAGGAGCGAGATGCCGCAAACATTCCCACTTGATATCAGCTTTTGTCTAAGGCGGTTTGGAAAAATGGAGTATATATATTTCCTATGACACTTACGCTCGAGTTTGTGTGATGCCTCTTTACAGAGAGCACAGATTCTTTGGTTTGGCTCGGCCTCAAACAAAGCTTGCTTCCCACAGGTGTAACAAAAACGATTTTCATATGACGCGGATGCAGTCCGTCACTCTTCTCAGCATTATGCGAAGGCGAATTCAAGGGCAAGTCACTGATATAGCGCCATTTCTCCTCATATCCCTTCTGTGGCTCAATATCTTCGATCATGTGTTGGAATAACGTGACTTGATCCGTGTTCATAGGGACGGTTGCGCGGGTCCATTCCACAGGGTTCTTGGATGCATCTTTGTGAATATACACAACTGTCGCGAGGCGAACATGACGGCGACCATTCACGAATGTGATCTTGAAGAGCTTGGGGTAGCGATTATCATGCACAGTCTCTAAACACCCTTGGGAATTTGGCCTCACCTAATAAAAAAAAATGCACGATAGATACGAGGTGTTATAGTTATGCAGTCCAGCTATGCATGTCAACGCATAGGCTCTATCTATGAACTCGATTCAAGCAGCCTGGTGCAGCACCACGAAGTGTCACACCGCGTGACGTGCCGTAATGCAATCCGCCACAAGGTAACGCAAATAGAAGTTAACTAACACTTGAGGCACTTAACATGATAGTCTATTATAAATACAAAATACAACATGACCAAGCATGAACGCAGTGCTGCGCGGTTTAACCAAACCCATTAATAGGCAACGTGACTGCACGCAACGTGCGTGACGAGATGTAAAGCAATATAAACCTGGAGAACATCGGACCCGCTAACGTAGCTAAGGAATTAAATTACTTGTTTGTTTGCAATAAATTATGAGTTTTAAAAATACCTTAACGAATCCCTTTCCGGTGACAAAAAGTTTCACAAATTGATGATTTCCGTCGATAAAGTAGACTTTGAAGACAGTAGGTAGCTCGCTTAAGACGAGTTCATTGTGCTCATTCACAGACAGGTATTTTCCATTGCCTGCCTTCAGAGTCCAGTTGGCATAGCGATGATGATGATGTCCCCTGGCAATCTTTTGTGTTTTAAAGAAAAACAGTCAACAGTTGGAAAGCTACACACAAATAACATTCTTTACCTCTCCTCTACCAAACCTTTTTGTTTCAAAGAAATTCACAGTTGGAAAGCTACACAGAAAGTAACATAGTTGCATAAAACCCTAAAAAACCGAAAGGGACGTCTAAAAAAGCGCTGCGAGCCAGTACCCCCGTTCCCTTCTCCACCATCGCCGCCAACCATTTTTTGAGATCTTGACACAAACACGTAGAGGTAAAATCTTGGCAATAATATTAAGGACACCAGTAAGGAAAGCTAAATGTAACGTTCTATAGACGCGTTATCTCAACTATTCATTCGTTTGCCCACTAAAATGTTAATTTTCAGCTTTTGAATCTTCTCAGTCGCTGTTATCATTTTTCTAGGAAGGGGTACCGTTTGTACGGCATATTTGAAGATTGTTACAAGAGCAATACCAGAACCATTTAGTAACGTTCCCGAGGTAGCTAGAAGAAAAGGTCTCAAGACCTTTTGGCCAACACTGGAGGTTAAAGGGATCCAAATGTTAGGAGGGTCAGATTTTTTATTTTATTTCATATCACATTTTTTAGAGCGACATACACTGCCCTCAGTTGCATACCTCAGTAACTTCTCCGATTTCAAATCCGTCCAGCTCTGTGCTCCTGTAGACTGAAGACCAATTCTTGGAACCTGTGACAGGTTTCCTGTACATCAGCCAAGTGTTGCTCGCCTTGCTGTAACCAAAAACAATGATTAAGGTGAAAGTTTTTTCCTGACAACGAGAAACAAAATTGATATCCTTAATAACAGGACACCATTTAACATCCGTAGGATTGAAAAATGAGAAGAAATAACAAAATGGAATTTATTATCAAGACAATTCTGAAAGATTTGGAAGGAAAGTTGAAACAAGTTGAAGATTAGGGGATGTCTTTGCATTTTGCAAAGGTATTCAATTAAGGTACATCTGGTGATTAAATCAAATTCGACTCAGTCTTGATTGAAAGCGCTTTAAAATGGGTGGTGGGACTCAGAAATATAGAGGCACACAGAACCTAGTTTAACCCAAAGCACTTGCCATACGGTAAACTTGAATCTCTAGATGTAATAGAAAGCAACTTTCGGCTAAGCGGTGACAGCAGCAGGTATAAACAACAACAATCTTATCCCTGAACTTGAGTTTCATCAATCTTCCCTCCTAACGATTCAGTTGTGCGAAAAAAATAAAAAGGGGGGGGTTGGGGAAAAGGAATATACCATTTTCGAGAAAAGGTTCTAAGTAAGTGCAAGAGATTATAAACCTTTTTTTAATCTCTTGGTATCTGTCCATAAAAGGCTTATAAATCACTTACCTAGTTGATAAAATCTCCTGTCTCTCTTGCGGCAAGTCCATTTCTGTGGTGTAGCTTTGATTTCTGAGGTTGCACTGGAATTTGCCACCTAATCCAGTGGTGATATTGGTGTGGATCGTTAGCTTGCTACCAGTCTCCAACTGAGGCAGAGATACTTTCATTTTTCCCCACAAAGAATGAAGAACACTAGGAAAAACAGCACGCGAAAAAAGACAAAACAAAATATCGATGAGCAGAGCGATGGCTCATAAAAATCAATTATCTAAAATAACTTTTTCAGTTCAGCATCGAAATTAACGCTCTGGGTTCTTATTTTCATACCTAACGTTCAATTTTCCACTAAGAGTGACTTGATCGGGAAGAGGAATGAAGAATCGGGGTTGAACCTCAGCTTTGACCGTGGTGTTTAAACGCAGGAACAAAACGCTGTCCACAGAGAAATCCAGGGGCAGACCGGCACACGAGGGCTGGCGTATCTTCACTTCAATTGGACGGAGGATTTTGGACATATTCCATTTTTTACCTTTGAAAAAATAAAAAAAATTAGCCATTTGAACTGACATGGAAGCCTCATTTATACCAGCGAACGTCACGCTACATGTGCTTTTTCCATGTAGATGGAAAACATTGACAAATTCTCATCGAAAAGTTCTTCCCACTTTGGATTAAAAAAAAAAGGAAATTTATCTTTAACTCGATTCATTTTTTTCCCAACCTTTCTTCAGCAGGTCCTTCAAATCGTTGCTAACTCTGATGACTCCATCTTCGATTAACTCTTTGACGTCATCATAGGTGAAATAATTATAGAACAGTTCTTTTCCAAAAACTTTGAAGTAGAAGGAACCTTTGGCTTTCTCCTCTTCATGTTCAGCGGTTGGCAGCTGTTTGATAGAAAAGCAGCTCATGATATAGCTGTGCACAACTCGCCTCGGAATATTGAGCCAAGGCTACTATCTCAGGCATAGACTTTGCCATAGATATCTAGATCGTATTCCTTTTTTCTGGTATGTCCTTGTGTCTGTGTAATGTAATTTTAGCTTGGATATTTTGGAGTTAGGTTGCCATAAATTTTAATTCTACCCCGGTATTTTGAAATGTGGTTTACGGTCATGCTTAGGGTAATCCTTAAGCGATATCCCGAGCTTTGGTTGGCTTCTCTGAGTATGTCAGTGTATCATCCATACGGATCTCAGACTTAAAGCCGCAACTCAGGGTAAGGACCTATGTTAAGTGAGTAAATTTTCTCTTTAGTTGGATTGTATATACCCATTAGCTGACTTGTGTCACTGCATCATTATGATTTAATCCTGGATAACCTGGTTCACCAACCTGGTATTGGATTTCCTTGATTTCTTTCCCATTCAGACTCTTGTCTAAGCTTCGTTTCGGTCTGAGCAAGCCAAACAGACTCTTATCTTCGCTGTAGTGTCCCCTTGGTCCCATGACACGTTGGAGCAGCTCTTGGATTCCCTCACCACGGATGCCAGTCTAGAAGGGAACAAAATTCTTTTACCCCATGACTGAAACTTGTTCATGAAGGTTCAAACCTTAACGTCTCTTCTTTAATCGATTCGAATCAATTCAAGGAAATCAGACAACGTGACCTGCATTTCATGAAGCTGGATTCAATTCAGTGCCCAGACTAAAAACAAGAGAGGGACACCAAATACAACTTCGAAGTGGCTTTATCTGCTAGTCAGCGGTCCTTGCAATCGTTCAATTTGTTCAGTGTTTCGTGTTTCCTTCTTTTTGTTTTCCTCTTTTCCTTTTTTTTTCCTTTTTTTTTTAAAGGAACATTTCGCTAGTCCTTTATCACCAGCAAAGCAACATTTCTAGCGATCATTTCACGCAACTCAATCAGATTATGTTACAGAAAGGTCTATTTTAAGTCTTCTTTCACCGGCAAAGCAAGATTTTCAGTGATCCTTTAACTCACCTCGAACAGATTCAGAGATTTTCCAAGCATACCAGTGTGTAGTTTGACTTTAGAGTTGATAGCTCTCGGGATGAAGCTTGATGGCGTGGAAATCATGCGAAGATCAACTGAACTTCCCATCTGGAGAAGATCTTAAAGAAAGAAAATGAACAAGAGAATCAAAAGATGTGTTTGTGCATAGTTAAAAAAAAAGGGGGGGTGTGTGTGCAAGACTGTATGAACGCCCCCTTGGGTTTAACGACATTAGTGTATGCGCAATAATCAAACAAGTCATTGGAATAACGTCCCCCTCCCCTCTCTACGCTTTTATGCAGTTTATGACCTTGTTTTCCCTCCGTGTTTTTATGTTTTGTTTCCGTTTGCTAAGGAGACCTACACCATGGAAGTGTGTTAATAAAAACATTAACTTTTGGGCCATATGGTGAAATAATTTTTATTGTACTAACCGGAGAAGTCGCCAAAGTGGAGCCATTTGGAGTTCACTGGGTTTATCTTGTATCTCTTAAGCGCTCGAAGGGCGATTCGGAGAGCGATTCGTGCGGTTTGAGCCCTGAAATAAGACAAAATAACTAGCCATGACTTTGAATGTAAGCCTTTGTCAGCTAAACAGCGCCTTTTATCAAAGATTAAAAAAAATCGCTTCTTGACCAGGTTTGAGGATACAGATGGTAAATGGAGATCGATCATAGACTGAGCTCCTTCCAAGACAACTTTAAACGTTGAAATGTCGCGCGCTTAGCATGAGGAATTCCTTTTGGATAAAACTGTCACTCTTTGCCTACACAAACAACTTCCAAGCTGAACGCAGCGTTCTTTTCCTGTTATTTTACTAAAGGCAAAGACAAAACCAATTTTGACAAGTGACAAGTCGCTCTTGTTTCGTCGCACTTCAAGTCTGTGTTTTTACATTTTTACTTAGATGTCCCTCTTTTTCGTCATGAAATTTATCTTTATCTTAACTGTGTGCTGGTTTAAGTTTATATTAAAATGCTTGCGAAAAAAGATTTCCATGTTCATCACGAACAGTTTGCCAGAGTTTTGGAATTACACTCTAATTGGTTAGGTTTCTGAAAAAAGGAACGTTACAATTGGACGAACACGATGATTGTCTATGAAACGGGAAAATCAGGTCTCTTGAGCGTAAAAACAAATCTAGCGACAAACCACTTGTGTCGGCAGTTTACCTTATTTGCGAGATTTTCTTAACATCCTGAGCCCAGACCTCGTCAATTAGTGTTCTCTTACCAATAACACGTGTCATATGATTGAATTTTTGTTATTGTAACTTACATTTTTTCGTCACATGGGTATCTGGAGAAAGCCATCCCCTTGATGTAAGACACCACAAAAGATCGCACTTGATTGGTGCGCTCGTAATAGAGCTGCTTGACTACCAAGTTGAACACCGCTGGACCAGGTTTGCAGTCGCAGATGATCACAAAACAAGCCATGCGCAGTTCGGCGTCGTTGTTTGGTTGACGGAAGATCTCTAACAACACTGGCAATACCTTGGGAGGGGAGGGTGAGATTTCAATAAACCAAGAGGGTTCGCAGTTCTCGTCAACCGATACAAGTTGCGCTTCTTAACGCAGTTAGTGAAAAGGTATTTTCCTGACGTTTTTGTTTAATATTTTGTTGGAAAATGATAAAGTACCATCGCTGTCTAATTCACGGATTGATCAACTGACCGACAGAATGACTCGTTATATGACACATTGACTGAATATATATGACAGACTGACTGCATCACTGAAGGACTGGCTGACTAAATACCTGAATGATCGACTACAGCAAAACTCGCAACACATAATTTATTGATTTTTAGATTTCCTGTGGGTCTTAGTAAATGCTAGCGATTATTTCAAGGGACCTTATTTCTTGAGCCTCAATACAGCTCGGGAGAATGGGAAGGAGGCGAGCAGTAACAAATATATCAATAATGCATCACCTGAATTTTAATTTTTCAGGGGGGAAGGGTGGGGGATTGGGTGAATTACCTTTTGTGAAATTTTCGGAGCGATTCTTCGTAGAGCATACACAGCTGTGACGCGTAATTCCAGAGAGTTCCTGTTGTCCTTGATAATTTCCAAAAGAGGTTGGTAAAAATCTCTGTGACCGAAATTACCGATGCCCTTCAAGATGAAGATCTTTTCACGGTAACTGGCGTACTGCAAACGACTCTTAATCTCCTGAAATTACAAAAAATTGCTTACTTGATTCAAACTCAATTACTTTATCGAAATATTATCTTTAATGTTTCTATGTTTAAGGTCGGGCACCAGAAATTCCTTACAGATGACGTCTACGCCCTTTCTGATTGGTTGGTTGAAAAGGGGACTTGAACTCTCGCGCGCAATAATCATCCAATCAAAAACCATTCATGAATATTTCTGAGTGACCAAGGACATTCTACAACGATGACAAAGCATTCCAGACATCCATACCAAGGTCGTTTCGAGGATTTGAAGACTGGCGCGCAACGATCAACCACTCAGAAACAAGTTATCATCACATCAAAAGGAAACTTACAGCCACTTGGTTGGGCAGGCAAGTGACGTCCTTGTCTTTGCAGAAGTCATGCATCAAGGCACCGGCAGTAAGGTAACAGGTTTTCTTCAGAGTCTCGTCTGCTTGGACAACAGAACCAGAACAGAGATCCTTCAAAAAGAAAAAGAAAGATGAAAAAAGCGTTTAAGTTTTCTTTAGAGAGAGGGAGTGAGGGGACCAGGGAGGCAGAAAGTGGGAGCGTTCGCTTCACTTCCCTGTGGCCTGGGTTCGATTCCGAAGTGACACTGAAGCCGAGTTTTTTGGTGGGTCTCGTTCCGCTATGAGGGTTTTTTTTCTTCGGGTACTCGGATTTCTTTACTCCCCAAAATTTAACTCTCCAGATTCCAATTTTCAATGGGTAAAAACCGTGCTCCGTGGAAGAGTTACGACAGCAAGCTGAATTCTAGTTTACCTATACCATTTTTTATTATTTAATTAGTCTTGTATTTCGTGGCACAAACAGCAGGAGCGTAAGCCTTTTTTCTTACCACGACGGTCAAGCACATCTGTTCTGTTGGGTTTGGAGTTAAGGCTAGACCACGAATAAGTGAGACTGCCCTCCCAGAGTCCAGTTCCAATGTCTTGATTTTCTCTGAGATGAGTTCAAAGACCTCCTCCTTGTACACATAAGGCAGAGCTTCCAGCAGCCATTGCCTACAATCCGAAACGGGAAAGCAAATGGAAAGATGTTTAACGCCTATCTTAGACGTTGCAACGTTTCAATCCGACAATGAGTCATTCATTCAAATTCAGTCTGTAAGTCAGCCAGTCTGTAAGTCAGCCAGTCAGTAGGTCAGTTAGCCAACCAGGCGGTCATTAATTCAGTCAATCTGTTGGTCAGTCAGTTAGTAAGTCAGCCAGCTACTCAGTCCGTCAATTACACAGTCAGTTAGTTAGTTAGTCAGTCAGTTGGTTAGTCAGTCATTCAGCCGGTCAGTCCATCAGTTATACAATCAGTCATTAACTCAGTCAATCACACAGTCAGTTTGTTAGTAAGTTAGTCAGTCAGTCAATTAATCAGTCAGTCAGTCAGTCAATCACCCAGTCATTTAGTCAGTCAGTTAATCAGTCTGTCAGCGTGTCAGTCAATCACCTTCTTGATCAGTCTAGTCATTTATGTAGTCGGCTTTTCAGTCAGTCTGTCAGTTCATTTGTTCTTCTGTCTGTTTGTCATTCATTGAACAGTCAGTCACACAGTAAATCAAACAGTCAGTCAGTAAAGTTAGCAATCAACAAGTCCAACAATCATTTATCCCATAACTGATATAATCATAAAATTTTTTTAAAAAGTTGCACCATCGGATGACAAATAAAAAACCATGCTAAAAGATCACACTCGAGATTTCTCTGGACAAACCTGCGTTTCTCGTCATTGTAGCAGTTGTCCCAGATCTTGATAAGAGTTTTTTTGCAGGCCCTGCGTAAGGTTTCCACCAAACGACTGAACTGCCAAGACATCAAATCATTCTCCTCCACGCTCTTGATCAGGTCGTCAATCAATTTTGTCACCTTTCATGATTATGCGGCAAAAACAAAACAAAAAAAAACAACAAAATAGATCAATTCTTCTGTTGTTTAAGAAGTAACGAAAACTAACTTTTATAGACCCTGTGGCCCTTTAAAAGTGTTGGCTTCTACTTTCTCCTTACAATATCACCCCTGAATCATACATTAAGGCTACGAGAATAAAGGAAAGGATTATCAAATAAAGAAACTTTTGATTGTTAAACAAATTCTCTTTGTCAACACCTTAGGAAATATACAGAGAACAGTATGGAGAATATATAGACTGATATTAGGGTGTGAAGGGTAAAGGATTTTTTGAAAAATATTATTTTCTTTGGAACCGCTTATGTTCAACTAAGTTTTTAAACTTTGTTGTCAGAGCAGGTTTTGGTGATGATGTATTGCCTCCCACAACAAGTGTACATGGTTGTGATGTCATACGTAGTGAACTACCGCCGACATCCTGTACTCGAGTTTTCTACATCAATCATAGCGCGCCATTTTTGACACCTAAATTGAAAATTTCTCTCAGAATTCTTGTCCTGTTGGCTTAGCAAACATTGGAAACGCTTAGAACTAACCATGTTTGCAGTCTGGGTACGTTGTTCCTCAGTCTCTGGTTTGTCCTCCCCCTCATCCACAGTCATTTCCAATGTCCTAGCGGTAACACCACTAACGGTATCTGTGAAATAAAAAGTAAATAATTCAGTTTTCTTTTTTTCCAAATTTCAGAACTGTATTTTATCGAATACTTACAGCTTTGCGATTCAGACCTCACTTCCTTGAATTTCAGGTATTGCCTGCAAATAAAGATTATTGATGAAAACGAGAAAATTTCAAATTCATTCTGCAATTTTTAAAAATAAGGTACCAATTACTGCGTTCCTGTTCTGTCCACCCATCAAGGGATTACATCTAAAACAAGCGTCGCGAAGCTCTGAAACTTCTTGTGTAATTTCGGTTATGGCTTCCGGGCAGTACTTCATAAGTTCGTAGCTTATTACTGATGGAGTTTACAACCCACTTTCTTAAAAAAAAGGGAACTTTTTTTTTCACTTTGAATAAGTTAGTTAATGGACGTCGTACTCCAGTGCCTGTTTTATTTCAATATTTTTCTTTGGAAGGCGATTTTGAATACTTTAGAAATGCAGCAGACAGTTTTTATTTATTTTTGTCGCAGAAGATTCACATCTTCAAGATATATGAGAAAAAACACTGTAATATAATTCTACGAAAACAGACGCCTAATCAAGGCTTGTATGGACTGACCAAAAATATTTTGTCAGTTCTCCAAACTTTAAAATCTTCACTGCATTACTTCTTGTCTCTTGACATAATCTGGACCTAACTCTTAGAAATTTGTAACGAGGAAAGTGTAAACTAGAAGCCAAGTCAATAGTTCATTTTAAAGTTATTTCTTTTCACATCTACATACTTGGTCAAAGTTCTGGCATCTCCTTTCATCTGTGTTGGTGCAAAAATGTATCTTCCCATCGTTCTACAATCCTTCACCACAAATTGTTCCTCGGTTCCGAAAAGATCACATGATGCTGACACAGAGATCTGTAGGGGCTGGAAAAGAAAGGAAGACCCGGGTGATGGAATTCAATGATTATTAAAAATAACTATTTGTTTTGGATTTTTTCCTCGTTCATCTTTTGTTTTTGTTTGCTTTTTTCTTTTTCTTTTCGTTTTCTGCTTGTTTTTCTGTATTGCCTTCTCATATTTTTTGTTTACTTGTTAGCTGTATCTTCATGAGGATTTCTTTTGTTTAAAAAGAAAGATTGGCTATATTCTTGTTTAACATCACATCCAAATCATGTTTTGCTTTTTGTTCAGATTTTGTTTTCTTAATTGGTTTGGTTTCTTTTTTCTGTTTGTGATGTTTTTTGTTGTTGCTGTTTTTGATCTGCTTTTCAGTCTTTTTCAGTTTCCATTTTTTGTTGTTTTCTTTTTGGGAATTTGAACACCAGCCAGACAAATGCCCCACCCAATGAGCTGCAGAGATGTTACTGAGAAACCAGGACTGCAGGCTCTGAACTACGTTCAAATATGAGACAGGCCCTGCAAACTGCCATGAAAGGATCAACAATTTCAAAGGCTTCCTTCATGGCGTGGTAAGATATGTTTTTATTTCTTTAAGTCTTTGCCTGCATACCTCATCAATGACGCTGCAGTCCTCGCTAAGACAGCGCATTCCTGGTACGTTTGAAAACACGCGGGGTTTTCCAATGCAGCTGTGCAGGTTTAAGGTCTTTGTAATTTGCAATTCCTTGATTGTGTTGGTCTCCAGTGTGTTGTGACGCACATCATACAGGTTTTCACACATTCCATGAGTGCTGAACTGCAAAGATTAGAAAGAAAAATTTATTTGATATATCTGTAGCCTAGAATACAAGAGAAGCACAATTTCTGCCAGAGCTGATTCCACGGTTTCTAACGCATGAAGGAACCTCGCCTCTCAGATCAGAAACTAGTGTAGCATGCGTGAAAGGAACGTAATGATGTAAATGAAAACTTGTAGCGACTCTTTAAGAGGGTAAAAATATGTGGGAGGTTTTATCGTAATACAATTAGCTGGAAAACAAGGTGGATTTCTTAACGGCACAAATTTTCAACTAGCATATTTCACTATCTCGAAATGTTTTTCCTGTCTGCGCATAAAAGGTTTCAAATGAGGAAATCTAAAAACGAAGATTTGCGGAACGGAAGTCATTGTTGAAACAACCCAAAGTCGACCAAAACATAGCTTATTCGATTCATCCATTTTGTAACACATCAAGGACGTGGGAAACTTTTCAGCTTACCTCCCAGTTCTTGTACAGTCTTGGTTCACGGTGATGTAATGAAGACTCAGGCTTGGTGAAATTGTGATGGATCATGGAAAGAACTCCTCTTTTGATGTTCAAAATGTACTCAGGCTCATCGTCATTGCAGAAAATCTGACCTACTTTTCCCTCTTTGTACTCAAACTTGAGTGGTCGTTCCAGCAACGGCTTCAGTTCATTGGAGACTGGGGAGACAGTGTGTGACTCTGATTGGTCGAAGGATGTTACGTTCACTTCGTACAGAATTGGGTTTCTTATCTACAAAGAAAAGAAAAATTTGAATAATTTGATTTAAATGACCTTGCACCAGGGATTCATCTACAGACTTAGATCCGCTTTAACAACATAATAAATAGTACCATATGAATTTTTTTATTTCCAGCTTTCACTAGAATGGTCACACACTAGGGTCTCTTCCACACACTGGGACCGATCATTATTTATCACGAGAAGGGGAGGAGGAAAGAAGTCAGAAGATTTTGGTTGTGTCACAAAAAAATAACCCTCCATCCCCCCTTAGGCCCTGTAGTATGCTGGTAGCGTTCCATCCCCTCATCATCAGCAGTCAGCAGTCAGTAGTCAACAGTCAATTTTCTATTGCCGTCCCCCCCCTTAACGCTCTGTTAGCATGACTGATCCCTCTTCCGTTCCTTCTGAAACTCTCAGTCCCCCCTCAAAAAACTCTGCGACCCTTCCCCCTCCCCCTCCCAAGGCGATAAATAATGAGTGGTCCCTTAGAACCACCTTGTGCAGCATAGTATAAGGTACTACATGACCGCAGGAGACACCACAGGAATACCAACCTTCAAATAAGCCAAAGTGTCTGTCTCGAAGTAAAAGTCTGTGTCACACGTGATCTTCAGTCCTGCATACCGCTCCTCCGTTTCAGGGAAACCGCTGTTCACCGATGCGACATACTCGTATGTGTAGGTGTGGGATTTCTTGTACTCTGAAAGAAAAAACAAAAACCATAATAGAAAATGGAAATTGGCCTTTCGATTTTGTCGCTATGTGGTAACTTGACACCAAAAATACGGTGCCAAATTTCAACTCAATCACCTTCATGACATTTTCTTAGTTAAAATTGTAGTAGCAACGTTTAGTAAAAGATAAATCAAATTTAACGAAAAAGACAGTTTACTTGCGATTGTTTTGATGCTGTAAAGTTCGTTCAAACCTAATCAGTAACGTTTTGGGGGGATTTATTTATTGTTAACCTCCATGCTGTTCTCTAAACATGTCCTGTAGTACTATCAACAAGAATCTGTTTGACAATCAAGACCTACTTCAATTGGTGATCATTTCCTTTACTCTCATGACCTTAATGTTTGATTCAAGCGTGATATTTTAAGGAGAAACTAGATGCTAGACAATCTATAGGATTAAAGGGTCACTGGTCATTAGTCTCACTGTCTGGAGAATGTTCAATGCTGTTAAAAAAATTCGCGTGCCGGTTGACAATCCTCGTTAATAGTTCATCAGTACGTGATCTCTTTAATTTTTAAGATCTAATTGCAAGCCGCTCAATGGGAAGTTGTTTTAATGTCCTTATCAGCCGAGGAAGGGCTTAAGATACCACTGTAATATTTCGTTCAATGATAAGCCTAGCTCGATAACCAAATTGAATTACTTTTAAAAATTCAGAGGACCATGGACGTCAATTTAGGAGTAAACGTGTTTAAAATTCAGAAAGAAAATTTTTTAAATCTATGCTGTTTTCTTCTTAACACTTAAAATCAGTTCGAATCGCGACCTGTATAGCTTAATTTCTCGAACGCAAAACTACCCACCCCTCTCGTGAAGTAGATTTGAACGAAGGAAGTCTGAGAATGCCCGTGAGATCGCTGCGAGGCTTAGACTGGACCCGAGCGCGTGACGTCACATATTCAAGATTAATCCGTGAAAGAAATAACCACTTCGGATTAATTCTCAGTTAAACAGATAGAAATGTCGCCTGCCTGGGAAAATCGTTGGAACACATAAGAAAGAAGAACGACATCTTGCGAAAATCTGGAGTGAGACGCAGACGTTTTGATGTCCTATTTACGGGGTAGACGCCATATTGATACAGATTGCGTAACTTGTTTGCTGCTGGGAACTGGGGATAATAAATATTGCCTCTTCCGTTATCAGTTTCACAAAGAAATGTCACGCGTTCCATTCAACTTAGGAAAAAAAGGGAGAAAAAAGAAAGAAAAGTTGTCTTCTGAACACCACGTATCTACTCTTGTCAATACATTTTACGCTCACAAAACAAACCATGAAATTAGGGACGATTGATCCAGGTTTGGAGAATTGCTTTAGGAAAAACGACAGCATTGTTGAAAGAAAGGTAAGGTGATTACTTGACTTTGAAGATAAGACACCGCGCATATGATTGATATATCAGAAATATGATCTTATTTGCTGCAATATAAAATTATCAATACCGGTATGGACGAGTCAAGCGATTTGCAGCGAAATTGAATATTCACGCTCAGCTGAAAACTGTTGTTTTTCTTAGAGCTATCTGAATAGAAGCCTTTATTCCGAGACAACGATGATATTTCCTCTGTCGCCTACGCAAAAATATATTATTTGAGTCCTTCCTTTGTTTAAAGACCGGAAATGATGACATCTGGTGTATTTCAGGTACATAATAATGATAACAGCAGATCGCGTACACATGTCAGGTAGACATAGGGTCACGTTCCTCACTGAGTTTGAAATTTGGAAAGCTCTGACTTAAATAAATCAATTTTACGACTGGCTGGAGCGAAAGGAGAACATATTTCAGATCTGGGACTTCAACCGGTTTCTCCAACAGAAGATGCTTTGCGGATGTTCTCATCCTTCACACCCTGACATCAGTATGCATATTCTCCGTACTGTTCTCTGCACAGTTTCTAAGCTTGTGGCAAGGAGAATTTGCTTAAAAATCAAGAGCTTCTTTAATCGGTGATCATTTCCTTGATTCCTGTGATTTTAATGTGTGATTCAGGGGTGATATTGTAAGGAGAAATTAGATGCTGGTCACTCCAAAGGATTAAAAGGTTAACGTAAGATCCTAAAGGACTCTGGTAGACAAATCTCATTTTCTCAGAACCTCGACTGCTTAAGTTGAAGATGTTTTCCATTTCTAATAAAAAAAAACACTGAAAAGATAAGGCATCTTGGGCAATCTGGATTCAAAACGTGACCTAATTGCTGTTAATCAGAAAAAACGAGCGAAGTACATTTTTCTATTGTGAAGTTTGACCGATGAAAGAAATGTGCATTGTCATGTAACGTCACTAAATCTAATCAATTAATTGCAGATCAAGGTTTATAAATAAAGGCCGTGAAATTGTTTTGTTGTGCGAAAATTGCTATTTTCCGGTGACAGTTCAAAGGAATCTTTAGTAATTTTGGTAACAAAGCTGTTTAGGTTTGTGAGCGACTCTAGCACGCATGTTTGCAAGCACTGGCTTGATTTGTTATTTTATCCAGCTTTTTTTTTCTGCCTTCATTGACATGGAAGTGAGCTGCGTTTCGCCAAGTGAATTGATTTGCTGTTTGATAAATTTTATAGCTTTTCGACAAAAATTTCCGCAATCATTGGAACAAAACAGAATTTTAAAAAATTTGCTTTGTAAGCAATTCTTACCGTTCACCCGAGTTTCCTGTAGAAAGGTACCCCTCTGCCTTACGTGATTACCTGCAATTTTCGAAAAGAATTTCAATCAGGCAATAAGAAAGTTATTCAATTGGTATTCGTACCCTAAGAGGTGAACATATTTGCTTCAACAAGCAATGGATTAACCCCGCCCTTGACCGCCTCTTTATCGTTCCCAAAAAAATTTCTTCGAGGGCTTCTTCTAGCTATAACATTGCTTGGTAGCTTGTTCTGCAAATTTTTTATATCTTCCGCTCTTTGTCGCATTGTATAGCTGAAAAAATGCAAGTAGATTGAGCTGTTAATGGTCCAGAAAGCACCTCTATTTGCTTTGCTGGACACCGTTACATAAACTGTCCTAGGACTCTAGATGCGAACTAAAGAATAGCCGGGACATTTTAAGTAAAAATTATTCTATAACCTATAAAATTCTTCCATTTTTATGCAAGATATACAAAGTAGATAGCTGTACTACCTCGATAGTGGGCAAGGGAAACTCCAGCGAACAAGAGAAGAGCGAACACCTTCATATTTGCAGTCGCCGGCTAACCTCCTGGAAAGAGCGCTTTTCTGGTAGGTGTCAGTGTATTTATAGCCAGAAGAGGAACGTGTTTTAACAGGAATGAAATTTCATCTCGCCATTTGCCCTATGGGACGCATTTATCGGCTCATCAATAAAGAACAACCTGGGCTTTTTTCCAAAGTACATCCCCACGTGATTGACAGCTCACAAGGGGCATGATAAGCTTCAGGGTTTAAAGTGTAAAATTCTGTTTTCGTTTCGTTGGGCATTGTTCACAAATCTTTGGGAATAACACATTAAAGGTTTAAAGAATGTGTTGTCACAAATTCCGTCTGGCTTGTTTACCCCCTAAATTGTGACAGATTGAGCTTAGGGTTTTCATGCAAAAAAATCGATTTGATAATGAGACCTGGAAAAAAAATTAGCAGGCATGGACGTGACGGATTCCATAACGGAAATTCATCAATTAACGAAAAAAAAAAAACACCAGCAAAATTGAGAAGCAAATTAATCCAGATGACGCGACCCTGATAGATAAGATTATCTTCATTTTATTCTCCTTTTTTCACGGCCAAATTAGTAGAATTAACCATTTAAGAGAGGTATGAAAACGCTTTCAGTGTACAACTGAGGTCGCAAGCAGATTTTTTTTCCTTCCGTAACAAAAAGGTGCATCCACGTTTGTTTGAGTGACGCTCGTTATTTTCGTGCGCGTATGCCGCGCGTACGCGGGCTATTTTTGAATCATAGTCCACCTACCGCTAAGGTCCTTATTTCAAATATTCACCCTTCCTGCTCATGGTTAATTAAAGCGTTGTCAGAACTTATCATTTGAGGGCAAAAAAGTTCAATCGAATTTTTTTTTTAAGGGCCGGATCCACTTCCTGCAGAGAAAACAGAAGAATCTTGAATCTCTAGATACCTTTATCTATGAAATTGATCGCACTAAATCTTTATTTGATCAGGGTCAGTTTCTGACATGTGAAGAATTCTATTATTTTAAGTATTGCTCAGAGCTGAAGCCTTGCTTCAAGGAGCACGTAAATCTTATTCCTTACGCAATAACATAGATCTTATGCTCACTTGCTTGCCTACCCTCGAGTTCATAGATTGAAATGCAAAAAATTTAGATAACAGAGCGAGTTTCGCAAAGCAGTGTATTTCATTTCGTTCGCAACATCACTGAGAAATTGAAAGAGAAATGAACCGAAATAACTTTAAATAATTTGTATCACATCATTACTTGGTCATCTTGTGATCAGCAGTATATTTATAAGTTCTGTAGTAGAAGCTGCCTTTTATGACCAAATCATTTGAAACGCTCCATCCTAATATCTTCGTAAGGGACGGAGATCTTGCGAGATTTCAAGTAACCTTACGGATTGTAGCGTGGGTGAATTTGACACATCTTTAACGGCAAGAAAGAACATATTTTCCTCAGCTTGAAAAAACAGTGGGGAGAAATATTGAGAGTTTGTAAAATTTATCACAATGTCAACTGAAACTTTGATATTTCCCTTCAGCAAAAAGCTGTAGGGGCGAGAGAAGGGCTTTTCTGGTAAATATCCCACGGGTAGAAGTTTTCCCCTCGTATTTTAGGTCATTAAACGATCTCGGAAATATCCCTACCGTTCGGAAAATGTTTGATTTTATAACATAACAGATGAAAGGCCTCAGTTCATTCATACACCTGACTTAAAGTCTTCCAAGAAGACGCCGATGAATATAGAATGATTTCCTTCCTTTCGGAATAGTCAACAGTCAAAATCCCAGGAGAATTCCGGGGAGGATGTTATTACTGCGTTTGTTGTAGAAAGAAATACCGCGTAAGCAGAAGAAATTTAATATAACAGTGGAAAACAGCATGCAAAACAGCCCAACTTTGACCAAAGATCTATTAAAAAATCTGGACCTTGAACTCTTTCTTCTAGATGAGCGATTTCCGTTTCCTAACCAAATTAATTTAAGCATTAATCGATTGTTGGCCTCATTGACACTCTCAATAAAACCTTGTTTACTTTATAAACGCTTAAGTTAAATCTGTAGTCAAGACATGCAAAGCAAAATCGGATAAATCTATCTTTTGTTTCTGTTCTCTAAACGATTAAAAAGATGTTCCTAAAAGCATTGTGCTTCTACTCCTCATACCTAACTATCAGATTCTCTCCACGCGCGCGTTCATAGGTGTTAATCGATCTCCTTTTAAGTGGACTTCTCAAAAATCCAATCAAAAGGCCTTGTTTTTCAACATTCAGTGCGGCAAATCATTTCAATTCAGTAACCGAGTTTAAAACAATTTGAACACTCGTACTTGATCACCAGCATTCACCATAAAGGCGCATATCGCTTTGTTAATCTCTTCAGCCGTAGCCTTGATTTCTCTAGGATGGCGGATGCTGCTTTGCCAAAATTACGGACCACAATATTCTTTTTTTTTTTTATTTATTTATTTATTTATTTTTATCCAATCTCGAAATCTCGACGGCCTTGGGTTTCCCAAGTATCGCATTTCTTCCAAAGTACTCGAAATCTAGAAGTTGTCCTTATACCCACGACTAGAGTTACTCAGCGTTATACATGTGAACCGAGGACGAAAGTCTGTGAGAGATCGTTGTCGTGCGGAAAAACTACGATCCAAAGGCTTATGTATCGACACAACGGGGGTGAAATAGGATATCGCATCTGTCAAAATTCCCTTTCCTCCTGTTGATCATGATCGGTTACCTTGCAATGATATTTACATATATATCTGAGTAAAGCAACGGGACTAACAGAGGGTTGTACGGCTCAAATTCTAAAGTCACGATGACGGATTTTCCAAAAGGGGTCTCGGCATCTTGGAGGTCTCAGATTGTTAATTCGCCACCCATCAAATAAACGGAAATCTGGCGGAAATCTCAGCTCGCTGAAAAAATTGAAATTTCCCAAAGTGAGATAATCAGGCCGGGGCTAAAGTGAAATTCGTTGAGTCGTGTGAACTTGAAAGGGCTAGTATACATATGACACTATAATTTTTTTGTAGGTTAGTATGGATTACAGAATCTATTTTAACCATAACTGACAGTCCTAACGCTTGCATTAAAATTATTTAGAGCCGATGTAGAGAATTCTTACAGAGGCTGAACACACAAAGAGCAAAGGTTGTTAACTGAGGAAGTATTTGTTCACGTACTTTACAAATTCAGTGCATTAGTATCATTATTGAAACACAAATATGAACTGCAAAGTTCCTGACCCCACCCCTGAGCAATTTTTTAAAGGAAGGTTCCACTCATGCGCAAGTTCATTATGAGCGAGGAAACTGGTGGCGCAAATGAAAACGGGACTCATTTGCTATCTCGAGGTTCTAACGCAAAACTAAAATTCACTCCTGAAAGAAACTTAAGGCCTGTTCAAACAGTGATACTGGTAGATGATAGTCTATGATAGTTCAAACTATCATTCACTATCACTGCCTATCGTGTTTGCGTTCAAACCGATCATGATAGTTGACAAAATCACGCGATGAGATCGCGTAACTGTAAACAAATATGCACGCGCGGAGGTCAGCTATTTCGGTGGCATTTGAAATTTTTAGTCAAGCTGCGAGTTAAAGTTACTGAAGCCTTCCATGAGACAATGAGAATCAACTCCAAGATATTTAATGCGAAATTTTGACGGCTACTTCGGTCATTTTACTATTTTCTATTTCAGTTTAAGACAGTTTTTAGCAAACTGCTGACCGAAAATCATTCACTATCATCCGCTAGTTCACACGGAAAATTTTCATCAACAATCATGCGAACTTGAACATGTCCAAAGTACGTGATAATCGATGAGAGTGACAGTTCGTGCTCAAACACGCGTGATAGTTGAAAATATCCTCAACTCTCACCTATCAACTCAGCTATCAACTATAACCGTTTGAACGGGGCTTTAAAAATTGCAAACAATCAGACAGACAAAGAAACTGAAATAAAACTCTTCGCGAGAGAAAGCTTTGTTCGGCTTCTTGTTTATTTTTTCCCGAGAAATTCAGCTATAAGCCTCAACCTTATGCTCTAGATCACGTTTCAGGCTCCCTGATCTCCTCTCCTGTTTCAAGCGCATGGAACGAACGATACGCTTTCACGAACTTTTTTTTTTATAGTGGTTACATATTTTTTGATGCTTTTGCAGCGCTATCCCTTTCAAATTTGCTGATTTTTTCCTTAACCCAGGGTGTGAGCACTGTCATATTTGCATAAACGCCATACTTGCTTGGTAGAGCGCACTGATCGCCCCACGAAACCAACCCCGCGACGTAATGACGCCCGCACTTCACACAAACCAGCGGACCGCCGCTGTCATATTCGCATGCGTCTATTCGACCCTCGGGATGTCCTGCACACATGGCGGTCCCGTGAATCGTCCCGTTATAGGATTTTTCCTGGTTACACACCTCCCGAGAAATGATTCTAACTTTAGCATCACGTAGAATGTCAGGTTGTATCCCATTCCACTCTGTGTGACCCCACCCAGCCACGTGGCACTCCTCATTAGGAGCGAACACGTGACTTCGGTGTGGTAAGCATGCTGGTTGTACGTAGTCATTGAATGTAACTGGACGGTCAAGTTTCATTATCGCTGCAATAGAAGAAAGACCTGCATGAGACAGTTTTGAGTAAGCGTTAACCATCGCCAGGAGCCATTTAATGGCTCCTGCCATCGCTGATCATGAGTTTGTTTTAGAGACTACAAGACGACTGGCCTCTTAAATCAGCATTCTGCAGCTCCTAGAAAGCGCTCGCACCTCTGCCATGTGTCAAAGGGGAATTCATCTCGATGAAGTCCTAATTTGACAGCAATAGTGCGATTTGTGTTTAACATGTCTAAGTACAAAATGAAACCTTCCCACAGAGAAATCGCGTGACGTCATAGTATGCAAAGTGCTAAGTCACCCAACCTTGAATCAGCTACTTCAGGGTATTTAGTTCTTAAAATAAAAAATAAGCGTAATGTTTTGAAGTATGTCATTTGCAATCCTTGTCAAATGTCCCTCTTTTAAACCATCCTCGTCTCTCGTTGTTCTAATGCATTACGTTCTTCGTTTTTATAGGTTCATATTTTCTACTTATCGTCAAAAGCACGAGCTCGAGAGATTTCAATACATAAATCCCATGGTACACCCTTTGACCTATTTACGCATTCGTCCTTGAGCAATCAGGTACACGATAAGAGCTAAGTATAGGCCGTAGTTTATCGATACCTTAACTCAGCAAAAATCTGTACAAACATCAGTGGCTAGTAGTCGAATTATCCAAAATAAAAGATTTACTGAAAATTTATTTACGTTTATTCAGTTATTGATTTAACCGATCCTTCACCATAGATTTGTAACTTACTGATGTCATTCATGGGTGGAGTATCCTCAATTCCCTCAAAGAACATGGATTTGTAGTTTTCGTGGACTGTGATGCTGATCACGTTCCGTCTTTGCTCAAACTTGTCTTCTCGTTTTACGCGGTGATGATCTCCAAGGACTACTGTCCAGTCAGCAGGATTTTTGGATGTGTTGGGATCTGGGATAGAAATTGAAAAAGTAAGAAGCTGTTGATCCTCATATTGCAAGGGAGTATCCAGCTTTCCTTAGCATGAAGCAATAAGAGTACCGCCACTCCCCCTCCCTGCTTTCTGCTAGTTCCCTCCCCCTCCCATCCATGATCATGCTGAAGCTTATCTCAGCTTCCTTCGTATGAAGCACCAAGAGTGTTGCCACTCTGGCGGGAACTGATCATCAAAGATTGGAAAGGAAAGCTATCATAATGTACAAAACCTTATAAGGGATAGCACCATCGCGGATCCCCCCACTCTCCCCTCCATCTGCTGGCCCCCCTCCCCTTCTCCCATCCGTCAGGCTGAAGCTCATGCCAGTTTTCTTTCCATGAAGCACCAAGAGTGTTGCTACTCTGGCGGAAACTGATCATCAAAGATTGGAAAAGAGAGCTATCATGATGTATAAGACCTTACATGGGATGCCACCGGAATATTTACGATCGAATGTTCCTTTTTCCGCGACAACAAATTAGCTCTTTCTTCCTAAAGCGCGCACTGATCACCTGCAGAGAAGTTGTTCATACAGTGGAGCTCAGTTGTGGAACAACTCACAGTTACTCACAGTCTTCTCACGGTCTATTCACTGCTTTTTCCTTTCCCCTCTCTCAGCTCATTACCCCTAGTGGTGATTTACATAAATATACCAGAAAAACCTACAATTTCCGACCTCATATTTGTAGAACGGATATCAAACAGTTTAGAATTCTCTGCCTATTGAAGTCAGAAGTTCCGAGTCTCTTTTGTCTTTGCTTACTGAAACAATGAGCAGCAGTTAATATCCAGGTGTCAGAGATGATTGCGCCGCCGCAGTAATGGGTTCCATGAAAAAACAAGGCAGCCTGCCAGGGCCACTTCCCCTGAGAACTCTGGGAGCCACCCACAATCCTTTTCACGCGTGAGACTTTACTGTTTCGTATTTTTCTGAGCCCACAATCCTGAGGAAAAGCTGAATAAGGAAAAAAGTTAACAGTGTATGTTTAAAAACTTTCTTTCAATAAAAGTTAAATGACGTTATCTCAAGTCTTCTTCGACAATCGTTCATATTGTGGTGAAATTCGAAGGGAATTCAAGAAGGTGAAAATCTTGCTTGTTTTTTTCAATGACGTCACAGAACACAACCCTCCTCTTGGACGATCAAAACAACATTATTCTATAAAACGCAGCAAAAAAAACAACAGCTTGCAAGGTTGGTGGCCCACTTATTCCCACATGATCCTGATTTCCATGGAATAAAGCGATCAGGAGAATTACACTGACCGTTGGATGGAACACGATATCCGCCGATGATTTTTTTTAGAGAAACTCAACAGCATCGTCAACATCTACCTTTATTTTCCTGTGAGGTTGCTAAGAGGACTCTATCAACGAAGAAAAACATTGTAGCCACAGAAACTATAACTCACCAAAATCAGTCGAAGATGACGATGATTCGCCTGCCACCGAAAAAAAAGAAAAGAATCCCTTTAAGCTTAAGTCTTCAGGCAGCTGCATAACGGTCATTTTAGTTTCTTTTAAGTCAGGAGGAAGAAATGTGAACCCAGCGGGAGTCACTCGAAAACACTAAGAGACTTTGTGTCGCGCTATAGCCCCATAGTTTCACATGACCCTGGCTTACGCTTGGCTAAGTGGATACGGAAAAAAGCGGATATTGTGGCCCATTTTCGGGCTATAATGGAGATGTTGGCGAGACATTGAGACATCGAGGTACAAACAAAGTGTCTAGACGAGTTAACCCTCCTGTCCTAGGGCATGGTTTTGTTCCTGACCCCTTCTCCCTCCCCCAGATCTACCTGTTTGTTTTCACCATGGAAAACAGGACCGAGTAGAAGAAGTATGGATCAGTTTAAATTGAGAATGGATTTGCAGCAGCGTTAGCTTTGCATAGGGTTTTCAACTGGATGTCGTGGAGCCAAACCAAAATAAACTACGTGGTCACAACGGCCGATCAGACCAAAGAAAGATCTCAGAAAACGCTGATCAGATCTCAGAGTTAAAACAAATCGCCTGAAGCGCGGGAAAACAAGAATGACCGGTAGTAATTGGTTTTACTTTTGCATCTGATTGGTCGAGGTGGGGTGCGAGTTTTCTGGACCAATCACAAAGCGTTAGCGAAACCAAAACAACAGCAAACTTCTATTTCTTAATTCTCCTTTGAAATTTGCCTCAGAAAGAGCTACACAGCATTTTTTACTACGAACCGGGTGTTGAGTTACATTCTCTTACAATTTCTTTGAGGAAAAGAAGAGAGGCTGGGGAGAAAGACGGGCTGATATGTTCCTGCACTAATAATAAACACTTCTACCTCCAGAAGTCGATCGGAACAAAGTTACGTTATAACATAATTTATCTTCAGAGTTCAAAGATTTTCTTTCTGTTGTTTTGTTTTGATGGTACTGAAATCGTCCTAAGCTGAACTGAAAGAGACTGTTTTCGATCATAAAAAGACAAAGGAAAAACCAGTCTCTGAAAGCAGTCAAATAAGTTTCTAATTTACCCTTGAAATACCATGTTGTCGTGTAACTTAAGTTACAACAGATTGTTTTAATTAACTGTTTTGATTCCCTGCAAAGTTTAATTAAAAACCGATCAATTCTCGTCAAAATATTTGATACCAAACGGTAACTTCATAACATAATGTAAAATTCCAGGACAGATGAATCGTTTGTTTTGCTTTCCTACGGATCAATCAAAAGTCGCCGTCGTCAAGCCAATCTTTATTTTGTCCAGAACACTTGCGCTATCTTCTCAATCAAGCAAACTAAAACCATTCATGTCTTACTTACGCACATTTTCTCGCGCTTCAGGTAGTTTGCTTGTAACGAAGTCCGCATCGGCTCTTAGTGTTATTTCCTTTGTTCTGATCGGCAATTGTGAATACTATGCTTTTGGTTTTCCGCCACTCAATCACAAAGCCCTCTGAGTCAGTAGAATGAAAACCAACGCAAAGTTTAAGAGGAAATACAAACAATATCAGCAAACAATTTCATTTTAAAAAAATTGCGTGAAAATCAAAATTGTTTACTCACCAAGAAGCGGAAGGATGCTTAAATAGATAAAACAGACTTTAAAAAGCATCTTGGTTGACTTTTACCCTGGTAATTACTGACACAGGAGGGAAAAATTATAAACAATTGGTCAACGCTTAACTTGGAAAGGATGAAAATTAGACTGAACTTGACTTCATGGGGATGCCCGATGAATTGTACTGGACTGGACGATAAAAAACGTACAAATAAAATAAATGCTAATATATAACTTCGGAGAGAAACTTGACAATCAGGATGAAAACCAATTGAATGATAGTGAGCGATGCTGGTGCAGGACAAAGAACAATTATTCGAAAGATCGTCTGTGAATTCTTGAGAAGGAAAGAGTACGTGTAATTCCGCCTTCTAATGTGGATGCGACCATAATCTTTCTTCGATTTTCTCTGCTGCACGTTTAGCTCCTCAAGACCCCACAATTTTTATGAGAAACAACAGATTTTCTCTTTATTTTCATACCTATTTGACACTTCGTGACCCATTTGACCTTTGCAGAGTGTTACGCAGGTAATTAAAATGTAATTAATTTTGTTTACCCAAGAATCGACGCAATGTGTGATGTTTCACTGAACACGAGCACGAACTCGATGGAAATATCTGTTTGCTATAGAAAAAAACGACTGTTTAACTCTAAGTAATGAATCCTGTATCTGATAATGTAAAGCTTTTGCAATTTCCAAATCGTTTCGCACGCAGTCGAGGCGAACTTACTAGTTTAAAACGATCCGATCGCACGTGTGACATTTGGTGATGTTTTCAAGAGAAACGAAAGGCCTCTTGCGTTATGGGAGTCCGCAGAATGGCAAATCTGTCTTCACAAACTGATAGTAAACGCTTAAAAATGTATAAGTCAATCCAGAGGCCCTTATCAACAATGGCAACGTAATAGATGACCCAGCAGATTACCGCTATATAGATTTTACGTTTTCCAGGGATTTCCTTCTTGCCAGCGCCTAACGAGAATCCCCATTGCTTCTGTTTGGATTTCAAGCTCAAAGCCCCTTAAAATAACTCAAAAGTCCGTGAGAATCTTGAGTTCTTTTAATATGATAAGTCAATCCGCAATAAAGTAGAGGGAATGTAATTTGGAACTGAAGGATATCTGGGAATCAAATTTGTGTTTAGAAGAACCTCACCAACAATTCAGAAATGCTAAAAATTCAAGAGCTGAATTGCGGCTCATAGCCGTTGGATCCAAGTCTTAATTAATGGTGAAACCTTTACTTACCATAAAGAACGCAGCAGTGTGTAGCATCACCCGCTAGCCAAAACCATACCTCGCTAATAAAGAATTGATAACTTCACAGCTTACCTACGATGTCTCAGAACTTCTTTCCCTAAAAATATTCCCCCTTCGAATGTACACTGTAGGTAGTGATCGTGCACTTCCCCAGTTGAAGGTCGAAAAACACCGTTCTGTTTGCGTTTTGTTTCGTAATTATGAGCGTTTGACCTAATCTTGCAGCCCAAGGACGAAGTGAACCCACACAGATGGTAACGTTGGGTATAGTACGGGAGAGGTGTAAACTTTCGTCACAAAACACCCATGTCATTTGTCTGTCAGGAAAGGATAAGGTGACCCAGACAAATGAGTCTGTAAGACCACAGCAGGGAGTTCTGATTTGACGCGTGTACGGGTATTTAAAAATCAAGCGCTTTGATCTTTGCCTGAATAGACATACGTGTAGATAGCTCATTTTCTAAAGCTGCTGGCGGTCTGGCTCGATGTTCCCAACAATGTGTAATGCAGATATCTCGGAGCCTCGAAGATAATGCCAGTTTCATGTAATGGAGACGAACAGCCCTCGGGGCATGCCAATGCACATAATCAACTCGTCTGTTGGTTGTTCTAAATGTTTTGACGAACGAAAGCCGCTGTCGTCGCCATCTCAAAGAAACTTTAAGATGAAAACATCCAAAGCCGTACGTTTGTTTATTTCTGGGGAATCGTGAACGATATGTAGGCATGAGAAGCTACACAAAAATACAAAGGATTTTAGTTTCCTGTTTTATCATTGCACGCCTTTGTGGCTAGCGATAAAAGGCAGGAAATAGAGGATTTGTCATTTTTGTTTCCTTATTTATATCAGTTGGTTTTTCGTTTTGTTTTGCTTCATTTTCTACCCTCTTTATACTACAAGCAGCTAAATCCGTGGCTCAAGTAAAACGCAATCAGCGGGAAAAATTTCCCTGAGAGAACTCTTTAAAAAAGGACAGAAAAAAAGATGTTCGCGTGGCGCTTAACTACGGCCATCCGCTGATTTCTTGCGCGAAAAAGACGAGCTGTTCCTTATCTAACCAGATCCCAGCGATTCCGCCCTGGGAGACACCGCGATCCCTGTTTGAAAATCCGAGAGAGAGACCTAACAAAAGCTATAAATTTCCTTGTAACGTGCCGTAACTTTATTTAGATTAATGCAAGGTACTGATTTTGCTGACAATACTTTTCAGTGAAACGGTGCCAAAGATCTTTCCTTTAAAACACATTTACCATTTTCCTTTGTTGAACAATTGTCTTTTTCATGTCATCTAAACTATAAAATTTTGTCCTCAACAACTCTTCTTTAGAATGTTACTCCATCATCAGCTTATTATCACTGGTATCGTTCGTTACATTATCACTCCATTATCTCTTTTACTTTATGTTGCTCGAAAAATTTCCTACTTTTTCACTTTTCTTCCCCAGTAACTTTCACATCAAACAATGCTCGATACAAAACATACTGGTTATCTAAAATAACCTATGGCCACTTACTTTCCTTACAACCGTCTGACAGATTTTTTTTATAAGGAGATACATTTGACAGTAATAAGGCAAATTAACCTAAATTGATTGACCCTGAACCAGGTCATGATCATCTGCCGATCTGACGTCCCTTCTAGACAAGACCGTACGATAAGACCGCACGCCTGAGAAGATTAATATAGAAGGTATTCTTAGCAACAAAATTATGGGTCACAGCAGTATAGGTCTCGATTATGAAACAACTACAGCTATTTCACAGCTACCATATTCGGGAAAAGGATATCCGTCTTTGTGCGAAAGATAATTGACTTAATTTCGCGATTGTGTCCGGCGAAGTAAGGAGGAAGGAAACTGCAAGGAATTCCACACTTCCCGGGGGCCGGTTTTTCGAAATTCCGTTGGCGCTAATCCATGCAGGATAAAAAATTTATCGTGTCCTTAATTAATTTCTCTTGAAGTAAAGTGTATGTTACAGCTTACGTAAGACGTAACTGAATAATAAATATGAACATTTAAAACTGTTCGCAGAGCTACAAAGCTAAATAAAAAAAAATTTTGGTCAACTTTCGGTTAGCTTAATCCTGCTCTCATCAACGGGGTCCGATTCTCTTAATTTTGAATCAATACCCGTTTAGAAATGTAGCTTTTGAAGATTGTACTTGATTTGCGAATCCACAAAAGCTCAAAACAAAATGCCAAATCGACTTGGTGTATCCCAAGTTTTGTTTCCTCAAACAGATTTCTAGAGACATGTCAATTTTTTTCGCAGATTTTGCATGGCAGCGGTTGTTTCTTATATTTTCATCGTCACAAAAATTGTTGTGTCCGTCGTCACGAAAACAACTGCAACTTGTGTGTACTTTATTCAAATCCGACATATCTTTAATAACTGAGGAACAGACCTCTACAATACACAAACAGAGGCACACACCTCTACAATACACAAATATCACTACTTTATGTTTGAAATATCTGTACATCGGTTATGAACACAACGGTTTCTCGTTTGGGGACAGCGTATGAAACGTTCCTGATGTACACGTTTGTCACCGTGCAAACATGATCTCCGGCTGCTTTCCTTGTTGTAGAAGTGGTTGCTTGTTTTTTTCTGTTTGTTTCTTTTGGAAAACATTAGCTCTTTACGGATCCCCTATCGTCGCTTTCACAAGCACCCACACCTTCAAAGCCTACGAGGCTGTTAGTTCGCGGACAAAAAGGTCTTGCTTCCTTCAACATTTTACACCTCGACATAAGCGTCTTCTTTGTCAACATCATGGTCGCCGTCATAAAATTCCCCTTCAAATCTGTGTGAAGGAATAGGAGAATACTCGTAAGGGACCGGTTATTTTCAATCGTCTGGAAGCGAATGGGGGGGGGGGGAAGGGGGTTTAGAGGGATTTTAATTGTGTCATGATAAAATTTAACTGATTCCCCACCCTCCTCTAAGGCTCTCTAGTATTCTAATGATCCCTTCTCATTGGCAGTCAAATTTCCACGCCCCCCCTTAAACTGTTAGCAACGACTGATCTTCCCTCCGTTCCCCCTGAAAGCCATGAGACCCTAGGCCCCCTCCCCCCGTCCCAAGCGATAAATTTGACTGATCCCAAAAAGACATCTCAACCCCTTCTCTCTTAAAGTAAGAAGAAAGGGAGTCGCTTGAAACCGAGCTTTACTAAGCTCTAACACCGCCCTTTCCCCCTACGTTACCTTGGGTCATCCTCCTGTCTCCCATCAGGGTCTTCCTGTTCTTCCATACTTTCCAAGCACATGAAATCCGGGGGGACCTCCTGCATCTGTACACTGGGAGCGCCTGTTAAGCACTTAATGTTCTCTATGACAGTGTGCTTTATATGGTCCAAGTACTGAAAGAAAAAAAAAATTAAATTGTGGACAACGTTTGAACTGCTGAACACCACTACTTTGCATAATTTATTTGTAAATTTAATTTTGAATCAGCCAACATCAAACTTACCTGTTTTGTGTTCTGATTCTCTATTCTTGCTGCGATGTCTGGATACAGGGAGAAGTCTGGCGCGAAATACTCCAAATAGTCTGTGTGGGTGAATCGAGCAATCGAATCAAACGTTAGGATCAGCAATGCACATAGCATCACCCTAGCAGTGTGCAGGACGCGTGTCATAAGAACTTCGTGATGAGCCTTGCTCACCATAGAGTCTCTGTGGCTCAGTGGTAGAGCATCGGAGCGCAGAATCCGAAGGTCTGAGGCCCGATTCCTCATGAGGACTCAGAATTTTTCCTTTGTCCCAAACTCGTAAAAAGACGAAAAACATTTTTTTTTCAATAACTTTTTATATGGCGAAGTTATTCAATCTTTAAGCACTGCGACATTAAAACTGTTCTTCGTTAACCTGATCGCCCCAAATTTCACTCAGAGCACGCTTTTAATTGGCTGTTTAAGGGAAAAGGTTTTTTTCCTGGTTGTCATAGCAGTATTAGGGACCATATACCGCAATTAACCCTTTAATTCCCATGAGTGACCAAGACAGAATTTTTCCTAACAATATCATAGCAATATCGACCGGATAAGTGATGAGAATAAAGAGAAGCATCAATTTGGGGATAACAAGTTGATCCAATACTAAATTCTCTGAACTAACATTATAAGAACTGTATGGTCGACAGTAAGGAGAATTACAAATTTGATCTGGGAGTTAAAGGGTTAACTAAGTCAGGCTTGATATCAGTTTACCGTTATAAGGAATATCACTTGAGATTTCCTGATCCACCAGAAGCGATGTTTCGTACGCCCTTCAAACAGGATGAAAATAAAAGGAACAGCAGTGAAAAACTCAGGAGACGTGCAACGGCTCTGTACGTAACAAGAGAGGTATATCTTTTTTTTTTTCAGCAATGAGGTCTGATCGCTTTTCTCACAATGTGCTCACTTCCGACGTGGATTACGTTTGGACTACAGAAACAAATCTAAAAAACCAATCTTCCAGCAAATTAGCCAAATACATTCGATTGAGTGTTGAAGGTAGTCGGGGACTGTTCTCCGTGATTCGTCGAAAAATTTTCAACCAATCAAATCCAAAGCGCAAAATAATCGTATCATGGCCCCTCGCATTTTCTCTGTGGCTCGTTGTGATTTTCCAATCAACCAATGCGGTCACCTTAAATGGTTTTGGTCTGTGACAGCCGATCGAACAGCGCTCCATCACACAATCAAAGCTATCCAGATCACAGAAAGCCAACAACAAAACCTACCAGCACCGGGCAACATTCTTAATGGTGTATCCTCCACCACCGAGAACCAACATTGGAAGGTTAAAGGTCTTCACGAATTGAACACACTCGCTGAAAATGGATTTAAAAAAACATATCAGCTGCTGCTGAGAAACTTTGGACGCTGGAAGCAATTGATAACAAAAGATACTTTGATTTCATCAACTGAGTTGATAACGTGAACTAGCCACTGTAAAGAGTTTCTAGAGCTGATATTTTCAGCTTCAGCCCTTTTGTCACCATATTGGTAAGAACTTATGTCTTAAAAACCAAATGTCCCATTTCTGCAAGACATTATTCCAGTACAGTCGAACCTCGATTATCCGGACTCATCGGGACCTCGGTAAATAGTTCGGATAATCGAGAGTCCGGATAATCGAAAATATGAATATTAATGAGATAGAAATGTGAAATAATTATCTGCTTATCTTTAATCAATAGAACGGCTAGCTTTCGCTTCGTAGGCATGTTTTTGATTGGAGTTTACGATCGATCGCTCGTGTGTTTACATAACCCACGCGGAAGGAACTAATCAAGCATGAAATTCCCTCGGCAACAAAACCATTGAGCCAACCATACATGTATTTCAGCTGAACGCATCAGAATATTTCTTTGTCTTGTCGCACTTTCGAATTTTGAAAAGCGCACAGGATAATACGCTGTTTCAACAGTCTTTTGAAAGGATTATTGGGCTTTTTGCGACTTTGAGTTTTCAAGATCACAACTAATTAATATTCATGGAAAATTGGGACCGGAGAAGAAATTCCGGATAATCGAATAGTCCGGATAATCGGGGTCCGGATAATCGAGGTTCGACTGTACTATTATTTCAAAACATGACGCTAACGACATTGCTGATCATAGCAGTATGCAGGACGCGTGTCAAATGAACTTCAGTTCGTAACAGACCTCGGTCACCGTAGAGTCTCTGTGGCTCAGTGGTAAAGCATCGGAGAACGAAATCCGAAGGTCTGAGGTTCGATTCCTTATGGGGACTCCATTTCTAAATTTTTACTGTGTCCCACGCTCGTGATAAGACGAAAAACATTTTTCTTCATTATTCCAGTACTTGGGTGAAAAGAGGCACTGTGAGAGTGAAGTGTTTTTGCAAAGAACAAAACTCAGTGACCAGGGTTTGAACATGGCTTTCAGAAAAAACAAAGAGTCATCCAGATCTCCATGTCATATGCATTTTGTCAATTAATACGCTAAAAACTCGGCCGCCACTTCTCCTGCTAGTTACAGAAGATGTAGATTAAACTCCACGATTCTTACCCGTGTCCTTTGATGCTGAGGTTGAAACAACCAAGTCTATCGCACCCAAGTGAATCAGCACCACACTGCAATAAAAAGTAAGAGAGAAAGACTACAGTGATTACTGTTTAAAACTGCGCGAAAGATACTAACATGATATCTAGCCAATACAATACACAGTATGCTTTAAAATGTACTTGACGTGAGTTGTAAGAATTGTGTAAGAGCGCTTCTATGAGACTCATGCTATCAAATGCGTATAAAAGAGATTAATACCGATTACAATATTTACTGATCAGAAAACTTCGTCATTGCAACATCAGACTTTCACAACATTTATGAAAAGGCTATCAATTATCACGGAAATCAAAACGCTGAATGATGACGAGAGCGTTTTTGTTATTCTTACTTGTAGAACAATGCAGCTTGGTTGATAGTGGTTCACAACTGACTGCATTATGGGCTTGAAAAGATTGGCGTAACCTGTTAAAGGAAAGATTGAGAAAGCGCATGACACACATTTAACCACGTGAAATAACTCCGTGAGACATGCATTTTTATTTCTTCTTGGGTACTTTTTGGGGTTTTGGTCAAGCACCCACAACGATAAGAATTTCCTTACAACAAAGTTGTCTACACAAGAAGTGAACCTGGCTACAAAATGTAAATCATTTTAAACCTTTTAGATGTTGTATGTACCAAGGTGAGCTGTATTAGTTGAAGTTAAGTTACAGTGGTTCTTTTGACAAATCAAAGACGATTTTTGTGAAGGGAAAGGTATGAATTCGAAAGGGGACAAGTGCACATGTAAAGTGGAGAAATGTAAACTAAGGAAAAGAACTACGATCATCTGAACGACGGGAAAAGATTTCATCCCTGAAAGAATGAAATTAAGAGCTGTACCTTGATCATCTATTCCATCTCTCAAAGGAACATTTAGTGAGTAGTATCGTCCGTTCTCAACTCCTAATTCAAACATGTCTCCTGCAGATAAACAAATATAGGTCATGGTCTAACTGTTTATTTCCTGGAAAATCTAAATCCCACTGATAAGGAATCCAAGTCCACAACTTTGCATTATATGCTACCTCACTTTATTACTGAGTTACCGAGAACACTCTGGAGTGCTAAGTGACAGGTGCTTTGCTTACAATGTCTTTGTCTTGCGCTTGCAACAACTAGGAATATCATCTTTATTTGACGACTGAACTAAAGATTTATGTCTTTAGCAATCTATCAACTATTTTTTTGATATCTCATGGTAAAGTTTCCAATCTGAAAGAGACCGTCATGATAGTGTCTCGATCCCCAATTCTTAATCCTCGATACTCGATACTCGGGCCTCGATTCTCAATCCTCGATTCTCAATCCTCGATTCTCAATCCTCGATTCTCAATCCTCGATTCTCAATCCTCGATTCTCAATCCTCGATTCTCAATCCTCGATTCTCAATCCTCGATTCTCAATCCTCGATTCTCAATCCTCGATTCTCAATCCTCGATTCTCAATCCTCGATTCTCAATCCTCGATTCTCAATCCTCGATTCTCAATCCTCGATTCTCAATCCTCGATTCTCAATCCTCGATTCTCAATCCTCGATTCTCAATAGATTCGAATATCGAGGTTCGAGTCGAGACGGTCAACTTACTTTTGGGTGGTTCTGTATCCAAACTTACCAGTTCCCGGAAAGAATTGGTTTCCATACTTGTGAAAGGACAGCGTCATTACCCGATCGGTCAAATAAAAGGCTTCCTGCAAGTGGATTATACACACAATGTAAAAACATGCAAACTGTTAGTTTACACAAAGGAATACCCTATGAAATAGGTATTTCTTTTGCTGTACTCATTCTCAAAACCGCACAATCCAGTTTCCGTGGAAAACAATACATTGAAGATTTTTCCCAATTCTAAAAATTTCTAGATGTTAACAGATGCAAATTAGGGGTTTAAATGCAATACCTGTACTCCATCACCATGGTGGATGTCGATGTCAATGTATAACACACGGTTGTGGTACCTGAATTAAAGCAAAGAGTATGCCCCAAGTCAAACACAGTGGTAGGTAACGTGCAAACTGAACATGTTCTCACAATGCTCGATGTTCAGCTAAAATGTACCTGTACTTGAAAATCAATGAGTAAAACAGCAGATCAAAGGGTGCTTATGATAAGTTATCACACATATATATCTAGAGTTTGTACTCTTTTTCAGGAAAACAAATTTCAAAGACTTTTCCATCACTCAGATTGATTTTCCCAGGACTCCAAGTTTCACAATAAACCTTTCTATTCCCAATATTTCAAAATCAATTCTCCTTACGGTCCACATACATTTGTTATAACGTAAATTCTGAGAACCTAATTGCTTGAGTTAAGCCGATTTCCAAATCTTTCCAGGACCTGTAGTCTTTTTCAATATAAAATTCCAGCATTTCCAGGTTTTTCAAGACCCATGCAAACCCTGTATATCTCCTACAGCCCAACATGTTCTTTTATTCAAAAACAGAATTAAAAAACAAACAAACAAACAAACACATAAAAGGGAGAAAAATAATGTATTAAATATCACTACATGGAACTAAATTTCATGGATCACTCACTTTAACAGTTCTAGTATTGCAACCACAATGTCATTTACATAGCAGAATCCTGATGCCTAAACAGAGAACAACACATAATATTAGGATCAGCTGTTCCAGAGCCATTTTTCATTGAACGGTGAGAGTAATCCAGAATTGCATCAGCTTTACTATACTTCACTCTGTGATTGGTCCCTACAATGAACTTACTACACTAGAGAAAAAAAAAAGTGAACTTTGACACTTGACCCTTTAGCTCCCCGTAAAAATTAACAATCAATTAGGTAACTTCTCCCTATAATAAAAATATATTATCCAGCAAACAGGAAACAAGAATTCTCAAACTTATCACTGACAAATATAACTTGTTATCCTGATTTAACACTAAATTCTTGTTACTAATTTGCAAGGTAATGTGCAGTAAATAGAGGGGAGAATTTACAATCAGATCTTGGGAATCAAAAGGTTAATCTGACCACAACAAAAGTGATACAGTACTACTACATATAAATTTCTGATTCTTAGGTAACCTTAAAAAAAATGAGTAACATAAAGTTAACACTTCAACAAGCTCACCTCGCATTTTTTTGCATGATGCAAACCTCCTGCCCAATTGACAGCAATGTCACAAACCTGTTTAAACAATAGAAACCTCAAAATTAGCAAAAAAGAACATCTTTTTAGATATATGAAATCCATATGTGTGCACTGTGGTGAAGAAACAAATATAAGAGATCCTCGCAGCTAAGAACACTACTGAACTAGTAGTTAAAATAAGACCTTTTGAAATAAGACCTTTTGTTCTTCAGAATTATGAAACTGTCTGTTCTATATCAGTCTTACTTTTTCACCTACCCCTTGATTAAGCCTGACTGCACCTTCAAGTGAAGCACCAGTATAAATAGAACAGAAGTCAAACAGGCCAGAAAACACAGGGCTGTAGAAAAAAAAAAACTTGTAAGCAAACTCAGTTAGAAGGTTTCCTGTTCTCTGCTTAACCATGGAAGTTGTTATTTGTCAGTATCAATGGTTTCACTTCCATAAGGTTTCAATCTTCATTAAATTTAGTAAAAAACAGACATGTACAGAACCTTTCCACAGTATATGTTTCCAGAATTACATAGGAAGACATATGTGAGCTACATGTATCAAAAATAAGCAAGTCACTCTCTTTATCAAGTGATTTCCTCCAATAAAGGAGAAATTTTAACACAGGTTTAGAATAAGGTATTGGCATTAAAAAGAAAAATAAACACAGAAGGAAAAAAATAAATGAAACAAAAGATGGAAAATACTGACCAGTCTTCTCCAACATTAAAGTTGTTCAATGTTTTGTTCTGCCCTGTGTTCTGTGGTGTTACCCTGCAATGACCAAAACAAGGCCAAGACAGTTGGCGAATTTAGGAGAATGACAGCTGGAAATCATGCTAGATTCAGAAGCATGAAATTTCTTAGAGTTCTGGTACCACTCACCTTCGTAGAAATTGTATGTAGTCACTGGAATGAAATCTGCACATGTCATGATAAGTTGCCCTATAAGGCTTGTACACCTGTAGATAAATAGGAAATGTGTACAGTCGTACCTGTATTTAGCAGCATGGTATTAAGCCATTGCCCTGTATTAAGCAATCACTTGTTAAAATCCCAGATTTGTTTCCTCATAATAACTGTAATTGATACCTTTATGAAGTGGTCACCTCTATAAACCCTTTAACTCCCAGAGTGACCAACACAGAATTTCTCCTTACAGTATCAATACAATATCAACCAGATAAGTAATGAGAATAAAGAAAAATATCAATTTGGGGATAATTAGTTGATCCAATACTAAATTCTCATAACTAACATTATACAAATTGTATGGTTGACTGTAAGGAGAATTACAAATTTTATCTGGGAGTTAGAGAGTTAACCAGCTGTGGTTACCCTCTGAGGGTAATCTCTTTGTACTGTCCTCAATTTGTATTGAAAGGTCACTGAAAGTGGGATCACTCAAATAAAACCAAGAATAATTTTTCAAGCAATTACTTTTATCCATGTTTCTCTCCCAAAATCAACGTAAGTTGTATTTTCAAGTGAGATTCTGTACATTAATGGCTCGATTATGGCATAAAATGGCATTGGTTGTCATTTTGTATGATACCCCCAATCTAGAGAACTTGTATTAAGCGATCAACTTGTAACATTTAAACAGTCACCCTCCCATTCCTTGTGGGAATGGTTTGACTGAATAGATTGTACAGACTGCATAGACTTTAAATTCCCCAAGTAAACGGTATTCACTGTACCTAGGGTATCCTAGCTCAAATTTTTCTACCTGCCCATCAGATGAGCTAAAATCTTAAAAAAGTGGCAGAAATTAAAGTGAAATTCTAGTTGCTGGAAAAATGATTTAAATGAAATGCACATTAAACCTTTTACATGGCATTAACATCAGTATGCATATTCTCTGAACTGTTCTCTATACATTTCTTAGGGCTCTGACAAGGAGAATTTGTTTAACAATCAAGAGCTGCATTAGTTGGTGATCATTTCCTTTATTCTCATGACCTTAATGTGTGATTCAAGGTGATATTGTAAGGAGAAATTAGATGCTAGTCACTCTTGGTCAAAGGGTTACCATTGCCATACCATTGTCTGAAAATGTTTTTTTCATTACAATTTTTTACCATAAACACTTCTGATCATTTAAACACAGTTTGGCTGTTGATTAACAAAACCACATCCAAAACAACCCTCAATTTAGTTGGATATTTAATCTGAACTTTCAACAGTGTCAAAAGGGCTGAAAGCTCACAGTGGAGGGACAGTTACTCAACCCTTAACACCCCAACATCAGTATCAGTATCTCTATACTGTTCTCTATACATTTTCCTAAGGTGCTGGCAAGGAATCGGTTAACGAGCAAGAACTTCTTTGGTTGGTGATCATCTTGTTTATTCTCATGACCTTAATATGTGATTTGTGGGTGTTAATGTGAAGGTGGAGATGGAGGTGAAGGTTGAGGGAGCGTGTCATGCGATACCAAGCAAGCTTGGCCTGATGATGATGATGATGATGATGATGATGATGATGAAGAAAAAATAAAAGCTAGTTTCTCTCAGGGGTTAAGTAATTAATCAAATCAATCCTCTTATAGAGAGAGCAGGAGGCCCACTGATTGTATAAAACTGTGGTTTGGGTTAGACTATGTACAAATAACTGACCCTTAGTGTTTAAGCAATGGCTTGCAGAATGACCACTGAACCAAGGGACACCAACTGCATTTGCAGCAAATATAGATGCCAGTGTTTTTAATTCCCAAAGCATTCAAAGGCAACAATATTGAAGGGCCTGCATAGTCATGAGGCCAGCTCCTAAAAGTTCACGCTTAGTAAACAACTTAACAATAAATATTTCATAAATCAACATCAAATTAAAAGACCAAAATAGATATAGAACCCCAAAATACAAACTGAGATAAATTTAAAGAGGTCTCACCTCCATCTTCTTATGAAGAGCATAGTTGAACACAAGATTATGGGTTAAAGTAAGTCTGTGAGGTTTCATTGGGTGATTAGGGCCTGAAAAAAAAAAATCATTATTTCATCCTTTACATCCTAACATCAGTATGCATATTCTCCATACTGTTCTCTATACATTTTCTTATGCGCTGGCAAGGAGAATTTTTTTAACAATCAAGAGGTTCTTCAGTTGATTATCATTTTCTTTATTCCTGCGACCTTAAAATTTCATTCAGGGGTGATATTGAAAGGAGAAATTAGATGCTAATCACTTGTTGGGATAATAAAGGGTTAAGTCCTACTAGCTTACATACTATACTGTGATGTTCTGAATAAACACACATTATGCTAACGCAGTCAGAGTTTAACAAGAGTAACTGTAGAAAAATACATTCAAAAAGGAAAATGTTCTTATCCAAAGGTAGCTAAGTTTATTGAAACAGCGTGTGACTAGCTTTACAGTACTTTGGAAAATTATGAGATAGACGAATTAATAAATCTAACATGACTATAAGTATAAATGATTCTGTCACGAAAGGAAGACATAATTCCAATATATGATCGCACTAACAGAGAGAAACACACCCTCAAAACATGTGCTGATGTAAAACAAAGCAAAATATATTCATTCAAAATGTAACAACCTTGCCAGGAACCTAATTAACAAAGAACAAACATACCATAGTGAAAATTTCCAACATCCTCGTCGTAAAAGTAGGCCACTCTTTTCTTCGCCATTATATACTCTTAAATTGCAAGCTCAAGTTAATCATAGCTTTAGAATAAAGCGAAATCGACCCCCAACATTCTCAGAAAATCCTACGATAGTGTTGACATCTTCGAAGGAGGTTCACAAAAAGTCTGCCATGTCGCATGACGTCACGAAAACTCGACCCAGTCTCTTTATTACGAACGTCTCAAAATGGCGGGAAGGTGAGAACAGCAGGCTGTAGTGCATCTCAGAGTTTCTTTGCAACCGCGAATTTTTCAGTGGCGCAGGTAAGCTTTGTTCAAAAAATACTGTCAGTAGTTGCTATTTTGTTTGATTTTAACTCGATTGGTCCTGTCTCAGGGACCTCTAGCTTTAGTCATTTGCTTTATTTTGCAAAACTTTGTAGATTATTGTTAATGCTCGTTAAGTAGATGTAACAACATGATTTCACGTGTAATTTGGTGTCAATAAGCACGAGTAAATTTTTCGGTTTCGTGCAATTTGATTTGTCGTTGAAAAATTTACTAATGCTTATTTACACCAAATTGCACGAGAAATCATAATGCTACTTGTTAAGAATTTGCATGAAAAACGCATCAGAAAATTCAAGATGGACGAAATCATGGCAGCTATTTGTTATTTACACTTGTGTTACAACTTTGCATTCGTGTTACGTGAAAAATGCACTCTTTTTTAGCCAATTAGATGTTCATGTATATTAATGTAAATGTATGTAATGTAACTATAATTACATACTCACTGGTAAATCCCACATTTCAACTAGAATGTAGAGGTGAACAAGGAGTAAGTTTTAAACTCGGTAAAGAAATAGAGAAAGATGTTTTTCATCTTGTCACAAGCAGAGGATAAAGAAAACACTCTGAGTCCCCATGAGGAATCGACACTCAGACCTTTGGATTCCGTGCACTGATGCTCTGCCTCTGAGCCACAAGGTTCAGTTATGCTCAAGTTATGTTCCAGAAATTGTGCTAAAAAGATTGTGTATATAAAGAAAATTTTTTGTGCTGGTCACTGAAGGCTTAGTCTCAATAAAAGGTTTTAGCCAACCATCTGTCGCTCATTTATCAAAAAAAAATTTTACCAAGCAAACAATCTTGGAGCACTAATTGAGCTTGGTAACTGTGCTCTCAAAGAAAATCATGTGCTATTCATGGTTTGTCTCCTATTCTAGTTTTATGAAATTTTTGTCATGTCATCCTTTTCACAGCTCTTATGTCACAGAAACAAACATTCCATCTTGATTCACCAGCCAGAAAATTCTTTGCCTGTCAATTACAGCACTGTTCATTGAGCCATAACGGAACTGAAGGACAATGGTTGTACAAAAATGAAAATGTGAAATTTTGTTTCAAACAAGTTTGGGTGCAAGGTATTGTTGTTCTGGTGGGAGCTGATGGAAATGACTTTTTACTGGATGATGGTACAGGTATCACGGAAGTCACAGGTGTTACCAAGCTTGTGAGAGATTTTTCCCTTCATAAAGGTAGGTATTGTGGACGAGATATTATTTAATTAATGATTGCAGGGTGTGAAATTAACTTTTTTTTCTGACAGCCACTCTGCTCCTAAATTCTTTGAAGAGGTAGCCAATTCAAAAAAAGTTGGTTGCCATTTTCAAAGACAAACAAAACCTTTTTTTACACTGTCATCATTCTAGAAATTAAGTTAGGGAAAAGATCTTTAATGTGTTACAAAGTGGACACTAGGATGGATGATATGCCATGTTCAAGCTCACCTAAATCCAAGATGGCATCTAGTTATCAATCAAGATGCATGTGCTGCGTTTTGGAAACAAACTTAACAAGGAAGTTTGCCGCAGATTTATCTTTGCAAATCTTGTTAATTCACTCTATCTCTAGGTAAGGTTATGATGAAACATTCTAGTTGCCAATTTGGCAACTAATTTTCAAGATTTGGTCGCCAAAGTGAAAAATTTAGTTGCATTGGCGCCTGTATTAGGTACGATTTCATGCCTTGGATTATCATACTAGAAAATGTTCAGACTGTTTCCAGTCCATTGCTTGTGCCTAATCTCTACAGTGATACATTGAAACCAATGAACATCACAGAATTACTTGAAAATTTTGTTATGTTGGAAATCAAGGAGTAACAAGCATTTTCTCCAATGTGATTGGTGTTAACACAAAAACTGTACCTGAAATATTCTAAGTGTTTGCGGTTTTTCTCTGAGAGATGCAGTGGCTTATGGTTAGTGCACTGGACTCTGAGTCTAGAGGTCAGACACTGACAGGGTCTTTGTGTTGTGTTCTTGGGCAAATAGTTTACCTTCACAGAGCTTCTCTCCACCCATGCATGTAAACAGGTACATGGAACCTGTCATGGAAGCTTAATGAAGTGATGGGGTAGCCTTGTAATGGACTAGACCCCATGCAGGGGGGGTGGGTGGGGGGCTGGTGATACTCCTAGTTGCTTCATGCTATGGAAACTAAGGTTAGCTTCGACTGGTTGGGCTTCTTAGATCAAGTACAGACTGTACCTTCTGTAGTGAACACACCAATAAATTCTCAAAACTTGTTTAAAATTACATAACCATTGTTATCTGAAATACATATAGAGATGATTCAAATGACAGTAATTTACAATGATAACAAACAAGAAGAATAAAGTTAAAGGAAGAAAGTGCAGCAAGAACATACCTGACAGTTGGGATATTAGTGCGAACGATGTGGTGATACTGTGCAGAGGTTGGGGGCCAGCAAACTGCTGAATGACTGTTGCAACACCTGCTTTTACCTCATGGTTTTCAGAAACTGATAATAAGATCTTACTTCATAAATTGTGATGACTTAGCCAAAAATCTATGACTTTTTTTACTCTATTTTATTGATTTTTATTGATTTGTCCGCTCTAACCTCTCAGTACCCTTTCAACTTTGCCTATCCTAGCAAGTAAGCAAGACACATATGAACCTAGAGTTCATATGTGTCTTAGCTCTCCTCAGCTAAGTTGGTTGTGCATCCTTGTGCAAAATTTAACCTGCTAGGCACTGAGACTTTCTGTAGAGCCTTCTCCCTTGCATTTTGACCAATGCTCAATATCCCTGAGGTATATTTTTTATTTGGTCCAATAAGATGAATCTTCAAATTATCTTTACAGGAATGTATGTGATGATTGCTGGAAGACTGCAATCAGTAGGCAATTTTGATCAGAAACAATACCCAACCATCAAGGTTTTGAAAATTGCCAACCTCAGCAGTAATCCTCAGAGTGAGATGTTATGGATAGTGGAGGTAATAGATGCCCAGTCTAAATCTGGAATAAACAGAAAATAGAAATATACCATATACGGGTATTTTCATTTTCATTTTCCTTTTTTTTTTTTTTTTTTTTTTGTGATGACATTTGTTTCGAGCGAATCAGACTTGTGTCCTTTATGATCTATGTACGTCTTAAAATAAATGCGCGTGGTCTTCAGATTGTAAATGTGTCTTTGTCAACACATACCTGTAGACGTTGGCTTTACAGTCGACCTCAGAGCTTTGATTCAAAGAAAGTTTCAGCACAGCTAACATGTGGAAACGAAGCAAGAGAATAAAAACCACGGCATACATATGGGGTCATAGAGCAGATTAGGCAACGGATGTAAGAAGACGAGAGGGTAAATGAATTGGCGTTATTCACATTTTATTTCGTCGACTCAGGAAAGAAAAACACTTGTACGCTAATGTCATTAACAAAGGGGAAATTTAATCGCAATTTTAAGGAAAATTCAAGTTATATAAGAAGCGTTAAATGACATAACATACCTAAACTGAAAATTGTGTTACAATTTGCTACAATCTCTATATCTCTACAATCTCCGCGTGTCTAAACTGTTTGTCGTGGTTTCCGATATCGAATTTCCAGCCGTGTTTATCAGTCGCTAAGGGTGTCCCACATTATCTAGTATGGAAACCATGGGAGATATCTTGTGACGGCTTCGTCAAAGTCTAGGAAATTTTGCTTAATTTTCTAAAGATTCTACATCATGGAAGGTCGTCGCGCCCGAACAAGAAGCAGCTCTAGCGCTTCAAGTCTGTTCTTCCCCGCACCGAAAGTACCTCCTCAAAAGGGTAATTTCGTAATGACCTTTTTCTCGTGTCCTGTTGGCAATGTCGAGCAAGCGTCGTCTTCAACGCACTCAGCGCGCCCCAGAGCCACAACAATCGTGGACAATACATACAAGATGAAGCCTGAGAAACGATTCAGCGCTGAAGAGGTTCGAAGCATCATTGTTCAGCATCTACAGTCGCTAGAGTCGCAAACGTACGAGGCGAAGAGATGCAGAGAGCTCGCTAAAGGTATGTCTAACTCAATCATGAGCGACTTGAAACAGCTTGGCTACGCTCGGTTTAAATTCGTGTGTTCCGTGACGATTGGACAAGTAAAAGGGCAAGATGTGAGAATTTCCAGCCGTTCCATCTGGGACACTGACTGTGATACGTTTGTGTCAGAGAGCTACCATAACGACTCTGTATTTGCTGTCTGTGTTGTGTTCGGAGTTTATCAAGAGTAGTTCGATCGCTGCACATGACAATCACGTCTTTGCGTCCTTCAAGAATGACTTGATTTTTGATTGACTACAATCTGAGGGAAGCTACAGTTAAAAACTGCCTAGCTTAGCCCCGAATGTCGTACTCTCGTGCCAGAAAATTTCAAGAACAGTGCATCTTCGGTGAAGTTTATCCAGAAGAAGAAATTGCGATTTAAATCAGCGTTTTTATTAATAGCTGGTTTTCTCTCTGGGCGCCTTATTTTAGGTCGAAACTACACTTCATACTGAAGGAAATTGCCAATATACTGCATCTAAACATACTTATTTCAACCAAGCGTAGGCGCTTCAAATATACTTTCAAATATTTGGTTAATGGATATCGAACGTATAACGAAGGTTTGATCGCATATTTTCGTATCCGGTTTGGTTTATGCGAAATTATGATCAAATTAAAGTTTGAACAAACTAAATGAGTTGAAGAGAAACTTCTCAACTGCATTTACATGGCAGAAAAAAATAGAATTAAATCTTATTAACGTTAATTTACTTTTAGGTGGTTTACCACCCAAAATGTTTTGATGACCTCCTGATTAAACTGTCATCAAAACCTTGATTTGTTATGCTGTCATAGTGATGTAATAAGAGTAGGTTTTTTTTACAAGAACTTCCTCCACCCAGGTGGGGTCGGTAAAGAGGTGCCAGGTGCTAGTATTTGTGATAGCTAGATCACCCTTATGTCTCGATAACAATCTGAAAATCATAACCCACGAGTTCTTCTTAAACGATAAGAAAAAGAAAATTGCAAAGGTAGATCAGGTGTTCGCGATATTTTGGGCCACAGCCATTTGCCATCTGGTCACGCTGCTCCCATGTCCAGCCTCCGTTCCTCGTTTCCTTTTCTACGGTTCTCCTCCAAGTTCCTTAGGGCGGCCTCTCTTTGTCGGCCGTCGGGCAGTCTATCGAAGGGAGAACTTTCATCACATTTTCGTGTTCATAAATGACTTTTGGGTCTGGCCCGATCAGATTCTTTCGCTGTGAGTGAGAAACATGCGTCATTTATACACGATCTTGACTGCTGTAACGAGTTGTTGGTGGAACAGAAGTGTTGTCAGCGCACAAGCTGCGCCAAAGCCCCTTTACTCGTGATGTAAACACAAACGCCAGTGCAACATACAGTCCCGTGAAAGTTGTTGATATGATAAACGGGTATCGAAAGTATTCCGACACCAGACCCTGCAAGAAGCCAAGAATCCATGTAAACCCCATCAGGATAAAAATTTTGGCAAATACCGCGGCAGTTTTGTGATTCGCTGCGTGGTGAGTTGCCTCTCTCGCCTGCTGGTTTGTTTTCCGTATAGCTATCACAGTCAAGACAAAGAACACAATGTTAAACGAAATGGCGATAGCTATTGGCAAAATGAACGAGAACAAATTTGCAGTGGGAATGTTTATCCAGCAGCTGTTGGTCCCAGTCTCGCCATAGCGAAAAGAGGCCGCGCGGGACTGGTCAAGAGTTACGCACACAAAGACAAAAACAAACGGAGGGACCCATCCGCAAGCCATTCTTCTTAGCACGTTACCACACTTTTGCCTTCTGCTTGGATTTCTGGGCTGGATGCGGATTTTGGAAAATGTCCTCCACGTTTCAAATGCAATAATTGACATCCAAGTGAAGGACGCTAATAAGAAATAATGCATTGTTATGGCAACTATTGTACATGCAAGCTTTGGCAATCCGCATCCAGAAGCAATGAAAAGTGAGTCCTTAAACAAATGTGCTATAGAAAAATTCATCAAATTGACTCCGGGTAAAGTGCGAAGCTCTTTAAATAGTGAATAAGTCACTAAGACTATCAGAAAACTGAAAATCGAGACGGAGAGACCGACATAAGTTAGCACCTCCGGGACCATTTCCTCCATCGTTGAATCATTCGTCAGCGTTTCATAAGAGTAACTCGAAGAGAAGTTTACACAAAACCATAGATATCCATTAATAAAATGAAACCGTCCAGGCTTTATGACTTCTCCCGAAACGTTTCGATAAAGAGAATAGTTTGACGAAATGAAATATTCGTCCTTCGTCAATCGAATGAAAACCCCTGAACAGTTTATCGCGGGTTGTTTGCACACTGTAAGGACCCCTGAGGGAACGTAAGACCCATTTGTCAGATTGATTTCGTTCGTGTAAAAGTCAATTTCTTGAAACGTTTCTCCAGTAGCTGAGATAGTTACTACATCTCCTTGCAATGTATACTCATCGGGTTGGAAGATTTCTTTTACAGGACAATTAAAATATCTCATAATTACATTGAAGACAGTAAAGTTTGTGCCATTGAATTCAATAGAAAGAGAGCTTAGTGCCGTCTTGAGGCTACGAAAAGAAAAGTCCGATATCGTTTGGCTTAAATCGAGATTAAAAGCTGCTGTGACTGTTGCCGTAAGCTCAAGAGTACCCGGAAGATATGCAATTGCGATTCCGGAAATAGATGTGTCATTTATGTCCAACTTCCCGACAATGGCTTGTTTAACTTGAGGCTCAGTTATAATTGGAAATTGCAGAGGTGAAATGTTAGCACGCATGAAAATCGCAACGATAAAGACTCTTTTACTGAAGGTTGTCAAATCAAAGGCACTTATACCGAAGCGGCAAACTTGGATGAAATTGTCATAGACTTGACCCCTTGGACATTGAGTTTTTGATATTCTTCTAGCAGGTATTTCTCTTGGGGTGGAAGGATCCAGCTCGAAAAGAACTGTATAGGAATAACCCTGCACCTCAAGACTCGTCTTCTGGAGCTTCGTCAGGATCCATTGTGTTAAATTAAATGCACCCGTCAAATGTCTGGTGGTATTCAATGTCAACGAGTGATTGAAAGTAGAATTCCCATAACTTTCTACTCCATTTACTGACAAAGGGCCAACATTTCTACGTCCTCTTTTCACGTGTTTTTCTACAAGAAACGAGCAATTTTTTCAGGACAAAGTTTCTAAATTTATGAATGATGTAATCACGCAAGCTTTGAGCAAATACAAATGATTTATTGAACAAAGAGTGAAGTAGAGAATGCTCTTTTTTCGTCCTTTCTCTCGGATTGTGGGACAAAGTAAAAGTTTTGCGTCCCATAAGGAACTGAACCTCAGAGCTTCAGATTCCGCGTTCAGATATGCTCTTCCACTGAGCCCACTGATCATGGCAATATGCAGGACTCGTGTTGTTTAACAACCCAGGAATGGCCGCAAGATTACGAAAGAGTCTCTGTGGCTCAGTAATAGAGCATCGAAGCGCGGAATTTGAAAGTGTGACGTTCAGTTCCTCACGTGGACTCTGAAGTTTTATTGTTTTGTTCAGTTCACGTTCGTGAAAACACAAACATGACGCCATCAACACTGCTGATCCTTGCAGTATGCTGAAAGGACGCGTGTAATAAATGAACTTCGAAATGGTCTTGCTCACGGCCGTAGAGTCTCTGTGGCTCAGTGGTAGAGCATCGGAGGTCTGTGGTTCGATTCCTCACGGAGACAAGACAAAAAAAAATCTTTCGATACGAAAGAACAGGTTTCCCTATTTCATCACTAAGCTAAAATTTAACTTCTTATTCCAAAGAGTGAAGTGTTGTGATATATGCAGATGTTGGCCACATCCATAACTGACAAATTAGTGGCCCTTTGTGAAATTATTTAGAGTGTAAATCTTGTGTGGTGTTTTGTAAAGATTATATCGTTTTCCTGCCTACCTGCAAGCTCTGTCAGCTTTCCACTGCATCTCGAAGGGCAGCCCTCTAATATCAAACAGTTAACAGCGAGATAGAGCCCTAAGCAGCTCGAATGTTTCCACATCATCAGAATCATCATGGAGACTGCCACGGAGTGATCGGTAGTCCTAATTGAAACTAGACAAAATACTTTTTTTGTTCTCCGTTCCTTTAAGAATTATAGATCTATTGACATGTCTGCCTAATATAAGTAAAAAATCATTGCTATATATGCTAAGTATTGATAAGAGATTGGTCAAACTTTCGTAACCTGTCAAATATAGTCGAAATGACATCATTAGCAATTCTATCGTGTAGGTTCATGCTGCGAGATATTAGGAGGTCGTTTTTCGGCGCCATTAGCCGCAGACAACGGTGTGCTGAGGATAACAATGATCAGCAATCAATTTTTCTTTGGACGGACGGCTTAGAAATACCCAAAGTTTTAAAACGCAGGTACAGGGTTGTTGTTCTATTTACGAAATTCCTGGTCCGTTACGATGATGCTTTGGGACGCGTTCTTTGTAATATTAATCGTTGTCTGGAAGCGTGGTGGAGTTTTCAAAGGTAGCTGTTTTCTTTTTTTTCAGCAGAGAATAAACAATTCTTAATTTGAAAAACTACAGACAACTTTATGGCTGTGTGCCTATGCTTTGAAATCATCTGTAATCAGTTTTCCTATAACGCAATTTGCATTGGAAATTTTAGCACGTACTGCCTTGATCGTGCCTTTAGGTGCATACGTATGTAGCAGTCTCTTCCCTTTCTACCAAAAGGGAGAGGCTTGAGCCGAACATGAATCATGGGGTTAGCATTGGAAGACATGTCAAAAACGCGTAACTCCCTTTTTATTTGCTCCCTTTCGCTTTATGCTTTCGCGTGACACTTATTGAGCTAAAAGGAACAGAAAAACATGCTACACAGATAATTGTTTTTTTCATTGATCTCCCTTATGCAAAAATCTTTTGTTTTTTATTTCCGACGTTGTAAATGTTATCTTTTTTTGATAAGTCAAGTACTCTATAGGATTATGCAAACACGTTAAGATGCGTTTTCAATTAAAACCTCGTATGAATTGAGGTATAGTTGACAGATTAGTCACAACGACCCGCTTTGGCGCCTTAAGTAATGTTATTAATCTGAAAAAGCTTTTTTTTTTAATTATTATTTAAAAAGCCATCTCTGAGGACTTTAATTGACCAATTCTTTTTTTTTTTCATAAATTACATGTCCTAGTCTCATACAAAGAATTCTCCTCGTTAAACACGCATATAAAATTTTCGAATGGATTTTTTGTTTGCACAAAGCTTTGACTTCTGATTTTAAAATTATTTGATGCGATTAAAAAGACTTCTGATTTTAAAATTATTTGATGCGATTAAAAAGAGACGGTTGGAGCAACAAGGCGAGAAAAAGATGGAATTTTTTGGCTTGAAACATGGACAAACAAACCAATTATCGAGTTTAAGAGTGACCGGCGTCTAATTTCTCCTTATCATTTCACCCCTGAACCAAACATTAAGGTCACAAAAATAAAGGAAATGATCACCAACTAATGTTTCTTGATTGTTTAACAAATTCTCGGATCAATATCAGTATCTAGGCAACTGCCCACCTAACCCAACATTAACCTTAACTTGTTGTCAATTGACTGTTGTTGAGTTAGGGGGTGGGCAGTTGCCCAGATACTGATACTGATCCAAATTCTCCTTGTCAGAACCCTAGAAAATGTACAGAGAACAGTTTAAAGAACATACATACTGATATTAAAGGTGTTAAGTGGCACGGTGTAATCTTACCGACAGAAAAACGCTAGTATTAAGGAGCGGATCACCCTCTAAAGAAGATCTTGCTTGTTAGACAAACTCTCCTAATCAGCATTTTAGGAAATGTTTACAGAGCTTTGTGGCCTCTTCCTAGGTCTCTATCTCTCAACTCCGTTTGACTGTGGTGGATCATTGTTGGTTTAAGTGGAGTTGGAGAATCGGTGAAAAGAAATTGAGATTCTTTGCTCCCAAAAAAAGCCTTGAAAGAATACTAGGTTTTTTGCTTCTAGATGTTGATCCACTGAGAGTTTACACCAAACTCTTAGACTTTGATTAATTTAGGGCTTGAAAAAGATCTCTTCGTATTGACCTAACAAACGAACCATCTACCCAGAATTCAATTTGAAGTAGTACCCTTTCCTAGAGTGATCTTGTATGCAATATTCGCTAGACCCATTCACCGTTGGTAATATTTAATGGCTTTTCTCCATTAGCAGATGCCGCGTTCGCCATCTTGAGACGTTCAAGCTGTTTGCAATGTTTTAGCCGTAGCTCTTTATATGTCATCGAAAACCGTTGATAAAATTCCTCTACCAATTCCTGTAACTGTAATTTAGCCATGATGTATTCTGTTCTTTGTCTTTCTCGTTTGGCTAAAAAAGGAAACAAAAAGCTATTGATAAGTCTCTCCTCTACCAGTCCATTGACTTTTTGACCCCTGAGATTGACTAAGATATATCTTCTCCTTACAGTATCACCCCTGAGTCACAGATTAAGGTTTTGGGAATAAAGAAAATAATGACCTACTAAAGAAGCCTAAATTCCCTTTTCACTGCTTTAGTAACGTTCATTACTGCGAAGATCAATCTCATCTCCATTTATAAATCCGCAGTTCAAATAAATGATGTTCATATATTCACATTCATTCGAAGCTCTTATTGTCAAACAAATTCTCCTTACCAGCACCTTAGGATATGTATAGAGAACAGTATGGAGAATATGCACACCGATTGGTTCAACGGATGATGTCAGTTTCCTTTAAGGGAGTGAGATTAGCAAACCCATAGATTTGCTCCTTTCTCCAAAGCTCGTGGCAAATAAATGAAAAATTTCTTCATTTGATGGCCAGGCTCAGAACTTAGCATGTGTCTGTATCTATTTACCTTGTATCTGATATCGTCTTTTCTGTTGTCCTTTATACCACGAGTGATACACCAATCCCATGAACACAGCCAGAAATAGAAGAGCCAGGAAAATAAACATTGTCACTTGATAGATGTGAGTTCTTGGATCCAGCAGGGGAATGCTGGTTGTCTCGCTCTTGTGAATGGAAGTCTGGACGGAAAACTCAGATCGATTAGAGCCCTTCACGAGCGAATTTTGTCACAATGGTCGGTCCGAGCAAACCAAAATACTCAAGACGACAACAAGAGATAAAAACAAATTACGTTTAAACGGCCTTGAACGTCAGAAAACGTGTGTGACCAAGTCTCAACGTTGATTTCGCTTTTGCATGAGATTGCTGATACATTGGACCTGGTTCTCTTAATGGACCAATTACATAGCATGGCGAAGATACACCACAAAAGAACTTGGATTGATTTTTGAACAGGAATGTTCAGGAATGTAACACTCACCTTGTTCTCTTTCTTCTCTTCATTAGTTCTCTTCTTCAGCACCTCTGTAACTGCTACAGTACCCTTTGTCTCGATGTAATAGCGAAAATGCTTCTCAAGTTTGCCTGCATTTCTACTTATCACAGCCCCAGAGGTAAACTCAAAAGGGATTATTTGACTGATAACTATCCAAGTGACATTAAACAAATCGCTCCTGTAACTTGCTGTGTACAGGTCTACTAGGATGCCATCAACCTCTCCGTACTCCAGGGCTGTTACAAGCTTCTCTAATGTGAGAAATGTCTTACCTAATAGAAAAGAAAATCTCACATCTATGTTTAGATTAAAAGTGACCAAGCTGAGTAATTTCATAGTTTTTTTTTTTTTTTTTTTCATTTTGTCACCATTGTGGGATGAAGAAAAAATCTGAGCACCTTGAGGAATCGTAGACTTGTTTGTTTGTTCTGTTTTGCTTCGCTTTATCTTTTTTTTTAACTGTTCCAATATGATTTCTTAGTCGAAAAAGTGCATTGAGAATACTACCTAAAATTCCCAATGTAAAATACTACTCAGAATTCCCTGACAGACGGGGTTTTACTTGGTGTCTACAAAACCAAACCCTCTTGTTTGATTGCTGGACTACTCATCTTTCAGCGCTCCCAAAGAGACTAATAAATGACCATCTGTTGAGAACTGTCTTCACTTAGACAACCCACATTTCTTGAGATAAATGTTGTTTTTCAATAATTAAAGATTTCGACTTACCCTCGCCTGCTTTGGATATGAATCTGATTATCAGATCATACTCAGGAAACTGAGCCAGCGCGCCCACCTGTGCAAGGAAAAGTAGTCTCTTTAACATGTATCATTATGTGGATGTAAAATTACATTTCAATAAGTATTTAGCTACCAAAATTTTTAGGAGTTAGAATTGCTTACCTTTTTTCCCCGAGCTACGTTTAAATTTCGATCAAGGATTCGTACAGACATGGATGATGTAAGTGAGCTGACGAGAAGGGACGACAGAACGATCCCTGTCAAAAACCACAAGATGGCAATAGATCTGCCAAGATGGGTCTTTGGGTATCTGTCACCATAACTACAAAACAATAAAAGGGAAAAAAGCAACGTTTTATAAAGGCAAAGACTTGGAAGAGGAAGGGAATGGTATCCACACTCTATGCGGTGAATTATTCTCATACCCGACTGTTGTCATGGTCATAAAAGACCACCATATTCCGTCCACGATACCTTTGTAAAGCGGATGTTTGAAATGTTTATCATTGTGGCTAGATTCCTGGAAAAGAAACAGACGTTGTTATAAAAAAATTTATCTGTTCCTCTATGTTAGATGATAAGTTTAATGACTCAATCAGCTGGAATTCGTAGAATGATCTAGGACAAAGAATGATCTAGGACAAAACTCCAACTAAAAGTTAGGTTCGTTTTATACTTTTGTTGTCACCTTTCAACACCAGTTTCGCTTCAGGTCTTAGATGTCTTGAATTTGATAATGTATATTAGTGAAAAGTGCAATTAATTTAGTCGTCGATAGTAGTCAGGGAAAGCATAGATAGTTTACTTTCATTCTAATATCGAGTAAGATGTTAACCAGCGCAGCCGGCTTTCAACCAATCAAATGCGTTTTTTAGGAAAATGCACCTCAATGAGTCCAAACGGAGGGAGGTCCTGTGCTGCTGGTTAGAAGTCAGGGAAAGTTAAACTCCAAGACAAGACAAAGAACCACTTGCAACTACGCACAAACGCGTGTAACTGGATTCTAGCACGTGCCAGTTTTTGTTCATAGCACATGCAAGCACATTGCTGTCACTTTTTTCGTTTAGTTAACTTACTGCGAACCATATTACGAAACCCATCAATATCGCCAGCGTAATAAAAATCGCGAAAATAGACCAGCATCTCAGGACTGAGTTGCCCAGATCTCGAGCATAGCCAGATGGCGTCTTCTTCCTGGTCATCAGAGCCACACCTGGGACTGTGATGAGGGGGACATACGAATGGGTGCCTCTGTAAGTGGTTCGTCCCACTGCTGACCTGATAGGGAACCGAAAATCCATCTTTATTCGACTGTCCGGTTCTGTGATCTTCTCAGTTGTGTCTATGGCGAAGCTGATGTTCCACACTTTGTAGCTGTGGCACGTTCCACACGAAGCCTGAAGCATGTGCACGAGGAGTTCTGGGATTAGACCACGCGGTTCGCCGCTTAAGCGGTCTTCTGCGACGTACGGGGGGCTTGGGGCCCAGTTTGCGTACATAAGATGTGGACAGCGGCACGTTTCTAGGAAACAATGGTAAAGAGAATGAATAATAATAAATTGAAGCCACATTCGCGTTTTCATGAATTATTTTATCCATGAACCAGACATTTTGAATTGGTCAATTTCTGCCTCTGAGAAAACTAGGAGACTTCTGCACCCTAATTGAATACATCAAAATCAGTAGAACATCAATTCATGGACATAGCAGCCGTAGAAATGAAGTTTATCAGCTGTCATCAAAACTTTAAGAAGAAGGAGTTTTTTTTAACCTTTTGTACTTTGATCTTCAGGCGTAAATGGAACATATGAAAAAATTTAACATTGCGCATGCGCACAATGACTAATTTTTTTTCACAACGATCCATTTTTTCAGTTTCCCATAACTTTAAGGAACTAGTTACTTCCTCTCTGGTTGTGTATCGATGCTAATCCTACGCAAGTAAGTCAACCTCTTCCTCCTTTCCCTCTCCCATTCCCCATTAGTTTTGTCAGTTACCCCTGACGGTTCCTTTTTTCATTCTCGTGGGTGAGGAACAGACACTATCAGAAGCTCATCGCACCGACCAATTTACAAAAATTGATAAAAATGATCATTCTTTTACTTTACTTGTAAAAATAACTTTCTTCTTTTTCGACTCGCCGTCCATCGTGATAGCTTCTACCATAACTTTATAGGTAGTGTACGTTTCCAGATCTCCCACCGACACTTCTAGAGAGTCTGCGCTCACATTTAGAGAAATATGGGACGAATTCACGGGCTCGTTGACTGAAGAGACTGCCTGATAGGTCACGTGATAGTATATCAATTGACTGAGCACTTCATCACGTGGTTTGTTCCATGTGATTTTGAAGCCTGTTGGACTACTGTTGTTGTTCGCTTGCATCTCAGGAAACAAAGTTTCTGTAAATATTAACGAGATTACTAAATTACTGTTCAGCAGGTATAAACCAATGTCTTCCAAAACCTTCAGGTGAATTGCCAATTATACCTAGAGACGTTTTACTTCTTCAGATAAAAGAACTGATGTGAACAGAAGAAACAGAAGAAACAGAACAATTTATAGTAAATGGTGCAACACTACTGAAAAATTCTCACATCTAATTTACCCTCCTCCCCCCTCCCCCCCGTTTCGTCCGGTTATAAACATTTTGATTTGGGCCGATTTCGGACACTTTTGCCTTTTTTCCGACGCTTACGGAAATAAGGCAAAATTTGTCTCATTTCGAACACTTTAATCAATTTTGTGATGAAATTGGCTTGTTTTTCTTTTATTACTAATATCTCATGGCTTATTATTAATCGTTTTACCTTCGGACCACGTCCAACCCTCAGTGCAGTTGCTCTCTCTTCCATTTCCCTTCTTTGTGAAGGCCAGGACTTTGACACAAACATTTGGCACTACTGGTGATATTTCGAACGAAAACTGAGTCTGATTCACATCCACAGTCTCAGAAAGTAAAATGGACTCAGTGTTAAGTCTTAAAATCAGCAACTTGTATCCAAGAATAATTCCATTCTCGTGATCTGGAGGTACTGATTGCCAGCTAACTGAGAATGCCGTGGAATTTAAAGGTGCAGTGGTTACGTTTATCGGCGCCCAACTTGGCACTAAAAGAAACAAACAAACAAACAAACTTAAAACACAGAAACAAACAGGGAAACTAAAGAGGGGTGTCAATGTTAATAATACGCAGTCGTTCTTAGTGCACTAATTTTGCTAAGTTTAGATGACTCCAAACTACTTCGTTAATTTTAACGTTTCCTAAAACTAGTGGGGTGAGGTTATTTTTCAACGTTCTGAGATCATTTTGAGGGTTTTTTTTGTCTATGAAGTTTAATCAGCTTATCAAGATTGACCTAAAAATTGAGGTGGCGAAGAACCTTTTGCAAATATTTTTTTAAAGAAACACAAGTAACATTCAGAGAGGCACAATGCAATAAACAGTGATCGTTGTTTAGTAGAGGAATCCCTACATTATGAACAGCACCAAATATAGCAACATAGAGGTGTGAGCCTTACCGCTCTCTTCTGTTAGCACAAAAACACAGGAGGTCTCCGGTCCTTCTCCCTTTCGTGTAAATCCCAACATTTTGATGCAATACCACGCAAACGGCTTCACTTTACCACTTAACACTGTCACATGTGTGTCACCGTAGATGACAGTTTCAAATCTAGGCCAGAACTTAGTCTCTTCATCAACCGGTTTTTCCAAATGAAAAGTGGCGCTCATTTTCATGTACGTGAGTTTAAATCCCAGGATGATGCCGTTTCGATCCTTTTCTGGAATTGGTTTCCATCTCACTTTTATCGACTTTTGATCTGTATTTACTGCAGTGACAGCTTGCGGTGGGGAGTCTGGAGCTGAGGAGGAAGATGAAAGGTTTCCTTTGATCGAATGGTGTTACCGTGGCCTATGACTCAAAACTGAACAATCACTTAACAGGAGCGAAGACTGAACGGCTCCATCTATTTTCTTAATTTGTTTTTCTTGCTCTGGTTCTAAGAACTGATTGGCGCTATTGAATTCAGCAGGAACCATTGTAATTTTCTAGATGTCACTGGTTAAATTTAGTGATTAATGCTTTAGTGGTCTGCATTCCCTTTTGGAATTGCATTGAAGGAGGGAGAAAAAGGTTCCTTCTCCATGAATGAGGGTAATAGTCGTTTCAGGGTATAACAAGTCGCTGAAGAATTGTATATGGTCTTCTAAAATCCTCATGAGAGAAAATCTAACTTGGAACTCGAGAACACCTTATATTTCCTGTTCAAATACAATGATCGCTTTATCTCAATGCAAACTTCGATGCTTTGGGAAATTTGAACATCCCCTCAGAATCACCTTAAGTTGTACAGAATAAACCTCCCCAAATTCTACACCAAAATAAAGGAGAATGTCACATACTGCTATCTTCTGTCACAAAATTAAAACATTCTTCCTTCCACAAGCTTCCAAAAGCTGTTTGTGGTTCAACCGTGACACAGTAGTTGGTGAAGATCTTTAGACCTTGAAATGAGATAGAGTCGACACTCGTGTTCACCAGTCTCTCTCTACTAATGTCTCTGTCAGATTTGAGACTGACTTCGTACCCAGTAAAATCAACAACACTCGCTGAAGATCGTTCAAGGGGTATCCAAGATACTACAGCTGTAGTTGTGGTAATGTTGTGGACCTGCACGGGCACTGAAGGATCCTCCTCTAAAGATGAAGTTATTACACAGAGGAAAGTTAATATAGTAATAAGGCCAGTTGGAGTCAAATTTTTACCGGAAATAGGATGGTTTGTCAGTGTAGTTTACAGAAACACCGTAAGTAATATCTCAGAATTTACCATAACATCACGAACCGCGCAATTCCTTTGTATTTTTCGTCATTGCTTTTGCCCCAACCCTGTTGCTTTGGATTCCTTATTTCATTTGTTTTTTTACGTTTTTAGTCATCATCTGGCTCCCAACAGTGTTCAACACTAAAACGGTTAACATGTCAAATCAGATAACTAGTTACTAGTTGGATGAATGAGGACAATGGTCCATTTTACAATTGCGTGCTTGGTTACCAAGCCTTTGAACAGGTTTGAGGCTAAGTTTGACCTTGTTATGATACACACCTTGCTGCTTCTCAAATGTAAATTACTTTTTTAACATGCTTACTAGACACTGGTCTCTATCACAATAAGGTCACCTTCAGCCTCACTCCAAATCAAAGGCTCGGCAACTAAGTACACAACTGTAAAATGGCCTATTAGGTACTTTATCGGTACTCACTGTAGCCACTCGATTCATGCGTGGCACATTCTTGAGAATGATTTGGTTTTGTGGTGATACTAGTTTCCAGTCCCCCGCCACATGTTACGCCACACCGTTTCAATAAAATACAAGTGGTATGCACGGAAGACCCTGGAAAGAAGCGAATTAGACTCAAGGGTTTAAAATGAATCAGTGTGATGCATATAGTCATCTTGACTCTTCATCTCGCCATACTTTCCCTGAAATATGAGGCAAGCTTATTACGATAGCAAAATAATGAGTAATTCTTTAAATTCCTTTTTCTTTTTGTATTGTTACAGATTTCCATCGTTTACACAATACTGTAAAATCCAGTACTATTCGTGTAAATAAAGCCTGTTATTATGTTTACATGAGTTCAGCTAAGTCTAACTTACTGAGTATTGATACAGAAAAGATGTGTCTTTGAAAAAGTTGAGTGATTTGGCGCGATAACAGTAGCACAAAACATTTGTAGCGTGCTTATAGTCGAAAAAAATGGTTACATGGCTACGTTAATATGGTAAATTTAAGATTTTTTAAGGAGATCTGAACAATAAAATAATTTCACCCATGAAGATATCAATTACATAAACATATAATGCAGAGGTTTCATCTTTGCAACCAAGCCGGTGTTACCAAGGATACCTTTTGAGTAGAGAACCAGGACGTCGCTGTCCAATGGCTTCGTAGAGTTTGATCCGGGAAATTTAGCGTGAATATGAACGTGGTCATCAGAACGGTAGTTACTGTGTAGAGCCTCAATGTAATACAACTTTCTTCGCTCCAGTTGTTGAAAACAGGATTTCTGCTCAGGATATCTGTTCATTTTAAAGAGAAAAAGTTTAACAAAACTTTGCAATATGTTGTCTGACTAAGCTGAAATGTAGGCCAGGAATATTGAGATAATTAAATAATTGTGGTCTGGGCGGTTAGTCACTAATAGGGTATACTGTCATCACCGTGCGAACCGCTGACCTACAAAAAAGCATGCGTAGTTTACCTTTCCCATTGTTCATATTCAGTCCTGCGATGCTGACCGATTCGAATGACTTCTTTCTTATTTTCAGGCATTTCGTCCGAACTCAAATAGAAGACACACTCTGAATCACATGATGCATAGAAGGTGTAATTGCCACTGATAGGCGGCACGAAGTAAGCTTGAAGCCGCTGACCGTAAAAATCATCGTCATTTCTTGGCGGTGTAAACGTTGGAATGGTTTCGACCGTTCTTGGGGAGTTTGGAAACCTTAGATCTGAAGTCAGATGAGTCAGAAACCAGCCGCCACTAAGATCGGTCCATTTCTCTCGGCGAGCCCCTCGATATTCTGTTTTAATAAATGTCAACAAAAAATTCAAATTTTTGGATGATTTGATGGATCACCCGGATTGATCAATTACAAAAAGTTATATTAACCTGATTCACGAAAAGAGGGCATAAAAAGTATATTCCATCCTCTACACACGTAACTTTGGTGTTACGTTATGTATTCATTGTATAGACTGTTGGAAACGTTAACCAGCTATTGAAGCAATAACTCAGAGCTACCATAGTTAAGGTGTGATCATTACTGTGTCGACAAGTTCGATCTGTAATCATAGCGTAATACAATTTTGTCTCGTAAAGTGAGGTGTTTGCTGTCAGGGGCGAAGCGGAGGATTACAATGATCTCTTTTCAATATTTGTGTTTTTAAATACATTCCAAGTTTGGAACATTACGTTGCAAACTTGGAAAGAAATTTAAAGAGTACTTTATAAAGCATTGGGTTACAGAAGGTAATCATTTATTAGCTGAAGATACAGAAACCGAACCGATTTTTTTCTTCCTTTATTCCCTCTGGACTCCATTTTATTCTGGATCTCAGGCTTCAATTCATCTGAACTTGATAATCAATAGTAAAACCTACATAAATCTATGAAACCTCTTTTAAAATTATACGTTTTGAATAAAGCTCTCGATCAACATTCATTCTTTTGCTAATTTCTTATAATCAAGACTCGGCTACATAATGTCGAATTGCTTCATAAAATGTCAGCTTATAATTGCACTGGCAAATGACAGACGAAAGTTATAACCAATTTGGTGCTTGGCGTGCCCGCCGTTTTAAGCAGCACTCGACGAAAATGTTCTGAGAATCTTCAACGGGTACCATTCTACAGAAATTTGTTTTATCATTTTCAAACATGAAGAATTTTTTGCGGATTACCTAATATTTTATTGATGCTTTTTTGTACTGCCTTGTTAATTGGATTTCAAAGGACGAATGGTGATTTCCTCAGGTACTTGAGATTTTTTTTTTTTAAGTCAAGCTTGCTGTGAAATTTTGACTTTCCAATTTGAAAATTAGACCAAAAACTGCATGTCATAACAGATGAATATGGTGGGAGATAAGTTTTTTCTCTTCATCAAATGGTCTTACCTTTGGGGATGCACGTAGATATTTCCCCGATTGTTAATTTTGTCACGGCAATCAAAACGAAGAGCTGAAAAAATGAGGAAAACACTTAATAAAACATTCATTCATCGCAATAAATAGCAAGAAAGAACCTATCTTACCTGTGAAGTCGAGGAAAGCATTAACATTGGAAAGAAATTGATTCTAATTCTTGAATGAAGAAAAAGCTAACGATCGAGATTGTTTTTCTCCAATTTTTTCCTGATTCTGCTCTAAGAAAATTTACATCTGAGCTATAATATAGTTTGTCACATCACAGCGGATATTACAAGGAACGGTCAATCTAAACAGAACTTCTGAAAACAAAGGAGACAGCGTTTTCTCATTGTGTGGTTTCAAATAGCCAAAACATTCTATTTAAATGGCAATATGTTACTTGCGCAGATGTCTTAGTTCAGACACATATTTCCCATCACATAAATTAAATTATGTGTAAAAATTGTTTCGTATTCTCCAAACAAAAGATAAATTACTTATTGCCTTTTGTTTAGTATTTCCACAAAAATGAAAATGTTCATAAACAAATCTACAGACACGAAAGAGATCATAATTTTTGCTTCGTCGTTCCTGTTCAAAAACGCATCTTGCTAAGATAAAAAAAAAACACCATGATTTTTTTTAAGAGGTGTGAATAATTGGTCAGTTGATGCTCCTAAAAATATTGATGTGGTCAGAAATATAAAAGTGATTTCAATTAATTTGTAGACCACGGAAATTCTCTATGGTTATCAGTAAAATTATCAGTGTGGCTAAATATCAGGAAGTTCCAACTATATCATTGTCATTATTTCCTAAACATCCAAACTTAAGATTTCATCTTGGTTGGTTGCTTACAACTCTGTTACTTTGACTTATCACCTGAATCAGACACAATCAATTAAATGTTTGGGAAGGAAACAAAAAATCACTTCTCTATCGGTCGTCAACTTAAAATTTTCTGACTATGTTTGACAGTTGCGAAAAATTTCACTTGGAAATTCTCAGAATTTGTAGTTCTATTAAGATTATGTGGAGAAAAATTCTATCTAAGCCTAAATGCTAGTACTGAATACTGTGGTCCACCCTACAAATGTCGTGAATTTGGCCCTCGCATAGCCATCTCATAAAGAAAAGGGAAAGATATTTAAGATTTCCGTCCATTTTCAATGATGCTAAAATATCTCAAATGAGTTGAATCAGTTCAATTTCCTTCCAGGAAGTTCACGAAGTTTTTAATCTATAAATGAACTTAAGTTTTCCGAAACCTTCGAAAACCTTATTTCCATATCAAGATAACTAATTGATTCATACATACATTGGTTCGGGGGAGTATACGTGACTATTTTCATTGCCAGAAAATAGACAGCACTCGATGTAATATTTTGTTTTTCTAGACTTAACCTATTTTGCGTTTATTCGATTATGAGAAATAATCCCCCATGTGCTCAGCCAATATATCAACCCGTCATATATCTTTCTTATCGCCTCGTAGACTCCAAACATCAGAGTAAAAACAAAGCAAGTTATAGGCAATTTACTTTGCGGGAAGGTAAATGTTATTCACTAGCCATGGCCATTTTGCTATTTCCAACCAGATTCTATCTGAAAAGTGCTGTGTGGTAACTAGTATATGGTTTTGTGGTAAAGCAAAAAAATATTCGTTTCCAGGGAATCGCAGGGGTTAGATAACTTATATTTTCGAATCGAGATTTATATTTTGTGTTTAATATTCAAACCCGAATTACAATAATATTTCAATTTTGATGCTTTATTGTGATGTCTCAGATAACTTAATTTTTTAAATTAATACCAGGGTCAACAAGAAAGAAACGTCCATAACCAAGTACCATTAGGAAAATCTTCACAAAAGTAGAGGGAGTTTTTTTTCTTGAATCTGGTACACATATGGCTGACAATTTAAGAAATTTTCATCTTCACTTTTATCGTTATCATTATATTATCATCAGTATCTTCGTCATCATGAACGATCCTAAGAACTTTTTAGACTTAAACTGCTCTATACCTTGACCTTTTAAAACCACGCGGTCACAGGCAATTGATTTGGCGAAACCAAAAAGAGATAAATTCCTTAGCAGAGAGGGACAATTTGTTCTCCTTTCAAGATGTGTGCATGTAGAATGAATAGGAATGGGAATCATTGGATGCAATGTAATGCTTTTTACAGCTATGACTACTAAGCGTTTTCGTTATTAAAAACGCCATATTATTGTTGCGTTTATTCAAATTATAGCGAAATGTATGCACATGTTAGAAAAAAAGAAAACTTCCCACTTTACAAAAAAACATCTGTAATGTTCTAATCTTGCCTTGAATTTTCTACGTGAGGCTTCGCCTAAAACTGGGAAAACCTCACATTCAAATAATCACAGAGTAACTATAATGTTCATGATCTTCTTATGAAGCTTTGTTTTGACTAGTCTGATTAGAAGTGATATTTTTAACAGCATGGAAGAAATAAAAACTATCCGAGAGCTCATTATGCCGAAAAAAAATCTGATTATCTAATTCCGAAGAACCTATATTTTGATTGGAAAATTGTTAGTCTAGCTCGATCACACTCATAAAAGAACTAATTCAAAATGTTATTGTGTTTTAAATGACTTACTCTATATAGTCTTTTCATCTTTAATTCAAATGTGAGAAAAAAAAAATGAGCTTTTTTCTAGAAGCTTGCTCCCTTGATAATTCTGGGATGTATTATGATAAGATTTCCATCAAAATTGTAAACACTTCTGTTAAAATCCTGGAATCGGTAATCACCAATGAAAAGGTGCGTTATTAAAGTTTTTGTTAAATAGGAAATGAAATAATTAGCAGCAGGGTTACTTTGCCAAAGAAATTGAAACATTCTAAACTTTGCTTCCACATAAGAACTTTCAACAATACTCGAGGAAATATTGATTGTTTGGAAGCTTTCTTACAACTTACCGCCAACCGGAACTTAAACAATGCTAATGAATTCTTTAACTATGTTATTAATTAGCATTGCACTTAACGTTTTCAGCCACATGAATTTCGTTTTATTCTAAGAGGGAGAATAAGATTAAATTTCAGTCAGGCAGATCAGTTTGTGATCTCACCATGTCTATGAGCTCGATTTTGAATGAATACTGAGATTTATATACATTCAGGATATCTGCGAAAGTTCCGGTAAATCGACACTTTTAATTATCGTCAGAAATCTAGCCTAAATATGGACAAATATTCATTGTTTCGCACATCGCAGGAAACTAAAAACATTCCTTTCACACTGACCACATATTTTGTTCGCCTACCAATTAGAAGCCTAAACCTTGTTTTTATTTTAAACCTGAATCTTGAATGCTTGTTTATGAATATTTCTTTGGTCTTAATCCAGTCAAATTCAGTCAATTTTCGTTCTTACTTTATGGCATAACACTCAGTATAAAATATTTAATTAGATGATTTCGACTCATGCTTTCACCCTTGCGAAAGGCAAGTAAGTCAAATGTCAATGGACCGATTGATCGATATATGACTCATATTATGCATTAAATCCCAGATTTATTTCATGATGTAGATTTGGTGCGCTCTGTGAACTGAACAGATCGGAGTCGCTAGTGTCTTGCCTGCCTATCACTGCGTCAGGAAAAGTACAGGGAAAGCGAATAGGGAAGTCACCTGGCTAATTCAGGCGATATGAAACAAATCATGCCTAAAAACACACACTCGATTTTCCTCCGAATATCATACATTAGCTGTTTGTAATAATTTTGAAGGTAAAATGTACTTACCACCGATATTTCAAAGCAATGTAGAGAGCACATTATGCTCACCTCATGAGAACTCACAGAAATGTTCCTGTTTATAAAACGTTGATGCGTTACTCTGCGGTTTACACAAATTCAAGGCGCGCATGTTTTGATCAATTCGATTGGTTGGTCTAATTTTTCCCAGCGGGCCTGCAGTATCTCTTACTTTGTCCTGTTATTGTTTCGTTGTGATCTTATTTGTTTTGTGCTTTCCTTTAGGATCCCAATGAAATTCAATTTCCGCTTTAGTATTGAAGGAAAAGGGAAGGTACTTGAAATCAGGCTTCTACGTTGTTTACAGAAGACAACATCTAAGTGAAATGATCGTTGAATTCAACATGACCACGCTTTTAGGAAATCCTAAACTGACCATAGAAATCATAACCTTGAAAAGGTTCTGAACATAGAAAATTAAAATATAAAAGTATTACTTATAATTACCGAAACCGGAGCGTTTTGGGGCGGAACTTTCAAGGATATAAAAACAACTTAAAACATGACACATGACATTAGGTTTCTTCTTTCACGTCAAATAACCAATCAATTTTATTTAGAAAACATCTTTTGTCTTTACATAATGTCTTAGCTTAAGACCCGCTGGGTATAACCATATCAATCAATTTTAATAGATCCCACAACTGAGAGAGTCTTTATTCGTATTCAACATTAAGCTTGAGGTTCCAATACCTACGAATTAAAATCCTTTGAGTGATCACTCCTTTAAGATTTAGTCACAGATAAATTAAAGGATTTTCCTCAGAGAATTAAGAGTGTGTTTTGAGATATGACAACAACGCATTGTTAGTAATTATTTTCCCTAATAGCCTCACCTGTTTAAAAATTAGCATTTCTTCACCCTCCAGCAGCATTTTATTCATGTTAAAACCGCCCTGAAAAAAATTAAGTTGTTGACGAGCATTAGTATGCTAATTAGCGCCACTAAAGTTATAGTAGATGTTGCAATCCTTGTTAGTGAGTTGAAAGCGCTAATTTTTGTAATTTTCAACCTTGAATTTGCATTTGATAAAATTCAAGGAGTATTTACCAAGTTGTTTTTAAATTTCGAAGTTTAATGGACCTGTAAGTAACACATGATAAAACGTAGATAATTTTTAATTCAGAAAAATGTTATGGCATTATTTTATTATTAAGGCAAAATATGCTTCTTGAATATGTCTAACAGGGATTCGAAAATTCGCTGCATAAAATCAACTTTCTTTTTTTTGTATTTTCCTTTTTCGTAATCATCTTCTGCTTTACTTTGAAATCCCATTCACCTACTAGTATGTTTGTTTATTTCATTTTTTTAAATCCTGATTGATGATGAAGGTTTTGGCCCCTTCCAGCGTGTTTAAAAATTGTATAAGTTTAACGCCATTTTCTCTTTTCCATATTTTATCTTTCTATCTTTGTACAAGGCTACTTACTATTCCACTTAGTCGGATGAACACCTGAGATAAAATTATCATTTAAATTTACACAAAAAAATGACTGAATTAAAATAACGGATATAGAAGAATTACACACATTACCCACGTTCAACTTGACATATGGACTCATCGATGAGCGTATTAACAAAAGTTCATAAATCACCGATAACAAACCTTTCAGAGTTGTAAAAACGAACGAATTTGCAGACATCCTTCCGTTATTATCTACGATCTACATAAAAATGTGTATCTAAACGTCCCAGCTGAACTCAGCAGTTGAACCAGTAAACAATTTAGTTTTTTTTCTTAGTTTCCTATCTCTTTGTGCAGCAGTGGCCCAAATGCCAGCGTGAAACCCTAAATTTGTGGCTAATAGGCATTAAAGATGATCTGAAGTGAAAAAGGGTCCGATGATTTATGTCCCGTAATTGTCAACAGCTGCTTTGCAACCAATTAGAATTACTTAATGTTAAGGTACTTATGTGAGGTATCGACAAATAGACGCGCTCCCTGCTGTAAGATGAAATACAAACTCGATGGAGATTTTAGAGCCATTTTTTGGCCAAGTTTCTGTCAAATCATAAACCAGACGTCTGTCACCTCTTTGGTTCAGAAGACCAAACAGTCTGTCATCATTATTGACAGGTATGACAGGTATCATTGGGTCTGCTTGCCCTCCTACCACTGATTAAACCGACTTTATTACAAAGTGCGACAGGTACTTTATTTGCAAAGTGCGACAGAGCAATCGTGTGCAAGTGGCTCAAATGTTATGTTTGTAATCTCTTTCAATCCTCGCCATCGTTAGCTATCCTTGCACCACCGTTATTAGTTGGTGTTTCTTTTGTGTTCTTCTATCTTACAAAACTGATATTTTGAATTCAATTGCAATCCATTTTAATATATTCCATCCTAAGCCGTACTCTTCCGTGACTCTTGGTTTATCATCACCTCTTTCGTGTTTTTGTATCTCACCGAACAGATATGTTGTATTCATGTTATCAATCCGTTTAAATCTTCTCTATTCTAGGCCCGACCACCCTTGCTCCACTGATGGCTTATGATGGTCTCTACCTTGGTGTTTTTCTATCTCATCAAATATATTCAGTCATTTGAAATCCGTGTCAATTTTCTTCATGGCCTTGGCTATCCTTGTTCGTTCTTAATTAGCTTGAGAAATGAAGAGGTAAGTTTTTAACGAAACTGTGATGCTGCGGCGGTGGTAGAGTATAACAGGGTAATTTAGAACCATCAACTGAGTTGATAACGAAAATTGGCCACCGTAAGGAATTTCAAAGATGGCGTTTAGAGCGTTAGCCTTTCATCACAGCGATTGGAGGAATTTTGAGTTGTGTGTACACAAACCACAATTCCTCCAATTCCTCCGCTGGCCAATTTATGTTATCAACTCAGTTGATAATACCAAATTACCCTTCTTAGCCTGGTTTAAAGTTGCTTATTCTATATATTTTTTCACCTTACCAAACTAGTATTTTCTTGTTCTCTACACTGCCAAAATGTATTTTGAGTACATATTTCAAAAACATTGAGAGTTGAAAAACGAATTCAATAACACTAACGAGAGCGTAATTGCGATCAATAACCTGATACAGCAATATTCTATTGAGTGTCGAATGTAATCTGAGACTGTTTCATTTTTGCATTAATTTAATCAGTGATTGGTCTACTAAACTCGCGCCATCCTCTCAACCAATCAGACGCAAAAAAAAAAAAAAAAATCGTCACTTAGTCATGACTCATTTCTTACTAATACCGCGTCAAGAAATGGTCCATGGCTCCGGCTCAACTTTTCCGTTATTGGTAGTGCCGAGGGACTTTTGCCGACGCAAGGCGGAAAAGCTGGTAACCGATTGAGAAAATAAACGGAATGACAATTTCGCTACATTGGAGAGCGGGTTGTGTAAATATGCGCTAGTAAGATCGATCTCTGTCGGTGTACCCCTGGGAAGACTTGTCTCTGGATGAGCGCATTTAGTCAAAGGTTCGCAACGCACGAAAATATTTCTTTACTATACTATCGGTGTTCAATACAATCGAAAGTAACGATTTTCTGTACAGAGCCTCGAGGTGATTGAAGACCCTGTTTCTGGCGCACAGCTGTTCTCGAACGAGGCGCTAACACGAGAATTTGTTCTTTTCAATCAAACGCGCGGTAAGATGAGGGTGTGATATTTTTAATCACGATGAAGGTGCGAGTTTTTATCTCCTCTTTCGAAGAAAAGAGACAGTTCTTGCTTGAAAATGAGTCTCTCTCTCATAAAAAACTATCATAGTTTTAAAGCGGATTTTAACAGTCTTCGATAAAACTACACAGCTATCAACATATTTTCCAAATTTTCGTAGAGGGCGGGCGTTGACCTTGTGTCTGGCAATGTTACAATACACGGTATAAATCGAAAATAATAGATACAACAAGAACCTGTATGGAGAGAGCAAAGCAGAAAAAAAAAGTCGAGGACTCCATGGAGCTGGTACGAACAGGACACAAGGACCCACCCGTGAGATAAAAAAGATAACACCTGGTAGATATTACTCAAGAGAAAAAAAAAATTATAAAGTACGAGTGAGAGGGGCAGGATCGCACAAATTTGGATGGTTTAACTGTTTTCAACTTGAGTGCCCATCGGCTAATGGTGATGTGGACCTTCTCTTAACCTTAATTGCATCTTCACAGTCTGTATAAAATAAACTCATTTCAGTAACTCAGTTAAGGGTGTCAATTACTGTAAACGAGTCCTCAAACTATCGTATCCTTGAAAAAACATTAAAAACGTAAGCTTTTGCTTTCCAGTTTAAAGTAATAAGAACTTACATATAAAATCATGATTTAAATAAAGGCGAGATATAAGGTGTCCTAGAAGATTTTTTTTTAGAAAACGTTATAGTAACGAACAATCGTACTAATTTAAACGGAAAGAAAAACTTTTTGTCACACAGGCGTTGCCTGGAAAACACCTCTTAAAGATGAACTTTCGTTTCTCCTAAGTAATTCATAGGTAGCTTGGCTCGATGTGTTTATCGTCTTCAACGGCACCAGATCTACCCTTCAACTTAACATGTAAATGCAGCGTAGAGTTGAAAGTAAGCTACAAACTGAATTATTTGCCATTGAGGCTCTTGTTCTCAGACTGCGCAAAATCAAGCGATTTCATGTTCCTGTTTTGTCTAGGACGGCCAGAAAATTTACAAAGTCTCAAAACATTTGTGCTGAGATATAATTTAGACCATTAAATATTTTGATTTGGCACCTCCCCTTTGCTCTTCCTATTGTTTGCTTCATTAGTATTAGAGTGCCAAGGTTTCAAAGTTTTCCGAGTTCGAAAGTTTCCTTTGTTTAATACCGCTAACATTATCGAAGTCAACACTACGGTGGACGATCATAAAACCATGCATGAGCCAAAATAATTTTTTTCTCTTCAGTTCTCCTCAGATTTGGACGAATTTATTTTTCCTCGAAGTAAACTATATTCCAATTCTACCGATGTAGTTTCAAGCACAAAGGAACTGGATGCTGAAAGCGTTAGGTTTTGATAATTCTTAACCAGAGAATTCTTTTGTGTAGGTTTGGCTACTTTTATAAATCAAGTCTTAAGTCTAATAGCAAGATGCCTTTCAGTAGTTAAACCGGGTTTTATAGGATAAAGAACACGACTTTTTCTCAAACTTCTCTTACCTTAATCACTTGCTTCATCAGGACGTGACGCCTGACTAGCGATCTCAAAGGAAACAATTGAAGAAGCTAATGATCTTAAGTGACATGGAATATGCTAAAATCGTCACGTTATTCATAGTAAATGCGGTAGGTAAAAACAACACTGATAGGGCTACTGTTGATTAATGACTTTTCAAGGAAATGCATATCAACCTTCCATAATTCATTTAAATCTGGAGCTATCCTTTGCAACATCCGCGCTTCTCACCTCTGTGATTGCACCATCCGTGATTGCTTTGTGATACGACCATTTTTTTCGTTCCTTCATTAAAGATTGATGTAAAAGAACGGAACTAACCACGACCACATTTAAAATAATTGTACCTGAAATAAATTGTTTTGTTTCGTCTTACATTTTCCTTAAAAAGACTTCTTTTAGCAATTGTTCTCTGGGAAAATTACTTTTTTTAAATTGCTTCAAATATTTCACTATTTATAATCGTTCCCATGACGAAGTAGACTCACTGGAGCATAAATTCAAAATTAGAAACCGACGAAGATTCTTATATGTTAACAAACCTCATACATTCAATCAATATCCTTCCAATTAGCGCTAAAAGCTGTTTCTCGTGCAAAAAATTGTAGAGTATTTGGATTTGATTTTGGATCGAACGGAATAACGCAGTTGTAGTTTCCTGTTATCATTTCCTACTGTGTAAATTGGGGTATTTCATGTTTATTTCCATCAGTAACTTAACAGTCTCGACGACGTTCCTCATGAAGCAGACAACTTGACTAAACTTGATGAAGCGATATTTGACAGAAGTTTCAAGTCAAGGACGCAGACCATAAGGTGGAAAATGAAGACGCAAATGAGTTTCGAAAATTTGAAGTTCCAGAAGCAAAATTTTCTGACGATATGCCGCTATTGAGTTTCCGCGGGAAGATGGGATTAAAATTCTTTAGCTGTTGTTATTTAGATCGCACGTATCAGCATGACTCCTCCATCCAAAAAAGGGGAGAAATTGCGTTATTTATTTCTAACAAGTGGTATAATGGATGTTTGCTTTGGGTTTTTCAAACGTTGTCTATGGTATTTACAATCGACAAGAGTCACCCGGTTAAAGCATTCAAGAGTAGAAATGTCATTACTAAATTTGGCCTTTACTAAAAGGATGAAAAAATATGCAATTTTAGTGAAAAATCAAAAAGCAGGAATTGTATCGACTCTTCCAATAGCGTGCAATTTGCAATCGCCGCTGAAAATGGAATGGAACGGTTTGCTTTATCATGTATGGTTCGATACTTTCTTTAAACCCAATAATTAAAATCTAAACGCCATGGCTTTGAAAATTATGACTGTTTTGGGCTTATTGTTAATTAAAATAGCACTTATGTCTGCGTTTTTTTTTTGAATCCTTAGCATGTTACTTCAATTTCTATTTCAGAGGTGGCCACCCAAGTAAGGAAATGCTATGAGGCTTTTAATAACTGTTAAAGATATCGTTTTAGTCTTCTCCATTCTAAACAACACTTACTCTTTTTGTTTTGGCTTATTCCTCGCACTTTGGCTGCCTTCTCCTCTTTTTCTAAACCTTGCCAGCGTTTTGTTGAATTTCTTCATTTACGTAGTATTTTTATCTACAGCGAAGAATGTAAGTTCGTGACCATTTTGAATGATCAAGCCGAAGATAAAGATCACATTTTGTACGAATTCAGTCTTCATCTTCCCTTAAGTATGTATCAGACATATCTTCATGTGAAATTCGTGATCAGATGTCGATAAACAATTAAACAACAAAATGAAATCAATTTGCATATATTCACAGGGAAAATGGGATTATGGCACGAAAGTGGATAACCGTAGACGTGTACAGTAAATTTATTGAAATTTTTTTAAGTAAAGAAGGTCTTAATGAACCCTGGAGGCGCGGTGGCCTCGTGGTTAGTGCGCTCGACTCCGGATCGAGTGTTCCGGGTTCGAGCCCTGGTCGGGGTCATTGTGTTGTGTTCTTAGGCAAGACACTTTACTCTCACAGTGCTTCTCTTCACCCAGGTGTACAAATGGGTGGCAGCAAATATGCTGGGGGTAACCCTGCGATGGACTAGCATCCCATCCAGGGGGGAGTAGCAATACTCTAACCACTTCATGCTAAGGAAACCGGAGTTAATCCCCGGCCCCATGGGCCACTTGGGCTTGTATAAAGGCTTTACTTTACTTATTGAATCCCAATCAAATCTTTGTGACGGCTGGAATAATAAAAAAAAACAACATTAACGCTTTCACCCCCAAGATTTCATTAATAATTATCCCCACTCTTTGCCATATAATTTTTATGATGTCACTAATATAAACTAATAGTCCCTTAACTGATAATTTCATTTGTTCTCATCGCTTGTCTGCTTGATATTGTATTGATAATGTAAGGAAAAATACTGTCTTGACCATTCGTGGGGTTAAAAGTCAAAGACATCTACGTAACTGAACAATTTTCCAAGTAATATTGGGTAAGAATCACACAAGGCCTAAATTGAAGATGCGAGGCTCATGGTCACGTGATTTTAAATCTTCATCGGCGCTCATGTATTTTATTCTCCTTAAGAAAAAACTCCATTTATGTACGAACTACGCTATGGCATGCATATGATAAAATTTTGCTATGTACCATATATGCTTAAATAACTTTACCCCCTGTTAATAAGGTGGCAGTCATTTCCAAATTTTATCTAGCTATAAACCCGGCCATTACACCCTAACATTAGTAAGCTTGTACTTCAGACAGTTATCTCTACATTTCCTATGGTACTTACATGAAAAATTTGTCTAACAATCAGGGGCTTCTTTGGTTTGCAATAATTTCCCTATTCTCTTGACCGTACATAACGTTTGATTTGGAGGTGATACTCTCGAGAGAAATTATGTCTTAGTTGCTTATCAATCTTAGAGGTTAAAGACAGAAGAAAATGATTTCGTTTCTAAACAGAGGAGCGCTACCAACGAAATAAGGCACCACTTGGTTTCAAGTCCAAATTTGTTATAGAAAAAAATATCTGTTATCCACAATACTGTTAACGATGATTTATGACATATTTAGTCTGCAATAGGCGATAGGGGGCTGTGACAAATGACCAGAGCCTGTTGCAATCCATATCCACTTGGCACCCTGGACTATACCAGGAACTGGAGTAGGCCAATTTGGCCCGTGAAATACTATCTCTTTGGCCGTCGGCCACATTCGGTCATCAAAATCCTGCGTCATCCATTTACATCCGGGAAACGGACCGTCACTGCATTTCCAGCTTGAATTAGTTACCAGTCCGTTGCTAAGGGAGCCGAGAATTCCGGCACGCCTGAGCTTTTGGGCCTTAGCTACCACCGAAACAACACGTGTATTTCCTGGAATGACAAATTTTGTGGGACTCCCTGGATCATCACTTTTGTGCCTGCCAATGTTTACACCATCAGCAAACAAATCCATGAAACCCAAGCATGTGAAATGAAGAATGATATCTGTGGCAAGTAGGAAAGAGAAAATGATATAAGCAGCCAGGGGTCGTTATCACTTGATAGCTCACATTTTGGATTTGGCCATAATAACAATGATGATAATTTGATAAATGGTATATTAAAGCCAAAAAAAGCGCCCCGAGGAAAATGTGATGGTAGCATTCATCGTATCTTTAATATTATGGTATAAATTGTGCAACTGGACAGTTTTAGTGCATGGAAATCTGTACAAACTTGAAGTAATGGAAGACGTACAAACTTTTTTACGATAAGATGATGGTTTTTTTAAACTTATAGTAAAAAAAGATTTTATCTGTCTCAAGCGTGAAACAAAGGACTAGTAAAAATCAGTCTTCAAAAACATGCAAAAGTTTAAAGAGAATAGTTTACTAGGGTCTTACGTTGCACTCGTGGAGCAAACTGCCAGGACTAGTAAAACAGTCTTAAAAAAGAAGCGTAGTTTGGGAATTTCTCCAACTCCGGGGATTATTTTAAGCCTTCTGTGCACAACCCCGCTACACACACACACACATACTACGAGTGTAAAAATTGCCCCCAACTTATAAATAAAATACTAATATTCACTACCGTTGTTATGAAAAAATACATAAAGATCAGCGTGCAGATTTTTTTGTTTATGTTCACGATGAGGCGTAAGGGTTAAAGAGGATTACTACCTCATCATATTCTTCGAGACAGGTGCAGTTATCAGTGCAAACCTTCGGATGTAAATTCATTTTCATCTTTGAACAATGCAAGTGAGAAATCTGTTACATAAGAGATAGTTACCAGTCACTCACTTTCTTTCAGTGTCGGTGGTCTGCTTATTACTCCTCTGTCAGCCGAGTCCTGCAAGTGAGTCATTTGATAGCCAGTAATAAATGGTTGAGTGATCATTTTAAAAAAATATTAAGCCCTTGTCTAAGGTTTAATTCCGAAAACGCACCAAAATTTAACATCTACATAAGATTTTGAAAATTAGCTTTAGATTTAGAAAGATGTACAGACCGATAGGTAATGGAAAATGATTTGTCTCCTTTTTATGAGGATTATTAACCAGAATTCTTTAATTCAATACATCAAGGCAGGCAATAAAAAATATAAAAAATTGATTTGATACATGGAAACAAAAACGAGATCCAATACAAAATTAAACGGGTTAGGTATCATGGCAAAGTTAGTAATCGAACGCATCAATAAACGGATCCATGATGGTTCAGGAAAATTGTTAAACTAAGGAATGAAATAAACCGATGTAACAGAATATTCGACGAAACGTTAAAGATTTCTTTCATGTCGCTACCAAATGAAAACTGTTTAACCAACTGGCATAAATCTGTCAAGTTTACAAGATATGGTGAAAGAAATTTGATGAGTGAGATACTATGAAAAATGTTTTTTTTTCTTTATCAGTACTAACGTGAGAGGCCTTTAAAATTTTTATTGGTGCTGGAAGCTCAAGGGGTAATCACAGTCTGAAACCATCACGTGTACAAACTAATAAAGGAGACGAATCTCTAAAGAAACTTTGGTGCTGCGTCTGTGGAGGAGTATAACGAGATAATTTGTGTTTAGCAACTGATTTAATGATGTGAACTGGCCACCAAAGAGAGGCTTTTAAGCCAACGTAAGCGTTATGCACTTTCTGACAAAACCAAATTAGCATGTACAAATTCGAGTGATTTCTGTTGCACATTTATAAATGAATTATAAAGTACATGTAAGGTGACCATTTTCATTATTGCTCATGTAGGAATAGTGCAAACGTCTTCAGTGCACACGGAATGAATCCGACCTTGCTTCATTGTCCTGTATTAGAGTTGATTTATCAAAAAGAGATTCAAAGATTTGACAACGAATGCATGAAAAAACCAAAAAATTGTAAGCTAATACCGCCGTTGCGTAGCAAGTGTTAATGTATTCGAGAATTAGTGATTGAGAAAAGATTTTCTGACAGAACAAAATTAACAGCTAGCTAACTTATTGTTTTTTTTTATGAAAGGACTTTGTGAGCGTAACTTTTATATGTTAGGTTTTGTAAATTCAATAAAGCTGTAAAAACACTGGTTTGCCATCAAGTATTTGGACAGCTTTTCTTCTTTTCCAAATACTACCTGATTTTTTCGTGAGCCCGTGGCAAAAATATGGAAGATGTTGAACATTTGTTACCAGCGCGCAAAACATGAAAAAGAAAGTTCAGTTGAAGATTCGGAAACCAATTAAGCATTTCTGGTTTCGTTTTCAAAGTCATTACCAACGGAGCAACAGAGGAATAGTTAGAGAGCTATGCCATACAAGAAGATCATAAACGTTCTAACAGATGAAGTAATTTGGTTTTATCATCTGAGTTAATGATGTAAATTGGTTACCGTAAAGCTCTCTTAAGTTACGTTTGCCAGTTTACATCATCAACTCAGTTAGTAAAACCTTATTATCTTGTAACACCTCCCTCCGATGCAGCACCACAGTTTCTTTACAAAATTGCCCCTTTATAAATGAAGTGCTATACTTCCTCACATTTTTGATTACCTTTAAGAGCTTTGAGAAAATGACCCCTGGGACGGCATTTAGGTTGCTCCATGTGTCACTCCGAAAATCCGATTTATTCAATTCACAGATCCCCTTGCCATCCAGTGAAATCAGCTTGAAGTTTATAGAGGTACACCATGATTGCTGCAAACATGTCAAACTGCATGATAACAAACTTTGAGACTCGAAGCGTTGCACGACAAAGCCCGTAAGTCTCTTGTTCTCTTTGGTCAAAAAGTATGCTGAACAATTGGTGTTACATCCTTCATCGGAAGCCAAAGCGCTGAGATGGATGATGAACTGAAAAAACACAAGTATGATAATTCTTTTGATCCCCATCAGAGACGGATACCGCAGCGAACAGAGAAGTTTAAGAATTTCCTTTGTGTAAGTCTTCGATTTATGATTATGTTACTCAGGCTCGAGGGGAAGTCCTTTCTTTTTGTTTACATAAATCTGATTGGTTCTTAATGATCCCATCTTGTTTGCAAGTCTAAAACCCTCATCAAAATTCAATCAACAAGGCTTCTAAGTCTCGCTGACGATTTTATCACATGCCATCAAGGTACATATGGACTTGAGTACGTGAATCAGTCAGTAAAACGGCTTGTATCCCTCAGGAAGGAACTATTTCTTATTTATCGCCTGGGTGAGGGTCGGATATTTTTCTGGGGAACGGAAGTTGGTAAAGGAATCGTCAACACAGCATAAAGCGGAGAGACTATAACTGTGATCGTACGCGTGCACTTCGACAAGATTTCGTCAGGCCAAAACCACAACTCTCAGTGACACACATTTCGTAGAAGACTCTTTTTTCGGTAAGTCAAACAGTTAAGTATTACGATTCTGGAAAATACGAACTCGACAACCAACATCTGGAAGTGCAAATATGGTCTTCTTTGGAGATCCTTTTAATACGATCTTGATTTTCTCGATGTGCGCTTTGCATCTGTCCTCCACCTTCACACATACTTCAATGATCCACAGTGATCAGACTAGGTGAGTGGGAGACATCTGGGACGAGGCAGCGTATAATCCTTGAAGCTAAGAAGCTTTACTCGAAAAAGATTCGATCAACTAGTATCTAATCAACTGGAAACGTCGCGATCCATAACCGCAGTGACCACATCGTAAGACAAACGATCATTACTTCTCTTTTGAAAGTGTTTAGGTACTGCGATGGCGGGCCACAGCCTATTATACGATGTTTGACGATGATTTCAATTCCACCTGACCAATCTAACGTTTTCTCAGCACTTAAACCTTTCATTTTGTAAAAATTTTGAATCAGCCGGTTGGTTTATGAAATATTCCATTCAAAACATTCACACTAAAAGTGTTAATTAAAATTCTGTGTACGTGAGGTTAACATATTCGTTCTTTCATGAAATATTCCATTAAAAAATTTTCGCGTAAAGCAATAAGGATCATTATCACACCCTTGTATAAAACTACTGCACAATTTTAATAAAAAAACCCCCTTATATAGATCGTCATCGCTTTCCTATGGCGTCACGTGTATACCCTTTGCCATACTCTCCTTGGTTCACAAAGCCGACTCTGTTCTCTCATGCAATCAATCTATTATTTAACTTTACATTTAAGTACGTTACTAAATATCCTCCAATTAAATCTGAGTAATATCGGAGGATTTTAGGAAGATTATAACCGATAAGAATTTTCTTTTACGATACAACATGTCACGCTCTTATACTTTGAATTTGCGTGAATTATTTACTCTCTGCTTCTTGATAGTTTTTAAAGATGTGAATGAAAATCAATAAATATATAGTATATAATCGTTTTATATTTTTCCCTATTACTTGTTTGAAATAAAATCTACACTCACTGCAGGGCAGGCCTAAAACAAATTTTTCAAAAAAAATTCAGAATACCCCATTAATATTTAAATTTCAGTTATAATTAGGCATTTGATTTTTAATAGGGAACAGAAATAAGGCTCTAAGATGCTGAATATTTTTTATACGTTCTTCCATGCTTTCATGTTCCCTCCCCTAAATGCAAACTAGTAGAATAAGAATTCTAGCTTCACAAAATAAATAACAGTTTTGATAAGACTGACGGGCACCCATAGCTAATAGGAATTGAAATAGCAGACTGGGTGCTCTTTATTTCCATCCTTTGTCATCTATACTGTTTGTTACCCAGCGAGTCGTATCAATCTTCCTTTTACAAGATGTTCCCATCTGTTTACTGGAAATTCGTTCTAGCTGTAGGACCGCGATGAATTTATTTTCAAATGTTCTCAACAAGATTACCTGTACTCTTTCAGATTCAAAGGCGTCGAAATCATTGTGAAAACGACGAAAATTTGTTTTTCCCTTTATGAAGAGTAAAACTGACGAGGATTATGTAGTTTGCTCGAGTCCTTATGACAAAACTAATATGTAAATGCAAGCAGACGCCAAATTTTCGGCAAATAACAAGATCTGATTGGTTCTGAGAGAAGACGGAATTTTGCATCTTGTCAACTGAACTTAAAGTGCTTAATGTGGATCACTCTACAAATGCCGGGTTCTCTCGTTGAGACGAATCTTTTCGGATGGTATGTACATACAGTTAACAAGGATCCGATCGTTGGGATCACGGCTTTAATTTATGAATGTATTGCCGGGGTCAAAAGTCAGCAGCTGCGATGAACAAATAAAACTTAGAGCATTACTCGATCGAGTGTCATTAAAAAAAATAAATAAAAAAAAAAAAAAAAAAAAACACACAGAAGTCTTGACAGCCAACAACAGCAAAGGAAAATATTTCATGGGATCTCTAATTAGTTCTCTACAAACTTGGAGAAATGAAAGAAATTGTATCCTAAGCATTCCGTTTTAACGAGCAAGACGATCTTTCTAAATCGAAAATTTGCTCTATGTTTTCTAAGGAAGTATCATAAAAAAACACACGATCACTGTCGTGTCAAATGCCAAATGACGGCTTCTTTATTTATCTATTTTATTCGCATATTTGAATATCACTTTGCAGCACGAATAACTAAAAAGCCATAACGATCATATCACGTAGTGCTGAAATTTAAAGTCGTTCCATATAGCAGAGTAATGCAAATGAAAACTCCTTTGGTATGTCTTCGAAAAATCCTCCGATATTCCTTAGAAATAAATTGAAGTGACGCATCTAGAGTCATTGCATAATGGAGGGAGGAAGAAATCTCTCGGATAGGTAGTGAGAGAGTTGAAAATCAGCTTATCGAACCTACGAATGGCTTTAAAATCATCAAAGGAGAATCATTGTTGAGCTGGTCGGATCTTAATATTTTCCCCTTCTGGCCTAAGCAGATAATTACGTCGTTTCGTCAAATGTGTTCCGTCTACAGCTGGACCGGCAAGGAGCACGCTTACCTATTTTCCGCTTCTCTTTCCACTTAGCTTTTACTTTTTCGTATCCATACCCGATAAAAAAGGTAATAATTTATGGTGACAACAAAAAACGAGAAAGAGTCCGTTTTACTAATGGTCGGTGTGCTTTATTCCATTTTAAGTAACACCATTTTACATTTTTGAACGACTAATTTTGCCTTTTCGTTATATCACCGTAGGTGAATTTTTTACAGCGTAAAGCAGGGAAATAGTAATGCACGGAATTTCTACTTTGTTTGCTATGTTTTTGTAAATCATAAATCTAGTCATTCATGAGTTTTTTGCCTTTCATGTTTAGGGGCGCTGTTATTTACTTCAGCTCCAAAAGGAACCACCTCAGTTTTGTTAGTGCACAGCCTGGCGCGATATAAACTCATGATTTTTGGCGTAAACACAAACGCCAGCGCTACATACAGTCCCATGAAAGTGGTAAATATGACAAATGGGTATGCAAAGCTTCTGTGTAACGGCATCAATAAGCCAAAAATCCATGTGAAGCCCATCAAACTGAAAATCTTAACGAACACAGCCGCAGTTATGCGGTTTTTTGCATGGTATGTTGCTTCTCTCAGTTGACGGTTTGTTTTTCGTATAGCTATCACAGTCAAGGAAAAGAGTACAATGTTAAACAATATGGCAATAAATACTGGCAGAGCGAACGCGAACAATAGCGCAGTTGGATTGTTTATCCAGCAGAATTTGGTCGAAGTAGCGCGGGCGCCGTAAAGAAACGTATCAGCGTCGAACAGGTGAATTGCTACACACACTGCCACAACAGCAAAAGCAGGAAGCCATCCCACTGCAATTCTTCGCATTAAACTAAGACACTTTTCACTTCTGGTCAGATTTCTGCGCTGTATGCAGATTGTGGAAAAAGTTCGCCACGTTTCAAACGCGATGAATGACATCCAGGTGAAGGACGCTAGAAAGAAATAGTGCATTAAAATGGCGATTATTGTACATGTGAGCTTCGTTGCACTGCTTGCTAGAAGGAAAAGTAGGTCTGCCAACAAATGTGCCATAGAGAAATTCATCAAGTTGATTCCGGGTAAAGTTCGAAGCTGTTTAAAAAGTGAGTAAGTCACTAAGACTAAGAGAAAACTGAAACTCGAGACAGAGAGACCAACATATGTTAGTATGTCTAAAATCCCCATATTCTTTGTTGAGCGTACACGAAAATTCTTTAGTACTCTTGAATCAAATAATAAATCCCAATGTATGAACTGATCGTATAATTTCCCATCGTTAGAGTAACTATGAAGACTTCCTACAAACGACGCTCAGACTTAGGAAAGATGTTTTTGAGGAGTTTGGTTTTGATGTTCCGGCCTGATATGCGTTTCAGCAAGAAAATCATGATAAAGGATGGGTTATCATCACCAATAACCAATTGCAATGAGGCTTGTTTCACGCTCATAACAGATGTTCCTTTTGGCGCTAAAAGCGAAAGAGATGCTTAAATAATTAATTGACGGGATGACGGTAAAAAGATGCGGATAATTGCCTTGGTGTCGCTGTTACACAGCAGGATTAAGTCTCCTTTAAAAATTACAACATTTTATCAAATTTTCACTTAATGTGTTAGTGGGCGATATTTTACAAATCCTTCAATTGAACTGTTACCGTGGGAGGGAAAACGGAGCTCAGTAAGTACTATCTCACGTTTCTCATCAAATTTTTTCACCTTCTCAGTTTTTTTTCTCGGCACGACTTTAATTTTCCGGTACGACTTCAATTTTCTGGCAAGATGATTTTAATTTTGCGGTACGACTTTAGTTTTCCGACACGACTTTAATTTTCCGGCATGATTTTTTTCGGCACGCTCTTTTTTCTTCATGGTAAGTAAAGATCACTCTTTTTTATTGCTCTGTCAGCCAGTTTGACTTTATTTGTACGGATTATGTAAAATGTGACATGTCTACGATGACGTCAATTGTTAAAAATTCACCCCTATTTTTCTTTTGTCGTTTTTTTTTTCTGTGCCACCTCGTTTTTCCACAGAAATATTATTTATCTTAGCCGGTTATGGAATAACTTTCCCTTAAATTTCTCGTGTGCGTACACGAAATCAAGACTTGAGAGAGAGATTAGGTGTTCTTAGGTAAACGCTCATATGGCTCATTCAAAAAAGACAAACTGGAATATATGGTTACAAGTTGACGACAGATTTCGTTGAGAATTATTTTCATACACGTGGTGAGGGGGGGATTGCGGAGTGGAAAATTTTTTTTTTAGGGGGGGAATACATGGTTTTTAACGTATGGTAATGGGAGGGAATCAGTCGTGGCCTCCATAGTATTAAGAGGGGGGACCGTGATATTGGAAATCGACTGCCAATTAATTGTAAATGAAGGGGATTGTCAGAATGTGACAGAGCCTTAGGTTAACCCCCCCTTGGTGATAAAAAAAAATGACCTGTCTCTAAGATAAACGGTTTTGCGTTCAACGTAGGCTTAGCCTGCAATAAGCTTCATCAAATCCTCTTGGATTTGTCCATATCCACTTGGCTGCTGGGTCGATACCTGTGATATTACCGTGTTCTGTGACCACCACGGCCGCTGACCACGGACTGTCATCAAAATCCGGGGAACTCCATCCGGGGAACCAATGAAGACTACATTTCCAGCTTTCATTAGTTACCAGGCCGTTGCTGATTGAACCAAGTATTCCAGAATCCAAAGACGCGCTCATTCCTTTAACTGACACAACTTTTGTAAATCTTGGGATAAGGAACTGTTTAATCTTTTCCCAATCACAATGGTGTTCACCAAGACTTTTACCATCGAGAAACATTTCCATGGTATCATGACAGGTAAACAATGCAATGAGATCTAGAATTAGTAGCAAAGGTGTAAGTAGTGTGTGAAACGACTGTATTTTCTGAGAGAGCGCGTGGAAATAATTTTAATACAAACGTTGTCTCTTTAACTCTTCATCGAGGCCTCTGTGGATGATGTATAATATCTTTTTTGCAACTAGTTATTTTTCTTCTTTTTGGCTGGTTTGTGAACTAGTTGGTTTGTCTTTTTTTTTCAGCAATATGTTCTCAAGGTCACACAGGGGCAGCCAATGGACAAACTTGTAACCATACCAATTCTTTTGGCAAATTTACGGGGATATTTAAGCAACAAGATGGAAGACCGAACAAGAAGTTTCAGCTTAAACTTGACTACTCCGGTAGCAATTTTGTGAGCAGAATTTTTCCCCTTTGCCGATGTATTATTAAAAAAGGGTATGGGAAATGCTTGACAGTGTTTGTGATGGTGAAGATAATTTAGATGCGTCCTGAAATTTATCCACAAAGCTAAAAAATATCTTGTACGAAATTCCGTGCGTTAATACTGTAAGGAAGATGGCAAATTTTCCTCGGTCTTCGAATAAATAAAAATATCATTCCGGCGCTTTTGTTACGAGCTCTTTCGCTTAATCTTAACGGTTCCTCACCTTTACTTGGTTTTATGTGTGATAACCTCGCCTGCAAGTCAAGGGTGAAAGTTTAGTTGGACCAAGTCAAAAATCATTCATAACAACATTATTATAGACAGTATTTCTTTACGGGGAACGAATCCAGACCCGCTGTGATTTTTCTTGCTCTGAATTTGTGGATTCGCAGCTCAGTTCAGTAATAGCACCCAAGTGACATCTGGTTTAAATGGGTTCAGACCTCATCAATTAGACCTAAAATTTTTTAATTTTTAATTTTTGCTTTGGTTTTAGTTTGCTTAAGAGTAACAACGTATCGAAACGACCAGGTTATAATCTGATTTAAATGGGTCGTATTACCCCGAGGTCAAAACTTACTTTTTTTTATTTTTATTTTTTCAAGAAAAGTGGTGAACAAAAATCAAGCTTATCTCGCATTGAGGTGAGAAAGATTATTGCTTTTATTTTAAATTTCGTTCGAAATAACCACCAAAAACTGGGTGCTGACTCTTTCCTTGCAACCTAGCTTCACTGCAATATTCAAATAACAAAACATCAAAACATTTGCTGATGCTTAACTTTGAACGTCATTTTGCCTTAATTCGTGTATACAAACGCGCGCAAAATATGGGAGCAAACTGCACTAATATACATTGCCGGCTTGGGACTAAAAGAGCAGAGTTACATAAAGGTCTATTAATAATTAAGCTTATAAGAGCGAAAATTGAATAAAGAAAGCTTTAACTAAAAGTTATTCTTCTATGTTTTGATGTTGAATTGCATTTGGCGTCTTAAGCTTCAGTTGTAGATTCGGGTTCATTTGTTTGACTTAAACTGCGCAATCAAAAAAATTATTTTCAGTGGGTCCACGGTAATTTTGCATTGTTTACCACGGCGCTCGCGAAGTATATTAATTGTAATTTTTTTGACTGGTGAGTTTTCAAGGTTGCATGGAGTTGAATGATAGTATGTAAATAAAAAACTGCAGAATTAACAAATTGTAAATGCAAAGAAACTGTAAAGAAACGTGTCAAACATTTTCCACGAACGTGAACAGAGATGAACTCTGAATCCTTCGAGAACATTCAGTTTGATCTTAATGTGTGGTCAGATACCAACTGGTGCGCAAATGACTCTATGGTAAGCTAAACCATGACTGGGCTTCATACGTAAGAAATTTTCTTGCATATACTGTTAGCAACAGCAATGTAGAAGGAGCCTCGTGTGGCGATCGAGAGCAACAATTAAATATTCTAATGGTAAATTCAAGCATTTGTGACAGCTGTCTTAAAAACATCTTTCCTTGCCCGCGATATTTTTTTTGTATGCATTAAGCGGTCAAAAAGACATAAAGTAAGTAGTACCGATAAAATTATCCATTTTACGCCCAAAGAAAAAGAAATATTGGACTTTTGAATTGGTCAATCGCTGGTGATCGGCTGGAGCAAACCAAGTGGGAGATAACTCTCGTATTCGAAATGCTAATTTATTTTACCTCAAAAGAAACCATTTCGTGAAAAATCCATCCAGAATCCTTGATAAGACTCTTTTCATCATCACAGCGATCTACCAAACCCCAATCGTTAAGCTCACAGATTTTTCCAGGCAGAAAAAAGTTGTATGAGATGCAATTTGTAAGTTTTTGACACTCTTCAATACACTGAAGCCAGTTGATACCATAAAGAGTTTTAACCACATGCCCAGTGAGTAGACTGTTTTGAACGGTGAAATGTCCACATAAGTTCCGACTATAGATAGTCACAAGGACTATTGGCAAAAATATGCACCACATGAGATGCATTGGAACAAAATATCAGAAGTGTAGATTCGGAAATGAATTTTAAAAAAGCGGGGTATATTGTCACCTGGACTCCTGGCAATTACGATACGGTTTGGTCACCAAAATTAATGGTCAACATTTACTGCAGATTTCCGGCTTTAATTTACATGCAACACAACAGTTTGCATTTTTACTGGTCGAAAAGATGTCTCTGCAGCAAAACTGCCTCTTTAAGTGCTAACAAATGCAAATAGACAAACCAGTTTTATTTTAAACGTCATTATGGAAGAGCACAAAAATGTAATAGAAACACTGAAGCTTTGCCTTAAACTGCGAAACTTAAAATTCGCGGATATGCATTTGTCAGAGCCGTAATTCAAATTATGTAAACAGTTGAGATCAATAGGAAAAATGCCAAACTGATGTTCCTTTTGCCCAAATTGGTCCGGAAGTGAGTAAAAATAATTTTTATTTTAATTATGTTTAATTATTTTAATATGTATTTTTAAATTTTATGAAAAGAAAAATGGTCAGATTTAAGACTGCAGCTTTGAGTTGAGCCGAATAAAATTTGAAGATGTGGATTGAATTGGTAACCAGTTCAATGATCGGTTTATCTGGCTTTTACATCAACTACCACGTAAATGAATGAGACACAAATGAATTATTTTCTTATAGAAAGGGTTGAAGTTCTTCATCATGGCGAAGTATAATAACTCATTTTACGACCTTGAGACAAACGATCAAGGTATATCATTTAAGAATTGTTTGTTTTTAACCCAAGAATAAACTAGAGAACAGTGCCTTAAAGAAACCAGTTGGTGCAGACAAAGACAAAACATACTGGTCTTTTAGTTTCACGCCGAATATTCAAAGATCTCTGTAACAGTTCCTTTTCCAGTCACTAACCTTAAGAAAAAAATAACATAAACAGACGAAAGTTAAGTATCAATACCAAAACAAAGCAAAAGGAAGCAATGAAAAAAAGACCGAGATAGGAAAAGTATTAAAACCGGTAAATGTAAGATGATTAATTTTCTGCATAACTCTGGACGAACGGACGAATCTCCCCTTCTCTCCCCTCCCCCTTCCTTTTGCAATCGCTGACCCCGTTTTATAGAGTAGTTAATCAACTTTAAAGTATTTAAGACAGTCAAGGTTTGTGGTGTGTCTGTGAGTAATGCAGTATGTACCAAAGGCTTAAAGAAGTTGACAAAGTAAACAAAAGAACTGCAGATCTGCGCACAGCTGACTATGATTAATTAATTTAAAAGGAAAATCTATTCAGGTTGTTCAAACAAAATGAAACGATAATTCAAAATATGCATGCCTTTGTAGATAAGATTTAAATATATTAGCTTTGACACGCTTTAAAGTTCAGCAAATCAAGCAAAGCTGATTATCGTAGGACTTAGACAACAACACAGGCCGGGTTCGATCGACGAATATTCAGCTAAGGAGCAACGCCATTCTCCGGAGATTGGGAGAAAACTGAGTTGAATTGTGCGCTCCGCATGTTAAAATTCTGTGAACGAATTCCAATGCCTCCTGTGTCTGAAAAAACAACTAAAGTTGAAACGGCTTCGTCTCGAGGTAAAACATCATTTCTTCGCAATTTCTACCATCTATCGTTATCATAACTGACGATATCTAAGTTCCTTGCAATAGTATTGGAAAAATTATAGAGCTAATTTATTTCCAACTTCTAAAGTTGACACAGTAGGTCTAATTGAATAGTTTGCATGTATTGAACTTTCGGACAGCTATCGAGTACAATCTGTTGCAGTCTAAACTGTTAATGAAAACGGTCAATGTCAAAGTCTGCAGCCCCTTCCCCGTAAAACGGAAATTGGGGGAGGGTACCCTTCCACGTTTCGTTGCGTCGAATATAGTTGACACGGTATAAACTTAGTTTGGTAAAACATTCATGTTTTGAATATTTCATCAGGATAGCACTTGGCGAAAAGGTATTCCTGGTCTGTTATATAGACAGACTTAACACTTTTCAGATTTCAGAGAGGCTTCCCTTAGCCTACGAACTATGTAAAACACACTTTGGGAAATGTTAGTGGGTTAAAGGCTTAAGTCGTTTAAGGCTTAAGTCGTTTGAGGATGAGTGCCCTGATTTCAAAACGCTTTGCCGTCCCTGTCTTGAAATAAAAAGATGATGTTATTTTGGATGATTTTCTATTAAGGATCGAAGTGGAACTGCTTTCCTCTCTACTAGGTTACACGGCACAAATAAAGGAATTTGTCGAGACTACCATAACCATAGAAAAAGAAACTACGGGACTCGGTTTAGGAGTTGTTGGTGGATCCGACACATATCTGGTATGAGAGTTATCAGAGGAAGTTGATGATTATTACTCGTTTTCATTTTAGATAAGAAGAAACTCAGCAAGCTCGCGTTTGAAATCATGCTCCATGTGCCATCTATGTTTTTGAAAATTCATTTTTAGAATTTGGAGACAAGCCCACAAATTGTTCATTAATGATCTTATTGCTTGCAAAATTAACCAGACGCGGACTCAATTTGGTAGCAGGTCATTCAGTGACTCAAATTTTGATAAGCACGTAGTGCTGCAAAAGTATAAAGTGCATAAGCAGCGAAAGAACGATGCGGGAGCTCCAGGTCCATTCAGGATTATATATGGTGTGTCATGTTTACGTACGATTAAAATACTTAACGCTAATGTTGTGGATTCATCATTTTCAGGGTGGTGTGGTCATAAACGTGATTGAACCTGGAGGTGCGGCAGCTAAGGATGGAAGAATTGCAGTCGGAGACCAAATTATTATGGTATGTTAACGAGACAGAATAAAACTTAGTGAAGAATCCCCTCAAAGAGCTACGTTACGTAGTCAAGGCTATGATTAAATTAGATAGATCCTAAGGACTAGCACCAACTGTCTTATGTCTTTAGGTAAATGGTGAAAACCTGCAGCAAATGAACCATAAAAATGTGGTCTCTGCTCTGAGGTTAGCTCCATCTCCAGTAAGTCTAACCATCTTGCGAGAGGATCCCGAGAAGATTTTCACTTCAATCGAAGGTAACAAGTTGTCGTAATATTCAACAAATCCTTTTAAACAAACTCAATGATTTTCAAAACAGATGATGAATAATAGATTATCAAAGTGTTGTTGCGTATACCCCTTTAGTTGACCAGAGGATTGTTAAATCTCCTTCTGTCAAAAATAGAACCATCGACCATCTTTGAAGTGAATTTGGTGAAATCCTTCACTGAATACTTGGGACTAAGCATTCTCGGGAGAAAGTAAGTTTCCAAATAATTTAACCATATCTTCTACCATACATTATGATGTTTTGATAATGATATTACATAAATTAATAGCAACGAAGAAATCACATAATCTAAATGAAATATAGAATTTGGCAAAGATTTGCTCTCTCTCTCTTTTATCTCCACGATCGAGTGACCCTGATTTACATTTTTAAAAATGGAGACTCTGTGCAGTTTACAAAAGACTCAGTGTGCGAATTTGTTTCAACTGTAACAGAATAAAAAATTTATCATTTGGTTTCACAGTCGTTATTTTATTTCTCTCCTGGTCATAATTACAGGGATAAGAAAGGTGTATTTGTTAGTTATGTGGTAAGTGACATTTTTATTGTCTTGATAAAATTTACCTTATCCCCTATGTAAGGATCTGTTTCATTCATATGATCCCCTCCTTGGTAGTTAATAGACAGTCAATTTTCTCTAGTCTCACCTCTATACTCTGTTGGCAAGGACTAATCCGCCTCGGGTCCACCCTAAAAACAATGTGATTGCCCCAAAATCCTTCAAACTCCCCCCTCGCGATAGACAAAAAACTGGTCCCTGACGGGCCGGACTTGGGCGACGATTTACAAGATCTGCATGACCTCATATTTCACAAAACCTAATACTCTGAAATAGCACAAGGTTATTTAAATCATGTTATTATTCTCTTATTTCAGTCAGAGGACAGCATTGCATACAAAGAGGGATCGATCTATCAGGGGGACAGGATTCTGGAGGTGAACGGTGTGAATCTTAAGAAAACAACACAAGAAGAGGCCTGTAAAGTTTTACAGGTCAGAAGAAAACTGTTAGCTCCGAACGTGGTGTAGCCTGAGTACCAGTCTTTCCAAGGGGAGTGGGGGGATGGGGAGAGAAAAAGTAGAAAAGCCCTTCCTCATGCTCTCGTTTGTCTCCACTTCCCCTTCCACTGGAAGGCCTGGTACTCAGACTAAATATGGAAAATAAAATCTGCTTACGAGACTGATTTGGAAGGTTGTTTTAGCTTATCCTGGTTTCTGTGGTATGGTTTGTTTAAGAGTATAGCCATTTCTGTTGGATGGGATGTACAACGCTTTTTATCCCACATCATTAAAAGTTACATGAGAACCATTTATACCACTGGGTTGAGACAAGCACCTTGAGAGCTAGGCATGCAAAAGTTTGAGACAACTACGAAAGTTTTGTCTGAAAGATTTTTTCTTTTAATACTAATAATAGTGATGGTATAGTATGATCGTCCCAGTGAGTGTAGTCCTGAGAGGTACCGTTATCGATAATAGTGACTGACATTTCCACAACCTGAGTGAAAGTTATCATCAGAGTCAAGCGAATAGTCGTTGTCAGTCGAATGTACTATGTCCGATAAACCAATTGCTCAGTTAAGCTATAATGTTAATGGCTCTAAGACTCAAGTGGCGTAAGTTGATCATAATAATAGTAATAAGTTATTTAAAAAGTCATATATTTTCATTAACTATAGCGGGTCTTGGGACACTTTACTGAAAGCTTTTATTAGACTGCATGAGAGTTAATCGCAATGAATAAAAACATTTTATGGCAATTCAAAGATGGTATCAGGATAATAATCTTTCGTTTTGATCCTACCTAGCGCACTTACGGAACTGTCAAGCTGAAGATTGGACGTATTTCTTTTCTACATTCGTCTCTGTGCTCACCCAAAACCAAAACCTCCTACACCAACCACGCTCTTGAGGACGATGGAGGTAAAGTTTTTCGTGTTGCACTGAGAAAATTATTCTAGCCACTTTGCAATACGCACATGGCGGGACATGGGCAGGAAGTTCTCGACTGAGAGTGCTTCAATAGCGTTGTATTTGTCGTTTGGGGCATGTAAGGCTGTTTGGGGTTGTATCCGATTTTCCACTTTGCTATGACAAAGGTGGAATGGGAAGAGATGCACCCATCGGCCACACCCTGTTTGCAATCTTCCTTTGATGTCAGAATTTGGGGGTGATTTAAAGATAGTCTAAGATTGATGAATCAAGAAATACGCCTTGAGAATTGGTCCTGTCTTGGTTCCAACGAAGATTACCAATTTTTTTTTCAGGTCTCAGCGAGGAGTTTCGTCGCTGCAATAGTGTGGGCTCTGTGCACAAGAAAAAGCGCAAAATCCCACTTGACTTTAAGAACCAGGTCCCCATCAGACGACGGTCAGTAAGCTGCAGAGATTACAGCCAGGCCTCGGGAATTGACCTTGATGGACTGGAGCGAGCCTCCTCTGAGCATGACATTAGAAGTCAGTGTCAGAGTTTTTCCTCAGTTGTTATTGCTGTTTTTGCTTTGTTGTTGTTGTTGTTTTTGTTTTGATGTTGTTGCTGCCGATGCCGTTGCCGATGTCGAAGGCTTACACGATGGCGGGTACAGAATACTATTTGTCGAAGAAATATCGTTACTTCTCAGTTTCAGCTTTATTAAGAAATGTCCATCATATATATTCCTCAAATCCCCAACCTAACCCTTGGCCCTTTCAGTCGACTTGTCTTACGTGAATGGAATCACGGTTCCTAGGCTCGTAGGAAAGTACCCAAGATTATTCAGGTTCGTTATTTGCAATATGTATCAATCAATACCATCTTTAACAATCGCTGCCCTTTTTCTTTTCTTGTTCCCTCTCTAATATTTACCTATGTTAACAAAAGATTCTGTGAAGGCTTGCTCTACCCATAAAGCACGCTCTAAAAAAGAATTGTCCTCCTTACTTTCTTTAGGTTTCCTTTTAGCTATCTTCTGTTAGGCATACCTCCGTAATATTTGATTTGAAAACATCTTTTGAAGGGATATGATTTTAAGTGATGTGTTATTTTCGGTCATGTCAGATTTGTATTAAAGTTTCATTTTTCATTCATTTACAGAAACCAATCAACCTAAGCATCTCAAAAGAAGCAAGGAGCCTCAAGAGAGATTTCGATACGTGTATCCAGAACGGATTGAGCTCTCGTTCAACGAGCAAATCAATCAAGGGTCTTATCAGAGAGAAGGTAGTTTCTCTTAACACGAGTTTTGATTTCGTGTCGAAAAATGAAAAGTAAAGTTATTTGAACGATCAATCAGAGCAATTCACCAATTTACTTTATCAACGCCGCTGATGACATTAAATTATCGTGTAATACCCTCCATCAACGCAGCTTAACAGTTTCTCTAGAAACTTACCTCATTTATTCGTTAAACTGTTTATACGTCTGTTTTATGTTTTAGATTACGTATGAAAAGAAGCCGAAACGCCACCAAGCGTAACAGAAAAGGAGAAAATACTAGCAGTGACTCGGTGATTAACAAATTTTAAGAGTATATAAGAGATATGAAGGTAAAGCAAGGCAAGAATAGGCCACAAGAGATGACTCTACCACGAAATTAGAAATTTGTTTTGAAAGATGAACAGGATACTATTAAAAGTCATCAGTGATTCATGTTTAGTCATCGTTATGATCCAGCGAATGAAGAGTTTTACCTACCTTGTACAGTGTAATAAACTGCACCAAATTAATGTACTGACCAGTAGCTTTCATATGAATGGTCACACACAAGGGTTTGATCCACGAACTTAGAACTACCTCGTGCAGCATTATGAACAATACTACATGAAGGTACTGCTCCTGAAGGAACCTTCATTCGGAGAGTCACTCGCTGGCATTTCATCCACGTGCTTAAAAGTTAGAACCACCTTGTTTCATGTACAGCGTAGTAAACAGCATCATACGAAAGCACTGCTCAATAGCGCTGTTTTTAAATGGTCATCTTAAAATTTCATTCATAATCTTATGGGATTGGAAACGCTTTGTTCAACATAATAAACGAAAACACTCAATGGCGTTGGTTGGTAGCCGCAGAGTTAGAACCACCTGCACCATAAATAGTGCTACAAATCGATTTATTACATCCATTTTGAAATCACTAGCGACCCTTGTTATCTGATTGGCTCCCAGTGGTGGGATTTACTCACTAATCTCACCATTCTTGGCTTTAAATCGCATCTTTTTTCCATGACCAACGAGAAAGCTTTACTAAAATGCAACAACCAATCGCTTTAAAAAAAAACCAATCTAATTATAGGAAAATCGAAAAAACAACTTATGCAACTTTCTACAAACTCGCTTACCACTAGATAACCAAAACATTTGTATCAACAAAAGATCCTGTATCTGAGCGACTGAATTTTACCATTTCAAAATGTATTTACTTTGTGTTGTGCAATTTTAGTCTGAAATTATACTTGTGATTTCAGACCAAAGTGCACTCCACTCAGTTCAATTACCATTATAAATCTGTAAAAAATTGCGCAAAAAATTACATCTACTCTAAGATGTCAAAATAGAGAGGAATCACAATTGAAATCAAAATTCACGGCCAACAATACTTTCTGCTTGATTAAATTTGTGCATTATTTTTGTAATTTAGATAAGAAAAAACAAAACGATTTTACTCGGTATTTCTTGTTTAGATATTGCGTCTTATAATCTATTACAAAGCTCATTGTGATGTAATTAAGCGAAAATTAATTCCAGGTTTAAAAAAAATTGATAAATCTATGGCAGGCGTTATCATTAATTTTTCTCTCTGAAAATTCCTCTTCATCTGAATGATAAACGAACGAACGTGCCTGTCAATGGAACCCTAAATTAGGAACAATAAAAATATTCTTATAGTCATTTCAGCTTACAAAATAAGAACAAAAACTTTGATTTAAAGATATAAAAGGAAACAATTGCCATCTTGTGATCTCTGTTTACGTTTCCTTATTTTCATTATTTGCTTAGCTTGAGGTAGAGTGTTTACCCAAAGGTGCGCCATAAATCGTTCTCTGGTTTGCGACTATATATTTACATCTTGTTAAAACTGTGACCCCGTATGATTCGTATGAACTCGTATGCATTAGAGAAGGTCTTATTACCCTGCATTTACTTTGAAATAAAAACGCATGTAAAGGTTTCTTTAACAGTTTAAAGAGAAGAGCATCTAATTTCTCTTTACAGTATCACCGCGGGATAAAACACTAAGGGCATGAGAATAAAGGAAATGATCACCGACCGAGAGAAGCTCTTGAATGGTGAACAAATTATTCTTGGTAGTATCATAGGAAATGTATAGGGAATAGTGCGGAGACTGATTTCAGGGTGTGAAGGGTTAAAAAAGTAAGAGTTGGCAAATTATGTTTTTTCCAGCATGATTTTGAGCTTTTGAGATGAAAAAAATATATATAGATATATATCTAAAAGAACAAAACTATGTTTATAGCACCAAGCTTGGACTCGGCACAAAGTACGACATTTTAGTTCTTTTAACAGTAAAATTAAAGAAGACTATTCTATTTACAAATGTTTGAAAATTATGGCTTCCAAATGCAAGCACTAACCATCCTAATGCAAATAAAAGGCTATCTTCTATGTAATTTTAAAATCTTTGATTGTTGAAAGATTGGTCGTATAATATCTGATTCTTGCCCAATACTCGTTTGAATTTTAAAATCTCTCCTACATATTGTGTCAAAAGAGTGGTTTTCGAAGATGAAACATTCAACCCAAAATTGGTTTGCTCGCACCTTTTTCTTGTTGATATCGGACACAATTCAGACAATAAAATTGCAAATTTTTTCTCACTTTTGATCTCAAAACCACGTTTTGATCATGAAAAATTAAGCTATTTACTTCACTTGTCTGCTCATTTAATTACGAACTTTTCCGTTTTTTGGCAAAAGGCAATTTTTGACACTTCCCTTTTTTCGTTGTTTGATCAAGAAAACTCTGTAGCATTGTCATTAAAACTCGCTCAAGACTCACTGCGGAATACAATCACGTTTGAAATGAGTCTTCTTAGTTTAATATTTAAGCCCTAAGTTCATAACGAGCGGCTTTTTCTGCTTATAATCTTTGGGCGGACTGTGGGGAGAATTGAAAAGAAAACATTAGCTCTGAAAACAAATTAAATAAAGTTGAGTGAAAATTGTGAGAAATTTCCAGCAAGAATGGATTGTGTTCTTGTCAGCGGCTTTAACCGATGACCAATCAGACAGGAGTATTAATTACTTCCCGACTCTTTTGCATTAAGGACAGGTGATAGAGGAACGGTGTGAATTAAACGCCGAAACCACAATCTAACACTTTAAAGTTATCAATTATATTTTTTCGCAACAACAGCTACATCACTTCTGGCGAAGTTTTATAGGAAAACCCCCAAGGATTGTGACAAAGTTCGAAAAAATTCGTTCCTGTACTGTTAAATTGTGTTTAATAGTACACGCCAGCAGAAGCAAAAGATGGTTTCGCAGTGGACAACGGCTTCAGTTGTCATTACATCCTTACCTCTCACAATCGTTATATTGATCGGAATCTTTGGAAATTTAATGGTTGTCTTTATTAGTACGAAAGGTAACAGAGTTCGTACGAAAGGCCGTGCTCTCATCGCAAGTTTAGCTTTTGCAGACACTTTGGAATCGACAAATCTGCTATTTATGCTTGTATCTGTGATTAGTTATGGAAAATGGATCTTCGCGGAAGAGCTGTGTCAATTAAACGGGTTTATGACAACAGAGTTTGTCATTTCGTCCATGTACAGTCTCACTGCAATAAGCATCAACCGCTACTATATGGTGGTAAGACAGAATTACTATCGCAGAGTTTTTAATGCGAGGAATCAGGCGTTAATGATTGCATGTATCTGGTGCATACCACTGCCATTTGCCATCGGACCTTTGCTAGGATGGTCAAAATTTGAATTCCAATCCGGAAAATGTCTATGTATCTTTTTCTTCAGTCGCTCAGTCGTTTTTTCTACGGCGCTCCTTTTCGTTGCTGTTCCTCTGCCTATCGGGATAATTGGTTTCTGTTGCTTTAAAGTTTACAAGCAGGTCCGGGAACATTCGCGACAATTGTCATCAATGACTACACATGCACCTTCTGTTAACGTAGAGGAGGTACGCATCACAAAGACTCTCGCTGTGGTCATCGGTGCTTACCTAATTTGTTTCATACCAGCTGCTATAATAAATTTAATTGAAATGGTCCAACCCAGCTTTAAAATCCCACTTTGGATCGACATTTTGTCCATGATACTAGTATTTTGCAATCACGCCAATAATCCTGTGATCTACGGTGCTTTGAACAAACAATATCGCCGTGCTTTTAAAGACATCATGAAAAACCTTCTGGCCGGCCGATGTTCTCTGGAGAAAACCTCAGACAGCTCGGTAAATAACAGCACTATCACTGGCATGAGTCCAGCACCAAGGTCGAGAGGATTGTTTAAAACCTCGGCAAAAGTGGCCGCAATTGCTCAGTCGCGGAAAACGAACCAGGCAACCATTGGAATACCTGCAAGAATGCTAGAGCCGACAACGGTCGCTAGTTGCTGAGATATTTTGTACATATGTTGTGTAAATAATAGAAAAGAAACAGCGTAAAAATTTTCTAACTTAAGGTCATAAAACACAAATAGCTTTTTTTTCAATGCTGCATGATTCATATCGACAGCAGTAATAAATTTTGCCGTGGTAGGTTGAATTTCGAATTCGCATAAACGTGCACGAATATTAACATGAACCCTATTAAAAATCGTAAAAGTGTAAATGATGTTTTGTTATTCCGCCAAATCTCCAAGTGGGTTTGAGTTTCCTAAGTAATAATTTTCTTGCCTGAACCTAATAGAGTATATTTACTTATTTATCGTTTATCTACTAAGAAGGGTCACTCTACTTCGTCAAACTAAATTGCATATGCATGCAAATCAGTTGAAGAAACTCGTGAGCTCTGAGCTCTTTGAGGGCAGAATGTTATTCACAAAATTGTTACAAAACAGCAGGTGAGCGAGCATTATGGATTTCAAAATGTCATATTTGTTAAATATCATTGGTGGTTTGATCATTAAGGGAAGTGCTCAGGAGAAAACTCTTAAATTTGGAAATAAATTGTTCATCACTCAAAATCTGCGCAGTACGTTATTTCCTGTGTATAGATCGGGACACGAAAAAGAAAAAAATTATGGATGCTGCAACAAAATATAAATCATTTATTAAAAACAATATGGTACATCGACAGTTTAGACATTTTCATTCTTTGCCAATAGATGACAAAAGTATCTTTTTTTTCCAATTATTATGATTTCTGCAGTTTAAATAATCAAAACTGCCCTAGTTGGTATTTTTTTGCCATCTTCTCGATGGCATTTTCCAACTCTCTAAATTAAACTTGAATTTTCAGAACAATTTGTGGAGAGGATTATGGCTGTATATGTGTGGTTAACTAATTAGATCACCTGCTTTCAACTTTAACAATTAACAAGTTGATTTGAAACGCCACAATTCGGTTCCGCAGTTTTATTTTTGTGTCATAGGGAGCTAAATGCGAACGTGATCTCTTGAATGTCTGGCTGGCGTCCAGTGCACATTTCGAAATAAATTTTTGCGATCATAAATGCATGGTTTGTTCAAAATAATTTTCCAAAATACTATTAAAGATATTTGTAACATTTAATTGTTTTGACAATATCTCAATATATGAAGTTTCTATCATAGAGGCAGAGACTCCGCGCCATTTATTTCCTATCGTTGGGCCAGAGCCTGAATTCTTGCGTCTAAAAAATGCAAACAGGAAAATTTCATCAACATATGTAGGACTCTTAGAAAGTTTAACGAGCCATTTACGGAAGGGACATCCTACATTGCCTTTCTTTATCGGTTTTTACAGTTTTAACGACTAATTTTTAAAAGGTGTTAATCTACTATCAGCTCATTGTTCAATTTTAGCTCCTAATTTCAAATTTTCCAAAACAAATTTTTTGTAATGTAACAAAACACTGAGAAAAGTAAAAATAGCAAAATATTATACGCAATATTTGACCGATAGCTATCATCCAGAATTTGACAAAAAGTATTTCTAAAATCTAGTTTCTGGGCAGCAGTGTCTATTTCCACCTCTTAGGATCCACAGACGAGCAGCTAAACAAATGACTAATTATCCTCGCTGTTCTTTTCAGGGAAATGTAAACCAAAAAGAACACAGCAAATTAATTTTTGTTACATAAAGCTTAGCGGGTCGTTGAGCGAATTACGAAAATATGAAAGTATGGTTAGAAAAAAAACCACTATCAAAAATATGACACCATTAAAATTTTCTTTATTGTTATAGTTATTTGTTTCCGTTTTTTCACAATAACCTCTTCAGAATTGACACAAATTTAGGGATTTATAATTTTAAAATCAGACACCAAATGCCGCGAATAAATATTTACAAATTATCGTCCATGAATATAATATTATTCTATCCTCGTTATTTCATAAATTAATATCCATGTCTTTTGTTCCAATTTATATCGCATATTCAAATTAAAAGCGACACTTCTACATTTTGCCGAAAGTGACCGGCCGGGCTCGAGGTTCGAGACCGACAACATCTTCGGGATATGTTCGACATTTCAACGAGGTCTAGCGATAAGATAAGTTGTTGGAACTTGCGAGACGAGGAAAATCGGATCAATATCAGTATCTGAGCAACTGCCCACCTACCCCTCCCCTAACCCGACGTTATTATCAATTGACTGTTGTTGAGTTAGGGGAGGGGTAGGTGTGCAGCTGCCCAGATACTGATATTGATCCGGAAAATCTTGGGGGTTGGCAAGCATTTGTTTTCGAAAACTGTTATGACAACAGCTATTAAATATAGGTGCGGTTTTTAGATCCATGTACAGTGGAGGCATGAAATGAGTAAAATAATCTCCCCTCGTTCGTTTTTGCTGAAATCTTTGATCTTTGATCTTCCTCAAAGATGCTAAAACGATTAAGACACTGGTTGTAAGCAAAAAATTATTTTGGCCTTAGTACCGTTATATTTGGTCAAAATTTGGAGTCCAGCTAAATTCAAAAGACTCTAAGTGTTCATGCTTGATTTCACGAAAGGTCAACAGGAGACGTACGTATGAAGATAAACTTCTTAAACTTAGCCAGTCAAACGGAAGGACGGTATAATTTGGGTCAAATGCAATGTGGTTTTTATTTAGTCTTCCGCTTATCTGAAAAAGATAAATTAATCATTGAGTCCCTAATCTCATCATTTATCTGTTTCAGATTACGTAAAGCAAATAGTTCTTCTTGTAAGTGATGACATTTCGCGCGCGAGAACATCCCCTAACAACCTGTAAAACTCTCTTACCGGAAAAGCAGATTGTGTAAGAACGCGGACATTTTTTACAATGGATGATTTTGGTCCTGTAGGCGGACGCCAAGGTCGTAGTTATTTAAGCCAAGCCCTGTTGGAGGAAAGCGAGGTTCAAAGCCAGATCTCTGTGGGTTCAAGCAAACAGCGTCGCATTTCAGGAGAGAGCACGAAAAGCGATCGGAAAATCTCTACCCAAGAGGAAAGTCGAAAGATTTCAGTTCCTGGACGACGAATTTCTGCTGCGTCATATTTCAGCAGCTGGAAGAAACCAACGGAAACGAGTGCTGTAAAGGAACAGAGAAGGAGGTTGATGGAGAATACATATCGCCTTGAACCGAAGATTCGACTCCCTGAAGGAACCGTTCGTGCAATTATCACAGAAGCTTTGGATACCTTAAAGTCACATTCATACAGCGCTACTCATTCGCCGTTTATTGCTAAGTTACTGACCACTCGTATACTAGAAAGTGTGAAGCAATTGAACATTGAGCGCTACAAGTTTGTTTGTCTGGTTACCATTGGAACGAAAGGATCTCAGGATTTAAGAATAGCAAGTCGGTGCCTGTGGGACGATCAGTTTGATACATTTGTCAGTGTTTGCTTTGAAAGACAAGAATTTTTCGCGGTGGGAACAGTTTATGGTGTTTATTTTGAATAGCATGTATCCTCCTTTTGGAGAATTTTCATCCCGTGTTTAGAAACTGATAACAATTGTGGCAACCGTTGCTGGAGAAATTCAATACTGCAGTTTGTGGTCGACATCCTTCATTCAGAAATACTTTACCGTCTAGGACCGACTCCGTGCATCGTTTAAATACGTTAGCGTTCATTTTTATTCTCAGAGACGTCAGCCAACTCCACTAAAGCAACTGATACGCTGTGAGGAGAATTGCGCCAGTGAGAAAGTGAAATTACTTATCTTGTCACTGAATTAGACAAAACAGACTCTAAAATAGCACTGGCGTGAGATAAAAGATCGGGCATTAGGTTAACAAAACATCATGTGGTTAGATTTCGAGATTCCAAAGAGTTTATTAGGATTAATCCGGTAGGAAATACGTTGCTCTCGGATGGGATCAATTATCATTATAATTTATCTTCCAATTCTCTTACCTGACGATCTTACGTTTTCTTAATAGTTTTTACTGTGAATTTGGTGTTACATCTCTACAATTCTTCCACAGTGTACTAAAAATTCTTAGGATAACTTATACGGGCAGATCGATCTCTAGAGTTAGAGGTCAGTTTATTTTTGTCAACCGATAATTGGACTAGCTATTAAAACTTACCAGAGAATTGTGTATGGTTTACACGCACAATCTTTTAACAGATAATCGGCCAGAATGATCGACGAATCAGTGGCAGAGGTTGAGACTCGTTAGGCGCCGAATAATCTGGTTTGAGAATCTGCGAGACCCAAAAAGAACTCAGTTTATTGCAAGGTACTGTTTTGACGAAATATCTGACGCTAAAATTGTATGTTGAAGTTTATCTTAATTCTTTTTTCGGGATGTATCAACTTCTGTATAACATATGCGACAACGATCGCAACCGTAACACTAATTGAGACCCTCGGTCACGGTTTTCAGGACAATTCCGAGGATTTCAAACCTTTGACAGAAAGGAGTACTATTTGCCTCCCCCTGGAGTGGAAAACTGAAACAAGGTCAATGAAAACGTCTGTTAATTATTCAGTCCGCCTTAAAGGCGTTTCTATTTTTCCACACATTTCTTTGATAAGGGTTAGAGATTTATGCATCAACTGCTCGCACCTGCGCGTTATTTTCAGGAGGTTTTTGGGCTCACAATTTTTGTCTGTGGCTTTTTCAAGTTCTTTCGCTCTTGTCATTACAAAGAACAAAGAAAAATATTTCAGTTTAAACTGAAGTACTTTATCAACAGAATGATAAATTATTTACAAAAAAATACAGTCGCAATCTTTTTCATTTAGTAGGTAAATTGGTCTGTGTTTCAGTGATATTATTGCATGTTTGCAAGTGTTCAGTTTTTTTTTTAGAATTAGTAATAATTTTTCCTGAGACGTAATCAGATGACTCATACCTAATTCGAGGATTTAAGTTTCCGGCGGTTAGAGAACTTTTTTTTAACAAGAAAACCTTGTAAAGTGAGTAAGCTTTGTTTTTGTGCCGCAAAATTAAAACATGCTCATCCAAGCTTTTAAAATCTATTGTTTATGGCGAGATTATTACCCCACTTATAATTGTTCTTTTGGTAATTGAGCCCGTGCGCCAGAGAACTATTTGAATAAGCTAATGCCTCAGTGTTGTAGAAACAGTCAGGCTTCGTTGATCAAACTTAGCAAGACACGCAAACTTTGTGAAAATGAACGAAGGTAGTTCCTCTGGCAGAAGGCAAAGCCATTCTAGTCGCACACTGTCGGAAGAAACCGAATCCAATGCGGTTTTATTCGAGAATTCTGTAGAGAAGATTGGACGTCAACGAAGTCCTTCCGTGGAAAGCGAGCAAAGCGGTCGCAAAGTCTCCCAAGAAAGCAACCTTTCGCGAAAGATTACTGGACTGTCAAGACGTATATCTGCCGCGTCTTTCTTCTCCAATTTCAAGAAGCCAGCTGTTGAAACAAAACCAACGGATGAAAAATTGAAGAAAACCTTCGAGAATACGTACCGATTGGAGCCAAAGATTCGTTTTCCAGAAGGAAAGGTTCGGGTGGTGATTCAAGAAGCTTTGGATACTTTAGACTCCCATACATACAGTGCTCATCACACGCCGTTTCTTGTCAAGTTGCTGACTGCTCGGATACTGGAAAACGTAAAACAGCTGAACATTGAGCGATACAAGATTGTTTGTATGATTACCCTTGGAACAAAAGAGTCCCAAGGAGTCAGAGTGGCAAGTCGCTGTCTGTGGAATAGCCACTTCGATACGTGTGTTAGCGCGTGTTTTGAGAGAGAAAAATTCTTTGCTGTTGGAACAGTTTACGGTATTTATTACGAGTAAAAAGCCTCGTATTGAATATAACAGTGAAGTCATTTACTGATATCAGTACTCAGCATTTTTGTGTGAACTCCGGGTTTAATTTTCGTAGAGAACGTTGCATGCTGTACCTCGACTTCGGGTAAAGTGACAACTAATTCCTGACTGTTTGTAGACCTAAATCTCAAGCATTTATCAATGCCATCTCTCTTGTCACAAGATCTTTATAAATCAATAACTCCACATAATAATTTGCTAACATAAGTGCGCCGTCAATAAATGAGAATATAGTATTTCATCTGTCATTTGCGACAAATCAATTGTAGCATAACAATATTGATTAAGAAGCTTGTGAAACTTAACTAAATTTTTATGTTTTGTGCATTTGAGTGTTGGCTTTGTAATCCTTTTGACTCTATTGGGTGAATGTTAATACAACGAGAATCAACATAGTTACTTTATATTTAGAAATAAGGGCATAATCGACGGGGATTTACGCTCTAATGGTGCATATTAAAAATGAAACTGTTTCGACGCATTTAATTAGACAAGTTTTTTGATTGTTAAGAATTTATCTACAAAGTATTTGGATGTCGATGTACTGTTCAAAGCGATCTTAAATTAATTAAAAAACAACTTTTCAAACCTTATAATCATTCTTAATCTATAAACACACACAGCTTTAGGGGTAATCAAGGTCACAGTTGGTAAGCGGAAAAATCGAAAGCTCTTGACGATTTTAAATCGATGCTCACAGAGATAAGTGTTTTTAAAACGGGGCAGAAAGATGAATATACTGATTCTTGCTGAACAGAGAACTATCTCCACTGTTAGGAAAAACTTAAGCATTGTGATAAATTTGAAATTTTGTATTTTGACTAGACGTCACAAGACTAAACGGTTGCATGAACATGAAAGCCAAGTTTATGATAAGCAAATATGTCAAAATTTGGCGCATAATTGGAAATTTACTTGTTAAATTCGTCTGTTAAGTGATGAGCAGAATCTTTCCGAAGATTCACCCACTTAATTACTTACCAAATTTATCTTAAAACTGATAAACGTAAGAGAATATTTGTTAGTGAAAACATGGAATATGATTTATGATGAAAGGAACTATTCAGGACACTTCGCGTGCATTAATTGCAACCGACGCCGTCCAGTCGACGTCGGAACTCGTCATGCCTTTGTCTTTGGCCAAAAATTGGACCAATTAATTTGAAATTTCTATCACGTACGCGAACTGAAAAATGCAAGAGGCATAAAGACAGACTGACCCCACAATGCTGAGAGAAGATTTAAAGAGAGTAGAATTCGAGGAAATTAGAATACTTTATCAGGTTGAGTTCCCTTAGGAACAAAGCGATAAAACATCAGTCATGCGTACGTGGATCATTTTTGGCCAGCGGCGCGCCGATTTTCTACGCAGAATTTTTAAGAAACGTATCAAGAAAAACTTTGTGTCACTAAGAATTGAAACTATGAGGGAAAGCTGAGAATGATACACTGATAGTAGAGAAGGATGAGACTCTTCGAGCGCAAAAGGTATCTAACTACGTTTCGGCTTCACTAGAAAAGTTATGAGCTTCTAAATTATTAGCTGGTGTGGTCGTTTTCTAACAGCTCCAGTGAAACAATTTGGATTCACAGCCTTATAGCACAATGCAAGGCCTCTATTTAACTTATGCCACTTCAAAGGCTTTTCAACGTTTGCACATGCGCATATGTTTTACTGCGGTGTATCCAGGAAGGGGCCTGCAGTTACGTCAAAACAGACGCAAGCAGAGTTGTTTACCTTTCTCTTCAACATTTCAATTGCATTGATAAACTAAGTGTACTCTGTTTTGCATTGCGACTTGTCAGATTTTAAACAAAGCAAAGACACTTGTCGAATTGTTTGCCACACCCCATCAACAAGATTCTTTCTTCTAGACGCTATTAGGTTTTCAAACATACCATCTGCCATGAGGCGACCATTTTGAATTTTTCCTTACACGTTCAGTTGTTTGCTAAGTGTCTCTGTTACTCGTAATACACACCATACACTACACCAAAGGCGAACAGGTCTCCTTTTTCAAAATAATATTGAGCATAGCTGTCATGTCTCGGATCCCAAACGCATCTGCTCACCAGGCGCACGCTCTCCCCTCTCTTCTGACCTATGGATACAATACAGATGATTTTATGCCTGGAAAACTCCAAATGTTTAACCTGTTCTTTGATCAAGTCTGCAAGGATTGTGCACATTTTTTGATAATTGCGGCGATCATCGTGTTCCTCGTGTTCCTCAAGCAAGTTTTCTTCAAAAGTTTTCTTGACGATCTCTGTAACTTTCCAGTGTTCAAACATCTTCTCTGGCTCTGTGCGAAAAGAATTCTCTAGAGTTCCATGCTCCGGGATTCGTTCTTGTCCGCTGGATTGAGTATTTACGGATGCCCTTCTTGATCTTGTGTATCTTCTCCTTCGAGACGCACCATCCCCCGATCGGAAATGTGGTATCTTTACAGACTCCGAATCTGACGAAGCTGCTTCATTGAATCCAATCGTCGTCACTGTGTTAGATCTTTGTCTTCGACTTCCGCCTTCTTCTGGATCTAAAAAACGATAGGCGGCACTCACGTCTGTTCCTCCAACATATTGTTCATGATCATTTGCTGAAGCCGTGTGCGTTGTAGCAGATCGCCGCCTTCTCGGAAGCTCTTCTCTGTTGGGCTGAACTAGTTTCTGTACCTGGTTTGATGGATCATCGCAATACGTGACTGCAAACGCTCCCTCGTCGTTTATTTTTTTCTGCTCAGAGAGAAGACTCGATGACAGTTCTTTGATCTTTAGAGCGGTGCTTCGTGCTGCTACGACAGAATAAATTCTTGGCGGCCCTAGGTCAGTCATTTTATGTACAAACCAATCTTCATGCTGATGAAGAAATTCTCACTAAAAAAATCCGATGTGAATGCACCACTCAACTTCCTCAACTGAAATCTGTTGTCGATATCAGTTTAGACCTGTTGTCAATGACTTAGTCCACAAAAGCAGCTTACGCGTAATTTCCGTCTGTTTAATTTGTTATTCTCCTCAAGACGAAAAGCTACTGATATTTGCATTATGTTTGTACAAGAATTTAAAGGTCAAAGTCTCAGACCCTAACCAGCCTTCCAATTGGCTCAATGAAAATAATATTTCACACCAATGTAAAGAAAGTGAGCTGATGGTAATAAACTTGTTGTTGTAGTTTTAGAGCGCACCGCGACGATATAACGATGGAAATACCTAAGACATATCGCATTAAATCAGAAACCCGTTGTCATTCGTTGAATAATTATCTGTACCCCGGCAAACTTGGCTAGAGTAATTATATTCTAAAACAAATTTTCCTTTTTCTTCTCAGTCGTGAAAAGCATTTTCAAGAAATGATCGATACTTTCGTTTATTTCAAACCTATTTACTTTGCTTAAGATTATAATACAACACTCATTTGAAATTGAAAAACACCTCTCTGACATATCATCCCAAAATAATGGAAAATGTCATGAAAATAGTTTCTACTTTTTCCTTGATGGGATTTTGTCGCGGTCGTGCAAAATGGCTACTCACCTCTTCCCCTAACGGGTTTCACGCACTACTCATCGATACTCATTTGTGTGTAATATGTAGCTAACTTGTGCTCGATGCAACACAAAAGCTCTCGAGGGATGGCTTGATCTTGATAGGGCGACTAAAGAGTCACTGAAAAATTGTGTTCGAAAGTGAACTATCATTTACATCAACTACTGCGGGATAATAGAGCTATTTGGCATTGAAAGTAATCTGGGACTACCTCGGTCTTGCTTTTTCACGTGCCCTTGTGATTGCAATTGGCGCAGAAAACTCACGCCACCCTCATAAATAATTAGATAGGAAACTAAAACCAATCTGGTTTCTCTCGTTTTTCCGCGCTTAAAAAGTTTGCGTGTTTTGAGTTTACTTTATAACTTGTTTTTTTTTCGATTCTTCTTATTCCGGCTTTTGTGATTACTTTAATGACGAATGACTGTCAGTCAAAAAATGCGCTTTACCTATGCTGTCTTATGTTAATTTTAGCCATAGCGTGAGTCCTAAATCTTGGTGTAAACAAAGTTTCATTAAAGTCAATAGAATTTATCTAAAACCTTGCTTAAGTCATGTTTTGTACAAAAGATAAAAATAGATAAATTAAACACGAAGTACTTAAGAGTTAGAATTTATTACCATAAGCACGTCTTCTTTCTGCGAAGGAAACAACGTATCAAGACTTCTTTCGCCATTTAAAATATCTCGGTTCTAATACTTCAGCTATCAAAACTCTCGTTTCTACAAAGATATTCTAAAAATTCTGTAAACTGTTTACTTGAATTCCTTGGCAGTGAACTGTTAAGACAAGTTTGTGACGTGATCAAAAATGGTCGTTAAGGACATTTCTTAGAATATTTGCTTCATAAACTAAAAGTTCTTGAAAACTCTTCGTTGGGAATCATGTCTTTGAATATACGGCTATAAGAGAAGGGATAATTGAAATTTTTGAAAATATATATTTTTTCCGTCTCAAAATATTTCTTATCGTTCGCTTCAAAATAGAGTGCTGCAGTATGCAACTTTGGGAATTTTACCAGAAAAAAATTATATGAGAAACGTTTGGAAACGTCAAAGACACACCTTTGGGGACAAATTTATTGAGCTATTTAGAATCTTTCCGTTTTTACACTACGACCTATAAAATTCATATCTCTTCTTAAGTAATGAGAGTAAGTCTGCTGACGAAACTTCAAATTCTCTTTACCCCGACTTGTTATATAGTTACGCAGGAAGCCACAGTTTACTCAAAACTTGAAAAGTTTTCGCTCTTGTATTGTGAGATGTATTAGTGGCACATAATTGTAAAAAGACTTAACTAAATTGAAAGAAAAACACAATGAGCAGAGATCACAGGAAGATTTCGCGATCTGTAGAAGAACGAAACATTCTCGCGTCCACCACGCGGGTTTCGCAGATTTCGCAGACAGACAACGAACTGAAGCTGAAGTTACAAGCGATCGATACTTCATATAAGATATCAAACAAACGCATTAGGAATGAAACTCGCGAGTTAAAGGAAATTCTGCACGGGTTACAACGAGAACTACAAGTATCCAAAGGTGGAAATCGCACACAGTATGTTCCGTCCTTGATCGAACAACCTCAAAGACGCCCGCGAAGGACGACAATTGATACAGTTCCTTCTGAAGAAAGGAGAGATGTCGGTGATGTCGATGTGGCTAGGCGAAGGAGTGGAACCCATCCTCCTAGTTCACACACGCAATACAGCAAGAGGGCTAAAGACGATTTAAATGATGGGCAAAGTGCGGAGAAAGTGTTAGAAGAACGAAAAGAAGATAGAACGACAGAAGTACAAGAGGCTAGCGTATGGAAAAAAGATGGCTTTCCTTCACGCACACTGAATGAAACAGTCTTCTCGAGTCGAGTCGGCGCTGAAAACGCATTTCCTTCGAAATATTCTCCCAGGGAGCAACAACGAGGCGAGCGAAAGAGGTCGACAAACGATGCATTTCGCGGTCGATTTGTAACAAACACTGATATCAGAACCGTTGACTCGAGCATACCAAGCTCAGACCGGAGAATTTCACAAACACAACAAAAACCGGAGGGAGGTAGAATTTCTATACGAACGAATCCGAGCATTTTCGAAGAATTTCCATCGGGAAACCAAAGAGAACTCAGAAAGCGGAGTCTTCCCTGGCAGAAAAAGGGGATCCTTAATGTGGGAACTCGAGAAGACAGTCCGATGGGGGTTCCCCCCGGGAGACACGACCCGCACGATGCTGAGGTCGTATTCGATGCGCTCCCAGATTATCTCGGAGGTCGTAGATTGAGTGTCGCTCATGGTCGGGTACGGAAAGTATCCCGAGGGACTGGGCTTCCCCCCCTGAGGGAAGAGAGAGTTGCTCAGAAGGAAAAGTCGGCCGAAAATTGGAATGATTTGTCCAACTGTAGATATTTGCGGAAAGAAGACCAGGAAATAACAATAGACGATATATTTAGAAAGGAATAGAAACGCAACAATTGTTTTTATACTTGAACGTAATTAAACTGTTTTGTTTCCCAAAAGAAAGGAAAAAATGAAGAAAGACACAAGCAAAAAGAAAACCGTCGCTGGCACTTTTTCAAGGACGAAATTTCCCCGCTGCAAGATGGATCTTTTTCCGAAGCAGACAGACTGTGAAACTTTTATACAAAAAAAAAAGAGAAAAAAATTACTGAAAACCGTCTAAGTACCTTAGTGTTTGAGTTATTTTGGTGATCCTGTCATCCATTTTATACATAATGTCAAAACAAGCCGTGTGGTGTATTTAAACAAATGACACACAGCCGAGAATTGCTTTTAAGTCATGTTAACTACAATTGATATTCAAACGTGTTTACATAGAGAGAATAAAGCACTCTGTGACGAAACAAACACCAAGGCCTAAGTTTCTATAGCAATATTTCGGTGTACTAGATGTTTGTAAATGGTCTCAACACGGGAGGAACTTAAATCGGTTCGAAATCGCCGCCCAGTTTTCAGTTCGTGTTCTCCCGAATGTGTGACGATGGGATTACGAGGAAACCGTGCAAGCCTTTGTATAAGAGATCGTTTTTATCACCTACTTGAAAATATCTTCAATATTCTTCATTGAAAAGTCAATTAAGAAAAACAATGAAACTTCAGAAGAGGAAGCGTCAAGACTGTGACAATGTAAAAGTTTGTCAACTTTCGTCACTAGAAACCATTATTGAAAGTTTTAAACAAATTTCCCGCACTTTGTTAAGCAAGAGTGAAACATTACCGATGTCCGAATGTCCCACGGATATCCGGTTGCGACGTGTCCCTAAATTTATTTTGATGATCGTTCCCGAGTAGTATTTAGACATCACGGAACATCCGACGCATATTCAGTTAGCTACATGCCCCTTAATTTGTGTTAATGATCGTTACCCCCGAGTAATTTAAAGACATCACGGAACGTCCCACGAATACCCAGTTAGTTACATGCCCCAAAATATGTTAGTGATATTCAGACATCACGGAATGTCCCATGATGCCCCAAAGGTTTTGTTAATGATCGTTACCCACTTGTGATACTTAGACATCACGGAATGTTCCACGGATATCCAGTTAGCTACATGCCCCAAAATATATGTAAATAATTATTACCCGAGGAATACTTAACCGTCATGGAATATCTCACGGCTATCCAGTTAGCTAGCTGCACCAAAATATAAGTAAATAATTATTACCTCGAGGAATATTGAAACATCACAGAATGTACCATGGTTTTCCAGTGGGCTTAAGCCCCACACGATGTTTCAGTAAGTGGCCAGCAAGCTTCCGCAAAATACGTTATACTTCGTTTATTTCCACTTTTTCATAATTATCACTCATTACACTTATTATCATTTACACCATTCAGAATCATTCAATGAAAATTAAATAAGTGTCTTTTCTAGCCCCTCATATCACGATCTACCACGCCAATGCCACTGGACGCGCAACTCGACGAGAGGTTGGAAAGAATTTGTATTGCTATGGCACTCGAGAGAAAACCAGCTTCCCTCGCACGGTTATCACAAATCTATGTGATTGGACAAAAATATACGTACACAAGCGGAAACGAAGCGTAAACACGCACACTCAAACACACATACTTCATATGCCACACATGCATGCTTCAGGCACAAATCTTCAAACTTTCACAAAGACGCCCTCACATTATTCAATCGGTAACAATACTTTTCTCGCAAATGCCAATTCCCTCTAAACTCTCTTGTTTCACCTGATACTAGTTACACAAAATAATGAGTTTGTTCCAAAACTCTTCGAGAACTTTCGAACTCTTATACATCAAACCGGGACTGTCCAGTTGGAATAAACTCAAAAATAAGAACCTGGAAACAGTCGATGTAAATTTGAATCGCAGTAACCTGGAACAACCATCTTTTTTCCTACCAAACAACGACGTATCCAACAAGCTATTAACCTTAATTCGTTAGGGAAACTTAAATTTTGAAAATCCTGGTTCTTCTCTGAGAGTTTTCGCTGTAATCTAAAGGTAAATGAATTACTTGTCGAAATGTTTCAGCGCTCTTCGATTGAGTGTCGAAAACAAAAAACCACTCAAGCACTCTGTGTTCAATCAGGATAAAGAAAAATATCACTAAGAAACGATAAGAACAGAGTAAAAACAAGCAAACTTCCTGAGGCACGAGAAAACACAAGTGACGTGGTCGCGGTAGGATTCAGTATGTAATCTGATTGGTTAAGAGAGTGGGGCGAATATTCTGAACCAATCATACAGCGGAGTCAACCAGAGACAAAGCAATCCCGAATCACTTTCGACACTCAACTGAAAATTGCTCGTCGTCTGTTGTGCTACGTAAAATAACCTTCAATGTGAAGGAAAACACAAACATATTCATTTAGCAATATAGAAAAATGTCAATAATTTACTTGAGAAACCAAAAAGCAACGAGGATGAGGTTGAACTTCCCGGATTGTTAGTTACAACCTTGAAAAGCCCATGACGCCGAAACCGCGACATTTTCATCCAAGGTACGAATGCAAATTCTGACGAAAGAGTATATGACCCCCTTTCGCAGGACTGCTTCTCAATAGTTTTACAATGTACCTATCAATTTGTCCACGTTGTTACGTGTACGAAACAAGACTTTGGTCACCTCATACACAATAAAACATCTAAGTTAACTAATTGACATAATGTATCTGTCTTTGTATCTATGTACATATCTCAGTTATTTACAGGTATTTACAGTATCTACAGGGCAGTCTGTCTTTTGGTATTGAGAACTTTTTTGTCGTGAACCGAACCCAAAATAACTTAAGCGCGGAAAATTGAACTTGACCACGGTACAGTTGATTCAGGTTTTGCATCTGAATGGTTGAGAGGTTGGCGCGAGTTTTTTTTTTTCAACCAATCACAGAGTAAAGTGAAATAAAACCATTGCAATTTCGTAATACGACAGATAAACCACAGAAAATTGCTCCAACCAGTCGAGGAGATCCATCGAAGTTCACCATTGTTCGATTCTTGGTAATTAACGGCCAGCCGTCAAAACCTCGTATCCAAATCTGTTTCATCTAGCTTTTCTCCTGAATTGCCTCTTGGTTCAAGCTTAAGATTTGACAATATTTTCGGTGGCTGTTCGGAATGTCTTCGTAGCTCGCATTTAAGTTCCAGTTTGTTTGGACTTTTTGTTTCGTTCAAGCTAACACTTCGCGGACGTTCGAGGGGACTTTCGTGTTCGACAACACAACGTACAGCTGGGTATACCGTATCATGTCTGCGGTGGTGGCGTCCTTTTCGCTCAAAACTGTCTTGTCTCCCGAGAGATCTCTCATCACGAGATGTCTTGCGGCGAAATTCAGACTTTTTATCGTGTTTGCTGAGATGAAAATGATCCGGAGATAAGGCGCGTCTTAATAAAGGCGAGCCAGGCCTCGGGGAGGTCTGGGGCGTAATTGTAGCCAGATGTGGTGACGCAGGGGACCCCCGAAGGGTCAAAGGAGACGTGCTACGAGGCTGGTGTCCATGAGCGTGAGAATGAGAGGGGGAGACTGAGGTTGGCGAAGGTGTCCTTGCTAGGGGTGACACGGGAACGTGCGCTGATGATTTTCTTCTTGGAGAACGAACCGCTCGCAGCTTTGGAATAATTCCTTGTAGAGTTCCTAACAGAAGAGAAAAGATTAGGTTAGGTTGCTTACATGTGAGTGGCTAAAAAATCCTCCAGGACTTAGCCCGGTTTACGGTGTTGCCAAAAAACTTCTTGAAATCCTCGCCCTGTCATATTTCGCATTATGGCGAAGAGTTGTTCAAATCGGACTATTTGGCGACCAAGTTGTTCCATCTGGTTACTGAAACATAACTGATTTATCTCTCAAAAAGAGAGAACAGTGACACCATCCAAAGGTCGAGGCCGGACCTTTAGATCGAGAGTCCTTTGCCCATCACGCCCCAATAAATACAACTGACCTTGCGAATTTAAAAAGCTCAATTTCTTATTGACCTAAAAAAAAAATTTTTTTTTGCACTGACCTGGTCGTCCTAGGCCATGCGCGCAAGGCGAACTTGGTGACGATGCAGGACTGCTACCGACAGAAGATGACGACTGATCCGACAACGCCCGAAAATCAAACGAGTGCGAGGTGAGTTTGGGTGAGGCCGGCCGAGGAGAATCTGGTGAAGACACCACACGCTTCAGTGAACTTGTTCTCCGAAGGCTGCTTCCTGGCGACAGACTTGCTCGACGGCCAAACCGCTTCCAGAACGGTTTTTGTTTCGGATGTTTATCTGCCGTTTCGGAACCAGGAGAAGGAAGGTTTTGAGAAGCAGTTCCTTTTCTTCCGCGTTTGATAGGAAGCTTCTTTCGGACTTGTTTACTGGCCGACAGCACCCTTTTCCGACCTCCTCTTTTGATGGATGTCTTGGCGAGTTCCGTAGCGCTGAGTTTCACTTTCGTTCCACCACCAAGGATAAGCTCAATGACTTGGCGATGACTGAGCCCCATCACCGACTGCGAATAAAATAGCATGATGTATTATGTGACGTGACTGTAAAATGGAAATTCTTATAATGTCTATTCACGGCAACGTGAATGCTCCAACGTTCTGATGTCATACCATGGAACTTTCTACTAAAAACATTCTAGTAGGTTATGTAATTATGATGCAATTCTACCAGAATACTTTAATTATATGCTTCCAGGATGTTCTAGATTGCGTTCAGAATGTATCTAAGGACTCGGTCATCCAAGAGCAACTGTTGCTGTTGTCTACAGAGATTGATGTGGATTTGCCCTGCTATACTGATAGAGAGCTATTGTGGTATACGGCTGTAGACCACAGAAGCTCGCATGCGACTCTTTTCCCAGTAAAATGCATCATCCACTTACGTCAAGATCACTTGAGCAATAAAGCTTCTGTTGCAATACCGAGTTTCAACCGACGAAGAAGTAACAAAAACAGTTAAAGATTTCATCAATAAAAACATTGCAGTTCAAACAATCAATTAGTAGTAACACAACGCGGCTCTTTCCTGATAGCCGCTGTGACCGCGTAACGCAACTCTGTAAGCGTTTCGTGACAAAGCTATTAAGGGGCCATTGGAACGACAAAACTAAGAAAAATAAATCCCGCGAACGCGACCATTTACAAGAATACTGCTTAAATGATAGACAGAGTTCTCGTAGATTTGGTTCACATCTGCACTGCCAGTAAAGTTGATCGCTGTCCTCTGCCTCTAAAGCGATCAAATAAATGGTTTCCAAGGTAAGTTGGCCTTTTATTGACAATCGCGGCTACCTTTCCTCGATAAATGGCCCTAATATTACAATTCCTAGCAAAACTCGAGTCTCAATTAGAGTCTCTGTAGCATTTGTACCAGTTACATCAAAATAAAGCATTCGCACGAAAATTACCTCATCGTTCACGTGGGTCAACAAGTCTCCAGGCCTAAGACCTGACTCAAACGCAGCACTGCCATGGTCCACATTCTACAAACACAGAAAAATAAAATTCCTATCAAAACTAGAGTCGCATCTAGGTCGTAAGAGAAGGTTAAAAAACAATGGCTTGTTGGCCATGCGAAACTCTCCACCTGAAACTTCAGCAACTGCTCCGTTCTTTGAACAAAGCTGGTCTATTAAACTTGAAACACTTACAGTCACAAATGTTTCGTCATTCGGCTTTTCACTCAAAAATTTAAACATTTTCATGTCTGATGCTTCCTTACCCTTTACCAAAGAGAGAACATTGGAAAAATCATCACTACAAGGTTCGCTCTTTCAATCTGTCCATCCTAAAAGGAGGTTACCAGAATAAACAAATCTTTCACAACGAGACATTGCTCGATTACATCACCAACTTACCGACACAAGGTGATGGACTTTGTAGTAGTTCGTATCTCCGAAATACACACGAATAGCCTGTAAAGTGAATCCATATCCACGAGGTCCTTTCTCGATTATGATTGGCGGACGAAGACAGAGCGACAGTGTCTTGGCTCTTCGGCGACTGGTCGGAGAACGAGGGGGAGTTCGGGACAGAGGCGAACCCGGAGGGCTTCGTATGTGTTGGCTTAAAGCGCGATATTCATCGTCGGATACTGTCGAAATGCGGAAAAGCGCGTGAAACAAAATCACGAGAAGGATGGAGCAAACCTAAGGCTCTTTAGAGAAATACATAAGTAACTGGAGAGAATTGATGAAGTTAAACTTACTCGAGAGCTCTAACTTGGGTACAGATGAAAGAGAATGGGTTCGCTGAACCCGATATTTGTCCGCGGTCTCAGTCTCCACAGTGAGGCCGGCTGCGGAGGGTTTGGTCGGGCTTTCCTCGTCAGCCGATAATGACAGCAGCGGGATAGGTACTGGGGCCAAATCTGAGTACGCTTTCTTCCTTAATCGGACGGTGGGAGGGGTTAGTGGGGAAAATGGGCTGACATCTCGTTCCAGAGGGGTTAAAGAACTGAAAAAAAATCAGAGAATGATCGCCACAGTTTAGCTTAAAATCACCATATCAAAAAACTAATCTCTTGAATTATTGCTTTGTTTACTCGTGGAGAAAAAGGCATAAAAACAACCCCCAAAAAATAGCTTACTTATTTGTCGAAGTCGTTCGACTAGGAAGGACGATCGGTATCAACGCCGCTATCACTTCGTTGCCTTCGGAAATCTTCGTCATTGTCTCGGCTCTCAACGTTAAGTGGCGGGTTCCGTTCCAGACTCCTCTTTCGGACAGTCGGTGGGGAACTTTCCGAGCTCAGGTCGCTTCGGGGAGTCGACACTTCTTCACCCGAGTCTTTCGCGTCTGAAGCCTTCTTAGGGTTGTTAGGGGATACGGGGGACGAAGGACCCGGAGAAGTAACCGGGGATGGGACCGGTGACCCACAAATGCGGGAATACCGGGGGGAACATGTAGAGAAGTTACTGAACTCGTTTGAAAAGCTGCTGAATTCTTCGTCATCTTCTTCGTCGTCATCTGTTTCCAACTCATGATTGTAGCGGTCCGTGCGAGCTGAAACAAGGAGCGGAATGATTGGAATCTTGTCACGATAGCGTTTCAGGGGTTGTAGAGCACATTGGAGCTTTATGTTTACATTTGAGAAATCGAGAGGCTGGTGCAATTTTTCTTAAACAATCACATTTCCGACGACATTTGAAAATTACTCTTCAAGAACGTTGTGTCTGACTTACTATCGAAGTAGCTTGTGTCGTCCTCGCCATCAAGTTGAGGTATAAATTCAGCTTTCTGTCTCAGCAACGCCGTCCAATTTAAGCCCAGAAAGAAATTGTGTTCCCTCACCTCGTGTGAACCTGAACAGAGAGAGAAAACATTCCAGAAAATACATCATGAAAGGGCTACACGAGAAACGTCAAGGATATTTTAGACGAAATTCTTACAATCCCTGATAAGAGACGCAACCGACGAAATGTTTGGGTAACTTTTACTATTTCAGATCAGACGAAAATGATTCGGAAACTCGTCGGGAATTTCAACGGAGATTTGCCGAACAATAGGCGGAAGACGACACTGATGTAAAAATTGTTTATAGGCTATGAACAGTGACACAGACAAAATCATGAGTGCAAATATAAGATAATTCACAGTCTCTACTTGCGTAGAGTTCGACAAATATGCGCTACAGCTGAAAGCTCACGATTTAAAAAGGTTAATGTAAGACAAAGGTATTATGGTACATAAAATCGACCCCAGGACCACTTACCTGCGGTGCCCAGACGTGCTATAGGATCCTGTTCTAGTAATTTCGTTACCAGATCCCGCGCGTCTTCCGGAGGGGCCTCGTCTTCTCCTGGCCATTCAATGACACCTGTAATGATGAGGAGGAAAAGACTATAAAAATCTAATCAGAGATAAATCTCCTCTCCGGCTGGAAACGTCCGAAGACGGAAGGAATCGTCCGAAAACGAACGGAACATCCCAAACCTGACGAAGCCTTCCGAAGTCGAACGGAACTATCCGAAAAACAGAAAGACTGGGCAAAATCAGACAGAACCGTCCGAATGCCGACGGAACCGTCCGAATTTGAACGAAATCGTAAGAAATCGGACGGAATCGTCCGAATTTAGACGAAAACCTCCGAAAATCACTCTCGGACTAGATTAGAAGGTTACCTAGAAGGCAATTTTGTACGAAGAAAAGATCTACGCTATATTCCAATGTGAAATTGTGATTTTTTTTCTCACTCACCGCTCAAAGTATCAGCGAACAACTCCTCGGGCGTGTCACCATAGAAGGGGGGTACTCCAATGAGGAACTCGTAGAGGATGATCCCTAAGGACCACCAATCCACAGGCTTGCCATAGCCTTGCCTGAGAATGACCTCAGGCGCCAGATAATCCGGGGTACCGAAAACTTGCTGGTCCGTGAACTGTTTTGTCTCTTGAGCGAGTGAGTGTTCATACATATGTGTGGTGCCTGGAAGAGAAATACGAGAGAAAGTCAGCGAAGAAAGAATGGGAGACGCCGTTGATTAACCTTTCGATCCCTTAGAGTGACTAGCATCTAATTTCTCCTTACAATATCACCCCTGAATCAAACACAACGGTCACGAGAATAAGGGAAATGATCGCGAATTCAAGAGGCTCTTGATTGTTACACAAATTCTCTTTATCTGCACCTTCAGACAGGGCGTGAAATTGCGCCTAATACAGGCGCTAATGCGACTAAATTTTTTACTTTGGCGACCAAATCCTGAAAGTTAGTCGCCAAATTGGCGACTAGAACGTTTCATCATAACCTTACCAAGAGATATAGTGAATTAAAAAAGATTTGCAAAGATAAATCCACGGCAAACTTCCTCGTTAAGTTTGTTTCCAAAACGTAGCACATGCATCTCGATCGATAACTAGACGCCATCTTGGATTTAGATGAGCCTGAACGTTGTATATCTTCCATCCTAGTGTCCACTTTGTAGCACGTTAAAGATCTTTTCCCTAACTTAATTTTGGAGGGTCTATCTAGAACGCTGACAGCGTAAAGAAAGATTTTGTTTGTCTTTGAAAATGGCGACCAACTTTTTTTGAATTGGCTACCACTTTGAAGAATTTAGGAGCCAAGTAGCTATCAGAAAAAAAAAGTTAATTTCACGCCCTGTCAGAGAAGTATAGAGAACAGTATGGAGAATATGCAAACTGATATGGGGTACAAAGGACTCTGGATCAAAAGGGTTCCAAATAAAGCCCTGGAAACGCGAAACAGTACAATGAAAACAAATGGAAAAAACGAGTACTTACTGTTCATAAGTCCAATCTTAGATAATCCAAAGTCTGTGAGTTTTATATGACCCAGTGATGTTATTAAAAGACTGGAGAGAAAAAAATCACAAAGGAAGTCAAATTCAGACAACAAATAAAAGATTAAAAAAAAAGATAAATGCGTGCATAGATAAAGAAAAGGGTGAAAAATTGGAAGCAAGCGCGTTCCTCCGTCCGCGGGAAGATTCGGAACGAGTCGGGGCTTTGCCGGGGTCTGGCACTAGATACCTTATCGACCTTTGGCCAGCTAGCATTGCTTAAGGTCTCAGACTTTCCCGCGAGCGACGAAACACTTCTGCTTGTGCAAATGAAAGAACGAACTAAAGAATAAATGAACAGAGACATTTTTATCAACACTTACTTGTCAGGTTTAAGATCCCGATGAATGACGCCATAGCTATGCAAATACTCCACGGCTAATAAGGTCTCAGCTACGTAGGCTCTGATGATAAAAAAAAAACACAAAGTCACTAAGTAACTGGATTTTTTGTGCAATCGTTAGGGTATGGTTCGTGCAGTTCTACTTGAATAAGGCCAGCATATTCAATTCCCTCAGAACTTTAAGTTTCGCATTCTTTGCAAGTTTAACAAAAAAGTCGCAATTGATTTTACCCTTGTATTTCATTGGTTGAGAGGATGACGCACGTTTTCTAGACCAATCATTGAGCCAGATGAAGCAAAACCGATAAAATCTGAAAGTACTTTCCACACTCGGTTAAAAAATCGCTATTTTTTTTTTTTTTTACCCTTTACCAGAGAATTACTGAAAAGCAGTTTACCTGGCGAGATCCATGGGAAGCGGTCCGCTGTTTTTCAAAAGCGATGCACAGTCTCCTCCCTCGACATATTCCAACACCATACAAAGATGTTTCTTCGTCTCAAAACTGCACCACATTCCAACCACAAACGGATTCTCGGCGAAGGTCAGAATGTCTCTTTCTGCGAACACTTGTTGAACTTGATTTCTGTGCAGCATAAGTTGCTTGTTCATCTTCTTCATCGCAAATCTCATTTGAGTCTGTTTGTGTCGTACTAAGTAAACAGCACTGTAATTCAAGAAGAAAAAATATTGAGTCAAACAACCATCGCCGCATTTATTAGCTCTCCCCTTCCTACAGTAACAACCAACCTGATGCAAAGGAAAACCTATCGGTGCATGAGGTGGATAAATATGGGGGCAGGGTGGGCTTAGGTTGTCGATTGCCGGTCTGCCCTGTAGAAGGACGTGGGTTCAAGGTCGAGACCGGACCAACACTCAGGGTCTTAAAATAACTGGGTAGAATACGCTGCCTTTGCTTTGACATCTACAAATGGTTACACATCCTTGTCTTTTCGGATTAGAACGATAAACCGCAAGCTCCGTCTTCTGCATCTTCTCTTTTCTGGCTAGCAGGGGACGTTACAGAACCCACGCACTTCTCGCAAAGAGTAGATAGAGAACGTAGTTTCCGGTGTTGTGGTCTTACCCGTAAGCACCGTTGCTTATGAGTTTGATGATTTCAAAGTCTTCCTCTGTTGGCATTTCTCCTACTGTCGAGTTAGGACTGGCAGATTTCTAACAAGAATGAAATCATACAAATGGAGATTAGTGCACTGTATCCAAAATAACAATACACCTAAATAGATTTACCACCATGACACAGGACTAATTCAATACAGAAAGTGCCAGAAAACCGACTGATTGGGTTAATCAGAACAAGAGAAGGAAGAAGACACCTACAGAGAGGGAACAAATTGAACTGAAAGAGCCCAACACAGGATGACAAGGAGGAAGGAAAGAACTTACGAATCAAGGAATGATGAACTTCAGTTCATTTAAAATGAAAGAGGAAGATGGAGATTCTTACCAATGGTGACTCAGGTTCTGGGTCCTCTGGCAAGTCTGGGCGGTTATCTTCAGTTTGTCCCAGTCCTAACTTGAGTTTCACGTAGCTAGTGATATCTGCCTTGTCGGTGACCCTCTCCAGCTCTCGTCCTTCTTCTTCAAGTAGGTTGTAGAAATTTTCAGGGCTAAATTCCTAAAATGCAAGCGAAGATTCTAATCAGAAGAGAAGAAACATTCGTTGGAGAAATGATATGTCTGAAATGTTCTCACATTAAAATTATCAGGATCAAAACAGTCTGACTGTCTGTTTGTTTGACTGGCTGTCTGTCTGTCCGTCTCTGTCAGACTGTCTCACTTTATGTCTGTCTGCATATCTGTCACTTTATCTTTACTTCAGACTGTCGGTCTTTTTCACTGTCCGTCTGTCTGTCTGTCTGTTTGCCTGTCTCACTGCCTGTCGGTCTGTCGGTCTGTCTGTCTGTCTGTCTGTTTCATTGACTGTCTAACTACCATTCCTTCTGTCAATCTGCTAATCTGTCAGAAATTATTTCCTTCCGTTACCATTTCTTTCTCTGCATCGTTTGTTTAGTGGCTGATTTACCAAAGAAAATTAAATTAATTTACCAGACATTCCAATAGCCGAGCTGGTCTTGACATGATCATAAGCAACTTCCTCACAAGTCTCTTCACCGGGGAAATATCCAGGTTTGTTTTTTGATGTGCCTGTAAGAAAACATGGACGTTGAGTTGTATGAAAACATGAAGTCTTACACAAAGAAAGACTACAACAACAACGAGAATAACAATAATGATGATGTCGATGTCAATGTCGATAACGAAAATGCGAATGATGAGATAACGTTCAAACATATCTGAAACGATGGCCTACCTCGATAAGCAGCCGCTCTAGCTTATCAGACAGGTCATAAAAGTACAAACTTGTGAGAGCACTATCTTGGGACTGTTTGAGAAGATCGCGAGCTGCTTCAAGAACCTGAAACGAAGTTTGAGATCAATTAGATTAAACCGAGAACCGCAAGAGAACCATGAGAGAACCGCGCGAGGGAGCAGACACATGGTGGGACTTCACTCTATCGTGTGAATTCCCGCTCGCAAGGGACAGTATAAATAGCTCGCACCCACCCCTCCCGACCCCAACATTTTACTGGTGCCCATTTATACCCTGGGTGGAGAGAGACACTGATAGTTAAGTGTTTTGCTCAAGAACACAACACAATGACACGACCAGAGCCTGAAAATGAGCCTTTGATTTCGGAGTCAGAGTCCACATCGCTGCCCGTGTATCCTACACCTTCGAAATACATGGAATAAAACGGCAGCAAAATTATACCTGATTCCAGACAAAGTTCAAAACTGCGTCGCAGCTATGATGGTTCAGTGTTCCCTCTTCTGCGTATTCTTCTATCAGCTCCTAGAAAAAAAAAAACAACAACAATCAAACAAACCATCACAAAGGGAGCGGCGCTCCAAACCTCGGAAAAAAAAAAAACAAGACAAAATAAATGGGCCATAAAATGACTGCACTTACACTAAGATTCTCTTCCATTTGTGTTATGGCCTGTAAAATTGTACAAAGAGGATTAAATATAACTCAATTGAAACATCAGCTGACGGTGGGTTACACAACAACAAGAAACAACAACAAGAAAGCCATTTGATGGACAACCTCCGCGGGAACACATCCCCGTGATGCACCAATCATAGCTATTGAAATCCAGCCAATCAGCTTGTTACTACACGAGGTGACGCATATCAAGTCGACATCATCGAACGGAGAGGACTACATGCTGCAGTGTGCAGTCGAGGCGTTGCAATCCACAACGGAAGTGATAAAACAATGACAAATGATATAACTTTAATCAATACTACAAAGCCATTAGCTGACTTGTAACAATAACCTCACCTTAGGAAATCGCTCTCTGTACAGATTATTCAACAGCTGCAGTTCATCTTCATGGATGAGGGGAGATCTTCCAGGACTGCAAAACACAACACATATCTGTAATGATTAAATTGTAACTTCTCCTTACATTCCCTCTCAACTTAATCCTCGATTCTCAAAAGAAGCAAGGATTGCAAATCGAGAATCGGATTTCGACACGCGCAAGGAGTTTTCCTCCGATAAATGATTTAATTCTCCAAAAAGGTTATCGAAAGATCTCAAACGTCTTGAGTCTCAACACGACCCTAGATCTTTCAAATTTCAAGGGACATTCATTTTCATCTAAATAAAAAAGAACACAGGTTACCCACCTCAGACTTCGTGACCTTTGTCGTGGTTTGGGTGATCTGCGACCTCCAGTATCCTCTTCCTGGTCGCTGTCAGCACTTCAGAAAAAAAAAATTAAAATTTGTCAATTTCCACGAAAGTGTTCGAGTCTTCGCTAGATATTCTACGGAAGCCCGTTCCAAGATCATTGGCCTCAGATAATAATGACACCATAGTTTTTTTCTTTTAAATATATAGATTTAATAAATTTTGTTTTATTTAGAAATATCAAGAGTTCAAAATCGTGCTGAAAAAACATAGTCTTTAGATCCTGACATCATTATGCACATTCTTCACACTGTTCTCTATACATCTCACATGGCACTGACGAGGAGAATTTGTCTGACATTCAAGAGCTTTATATGTTGGAGATCATTTCCTTTCTTTCTCATGACCTTATTTTTTGATTCAGCAGTGATTCTGTAAGGAGAATTTAGAAGCTTATCACTCCTAAGTTACCTAAAGTGTGCTCCATAGTTGTACTCATCACTATACGGCAATCCTATCTGCAACTGTGACAATATAGAAATTCATGTTAACCCTTTTACTCACAAGATATGATTGCTAATTCTCATATCTAGCTGCTACCCATTTCTCTGTAACTTAGTTATGAGAATTTGGTGTCAGATCAAGATAACCCTGTACCTGATAAGTTTGAGTATTCTCATTGTCCTTTGCTGTATATGGTACGGATATTACATGGAAAAGAAGCGTTTTAACTACTTCTGGGGGTTAAAGGCTTAATACAATAAAATGCTGAAATGGAAATAAAATTAATAAAATGGAATTTAGCAGTAGTACCCACCTGATGAAGTTTTTCTTGTGATGAAGCCAGTGACTATAAAACAAAGTAAAAATGTTTAATGCAAAAATGAGCAAAAACCACATGCGCGTCCCACAAGTTTACACAATCAATAGGTTTCTACAATAGGTAATTTATAATTTGTGTGGCTAACATTATTTTTCTTTGATGGCACTAACAGATAACGTGTTTCACAATGAAATCTCAAATCATGTAAAACAATTAATTTACTAAGAAAGATGTTTTCTCATTTTGTCCCGAGCGTGGGACAAAAAAAAATTCTGAGTCGCCATGAGGAATTGAACCTCAGACCTTAGGATTTGCACTCTGATGCTCTACCATGGAACACAGAGACCCTACAGTGAGCGAGGTCTATTACGAAGTTCAAATGACACGCATCCTGCATACTGCTAGGATCAGCGATGTCGATAGTGGAATGTTTTTTTAGATAGAAATAGTAGAGATGGTAAGTTTTGAGCTCGGTAAAGAATTAAGAAAGATGTTTTTTCATCTTGTCACAAGAGTGGAACCAAGAAAAAATTCTGAGTCCCCATGAGGGGAAGGTTTTTACTTCTAAATGGTTTCTGGAGCATGTTTCTCTATTAACATAAGAATTCCCAGTAATAGACTGTGAGTAAAATCTGAGGCTGCTGGAAATTGCAATGGCTTTGTCACTGTAGTAAGCAATTACTGAATTGTAATACATACAGAGTAGGACGATGAACAAGGAGTGTGTGTTCCATATCCTGATGATGATGTCAATGATGCAACAGACCAGCGCCTTCCAGCCATGTCTCTGTTGGAGTTACAGCACAGCAAAGAAAAAAAATATTAAACCAAATCAATTGTAATTGTTTTATTTATACATGTAGTTAATTATTTACCTACTTGTATGATTTGTGAGTTTACTTGTAAAATAGCTACTTAGCTAAGTATGAACTCACATTAATAAATTATATGTACATACATCATATGTATGTAAAAAGTCACAGGCCGCTATTTTTTTACTAGCAGCCAAGCCACTTTCTCTGGTTGCCCAGTAAACATACTTCCATGTTGCTGAAATTTTCACTTAGTCTTTCTCAGCCAAGTTGGCCTAATAATTGAGGGGAGAATGGGAAACACTCCAACTGACATCTGATAAACTACTAAATTCTCTATTCAAATTTTCTTGCATTTCCTTGTGAAACACTGGGAGGATTGGATGTTGTGTCAGAAAGCACCTCCTCAACTAGACAAAAATTTGAGCCTCTTCTACAAATTGATGATTTGAAATCTATCCAATGATCCACAAAAACATGTTGCTTACTTTCTGATATTTGAAAATGCAAAATGTGCTCCTGAGGAGGTATTGCTGGAAGATGTATGAAAGCTAGGACTGCCAACTGGACTGTCAGAACCTACAAAAAAAAACAAAGCAAAAACACACAGTGTATCAATATCACCACTTCTAAGTTATCATGTGCTTCGATTGGATGGTACACTGCAGGAAAAGGTGAAGTCTACAGACAACTTTAACCTTTAACTCCCAAGATTTCATGAGTAATTCTCCCTACAGTCCGCCATACAATTTATGTGATGATAGTTTGGAGAATATGGAATTGGATCAACCAATAATCCCCTAATTGATATTTTTCTTTATTCTCATTACCTGTCTGCATGATATCATACTGATAATGTAAGGAAAAATTCTGTCTAAGTCACTAGTGGGACTTAAAGGGTTAAGTTTGTCCCTAAAGACTATGAGTACTGATACTCCTCTTGAATGGCATTTTAGTTCATTTTAGGTTAGTCCCCAAAACAATGGCATGATGTTGGCACTTACCATGAGTAAATGATGATGAAAATGGCGAGTATGGTCTGCCAGAGTTTGTGGATGGCATGGAGCTTGCTGTGGTGTAACTTCTACCAGCTTTGCGAGATCCAGCATTGAAGGAGCTAAAAAAAAAAACAAAACAAAACACTGATGTTAACATACCAGGGAATTCTCTGACTGGTTTCCAAACAATGTAATGCAACTTAACAGTTTTGCCTCATGAAGATGTTTAAATTTAAACTCCACATAACATATTATATATTCATCTACCAAACGAATGAATATCAATAAAAATGTAGCTTTCCTAATTGCAACCATATATATGTGTATTTACAGCAGAAGTCAAAGTGCACCATACTCACAAAGGTATTTGCAATTTGTCAGGACACATGTTGATTAAATAACTTGTCTCAAAAGACACAATTATTTCATACAGTTATCAGCCAGAGCACAACAAAAACTTGCACAGATACGACACATTTCTATGGAATCACTTCACTAATAAAATCTTCTCATCAAATGTGAGAATGTAAATAGTTGGCCTAAATATGCAATTCTAGGACTGAAAACATTGCTGACTTCAAGAAATAGCAGTTTTCTTGTTAATATTACATGTATCTAGACTTCCAGGCATTTGAAACAATGCCTAATTCATTTAAGGCCTCAAATAATAACAATAAACCACACTTAATTTATCTGTCCAGGACCATTTTCTTTTTCTTCAGAAAGCAGAAATTTCAAATCACAAATACTTCTATCTTCCTACTACACATTTCTGCCACAATAATTTGTCTTTTGATAAATAACAATTTTGTTGTTTGATGGAAAAATCTAAATATGTTATTTTGCCTCAAAATTTAATTAAAATTCAAATAATCCTTCAAAATTTACAAGATAATATTGAACAAAGCCTTAAGTTGTGATAACATAATCAACCACTGATGAAATTACTTTGAAAGGTAACAATCAGATACAATAATCACTTAGCTTTGATATTTTGGAATTAATAACAACCTATTCAACATATTTATGAAAAAAATGAAGTGTTTAAGACACAGTATGATATCAAGAAAATTGTGCAATGAGCACATTCACATGTTATCTTGAGAAAAATTGTACACAAAGAAATTCAAAAGAAGAATTGGAGTATAGACGTCTAGTCTGGTATGTAAAAATTTTTATTGTTATCTAATCAAAAAGAAACCCATAATAATTGCAATTGCCACTGCAATGCTAAGCAAACTTAAGGTTCAAAATTCAGAAGAGAAAATTCCTTGTTGAAGCAGTAAAACGAGGCAAAAAAAATTATTTGAAAGGAGAAAAAAAATCTGAGTGCAGGGAAATTGTAATGATGTTTTTGACCATCAGGAAAATAGCAGAATAGATTGGAGATATTACAAGATAATTGCCCCTACAATACAAATTATTCAATTATGTAAAATTCACCACAGTACAATACCTCATCAATTTTAACCTTTGTTTGAAACAAAGAATCACTTTAAATTATCAAGCAATTACCAAGCAACACACATTTACAGATTGAGAACTATTTTGAATATATAGGCCATATATTGAAAGACAGCTGAGCCTTTGTTTAGAACAATGGATTTGAAAAAATTTTAATATGTCTCAAAGTTAACATTTTTCTTGTCTTTTTGGTTGGCAAGGAAAAAAATTTGTGCGACATTAAAATGAATGCAAACATCAATAATAAAGTTGGTTAAAAAAAAAAAAATTCACAGAGGAAATTTTAAACCATAACATACCTATAAATTGTATATAATTTCAGGCTTCTCTTGCTCACGTCCATTTGATGGATACATTTGTTCAATCAGAAAGTTATGTGGCACAATGTTTGTTACATGAGGTGTCTTTAAAGAATACTGTCTCATTCTCATTCAAAATTAAAAAGTGAAAAATGTGCCTTTCACATCCTGAAGTGTAATCAATATTCCAATTCAGCATATTACATGAACAATGAAACATGTGATTATTCTGTTAGTAATAATTTTCTATTTACAAAAATGCAATACATAGCACTGTACAAGTTCAATAATGTTATATGTTACATGTTCAGTTTTCAATGTAATAAAATGAAATGTGATCCAAATGTGCTGGCTAAAGATTGAAAACAATATTCACCAGCCTTTACAAACATCTGCTTTTCCATCCTTACAAAGCTTATCATATACTGTTCATTATGTCACAATATAGGAAAAACAGATCTAAGAAATTAAACCACTGACCTTCCAGAGATAGCCATGCAGTTTTCCATCATATTGCTAGATACGTTTTTCAGTTTCAAAATTTTGACAGAATATAGAATGCAATTACAAAGAAATTTATGAAGACAATGATTCTTTAAAAAAGCTGCTTCATCAAGCTAAAAGAATATACAAAACCCCAAAGAAATGAAATACAAAGAATCTCTCTGCACAATAGATATTCCATTCAGCAATTTGCTAACATCACAATTCAGTTTCACTTTGATCAAAATTAACATATGACACCAACCTGATACTTGATAAAAGATCAATTAAAACACTTTGACAATAACCACTGGTCAGAAAGGTTTTACACAATAACAAAGCCCTCTTCAGACCAATGTAGATTTGGCCACTAAAAAACTTAATTTTCAAAAGTGCTTCGGGCAAAAAAGACAGACAGACATGTACATATAAATATTGTAGCTTTTAAAATTTTTTAACATGTATGTAAATTGCACTTTAAAAAAAAATGACCAAGAAAAGCAGCATAGAATTATCTCATCTAACAAGCATGATTGCCCAATAAAAAGAAATGTGTCCCAGGAGAGTGCCTACATAATTCCTACTATTCGCCTATAAGAGTCACCTGGTAAATGTAAATGGGAAATACATTTGAAAGGAAATGATAGCTAAATGGATCCAATACACATTAAGCCTACTTGACATGAACTCTAACACGGACAAGTTTCTTTTGCAAATAAATTTTGCAGCACATTGATGCAAAGGAGAAGCAAAGTATTTCCCCTTGCTCCAAGAAAAAAAAAACTACATAACTTGAACAATGCTTGTAAAATAACATTCAGTGAGTTTGAGATCATTGGAAAATCACGTGATTTCTTACGTCACAAGAAAATATACATCAGTGTAATAAAAAGCACTCTTTAAAATTATGTGCACACAACAGGATGTTGATAAAACTACACAATCTGTCCAAAAACCTTACTGCAAGATTTGAACAAACCTAGAAAATAAGAGAAATCCATGTGTATGTATATATGTCTTGTCTTTTTAAAATTCATTTGTTGTTTGCTGCTATCTAACTACAAATGAATTGAATTAATATGTACATGGAAGTAATACCTTGGTCTCCGGCTTATGTCACTCTGAAAATGTACAAAATAAACAAGAGATTAATTGGATGACATTTCTTACCACAGGAGTTAGCTCAATCCTTCCGTTGGGTGATCAAAAGGAAATTTCTCCTTACACTATCAGTACACTTTCAAGCAAAACAGTAACGAGAGGACATAAAATTATCAAGAAGTGAATGTTTTACAATTTAAAATCAACTTCTCAGAGCTTGAATTATAGAAATGGATGACAGACAATACAGAGAATCAATATTTATGTCAGGAGCAAACAGCATGAAAAATATGAGACAAAATTATTTATTGACAAGAAAGAAAAGATGTCTTTTGTTTGCGCAATGCCAAAACAAGACGTGATTGGAATAAGGTCAGAAAAATCTTGATCCTTAAGGTCAATTTGACGTTTCTCATCTTCAAGGGGGTGAAGTTGTCCAGGCCATTAAAATTAAGCCAGAGAGTCCTGCTGCTAAAAGCTAGAGAGTTCTTACATTTCTGATGCCATTTTGCACATTCTTGATATATACAGCGTAACAATAAAATTTCACACAAATATAATAATGTTGAAGAAAATATATGGTTGGTGAAAAAGGAGAACTAATACAACTTAATCTTAAGAGTAAAAGGCTACTATAACCCGAGATTTATGGAAAACTGGGATCACAATCAAAGTTGATATCAAATGTCTTCATCAACAGCTGCACCTTGTATGTAGTAACAACACTTGACTGCAATTACAACAGAATTTTCTGGCATATTCTAATATCAAGTGATTGAAAGCTTGTCGGCAATTGTAAAGTAGCCAAAACCCTAAACCCTTAGCGATATCTGACTGAGAAAAGTCTGAATGAAAAAACCATCTGTAGGCAAATGAGTATACCTACATGATGTTCATACAAGTGGAAACAACTTTTCTATTTAATGAAGTCATGCTCACTATTTACAAAAAACAAAAGAACAAAAACCTAAAAATAATAAATTGAAATAAAAAATATTCATATGCTTATGCTTTATCACTGAAAAAAAAAAAAAAAAAAAAAAAAAAAACCCACAATCAGAATACAAACAAATGTCAAAAAAGTTATTCCCACCACATAAAAAACCCTTTCCCAAATCCTTTTGTTTTGTTATTTAATAAAAAAAAGGAAGAAGGAAAAATTAGGTTACAAAAGATGTATTTCAGTTGACTTCAACTTACACAACTGCCTGAGAGGTTGGGTTCTGAACTCCCTAATGAAGGATTAGCCCTCATGCGGATCAAGTTCGATGTCTCATCAAGCCGTGCAGATGGAAAACCAAAACTCTCTCTCCTCTTGGATCTTGTTTCTGCAAAGTCATCTGAGAGTCTTGATCGATTAAGCCTGAAATTTCTTGGCAGTGATGAAAAAACTTCTGCATTCAACTCTGCGCTGTTATCAAGCTCCGAGTCAGACTGTAAAAAAATATATAATTTACATAAACAGTATTGCCTACTTGGACACTTAATAATCAAAAAGTAATTTGCCAGTGAAAAATTTATCAATCAAAACCTCTAGCTTAGTAGTTTACATGTGTAAATGAGTGTCCAACATACCAGGTAATTGCTCGGCACAAAAAATAAAATTTAATCAGAATTGTACAATAACCAAGCAGGTGCTACACTAAAAGTAAATCCAAATTTCTCTTCCATGGCTCAGAAAATTTTTTGATAAAAAAATGATCTGTATGGAGTACAGCATGGTAGCTTGCTATTCAAAAAAGTCGAAAAATGAAAAAATAAACAAGTTTTCCAGCCTTTCTAATCAACATGCAACAAAAAAATGCTAATGTATTTCGAATGGATATGCAAGCCATTCAAACAGTTTGTCAAACGCTTTGAACTGATTTTTTTAGGCGTGCGAACAGATGAAGAACGGATAACAAACGGTTTACCCCTTCGAATGGATAACTGTTAGTGTCTGTTTTGCCTTTCACAGTCACAAATTCTTATCTAAATATTTTTACTTAAATATTCATTGCGTTTTAATTAAAACTATATCTTGATATCTTGCAGATTCATGAAAGGAGCCCAAAATTCAATATCATGTCTACAAATTCCTTGGTTACAAACAAAACACTCTGCCCAAATTGATTCACTTGAAGCACATAAAACCTGGATTTTTAGGCAGCAAAAGAGTTCTACCCTTTTAGGAATAACCCTTAAAAGCCATTAAATTATAGTCAATCAACATTTCAAGGATAAAATCATGAATACAACTGCCTTACCAAAGATATTCGGATTTGAAGAACACATTCGTACTCAGTCTATTTTTGCTTTGAGCAGTCTTTTCTGAAAGATCTGTGGTTTCTCAGAAATAACCAGCCCTGGCAAGTTTTGTTGAAAGGAATTGTTCTTTAACACTTGAAGCTCATAAAACCTGGATTTTTAAGCAGCAAAAGAGCACTAGCCTTTTAGGAATAACCCTTAAAAGCCATTAAATTATAGTCACTCAACATTTGAAGAAAACATTCGTACTCAGTCAATTTTTGTTTTGAGCAGTCTTTTCTGAAATATTTGTGGTTTCTCAGAAATAGCCAGTCCTGGCAAGTTTGGTTGAGAGGGATTGTTCTTTAGCCCTTTACACCATAACATCAGTATGTTCATTCTCCATTCTGTTCTCTACATATTTCATAAGGTAATAACAAGGAAAACTTGTTCAAAAATCAGGGACTTCTCTGGTCTTTAACGTTTGGATCAACAGTGATACTGAAGAGAGAAATTGGAAGCTAATCACTCTTAGGGATTAAAGGTTTAATCTCTCCATTGGCATTAAATTTAAATTGTTGTGTACTTAGCTTTGCACAAGGCTTAAAAATTAACATGCAAAAACTGTACTTCATCAGAACAGAGCAAAAATGATACAGAAATGAGAAAAGGAGTTCGTTGGGTGGCAAAGACATTTGTTCTAAAGCTGCAGTGCTTTTAATAGATTCTGACTAATGGAATGAAAAAAGACATCAGAATATACAAATGCAAATGATGTACTAATTGCAGATTACCAAAGGTTTCTAAAGAAATCCACAATTACTATATTTCTCAATCAATTTGAAGACAACTTCGTTTCAAATTCCAAATAAATCATAAACGTTCCTCGAAAGAAGAAGCAATCTCTATGAAAGATCGACTAGGAGTTTATGATTAAGTCTTTATCTAGTGGCTGATTCCTCCGTTGAAACGTATATGTCGGAAAAAAACTTACAGTATAAGTTATGTAATCATTTTTTTTGTCAAATATATTTAATGGTCTTTTTTGAATGAAAAAGGGCTTTTGGTTGAACTCAATTTTAGTTTAGCCAAAGTCCACTAAAGCAGGGACGCTTTACAGGGAAGGAAAACTAACAGACAATTTTCTGCGAATACCTTGCTAAATCAACAGAAGATATATTTTGTAAACAATGCTTCGCGCCATATTTACACAACGCGAATTTTAGGGTTATAAAAACAAATGAACGAAGATCATGTTCGCGCGCGGAAAATTTTTGCTTCCAATTAAAAAAAGTTTTAACCACCCAGGTAATGAAAATTCAAATGATTAGATTACAGATCAAGAGAACAGTAAAATACTGTTTCATCTCACGACTTAAAGTATATTCCTGCTGAGAATCATATATGCAATAAACGTAATCGATATTTGCATAATAAAGAACTTTTTACATTTAGTGATTTACACACCATTTCGCTAGGCAAATTGAGTGAGACTCAGTAATCCACCAATATACTTTTCCGTCAAACAGTACCCTTGCATAATAATTTTCACACGCAACAGAGATCAATGTACCATGAAGCCTCTATCGATGGTTGTTTGTAAAACGACAAATATTGTAGCTAGGGAAAAAGTAGCGAATGGTACTTTACGATCGCCCGTGCCACACTCCATTCTGAAAAATCCGGAAAGAAAAAAATAGCCACCTCACAAGAAGGTAGTCATAAACAGAGCGAAAACAAAGGTGTGATGTACAGCAAATGCGTACACATCGGAAATCACTCCCTCGTTTGTCTCAGGAAATTACTGATACAGAAAAAAAGTCCGACTGGAATTCGGACAGATCAATAACAGTGTCTCGTCAGATTTCGAAAGATGTCAAGAGCAGAGCAGGACTGTTCTTTCGGTCAAATAAATCTGTGGCATATTTATAATATTAGTTTCAGGAAACACGTCAAATGGACAAGATGACATTTGGAAATAGGCCCAAACTTACGACATTGATAAATAAAGCAAAATCACACGAAACTAATTTTAAAATAAGTGCTCGCAGTGAAAAACAGTAGACTTTGTATCGATGGGGAATTTAAATATCTCCAAGTGTACGTCTGGATGTTAAAAAAGATGCGTGTAATAGTCGAAAGGTGCCTCGTGGTAATTTATATTTTTCACTGTTTCCTTTGATGCCAGCGGCCCTGAATAACATGCGACTGTCTTCGCGACGAAAACAACACAATAACTTTTGAAAAAAATATCTGTTGGGAACGCAGTTGGAGGTTTTAAAAAAAAAATTACAACTTCAAAAATTGCTTGACTCCGGGAAATTTGGCCAAAAGTAACGCGCAAATAATTAGAGATAGGACAAATTTGAATAGAACAAAATTTGTGTCTGTGTCATTGAAGTCTCACCTCGTACGCTGAAAATTCCTCTCGCAATTTCACTATGGAATGCATTAAAAGCTCTCTTTCTTTGTCATCTTTCACGTTGTAATCATGCTCTAAGTCGTCCTCTGTTAATGATTGAAAATAGTTGAGCGAAACATCGTCTGGAAACAGCGCGGTTAAATGCCCTAGTGACTCCTTCTCTAAGTAGGCTCGTAGAGAACCTTCTCTGTCTTCGCTTGTCGTGCTGCCTTCGCTCTCAGTGCGATATACCGTCGATGAACTCTCTAACGCATCCATCTTCCCTCAAAACCATTCAATCGTCCGTGTTTACAGACCACGATGCAGCAAAATTTATCTTCAGCATAACACGACTGAAACTGTTCACATACATTTCATGTGGTTCTCGCGGACTCTGTCTGTAAAAACTTCGGTTTCTCTTTCCCCCGCATTTATGCCGCTCGCGGAGTTTACAATAAACGGCTCATGGTAAATGGAATAAATTGTTTGGCAGACAGAAATCCAAGCCGAGTTCAAAGAGCCGAGAGAAGGCACTCAGAAGTTCGCATCCTTACCACTAACGTGGAGTGTGGATAAAAATAGAACAACCAGATGAATCCCCAGGGAGCCTTGTTTTGCGTCTCGCGCATACTTTGGTGAAATGTGCCTCTGACCATCAAATGTCTCATTCATTTCCAAAATGGCGGACGAGGAGACGCGAAAACGTGCGAAGGACTTTTCAGAGGACAGCGCCGACGAAGGAGAAGACGAAGAAGAAGATGTGATTGGTCCAATGCCGGCACCTCCTCCTAAAGCTAAGAAAAGGAGAGGTACATGCAATGTATGATCCGATGGGATATTCGCGCTCTTTTAGATGAATAATTTGTCTGCGTGAATATGCTATAGAAACGCAGATGCTATAATTGCGAACGTAGACCCATAGCCTTACTTATTCAAGATCTCTAACATACTTCATTAAACATAAAGAAAACTAAGAGAAAACTATAGATTACTTTAGGGACTATCAAATTGATCTTGAATTTCACTCTGACAATCTAACTTTGCCAGGTGTATGCTTCATGACCGCTTGTAAAATTATTTTTGTCTTTTGTAGTCCTAGAGTTTGAGGAAGTTTACCTGTGTAACTTACCTTCTGCTGAATCCTATGAGAGGAGCTTTATGCATCGTGATGTGGTCTCACATATACTTGTCACTATGTAAGTGCTTTTAATTATCCTGGAATTGAGGTTACAATCAAGAAAAAAAATTCTTTTGATCCTTCACACCCCAACATCAGTTTACATATTCTCCTTACTATTCTTGATACATCTCATAAGGTACTTAAAGGGAATTTGTTTAACAATCAAGAGATTCTTTTTGCTGGTGATCATTTTTTAAATTCTTGTGGATTTAATGTGTGGTTCAGGGGCGGGTGTACAGTCATTTCAATACAAAGTCATTTCAATTACACATGTAAAGTTGATTTGTTACTCATGTAAAGTTGATTAGATACAAACTGAACTTCAGTTTCTACACGGAAGTAAACTCGAGAAAAGTTCAGTATAAGTGTGTTCGTTTTCGTCTTTGATATGTGTGGTGATTTGTTGTTTTCTAATCAACAAATAAGCTGAAATTCAACTTGATTAATTAAGCAACTCAATTGTTCAATATAGTTGTAATACCCAGTTTCGCAAATGTGGTGGCTCCTAAAAGAGCTGTTTTTAGCAACCTGAAATAGTCCAAAGCAACGAAAGCAGGGCACAGCAGCTCCTAAAAGAGCTATTTTATGAAGCTACTAGGCTGAATCGACTTCAACTTGTATTGAAACGCCTTTGTATCAAAACGACTTTGTGTCAAGACAACTTTGTATCGAAATGACCGTGAACCTAGGGGCAATATTGTAAGGAGAAATTAGATGCCAGTCACTCTAATGGGTCAGAGGGTTAATCATGTTTGACATCATTTCACAGAACGGATTTTCTCATAACAGCAAGTTGTGACGGACACGTCAAGTTTTGGAAAAGACAAGATGATGGAGTTGAATTTGTGAAGCACTTCAAAGCACATATGGGTGAGAAAAGATGAGATACTTTATATACTTAATCTAATCAACTATACTTTTTTGTGCTACCTGCTGAAAACTGAACTGAAGCTGTGTAAAAGATAGTGTGGTTTCTAACTAGATGGTCATAGCACCATAATTTTTAATTTGATAACTTTAAGAAGAACAGCTCACCAATAACCTTCTAAAAGAATCCTTAAGTTCCATTCAAGCTTTGTATCCTTACTTTCTGATAAGCAACTTAGCTATACAGTACAGATAAACTTTCTTTGTGCTATGGATGCTTACTGTCAGGATCTTTTAAGATCTACTTGTATTAAATAATTTGTGATTAAGATTTTAGGGATACTGTGTACACGGTTGAGTTGGTCATGACCATTAGTATTACATGTACAGTATATGCTATGGCCCAGTTGTTAATCCTCTACCTCCCAAGATCTGATTGTTGATTTTCCCATCTAGCTGCTACACATTTCCTTATAGACTAGTTACAATGATTTGCTGACATAAGATCAAGATAGCAACTTTAACCTGACAAATTAAAGTATTCTCATTACCTGATTGCTGGAGATAGTAGAGAGTTATTGGGAGAAGTTACATGTTTATCATTTCTAGGAGTAAAATGTGAAAGTTGTGCTTACCAGCCCCCTGTGTTAGTGGGCAGGACACTCAACCCTTTAACCCTCTGGAGTGATTTATATGTAACTTCTCCCTATAATATCCACACAGTATTGAGGAAACAGGTAGTGAGAATACTCAAACTTATCAGGTAGAGGTTTTAATCTTGATCTAACACCAAATTCTTGTAACTTATTTGCAAGGAAATGGGTAACAGCTTTAGGAGAGAATCAACAGTCTGATCTTGGGAGTTAAAGGATTAACCTCAATGAAATGGGAACCACTGAATCTCAAGAAGTCACAAACCCATAAAACTAACACTCAGACGCCGATACACTTTTGCGTTTCAATACAGGAATGATTCATTGTATTGCGGCAAGTGCTGACGGACAGATCATGTGTTCCACAGCTGAGGATAAATCACTGAAAGTGTTTGATGTTGTCAACTTTGGTGAGCTTGGAAAATACATTCTTTACATTATCATTCACAAAGAAGCTATATACACTAATTGTTTTTATTTGGATCTAAAGGTTGTGACCAAAAAAATCGACTGTTGGTGGCCAGAATTTTACAACTGAAAGCTAGCAGGCAACTATATGAAAGGCTTATTAAACCTTCAGCCCTTTAACCCCTGAAAGTGACAAACATCTAATTTCTCCTTACAATATCACCCCTGAATCATGCAGTATGGTTATGAGAGTAAAGAAAATTATCAGCAGCTAAAGAAGTTGTTGATTGTTACACAAATTCTCCTTGTCAGCACCCTAGGGAATGTATAGAGAACAGTATGGAGAATATGCATACTGATGTTGGGGTGTAATGGGTTAACTCCCAGATCTGATTGTTGAATCTCCCCTCTAGCTGCTGTACATTTCCTTGTGATATTGTTATAAGAATGTGGTGTTACATCAAGAAAACAACTTTTACCTGATTAGTTCGAGCATTCTCAATTAAACTGTTTGTGGGATTATTAAGAGATATCATAGAAAGAAGGTACATGTTAATCACTTCTGGGAGTTAAAGTCTTTAATGTTCTTGATGTGAACCACAGTACTTCAGAGAGGAAATTTTAGAACTGTTTTCATTTTTATAATACCCTAGAAACCAATGAACCTTCATGATATGGAATATGGTTAAAGCTGATGTATAATATCTTTAAATCTTTGGTTGTTTGTTTGCTTGTTCTGTTTCCATATGTGGCAGATGTACAATAGATAACTTTAGACTTTATACTTGAAAATAGTTTGAAAACCTTTCTGTTTCTTTCCTCTCCTTCAGTCTTATGTTTCTTTAACTCCCACGAGTGACCAAGGCCAAATTTCTCCTTACAATAACAATACAATATCAAGCAGACAAGTGATGAAAATATAGAAAAATATTAATTAGGGGATTATAAGTTGATCCAATACCAACTTCTACAAACCAACATGATAACAATTGTATGGCAGACAGTAAGGAGAATTAGTTATCAGATCTTAGGAATGAAATGGTAAACTGAAGATTCTTTTTTTATCTTTCTCAGATATGATCAACATGTTAAGACTGAATTATGAACCTGGGCGATGTGAATGGATTTTCCCACCTGGAGCTGCAGTGGCTGCTGTTGCATGGTGTGGAATTAGCTGTCATGATAACTGACAATTATTTAATAAGGTTGAATATTAAAGCAAGGATTATCCAGGCTGATGTTTGTGTTATCAGCTGAAGCCAAAGGCTGAGGAAGATGGCACACAACAAGGCCTACATCCAAGTACAGCGTAATTCTTGCTGTCTTGAGAGGATGGAATCCTAACCTTCAACAATCCTAACTTGTTATCAGTTGACTGTTGTTTGGTCAGGGAAGGGGTGGATGGGTAGTTGCTCAGGTACCAACATTGATCCAAGTGAATTAGGGTAATGCCACTGTTCCCCTTCTCCTTTGGATACCAACTGGTAATTTACTGTAAGTAGCCCAAGCAGGTGTGAAAATTCCCTTGATAGTTTCATATTACTCTTTCCTAAATGTATAGAGGCACTGTGAGACTAAAATTTCTTGCTCAAGAATGCATCTCGATAACCCTTAAACATGGACATTTTGATCCGCACCTAGCATGCTAACAGGGTGTTTCTCGGTATAGTTCTCGAAAGTTACCTAAAGTATTTAGATTCTTAGCTTTGTGTCTCAAATCTACTGAATTATTTATCTCTTAGCTCAGAGAAAGAGACTGGAATGATCCATGTTTATGATGGAAGAGGGAGCAGTACACCCCTTCACACAGTGAATCTTCATACAAAACCAATCACATTTATCAAGGTATTTTAACCTTTTGTACCCTAACATCAGTATGCATATTCTCCATACTATTCTGTATACATTTCCTAAGTTCTTCTAAGGAGAATTTGTTTAATAATCAAGAGCTGCTTTAGTTGCTGATCATTTACTTTATTCTCATGACCTTAATTTGTAATTCAAGGGCAAAATTGTAAGGAGAAATTAGATGCCAATCACCCTCAGGGGTTAAAGGGATAATGTTTTTAGTCAACCATCTTGTCTTTCAAAAAGGATCTTGTTAATGATGGAATTTAATATATATTTTTTTCTTTCAACAGTACAATGCTGTTTATGATGTGGCTGTGTCAGCGGATGAGGCAGGCATGATTGAGTACTGGTCTGGCATCAAACATGATGTACAGTTCCCCAAAAATGTCAGCTTTGAATTTAAGACAGATACGGACCTCTTTGAATTTATTATGGTGAGTGGAGGAGTGGAAGAGAAGACAAACTGGTAGTAAGCTAAAATACCTTTGATGCAGCTCAGAATGTCATGTTAAATTAGTTGTTTTTAGTTAATAAGTTGTGGCTGAATAGTTAAAATACTGATGAATGGTTTTCTGGCATCCATGTATGTGATTCAAATTTGGCATGAAACTCGCTTCCATCACACTCACCTCAATTTTTTAACCCTTAAACTCCCAAGATCACATTAGTAATTCTCCTTACAGTCTGCCATACATTTCTTGTAATGTTAGTTTGGAGAATTTGGTGTTGGATCATAATCCCCTTATTGATATTTTTCTTTTTCTCATTACTTGTCTGCTTGATATTGTATTGATATTGTAAGGAGAAATTCTGTCTTGGTCGCTAAGGGTAAGGAGCATCTGTACATACTGGTCGGTTAGCCAGAGAAGAAAACTTATAACAAGTTCAGTGAACTCTAAATGTACATGTGGGTGAATGCATGGCTCTTTTTGCATTTCAAGGTGATCTGTTCAGTGTTAGGAACCATTTTATGAAGATACATTTTTTAAAATTTTTTCAGTGCAAGACGTTTCCCATATCTTTAGCATTCTCACCAGATGGAAAATTATTTGCCACATTAGCAATGGACAGAAAGGTATGTGCATTTGTCTGAATACTAGATGAAATAAAAGTGAGCCAATAATACTGGAGCGTATTTATCTTCCAAAATTTTGACTTAAACATAATCCGAAAAAAAAAAAACCCCTCCCCCCCTTTACTCCAATCAAGCCTATGTTCTTCCTTTGAGGAATATGAAGGTGGATCTGTGTATCAGCTGTAATTCAAGTTTGAGTCCGTAGAACTAAAGATAAATTTGAACTTAGTATCACCCAAAGCAATTTGCCCACTGTAAACCTTATGATTCCAAGGCGTTCTGTTCACCAGGATCATTTTGTCTTATTTTGTCTCTAAAGGTAAGAGTGTTCAGATTTTTAACTGGGAAGAAAACACGGGTATTTGACGAGTCACTGCAAGTCTTTACAGAGATGCAACAGGTAATTAAACAAAATTCAATTTTGTAAAGTTAGCGTACAATGTAAATAGTGAATTTGGAACAAAAGAGCGCGGAATATGATGGTTTGCTTTTCGATTGCTTTTGGGAGCTCAGACTTTTTTTTGTTCCACGCTCGCGAAGTGACGAAAAAACGGATTTCTTTAGTATACTGTGTATTTTAAATCACAGTTTCCAGTATGATCTTACAGTTACCGTATGCATTGAAAAACACGGTCATATAGCGCGTGTAGTTCTTATTACGCGTGAGTGGCATTGCACGTGAGTCGCATGACACGCGAGTGGCATTGTAAGTCGTTTCGTACTCACGGACGTCTCTTACTCAGTCAGTTCGTGATTCGCACCCAGTTTGTGTCGATTCGTACGCGGGTACGAAATTTGGAAAAAAACCGGTGGTGAGCCTCTTTATTAGGGAATAAACTGACAGCAGCAAAACATGGGAAGTTCTGGTTTTTGCCATCACAGTCTACTTGAGGCAGTTGGGCGTTTGACTTATCAAGTCTTCATTGCATTTATTTTCTCCAGCAAAAACAGCAACTTCCTGATATGGAATTTGGTAGACGCATGGCAACAGAGAGAGACTTAGAAAAAACGGATACTTTGCGGTTCTGTAATGTAGGTATGAAACATTTGATATTTAGTAACCATTTTTGTAAGCTAAGGTTCTCGTGAAACAATTTTTATCGATCGTCTATACACTTGCACGGCGAGCAATACGGAGAATGAAACAGGTTTTAATTGTTAATGGATTTTCAAATTTTACGATTTTCTTGTATACCTCTCGTAATAAACTTCCAATTCCATTAATTGGTTTTTTTAAATCTCCATTTAGTATTTGATGATAGTGGATATTTCGTGCTGTATGCCACAATGCTAGGAATCAAAGGTACGTTCATTTTGACCGAGACCGACCGACTAAATTAAGGAAAGCCTTTGAGAAAAAAACTGGAGTAAACCTGTGTTTGACTACTAAACTACTTCTAGCTACTATTTGCAGCCGTTTATACCTCAGGACGGAGAGAGACACGTTTTACGTAAGAACACAACGCAATGTCAACCCAGCGGTCAAACACAGGTCATGCGCAACTGACTCACCCGCGTTTTCCCGCACGTTTTTCCCGCTCGTTTTCCCGCGCTTTACGCAGTTTTGCTTGTTTTGGGGCTGAATTCTGATTCGCTCCTGGCGTTAATTTCTTCTGCTCTGATTGGTCTTTGTCATGACTTTGGTCGTAGTTTTACGACATTCATTGAATCAAAAAGCGCTCCAATGAATAATCATGTAAATGTTTTCTTACCAACAGTTATCAACCTTCACACGAACAGATGTGTAAGGACTATAGGCAAGGTGAGATGACAGCACGCCGAGGGTCGTGTTTTATTGCTTCTTAACCTTTTACATCCAAGATCTCATTAGAAATTCTCCTTACTGTCTGCAATACAGTTCTCATGTTGCTAGTATGGAGAATTTGGTATTGGATCAGCTAACAATCAGAGGGTCGTGTTTTATTGCTTCGTAACCCTTTTCCTCCCAAGATCTCACTAGCAATTCTCCTTACTGTCTGCAATGCAGTTTTCTTGTAGTTAGTATGGAGAATTTGGTATTGGATCATTTAACAATCCCTTGGTTGATATTTTTCTTTATTCTCATCACCTGTCTGCTTGATATTGTATCGATACTGTAAGGAGAAATTTTGTCTTGATCACTTATGGGAGTTGAAGGGTTAAGAGGATGCCGTTCTCGGTTGAGATGCAGTAACTCTAACGAATTGTCATTACCAGTCCTCTCCTCGATGCGGACTGTTGAGAGAAGACAACATGGCGGCAAATGCTTGTCAGTTGTCGCGACTTCTATAGCTGTTTTTCCAATTTTCACCCATATTAATTCCTATACTTCTTCCAAATCAAGTGTGGCGGAAGATACCGAGTGACTTGCATTTTGTTTATGATGACAGCTAGCACCACGGCTAGAAAATACTGCTTACTACCCTAACCGGCTCTGCTGATGTCTATGCGCACAGTGATATCAATTTTGTTTTCCTTCTTATTCTTAGATGGAGAATGTTCGTTTTGTTCAACTCGCTCTACATCAAGGCAAGGCCAAGAAAAGTAAAGCTGCAGTCACAATGGTAAATATTCCTGTTTCATTCTGCATAACACGTCGGTTTTCCCCTGCCTTTTATTACGTGAACTTCCCACCAAATCAACAAAAGATTACGCTCTAGATTTTTTGTCGCACACTAAACCTGATATGCCCAAGACTATTTTGCAGTGTCTTGATTGCAACTTCAGTGTGCTACATGAACAGTTCCTGAGCACTGTCTTGTCAAACGTCACTGTATTGGATCGGTGTTCAATGAACTGACAGTTTTTTTGCTCAAAGGATGTTTTCAATTGAAACGGTAACAAACCCTTTGTTAAGGTATCACGCACTAGCTAGGGCGTCATTTTGGTGAGAGAAATGAGGCACGTTGAAGGTTTCTCAAAGGCCTTTAGGTACGCGCAATGGCGTCCGTTACCCAACAACTTCGGTGTATTCTTGGACGTTCTTACTTGTTTTTGATTGGGCAATTAAAATCGAAAAATATTATAATAGCAACTTCCTAAAGATGTCTAGGAAATTCAACTGTTCTCGGAAAAATTAATGTTTAAAATGCGAGTAGTAAGGCTCTTGTGTAAACTAAGCTATCTATGTTAAAACTTTTCTCAGTCTCGATAATTCGCTAAAATTTCGAGGTCTTACTTTAGTTTGGTTAAACGGCAGTTTTATAAAGTTGGTCACGATAATGATTTCGAGGACACAAGCAGCGTTTTTGTCTTTATTCTATTGTACTATCACAGGAAATGGAGGCATCAGAAAACCCTTCGCTTCAAACTGTAGGCCCTGATCCAATGTTGTTTTGCACAGCATCGAAGAAAAACAGATTTTACATATTTTCAAGCAGGCAACCTGATTTGAGGTGAGTCTTTTCCCAGCACTTACAAAGACAAATTAGTACGTGTATTCAAATGTTAACAATGACAAAGATTAAATTTAAGATTCAGGCTCTAATCGATTAAAAAATACTCATTTCTAGATTTAAAAATAACGGGAGAATTACATTTCTCAAACGCCAGAAAATTATAGACTGATGAGTAAGTTAAATAATTGAGAAGTAAATATCTAGAATATCTACTGTAAATATCCCGAATACCGCTTACCATTATGGTCCACGTTTGAGTTGGTGAGCACTTATTGACCGCTTGTGCTAATATATTTGGTTAGCGAGTATTCGTATTCTAATAAGAAACAGTTAAAGGAATGTTGTCCGTTTGTTAAATAACCAAAAAAAATTATCTTGCCAGCACTTTTCTTAAAGTTTACTCAAGATAAAATTGGAATTTGCTCTTTCCACTATTGCGCCCGTCCCTACCCCCCTCGTCCCCCGCCCCTCCTCCAACAGGAGCAAACAGGAAGGAAATTTTCTAGGAAATCATGTGATGACCTCTAGACCCGAGGTGATGCAAGTCTGGGCATGCAAATACATCCAAATATCTAGCTGCGAAGAAATTTCCCTTTGAATTGAAACCGAAAGCGCTGTTTGAAATTTCCCGAGATTAACAATTCTGCTAAGGAAAATTTGTGTGCTGAGACCTGTAAAATTACTTATCTTAATCCATGATAATAAGAAAAAAAGGAAAAAGAAATCCGACAATGTCATCTCGAAAATTGTTACTTATTCGCAGTACTAGGGGTCCACTCAGAGCCACTCGAGTAATCTTCAATTGAATTACTTTCTACATCGATCGAACTCTTCATCGGCGGATATTTCTTCTCATCCAACTTCATATTCGTAAATTTTTCATCAGGCCGTTTTTGTACTTGAGCGGAACATGTCTTCAAGCTCTTTGAGATGATCAGTTCCCGTGCCTGTGGTCTCGTTGATCTTGTGGATTGCTTTCCTCCTTTCTTGGGCTTTTCCCGTGAAGGGATGGAATTTTCCCTTTGGAAAAAAGACATCTTTAAATCCGCACGTTTTTTTATCGCCACGCTCCAGCAATTTTACTAACCTTGCGATGGCGCTGCCAATTGGAAGGACGTCAAATTCTTTCTTCTTTTTACTCGGTTTTCCACCGTAACAAGACGTCGAGCAATTTCAAAAAGCAAAATCATGTAGGTTTCAACGGTTGCTTGTGGAAAATCGTCAGTCACCACTGATTTGTTTTGAAATAAGTTCTTGATATCCTGTGCGAATGTTTTTGTGTCGTCCTCGTAATGTGCCTCTAAGGCACCTTTCAACTCATCGTACTTTTTTGCGTATTGAGTAAACTTCTTCTTTCCTGTCGGACGTAGAAACACGATGCCATTGCCAGGTTGGTTTTGGTTTAGGCCTTGCTTTGAGTCTGAAGAGCTCCTCTATCTCGTCATCCGGCTTTGAGTCATGGCTGTTTTGTAACAGCAGGTAAAAGGTCTTGTTAGTCTTAAATTGTTCCTTATCGTTGACAATGTCAGAGAGGAGTGCGACAACGTTTTCAGCATCAAATCCTGTTATATCATAGACAGGACCTTTGAACTTCTTCGTATTCTTGGGCCTTTTATCCTCTGGCATTGGCTCAGGCACATCTTTGGGGAGGTTGTCGCGAAAGAATTTTGTACAGGCTTCTTGTTGTTCTTTGAAAACTGCGTCGGCGTTGAATTCTTCCATTTCGATGTGAATCTTTGAAATGTCAGTGTTGAACCGTTCCACTAGCTTCTCAGTTCTCTCAAGTTTTGCGCCTCTTTGGACAACAATACACTTAAGCAGACTGACTGACGTAGACTAAGAATACATGCGGAACTTCAAAAGCAGTCAGTGATTGGCTGACGAGACTGAAAGTGATTTGGTAGTGTCTTTTAGCTGAATAGAACAATATCTCGAGTATTGGTCATTTAAAAAGTCGAAACCGATATTGAAGAGGTAACGAGAAAGAATTATAGCTTGGACTAAAGCGGTAGCTCGTAGTTTTGAGCAATTGATTTTACTAAGCTCCATTGATTAAACAACGATAACGTTTTTTTAAAGAAAGGTCAAAAGATGGAAATAATAACCCGGCAGGAGAAATGAAACCACGAGAGCAAAACAGGTAACACACATTTTTCAACCAGGCTACCTGATTGTGCTCTCCTACAGGCTGTTTTAGGGAGGGGTCCCTAAGAGGATTGTTGACATTTTACGTAAGCACTGCTTCACTAGGTTACACTGAAATAACTTGGAAACTTGTTGTAATGAAATACATCTGTGCTAGGATAGTTAACCAGTAAACTCTGACATTTCTTACATCTTACATTTCTGTTAATTTGTAACCGATCCTAATGACCTTGAGACAAGACAGTACGTGTCTTCTAAGAAACGGAATTTTCCGCTTTATTGTGAAACCGAAAGTGCTGTGTAATGATATGCTTCCTTGAAACCTGTTCAAGCCTTAACTGCTAAGTTTTCATGTAAGTTGGTGGAGATGCCTTGATAAATCGATTTGTCCTGTTCATTCTCTTCAGTGAATCAGGAAAAATTACTTCACAACGGAATCCGAAAAAACATTTCATGAAATTTTTCTAAAATTTACTTTGGATAACACTGTCTCGTACTAGACGCCTTGCGTCTCGAGAAGCTAACAAAAACAAAATTCCACAACTTCTCTAGCCATAAATATTGATAAAAATAATTGCAAAGGTTGATTAGAAGATTCAGGCTTTGTCTGATCACAAGTACTCATGTATAGATTAAAAACCTGAAGAATTACAAGTAGTTATATTCACGAGTCAAACGTTAAATAATTATAAACTACGTGATGGAGAAGGTTCTACAGTGAGTATCTAGAATATCCCTTGCCATTGTGGTCAGCGTTTGAGTCAGTAAGCACTCATTTACCTTCTTCGCTGATGTATTTGAATACCGGTAAACAGTTAAAGGAATGTTATATGCTGTATGCGTTCCCCGATGGAATCTAAGATATTTATTTTGTCACGACTTCCAACCGGTTTTGATTAAATGAAAAAAAATAATTTGCAAACTGATCCTGCCACGGTTGCTGATTAAAGGCTTTGATCGGTCGAAATTCAAAAGTTATTGTCCTTGCTTTGCTAAATAAAAATCCATAAAACGTTATTTCCTACTCCTGTGGGTCCTTATGAATCCAAGTGGTGTTCAGATGAAGAAGATTCTGCATCGAGCGAAGACTTGATCAATAAATATTTCTCAGTCTTCCTCAGACCTTGAAGTTGTTTGGCTAGCACGGTTTCTTGTCGTTTTTCGGAGCAGAACGTTTTTTGAACTCATTTTCGGCGAGTAGTGATCACCGTACTCTCTCTCTTTTTAAAAGATGTAAGAAGTAGTCTTGTTGATTTCGTCGATTGCTTTTCTTCTGTCGCCTCTTGGCCCCGTGAGGGCGCCAATTTTTTCTTTGGGAGAAATACATCTCTAAATCTGCAAGTCTCTGGTTTGCCAAGGTTCAGCAATTTCATAATCCTTGCGACGGCGCTTGCAATCGGAAGAACGTCAAAAATCTTGCTTCGTTGTGCTTGGGTTTGGTACTGTCACTAAGCGTCGAGGGCCTCCAATTAACCATTTAACACTGAGTAATGTTGTTGTAATGCTGATGTTTTAAACGTCTTTAGTTTTCTCGGACGCAGGAACACGTAAACATTGCCGGGTTGATCTTCGTTAGACCTTGCTCTTAGTCTGAAAAGCTCTTATACCTCATCATCTGGTTTATTCTCTTGGCTGTTGTGCAGTTGCTGGTAAAACATTTTGTTTGCCTTAAACTGGTCTCTGTCATTGACAATGTCAACGAGCGCGGCTGTCAACTGATGAGCATCGGAGCTTGTAATATTATGGAATGGTGCCTTGAATTGTTTCGTATTTGGCGGAATTTGGCGGTATCTCGTTCTCTGGGATCGGGAACAACTTACTAACATCGGGTAGTTGTTCAACAAACAATTTTCAGCAAGCAGCCGTTTGGTAACCGTACACATATGTGTTAACACTGCCTGTAGCCACGATGAATGCTTTCTTTTCACTTCCGTCTGTGTATCACTGGCTCCTTTCAGTTCTGATGAATAAATTTCGAGACGTGACTTTTATGTAGTAAGATATGAACCAATCGCAGTTCCGAATCAGAGGTGAAACTCCTCATCAATGAAAAGAGGTTGTTTAGCGGCGATGCAGCGGGAATATTCGAAAATCCGTAAACTGCTTCCTTTATGTGGTGTCAGTTCGTAGGGAAGCAAGGCTGAGTATTGTTGTAACGATGTTTAACCGACACGTTTTGGAGTCTGCCAGTAGATTTGGTTTTTTTTTAGGTGAAATTCGGCAAATAAGGTTGGCATTTTTGACCGTCGGCTTGATAAATTGAGAAGAGCAAGTATTTTTTTTTTTCACCATAAAACCATCATAAGTCGCAAACTTTGCTAATTTACTATTATTTTCATTATTCCGAACAGGCCTGATTCTTTTTTTCAGGCCTTGTTTTCACTACTGCTCAAGGAGTGTTCATTACTACGAAGATAGCTTCCATATTCATATCGGTCATCATCTTTGTTAATTTGTTGATCTTGATGTGCGTCAATGTTGGGTTAATTCTGTCGCAACATATTGTGGTATTTCATGACATTATTGGCATGAGGGACAATACTCTGATTGGTGCAAGCATACCCCAACGATGTGATCTTTTTGGTGCAAAATACATACCTTAATGCTGCGACCTGATTGGGGCGAACAACATACCACTCGATACGCTAACATAAATGTTTTTTTTTAATTAAAAAAATGACTACGAAATGGTTAATAAAAGGGTGTTGGCTAAACGTGTTTCCAAACGAAACCCAGTTTAAATATCAAAACAAATTTAGGGGATGAATATAACACAGAGGTAGAACAAAAGAGCTGAACTCCACACGCGGAATGCAGCCGTGCGATGACTAAAGGGTGTTTGCCTTTTGTTTCAAGTGTTCACCTACGCCGGTCCTTTACGCAAACATATACTTTAAGGTCTTTGTATTCAGTAGCGATGTAATTGGCACTTACCACTTGCTGGTTGTTTCCTCCTAGATTCGAGAAAAATGCAATCAAAACTTGTCTTATTCTGGCTGACGATAAATTCCTGAGGCTCGTATTTATCGCCTTTTACGACAACAGGGTCAAAATAGATACGAGAGCTGTAAGATGAACATTAATAAAACACCTGCCCTTAGGCATAAACATTTAATAAACACAAATAAAGATTTGATCATACTGGATACATGAAAAATAAAGGGAACTCTGTCTGAATAAGCATCTTCCATGGACAATGAAACTCAAAGATAGTCTTAGTGTTAACTAGTAGTGTTCGAGTAGTCTCTTCCATGTAGTAGAAAACTGGAAACACTTTTCATGCGAGGATGTATTCTGAAAAGTGGTCTATATATTAACAGGTATTCTAATTTTTTCTTTCAGTGGCGAAAGCGATCGTGATGTTTTCAACGAGAAACCTTCCAGAGAGGAGATTCTTGCGGCTACTCAGGCAAGTGACGTCTTAGGTGCATTCAGCTCTGATTTTATCTTGGAAATTGTTAGGTTAAATCTTCTAAGTTCAAACATTTCCAATCTGAGTGAATCTTCTCAATTCTTCATCATGCTTGTTCAATTTTAGTTGATTATTTTCATTTTGATGCTCTTCGTACTTAAAAAACACCTCACGCTTTTTTTACGCGTTCAAAGTAATTCTACTCGTCGCTAAAAAATTAACCTCAAGTAGAAATCATAGTCTTTCGACCTGATCACCTTCGAAGTCTTTTATTTACAACACACGGTGGATAGAGCCGTGCACCAGATGAACTTTTATCTAGTAGATAATATAGTTCGTTTTGTTATCAGTGAACTGACACCTTAGCTTGCGTAGCAAGCGTATTTTTTCATCCTGTGACTGAGAGCGAAATATTTCGATTGAGAATCGTAGCCGCTATATTGGATTGGTGAGGTCGAGAAATTCCTCGCCCCCACTTAATTTGTCATCTCACCAGCTCACCACTGTAGCCTGCTGCACTCCCTCGACCTTATCAACCCACTCTGGCGGCAGCGCTCGGTCGCCAGAAGATAAGACGATCTTAGCAACCTTTAAAGGTTTTTTAGACTCTTTTTTTGTTCTGTTTTGGTTAATTTTTTTATTATTTTTTTTTCGTGTTGTTTTGCGTGCGCGAGAAAAGGGTCTGGGAAGCAATTTGCAGGTAGCTTCAAAAGCTCTTTTTACAGTTAATTCTAACGGAAATTAAAACTCTTGAAATGTAGTTAAAGAATAAAAAAGTTTTTAATCCACAAAACTGACGCTCCTCCTTTGTGTCACTTTAGGGGTCTGAAGGAACAAAGAAACTACCTGAACTGGCCACTCTTCACACAACAATGGGTGACATTACCTTTAAACTGTTCAGCCAAGAGTAAGTCATATTAATTCTATTTTTGTACTGATTTCAGAGCAGATAAAAGGAAAACACACTGTTTTAATTTAATTTTTTGTGAAATTATTAATCTCAAGATTTAGACTTGATCTTACATTTCAACTGCTGCACTGCTTGTCTTTGATCACCAAAGAGGAACCGTGTGCACCAATAGGAGCGCGAAAAACGCTCCAATAGCAGCTAGCCACCATGCTACGTCGACAATGACCCATACTTATACAGCCGCATCGGTGACGAAGATTTAACCATACAGCAGCCGAAACGAAACGATCAATGATAGATAACGACCACGCTATCTCGATACCGACCCTTATCGCGAGACCATGTCATCGTCAATTTTCCTGGTTTACTAAGATGAAAAGTAAATACATCTTAGTAAGAGATGTTTTTCGTCTTGTCACGAGCATGGGACACCGTGCTGATCCCAGCAGTATGCAGGACGAATGTTATATAAACTTCGTAATGGAACTCGCGTAGAGTCACTGTGGCTCAGTTGTAGAGCATCGGAGCCACTTTCCTCCTGGGAACGCAGAATGTTTTCTTTGTCCCACGCTCGTGACAAGACGAAAAAAATATTTCTCTATTTCTTTACCGAGCTCAAAACTTACCATCTCTATTTAAATAAATCTTTTTGTACAATTTCTATTACTGTCATGGTTAATTTTTTATCATTTTTACGTCCAGGTGTCCCAAAACTGTAGAAAACTTCTCAACCCACAGCGAGAATGGTTATTACAACACGCACATTTTCCACCGCGTTATTCATCAGTTTATGATACAAACTGGTGATCCAGAAGGTAAGAAACGAGTTAACCCTTTAACTCCCATGAGTGACTAGAACAGAATTTCTCCTTACAATATTAATAAAATATCAACCAGATGAGTGATGAGAATAATGAAAAAATATCACTTTGAGAATAATAAGTTGATCCAATACTAAATTCTCTGTACCAACATTATGAGAATTGTATGGTTGACAGTAAGGAGAATCACAAATTTCATCTGGGAGTTAAAGGGTTAATCTCCATTTCCTCTCAAGCAACAAAAACTAGACCGAGACTTTTATCGAGGAAATTTGCAAGGGGTACAATTTCCCTGAATGTCAACACAGTTCCTTGAGTAGTGTCCTTTTCAAAATACTTGAGCCAATTTTATCTCGGTTTCCCCGCAGCCATGTGATTCCTTTTGTCTCCTTGTTTCCCGTTTCTGCTCAAAGATCTCAGTGGTGATTCTCCTAACTGACCAACTTATATTTCTCAGCTTTAGTTCTGAGATTTTGGTCTTTAATCATGAAGTATCCCATGGTTGATATTTTTCTTTATTCTCATAACTTTTCTACTTAGTAGTGTACGGAAACTGCAAGGAGAAATCATTTATTGGTCAGTTATGTGAGTTATAGGTTTAAAACTGGTATGTTAGCCTTTGGACAGTGGAACTTCATTGAGGGGAAAAAAGCCACCTTTTCCATCCAAATCACGATTTAACTTTTTTCGAGAAATCTGCAAGACTACAACTATACGATTTTATTTTTCTGTAAATCAGGTGATGGCACTGGAGGGGAATCTATCTGGGGTGGTGAGTTTGAAGACGAGTTTCATAGAAACTTGCGACACGATCGACCATTTACAGTAAGCATGGCTAATGCAGGACCGAACACAAACGGCTCGCAGTTCTTCATCACTGTTGTACCAACGGTAAGTACACCAGAGATAAAACGGAGTTGAAATCGTTCTTTAGACAACGGCGCGTTCAAAGAAAAGGGGACAACAGATTTTCTCGCTAAAACGTTTGCAATTTTTTTCATCCATTCAATGGAAGTTTTCTTTAACTTTGAATTTCAAGGGACGGTAGCCTGCCACGGAGGGGGTAGAGTTCGACACGAGAACAACCATTACAATTTCAAAAAAAAAATTAGAAAGCTGACGTTGTGAAGATGATATATGGGTACGCGTTGTAAGAGCTTCTGTGTGGCGGGGAAGCGCGTAACCTTGAAATTCCCTAACCTATCGTATATGGGCCTATACCCAGTGTAGCTCTTTTGACCTTTTGATTGGTCGAGAACACTCGCCTCATCTTTTACCCAACCAATCAGATGCTAAACAAAAATCAAGTCCGACGTGGTCTCCCTCGTTTTCCCGCGCTTTAGGCCGTTCGCCTGTTCTGATTGGCTGTTGTGAGAACCTCGGTTTTAACACCTTTCTTTTCAAGTACTTTGCACCACTGACTGACAAGAAGTTAATTCGTTTCTTCGTTTCTTCTTGTCACAACAGCCCTGGCTTGACAACAAGCACACTGTGTTCGGCCGCGTCGTTAAAGGAATGGACGTGGTGCAAGAGATTAGTAAGGTGAAAACAAATCCTAAGGACGATAAACCGTACGACGACATCAAGATTATCAACGTTTCTTTGAAAGGCTAAGGTGGCATCAGTGCTGAGGAAAAAAACGTGAATTGAACACAAATTTACACCCCTCCTTATCATGTTGAACGATATGAAGTCATTGCACTGGTTTTAACGATTCAGGTAAAAAATGGACGGTCCAACAAAATGGAATCAAAAGGATTAATCTTGATGGCGACTGCAATTTTTACAGTTGTTATGATTTGTGGAAGGACAAGCAGAAATGCTAGTAAAAAACAACCTGTTGCTAACATAACGTCAAGCCCACGTGACAATTTGTAAAGAACTCCAAACATTTCCGCTAAGTTATAGAGCGATAAGCGGGAGCAAGCATGAAACTCTCCTCGAGACGTCTTTGGGAAGCAACAACGCATCGGTGACCACTTTTTATAAAACGTCTTGTTTTATTAAAGACAAGTCGTTTCTTTTATTAGGAACGATTTTTTGTAAGATACGCTTTGTAGAAAATAAATAACATATTAATTCTGACCTAAGCACAAACATCGTTTCTTTCTTTAGAATTGTCGGTTTTGTTTGTTTTTTTGTTTGTTTTTCATAACATAGCTTCTTCGCTATTAAAATCTGTGATCTTGGCCTTCAAACAACTGCGTTAAAGACGTTGGTAACCTAATTCGTTATAGACCATCCTAAGAACTCTTTTGAAATTTTACAGTTGGCATTCGTGACCACTTAAACACCACAACCTTTTTTTTTTTCATGTCAGACAATAAAACCAATGAGTGCTTAAAAATTCTTTTGCGGTTTTTCCTTGACATTTTAGTGAAATAACTAAAACAGTTTTCATGTAATAGTTACTGGTGCTCACACCTATGTATGGATTGTACGGACACTTACAAGCCAGGTAAGTCCAAGAATAACTCATCAAAGCGACTCTGTTTTCAGAGTTTTATTTTTTTAATCCGAATCTGCTTTCCTTTTCTCTTGGGATCCTGCGGAATTATCGACAGACCTGATCAACTTGGTCAATATCTGCGCCTGTAGAAATAAAAAATAAATATCGCATAATTTTTTTTTTTGGAAAGTTCTACCACTGTCTAAACATACAGAGTTAGAATTAGAGTTTTTCTCAACCTCACTGCGCTGTAAGAAATTCTGTAACCTCGATGGCTAGTACACCAGTTGAATTGATGACTGATAATGCTCAATTTCCATGCGTGCACGAATCATTTACGCTTTCCTTAACATTGATACAGTCGTAATATTATTAAACTGCCACCCACCAGGAATGGCGGAGTGACCGCTTGATACGCTTGAACGGGATAAAAAACGCCATTTCATACCACAATTGATTACTAAATGTACAGGTCAAAAGATCATTTACAATGCGTTGAAGACATTTTAAGTCAAAGTAAAGGCGCTAAGCATGGAATGAATTTTACTTGAGAGATTTGTTTTCATTGGAAAAGTTCCGCTCTAAATGACTGTTTACATACATGGATAAACAATACTATAGGCCTTTGGGACTCATTCAAGGGCAGCAACCGCTTGATCGAGGTGAAATCAAGACAAAGGTGGGTTTACGTCAAGTGTATTGCTAAATCGTAAATTAAATCACATATTAATATTGTGTAGTGCTTCAGAAATATTGTTTTGGCAGTAAATTAGAGTTTGTGTCATGGTCTCTGGTCGAGCCTTTCACGTTGCAGGTTTTGAAGATCAGAAACTTTTTTTTTAGAACCCGCGACCTTTAAAAACTTGCGACTGAAAGCTGCGACTCTGAAGGCGTGACGCGCAACCATAAGTCAAGCTCAGTAAATTACACTGCAATTTGATTATTTATAAATTTCGCTGTCCGCAACAAACCTAAACCTTCATGTGATTGTCTTCGCAGGAATTTGTTTTCCTTAAAATTTATGAGATCTGTATTTCGATATATTTAAGTTATGTAGTTATTTCACGCGAAGGAGAAGCTGTGATGATGAGCTGAAATGATAACATAATCAATCCGTGAATGTTGAGAAGCCCCTAATTTGTGGTTGCCTCTCTTAGTTAGATCATGATTAACATTTCAGACATATTTTAAGAGTCCACGGTTTTCTGAGTCAAAGGCAGACTGAATTGACCGATACACTCCTCTTTAAAGAATAATAAATATTTTAAAATATTAGGCACGAACACCGAAAGAAGTAATTGCGCAAACAAAGGAAGAAGGATAAGAAAATTAGTAGAAAAGATTGACTGAAATTCTATTTGTGACGATATGGTAGAGTTGAAATCTTCTTTCTCTAGAAAATTACTTTTAAAATATTTACGAGTAGAAAAAAGGAGGAGCTAGGGACAAGTCAGGCAAGTCGTCAATCACACGTGAAGAGAAAGCCGCGCGTTTCGAGATGTTCACGCGTGTCTAAACAACATCTAAATTATCTTTATTCTATCGTACCATCACAAGACATGGAGGCATCAGAAAACCCTTCGCTTCAAACAGTAGGCCCTGATCCAATGTTGTTTCGTACAGCATCGAAGAAAAACAGATTTTACATATTTTCAAGCAGGAAACCTGATTTGAGGTGAGTCTTTTCCCATCAGTTATAAAGACAAATAAGTGCATGTATTAAAATGTACCGTATTTATTCGCCTATAAGCCGAGCGATTTTTCTAATAAATTAAACTGAGAACAGGTAAATTCTCGCCAAGGTAGGGGTTCCGCTTATAGCCGAGTATTTTCGCCAAAAAAAATTTACGGGTGCTTAACAAGATTCGAAATTCAATGTTTATTCGACTATAAGCCGAGCGATTATCAACAAACACAAATTTCCGAGATCACGAAAGGTAGGTACATGTAAATCATTGTTGGTCATTGACTTTAATTTATGTGGTGGCTCCTTAAGGAGCCGTTTTGTTTGTGAAGTTGAAGTTTCGTCGTCGTAGATGGCGTCGTCTTCTGTTCCATCGAGAGCGTTTGAGATCCCGCACGTTTTGAACGATCTTCTCACCATCTCTTCCGGAATCTCTTCCCATGACTGCTTCACCCAACGAAGGACCAGGTTTTTCGACGGGGCCTTCTTCTTTCCCGCTGGCGTGTACTCGAAGGGACCTGTCCGAGTCATCCAGTTAAGGTACTTTCGCCGCATGTTGTCCTTGAATGGTTTGTTGAGGCATTTGTCTAATGGCTGCAGGACTGGAGTCAGGCCGCCTGGAATAACAGCTACGTCGATCTTGCGCCGTTCTAGGTCTGCTTTCACCGACTCAGTCAGATGGGCTCGGAAAGAATCCCAGACAAGCAGTGACCGTTCATCGCCGGCGAGGATTCCGTGGCAAACAGGTACGAATCCACTCCTTCACTCCTGAAATAAATAACAGAATACCCAATTAGAATAAATTGACAGAATGCGAAGATCAGTCATTTGAGCATAACATCAATTACCAGTGAGCTATGAAATAGAAATGTGACAAATTCCTACCTTTTTCATCCATCCAGCCCTTCTTGTCGAACGATACTCGAACAGTGTCTGGAACAGCGATGTCTCTTGGAGTGCGAACACCTTTGAAGATCACGGAAGGTGGAAGTTTTTTGCCATCGGCGGCGACTGCGAGTGTGACTGTAAAGCTCCTCTTCTCGGCGCCGCAAGACTTCACTGGAACTGTTCTGCTGCCACTGAATTCAAGGGTTCTGCTCGACGGAAGCTCGAATCGCATAGGAGTTTCGAAGCTTTTCATTGTTTTAAAGAAACGAAAGACTTACCTTGACTCCTCTGCTCTGAAAACCAGTCCAGTAGTGTTTGATCCAATTCAGGATACTTTGGCGAAAAGCAGCCCATCGTCTTTCGCTTTGCTGACATTTTAAGCTCACCATTAAACAGGTTCGCTTGATCTTTTCGCCAGCGACGCACCATCGATTCACTGATTCCGTAATCTCTAGCGATCTCGGAGTTGTTCTCGACGGCCTCTGATTCAGCAACGACTTTTAGTTTGAACGCTAAGTTGTATGAAGAACGACGAACTTTCGGCATGATGATCGATTACGATAACTTTGAAAGAGAGCGATTGTTTGAGACAGGATTCTGAACTCAGGTGAATGTTTTGTTATGTCACGCATGGTTCTATTTATTTACATTAAATTCTACTTATCTGTGACTTGTTGTTACTTTCAATTAAACGACCAATAACAACTGAGTAAATTGGACTTAATGAATATGTTTATTCATAACCTACTATTTGGTTACATGTTTCCCGAGATGGAAGCTCCTTTTGTTTTCGGTTTATGCTAATTTATCTCAGTTAACGACACGCGTGGAGTACTTTGCAATTATTAGGCCTCGGCTTATAGCCGAATGTTTTGTGTTAATTTTTTATTTCAATGCAACAGCTGCTGACATGAAAAAGTTTAGGGTCTCGGCTTATAGGCGAATAAATACGGTAATCAATTATAAAGATTAAATTTAAGATTCGGGCTCTAACCGATCAAAAATACTCATTTATAGATTAAAAAACCAGGGGAATTACATTTCTCAAATGCCAGAAAATTGTAGACTGATGATGAAGTAATTGAGGAGTAAATATCTAGAATATCTACTGTAAATATCTGGAATACCGCTTACCGTATGGTCTACGTTTGAGTTGGTAACCACTATTGACCGCTTGTGCTAATATATTTGATTGCCGAAATTTTTATGGCATTTTTAGTATTCTAATGAGAAACAGTTAAAGGAATGTAGCCCGTTTGTTAAGTAACCAAAAAAAATTATCTTGCCAGCACTTTTCTTGAGGTTTGCTCGAGATAAAATCGGAATTTGCTCTTCCACCATTGTGCCCGTCCCTACCCTCCTCATCCCCCGCTCCTCCTCCAATAGGAGCAAACAGGAAGGGCAATTTCTAGGAAATCATGTGATGACCTCGAGACTCGAGATGATGCAAGTCTGGGCATGCAAATACATTCACGTATCCAGCTGCAAAGAAATTCTCTTTGAATTGAATCCGGAAGCGTTCTTTGAAATTTCCGGAGATTTGAAATTTTTTTTGTTTTTGAAATTTCTCCGGTTTTGAACTGCAGTTTTTTCAGTCGTCGAATCGTCTTCGAGCGAAAACTGAAGTAATGGAAGAAATTAGCAGTCAAAACTCAGATTTGGGGCTAGAAGATTTGGACAAATTAGAAGCCAAAGGTCAGGCGGAAAATACAAAGAGAGCCACTTCCTTTCCGGAACACGCCGGGGATGGAATAATACCTATTGTGCTTAAAAAGGAATTTGACAAGACACCTGTTAGTCTATATTGGAATTCACGCGATTTTGTGTCCAAGGAAGTACGAAATGGCAAGTTGTAAATCTCTTGATAATAATTCATGATAATAAGAAAAAAAGGAAAAAGAAATCCATAATGTCATCTCAAAAAAATTGTTACCTCACGTATTTGGGTGTTGTGGAATTCTTATAACCCCGCTTGCTGGTTCAAACAAATCAAGAAGACTGTATATTTCGATGTAACATCACGATTTAATCCAAATCAACAATCTATAGCGATATACAATTCTCACATATTCAACGATCGTAACACAACGATCAAGGATCAACTAATACATTCTAAGTATACAGAGTTTTTTTCTACAGGCACTTTCTTTCTCAGGTTTTTACTCAGGCACTTTTTTTCGTGAGCAGTACATTTCTACAAGTTCTTTGAGGTGATGGTTTTTTTCCGTGCCTGGCATCACCTTCCTTTTCTTCGAGATATTCGAACTGGTCGCCGTTTTTTCGCTCTCGGCGTTAACTAAGGCTGTGTTTATGTTGCCAATCGCTCTTTTCCTAGTCTGAGGTTTGCCAGAGAAGGAATGAAACTTACCGTCAGAAGAAAAAACGTCCTCAAACGTGCATACATCATCTTTACCATACTCGAGCAATTTAACAATCCCTACGATAGCGCTTGCAATTGGAAGAACATCATACTGCCCCTTTCTTTCGCTTTGTTCTTTTAACTTTACCATTCGTCGAGCTATTTCAAAAAGCAAAATCATGTAGGCTTCAAGGGTGACTTGAGGAAAATCGCAATCGGACACTTTATTGTTCAGAAATATTTTTCTGATATCCTTCGTAAAGGTGATTGTATCCTGGTAATGTTCCCTCAAAGCCTCAATGAGCTGCTCATAGGTTTTCCCACTTGACTGGGCAAATTTTTCACTTCCCCTCGGACGCATGGACATAATGCCATTGCCAGGCTGGTGTGTTGTTGGCCTTGCAGTGAGTCTGAAAAGCTCCTCTACCTTTGCATCGTGTTTTATTATCAGGTAGAAGTTCTTGTTTATAGTAAACTTCTCTCTGTCGTTGACAATGCCAATCAGCACGGCTAATACTTGTTGAGCATTTAAGCCTGTGATATCGTACAAGTAGATTGGCTTCTTATACTTTAGGCGTATCATAAATTCTGGTATTTCCTGCTCCTCTAATGGTTTGGGCTTTGGGACGTCAGGGAGCTGTTCATGAAAGAAATTTTGGCAAGCGTTCATCTGGTTTTGGTACAAATCTGAGTTTTCGCTGCTCGAAGCCATGATGACATCCTATGAATTTCATTAGTTCTCCTTCTCTTATAAAAAGGTATAAAACGAATCCCACAGCTGAGTGAGTTGCAGGTAATTTAGTGTTAACAACTGGGTTGAAAACGTAAATTAGCCACCGTAAAGGGTAAAAAAGCTGACGTTTCGAGTGTTAGCCCTTCGTCGGAGCGATTAGAGGGATTGTGGGTTATCTGTGTATTTATATGTAGAAAGTGGAGCTACGCCATTGGTGGGAATGTGGTGACGAAAAAACAGGAATAAATTAGTTGAATGAAAAGCGCTCGTTGATTCCGTGTGCCGATTTGAAATATAAATTTTTGTTCTAGTGTTTTACGGCTTTCCGAACTGCCTAGATGTAAGGAAAGGCCGCAAACTGCCATATGCTGTTTAGAATGATAAGGAAGATTAAAGTGTCTAGCGACTGGCTTGGATGCGTCCTTGTCATTTATTTCCACATCGCGAAGGTGTTCTCGGAATCGGTCACCCAGTCGTCTTCCTGTCTCGCTGATGTATAACTTATTGCAATAAGTGCAAGTTATGCAGTAAATAACATTGGCGGAGGTACACGTAAAGTGATCAATGATCTTAATGGATCTTTTGGGTCCCGATATTTTCTCTACGTTATGAATGAAAGGACAAGTTTTGCATCGTGAGCGAGGGCATTTAAAAGTTACAGATTGGTCATTGGTTTGAAATGAACTCCTGACTAAAAAGTTGCCTATGTTTTTGTCACGTTTGAATGAAATAAGTGGGGGTTGCGAAAAGATAGTGCCAGTCTCTGAATCGTTTTGGAGTAATTTAAAATTTTTAAGAATGATAGATTTAACTGCGTGGTTGTGAGGGTGAAATGTAAGAGTAAATGGAATGCGATCCGTGTTCTCCTTCTCGGCCGTTTGTAGTGCTGCCTGTCGATCGATTTGTTGGGCACGGTGGTAGCCCGCTTGAACGACAGAAACAGGATAGCCGCGTTTATCGAAAAACTGGCACATTGCCTCTGATTTTTCGGAAAAATCAGAGTCGTCACTACATAAACGACGAAGTCTGAGAAACTGTGAAAAAGGTATGGAGTTCTTGACGTGTGATGGATGTGAGGATGAATACAACAAGTAACTATGTGAATCTGTAGGTTTGTAGTAAACACTAGTACATAAGCCGTTGCCTTCAATTGAAATTTTGATGTCTAGAAAAGCCAAGGAATTGTCGGAAATTTCCCAGGTATATTTAAGAGCCGGATGAAAGGAATTGACGGCGGTTATAAATTGAGTGAGCTCCTCTTTGGTAGAGGAGGTAGCGCCGATGCAATCGTCAATGTAGCGGCCGTAGAGTTGAGGTTTTGGGCCGTGGTATTGGCTAAAAAATTGATGTTCGATAAAACCTACAAAAAGATTGGCGTAGCTGGGTCCCATTTTAGTACCCATGGCCACGCCATTAGTTTGTTTGTAGTAGTTACCACCGAATGAAAAGCAATTGAGTGTGAGTACTAGTTCGACCAGACGGAGTAGTGTTTCAGAGCTAGGTTCCTTAACAGTGCGTTGATCGAAAAAATGTTTGAGGGCCCGGAGACCTTCGTCATTGAGTGAGTTGCAGCTAATATCAGTTTGTACTCTGGGGAGTAGAGAAAGAAGATTTAACAGGTGCGCGCTTCAATTTAATGTTATTTGATCCCCCTGTTGAGAGGGATTTGGGCTTTGGGACGTCAGGGAGCTGTTCATGAAAATAATCTTATAAAATGGTATAAAACGAATCGCAGAGCTGTGTGAGTTGCGCGTGATATCAGTTTCAATTTAATGCTATTTGATCCTCTCGGAAGTCGTGTGTTTACGTAGTCAAAACATTTTAATTCGTATAGAATTATTTAATTGACCGGAAAGGGATACGCATTGAATCTGTCATCGCTAGTAACTTAAGCCAATCAAAGAACACCTTGTACAAGTTGCTGTATCTTTTGTTCTAGAAATCGAAGGGTGTGTTGTAATCGTAATCGGGACATCGTGAGACACAAATATATCTGTTTAAAATTCTATCGTGAGTGAGTGATTTTAGCGCGAGTTTATCGGGAAAAACATTGTGTTGTCAGGCAATTATCTAATTCCCAACAATCCCCTGTTGAGAGGGATCCTCATATCCTTACTCTATTACAAACATTTCCTGCGGGCACGCGCATAAATTTAAACAATATTCTCGAGTGAAGTTATAATAGGTAGGATGAAATGTGTCGGCATTTATCTCTGAAGGGCAATGGGGTTTCAGATATAGTTTTCCGTGTAATCTCAACACCGAAGGGTTTTCCTATCGAGAAGGTTCCTCGAAACACCCTCAAAGAAAGCCGTTTCAGAATTGTGACCACAAGCTTTGATGGCCTGGTCACGGCACCAATGTTACAATTATTGTAACTACGAAGTATCACGCGATGGTCAAGACAGCTGTGTTGTTTTATTCATAACTTAGAAGTACATCGCAAGCATTGTGACGTCATAATTACACAATTTATGACAGCTGGTCAATGAACCGAATCAAATCGTGTTATGGGCATATCTGACGCCAAATATTTTGTTTTGGGGCTCTAAAGATATCTAAAGATGTTTAGTTGCAAGGGTAAAGGCGTTGAATTAATTGTACTAATTCGTAGATATTGACACAATTCACTGACAGTTACTAGTAAATCTAATAACACCGATTCGTGTTTATATACTGAAAGTCAACAGCTGAAAGTAAAGTATGCCAAATTTTTGCACAATTTTTTCCTTTCATGCTTCTTAAATCTATTTTCAAACATGGAACGCGCTTAAAGTCATTTCCTTACAGAAGAAAAAACAGCCGTCATGTAAATTTAGGTGTGTGGCGTGACTCGTGTTTCTGTGACATGTCCTTCAATGCATGAATTCAGAAATAAAATAAAACTTATTACAAAATACTTCAGTTGTTACAAAATTTTTAATAAGCAGGGAAAGAGCTGCTCAAGTCTATAAGCTAGATTGAAAGATACCCGGTTATTTTGATTTTTGCAGTTGATTTTGTTTTGGTAAGTGTTTGTGGAGTATCCCATAGAAGTAGTCTTGCTCACAATTATTCACGTTAGGCCTGGAGCCGGCCTCTTATATGTATTTAATGAACATAAGTGCTGGGCTTGTTTCCACGTTTAATTGCAGTTACAATTGAATACGTATCGCTATATATGTTATGTGGCAAGGGGTTGCTAGTAGCGTTGTGGTACTCAAATGTAGAAGGTTTTGCTTTCCACTGTTTTGCCAGGCTCCTCGCCAGATATTATAGACAGTACTTTTTACCTCACGGTATTCATGAGTGCCTTTTGCAGGTTATTCATAATTAAATAGAGATTACTTCACAATTATACATAAAATACACGTTTTAAATTAAAGTTCTAGTTCCCTTCTTATTTGGAATCTTGTCTCCATTGCTTCTACTTCGCTGATATAATCGAGGTCCTCTTCCTCCTCTTGGGAAGCACTTACATTTCGCTTTAAGACACCACTCTTGTTAAGGGCTGACAGCCTGCTGAAATATCTTGCAACTTGATGTGTTGAAAGCCATTTTTCCTTTCAAAACAGTTTATCTCCATTTGACGATCTTTGACTCCTCATTTCACATGCAATATCAGCGGGATTTGCTTTAACACCGGTTTCTTCTCCTTGGAAGAATGTTTCCTGCAAATAAGAGCGAACTCGTTCGGAAAATCGGATTGACTTACTTAGAACAAATCAAAGAATCAATCAAAAAAACTTATTTAAATAAATTTAAGAAGTTGAAAGGAAAAAAATTGTGCAAAAAAAATCACGAATCGGTGTTATTAGATTTACTTGTAACTGTCAGTGAATTGTGTCAACATCTACGAATTAGTACAATTAATTCAACGCCTTAGCTATGCAACTAAACATCTTTTAAAATTTTTTAGAGCCCCAAACAAAACATTTAACGTCACATATACCATTACACGATTTGATTCGGCTCATTAACCAGCAGCTTGTGGTCACAAAGTGCTTAAATCAGGAAATAAATCTGTGCTTAAATCAGGAAATAACGTTTTACGGATTTTTATTTAGCAAAGCAAAGACAATAACTTTTGGACCTCTGTAATGCAAGCAGCGCGGCGTCCCAGAAGCAATATGCAAATTCTTTTTTTCATTTAATCAACATCGATTGCCCGAAAAAAGGAAGGGACAAAATATCAATGGATATCAAGAATCTATTCCATCCTTGAAGTCTGTATGCTTTCTTTGAAGTAGCTCGACGCTTAGTGACAATACCAAACCCAAGCACAACCAAGCAAGAATTTGACGTTCTTCCGATTACAAGCGCAATCGCAAGGATTGTGAAATTGCTGAACCTTGGCAAACCAGAGACTTGCAGATTAAAGTATTTCTCCCCAACCAAAAAACTGACGCTTTCACTGGGCCAAGAGGCGATATAAAAAAACAGTCGACGAAATCAACAAGACTACTTCTGACATCTTAAAGAGAGAGAGAGTACGGTGATCACTACTCACCGAAAAAGAGCTTAAAAAACGTTCTGCTCCGAAAACCGATAAGAAATCGTGCAAGCAAAACGGATTTTTATTTAGCAAAGCAAAGACAATAACTTTTGAAAGCCTCTGACTCAGTAGCGCCGCAGGATCATTATGTAAATTATTTTTTTCATTTGCAAAACCGGTTGGAGGTCGTGACAAAATAAATATCCTAGACTCCACTCGGGGAACATATACAGCAAATAATTTCCCTTTACCTGTTTCCCGGTATTAAATACACGAGCAACGGCGGTAAATGAGTGCTTACCGACTCAAACGCTGACCATAATGGCGAGGGATATTCGAGATATTTTATGCAGCAGGCTATAAATATGAACTCTTGAATGCGCACACTTGCCTGATCTCGAGTCGCGAGGTCGCCATGTGTTTTCCTGTCGGCCAAGACTTGGTAATTAAATAAATTCTCAAACTGCTATTTTTTGGCTTTCTTTTGAGGGTGCTTCGAGGAACCTTTTCGATAGGAAAACCCTTCGGTGTTGAGATTACACGGAAGACTCTATCTGAAACCCCATTGCCCTTCAGAGATAAATGCCGACACATTACATCCTAACTAAAATAACTTCACTCGAGAATATTGTTTAAATTTATGCGCGTGCCTGCAGGAAATGTTTGTAATAGGGTGATAATGTGCGTGACTGTTTTACTATTATAATTTCGTCCAACGGTTACCCTGCTTAAAAAATTATAATACTACGAAGTAAAAAATTTATAATACGACCTAAATTCCAGAAAAATTAAGGTTTTTGTGGAATGTTCCGAAGTTCAGTTTGCAAAGAGCGGGAAAAAAAAAGCCTAATTTACGTATCCTTTCTCCACAGAAGACAAAATAACATTTAATAGGGGTGCACAGCTGTTTTACTTCACTTAAACACCAATGCTCCCTAAAAGCGCAAATTAAAGCTACGAAAGTTCTAAATACTCAATCCGAGCAAACTGATATTACGTTTAACTCACTCAGCTCTGCGACTCGTTTAAACTTTTTTATAAGATTGTTTTGTCACGGAGTTCACGTAACTGAACTGAAAGAAACTCGTAAAACAAAAAGGGGAAGCAAAGACACAGCATGACCACAAGAAACGACCACAGAGATTTTTATCAGTTTTTTTTTTTTTTTTTTAATTTTAATTGTAAGTAATGTATTTTAACAGGGAAGAGCCACCTGGTGGATCTGTTAATAAACCATTATTATTATTATTATTATTATTATTATTATTAATATTATCATCAATACCAGGTGAACGCATGCCAAAATTTCTTTCCTGAACAACTCCCTGACGTCCCAAAACTCAAACCATTAGAGGAGCACGAAATAACAGAATTTATGATACGTTTCAAGTATAAGAAGCCAATCTACTTATACGATATCACAGGCTTTAAAGCTCTTCAGGTAGTCGCTACACTTGTTGGCATTATCAACGACAGAGAGAAGTTTACAACAGGCAAGAACTTCTACTTGATGATGAAACACAATGCAAAGGTAGAGGAGCTTTTCAGACTCAATGCAAAGCCACAAACACACCAGCCTGGCAATGGCATTGTATCGATACGTCCGAGGAGAAGGGAAAGATTTTTTCGGGGAAGTGGGACAACCTACAAGGGTCTCAGGAAGGTTTTGGGGGCCCATTATCAGGATAGCATCTCCTTTGCAAAGGATATCAGAAAAATATTTCTGAACAATAAAGTGTCCGATTGCGATTTTCCTCAAGTCACCCTTGAAGCCTACATGATTTTGCTGTTTGAAATAGCTCGACGAATGGTAAAGTTAAAAGAACCAAGCGAAAAAAAGGAGCAGTTTGATGTTCTCCCAATTGGAAGCGCCATCGCAGGGATTGTGAAACTGCTCGAGTATGGCAAAGATGAAATATGCACGTTTGAGAACGTTTTTCCTTCTGAAGGTAGGTTTCATTTCTTCTCTGGCGAACCTAAGACTAGGAAAAGAGCGATTGGCGACATAAAAACAGCCTTAAAGTAAATGGTTTGAACCCAGGAGTATCAGTAGTTCGTGTAGTGTGATCGTCCGGGTGAGTATAGTTCTGAAAAGAACTGTTGTTGGTGACTGACGTTTCGACTTCCTGTGCGGTAGTCATCTTCAGAATCAAGTGAAGAGTAGTTGTCAGTCGATGATGTTATAAAGTCTGGTCTGTTGAACGTGATTGGTCTGCACCGGTATCGCAGAGGTCATGGGTTCATATCCCGTACGGGCCTGAAATTTTTTTCAGGTCCTACTTACAACTACTAGTTTCAGTAGTGTTCTTAGCTGCGAGGATCTTCTAATTTCATCGTGATTGGTCTGTTTAGCCGTGATGTGATTGGCTGGAAGACTCGTGTAGAGTTTGTTAACAGTCATTGGTCGGTTTCGATCCGTCTGTTGTTTGTCGGTTTGTTCACGTCGTTAATGAGTCGTTTGTAAGGTGCTGGTAGTTGTTGACATCTGTTGAGAGGCGTCTGTTCTAAGTTAGTAAACCAGCTTTCCAGAGTCAGTCGTTGAAAATAGTTTGTACTGTAGGTTAAGCATTTAGCAGAGTCCCAGTCGATTCTGTGATTAGTTTGTCGGTGATGTTCAGAAATGTGATTGTTTACATCGCCATTTCTAGTTGCTTGTTTGTGTACAGTTAGTCGCGTGTTAAGGTTTCTACCAGTCTCACCAATGTAGGAGGCCTGGCAGTCGGAACATTCGATCTTATAAATCGCTCCCTGTCTGTTGTTGGGTTCGTCTTTGTCTTTAACGTTGGTCATCAAATGTCGTAAAGTAGTAATAGGCCTGTGAGCTACGCGAATGTTGTAAGGTTGTAGGATCCACGCGATAGCCTCAGAAGTGCCTTTGATGTAGGGTATAGCAGCTGTAGTCGTGACAGATGTGGAGTCCCTGCTAGTTTCTGTGGTGTCGGTCGCCCTGTGAGTGTTTCGTCTAATGAAGTCAGTGTTGTAGTTGTTTCAAACGAGTTACAAACACAGCCTTAGTTAACGCCGAGAGCGAAAAATCGGTGACCACTTCGGATGTCTCGAAGAAAAGGAAGGTGATGCCCCCCACGGAAAAAAGTCATCACCTCAAAGAGCTTGAAGAAATTTTCTGCTCATGAACAAAAGTGCCTGAAAAAAATTTGTAGAATCTGAAGTTGCAGGAGACCATATATCCGCAGATGAAGAATGCGATTAATGTAGAAAATGATTCAACTCAAGATTACTCGGACTTTGACTGGAACTCTAGACTGGGAAAGAAATGGGTGATGCTTAACTTGATTATTTTGTGATTGAGTATTAATTGGAAATTGACTTTTGTAGCGCAAAGAAGTTAGATTTCGTGTCATTAGATTTCACAATGATGTAGACAAAGTCCGAGTGTATTTACGATATAAAATGATGTAAATGTATGCATTTTCTCTGGCTAAGAAAGAAAGAACGTGCGTTTTTGTAATAGTCACTTAATTTAGATACATTAGAATGGGAACTTTTACTGTGCATGTGATTAATGTAAAAATACTTTCTTACGCAAGGATAGTAGAAAAAAACCTCTGTAGACTTAGAATGTGTTAGTTGATCTTTGATCGTTGTGTTACGACCGTTGAATATGTGAGAATTGTATATCGCAATAGATTGTTGGTTTGGATGAAATCGTGATGTTACATAGAGAGATACAGTCCTCTTGATTTGTTTAAACCAGCGAGCGGGGTCATAAGTATTCCGCAACACCCTAGTACGTGAGGCAACAACTTTTTCGGGATGACAATATGGATTTTTTTCCCTTTTTTCCTTATTATCATGGATTTAAGATAAATCATTTTCTACGTCTCAGTACACAAATTTACCTCGCGACTCTTCCCTCGAAATCCGGCCCTTCATCTTGCCTTGTAGCGGCAATCCATTTTGATCTCAATAAATTATAGCATCTGCGTTTCTACGGCATATTCACGCATCTCGGCACCTTAGGCTATTTAGGCACTGTCTAGAAACGCATGAAGATCTCGAAAGACGCGGCTGTCTCTAAACGCGTGATTGGAACCCTCGTGTGATTGACGACCAGTCCGATTTGGCCGATTACTCATATTCAAATTTGGTTAAATTTTTGAATACTTATTGCTATTATTGTCCGATGTGAAAAAATCGACAATTCTCAGAAGAAAAAGAAACGATGTTTGTACTTGAGTATAGGTCAGAATGAATATGTTGTTTATTTTATAAAAAGCGTATCTTACAAAAAATCGTTCCTAATAAAAGAAACGACTTGTCTTAAATAAAACAAGACATTTTCTAAAAGTGGTCACTGTTGCGTTGTTGCTTTCCATAGACGTCTCAAGGAGAGTTTGATGCTTGCTTCCACTTTTCGCTTTATGACTTGGCGGAAATGTTTGGAAACTAAATTTTTTTGGTGAAGGTGTTTTTTTTTCCGTTGCATTTTTTCATGTCCTTCCACAAATAATTTCTTCATTGCCCAACCCTCCTCCAGTGATGGATTGTCAGCTGATACTGATGGGGATTCTGTCACTGACGGTGCACCACCAAATTCACCTTGCACATAGTCTCCTGTAACAGTTTTACAGGCCTCTGCCCAGTTTTGCGTGCATTTGTCGAAATGGTGGATGTAGCTTCTTGTCTAGAGAAAAAATAGGTCCGCAATGCGTACATGTGTGGCGCACGAAATTGAGCTGCTTTCTACTGTCTGGTGTCTCATTGGGGTTTCTTTTAGAAGAGCTAATATCTGATTACCATTAGATAGTTTTCAATATTTTTCCTGTTCATCAATAACACAAGATAACTAGCATACAAAAGTCCTGAAATGTTCAATCCGAAGATGAGAGTTATTGGCCAAACTTTGTTATGGAGGTCTCATTTTGACAACAAAGGTTGCACATGTAACCCGAGGGTTTAAGGAACTGAAAAAAACATCAGCATAATCTCCCATAGTGGTCTGATAGATTCAGTCATGGTTATGTCTACGTAACGAAGTGGAACTGACTTCTTAAGTTTGTAGGTTGATTGTCTTTTCCAAGGCAAATGATGAGAAATGAACTCTAGGAAAGAATTTCATATGAATATTTTTGACATTTTGTGTACCAGTACACAAGGACAAAAATTGGAGAAGGGCAGGAACATTCGGGAATTGATGTAATCTACACTAGAAGCCATTGGGAACTTGATTTGGTTTGAATGTATGACTAATTTTGGACAATACATACATGTAAAGTAGCACAATGCTGAATGTAGGTTTCTTTTGTCCATTAGGGCATAAAGTTCAACTTTCAGTTGGTTGAGAGCAAAACGTTTACTATAATTATTGTATTTAGGTTTTGTGGGACTGTATTTTCAATAAAGAACACAGAAAAATTTAGTTGAGGTAATAATAATAATAATTTAACTCTTATATTGCGCGCTTTCCATGAAATGATCAGGCGCGCATTACATGATTTCTATCTATAGCAATTTAATACAGGGTATCTAACTGATAATTATTTAAAATATACTATGATAAAATTAAAATGTACAACACATGTTAAGATACTAGTAATTATCGTGATAAAAATGAATAAAAAGCTTCCCTAATTTGATAAAGGGTATCTAACTAATAATTATCTAAAATATACTATGATAAAATTAAAATATACAATAGATGTTAAGATACTAGTAATTTTCGTGATAAAAATTGATAAAAAGCTTCCTTAAAAAGGTGCGTTTTCAAATGACACCTAAAAATCCCCAGATCTGTAATAGAACGAATCTCACGCGGTAATACATTCCAGAGTGCCGGAGCTGCGACCTGGAATGATGTCTCCCAATGTAACCCTACTTCTATAAGTTGGCGTTGCAAACAACAAACCATCCGAGGAGGATCTTAAATTATAATTTCCTAATCTTTTAATCGACACAAGTTCTCTTAAGTACGTTGGCGTAAACCATGGATGGCCTTAAAAACAAATAGTAGAATCTTAAAACTTATGCGTTGCCTAACCGGTAGCCAATGCAGCCCGTACAGCAACGGCGTTATGCGACAGTAGCGTGGCGCTCGACAAACTAGTCTTGCTGCGGCATTTAAAACGCGCTGAACCTTATTCAGGTGTGAAGCTGGCAAGCCATATAAAAGACTGTTACAATAATCTACGCGCGAGGTAACAAATGCATGTACGAGGGCTTTAGTAGTATCTATACTTAAAAACTTACGGATCCGACTTATATTACGCAAATGATAGAATGTAGAGGCGCATTGCTTACTTATGTGAGATGACATTTCTGGATTATGATCAAACCATGACCCAAGATTTTGCACAACTGATTTCGCCTTTACGACTGTGTAACCTACAGTAATATCACGGTGACACAGTTGTAGAGGCGAAGTTTTCAAGCTTTCTTATTATTGAAAGTGTAATTGCATGCCAGTGAGTCTACCAAATTAAGGTTATGTAGAGAAATGAATATGTGAACTTCACATCATCATGCAAAGTGCTAATCTACCGTACAAAAAGGTCCAAAACAAACATGGTAAGCCACTGAAATTCATGTATCACTTTGTGTTAGAGCGCACAAGATGACTTGTGAGACCTGCTTCACTCTCATCTGCCAGAACAAGATTGAACTTCTGGTACCAATCAAAATTCAGAATGACTGTGACAGTTTGGAACTGATCTGTTAAGACTGTGCTTTTAAGGGGTCTACAGATGGGATTAGAACCCTGTGTCTCCGAAGATACCTGATGGTTATCTAATCCACACCAAGTAGCTCTAACTTTTAACTATAAACGTAACAAATGTCAGTTCCATTGAACTGTCTTCATAAAAACTCAACAAAGTCTAAGCTAAGTTAATTAAAGTGTACTTTGGTATTCTGAGTAAGCACAAACATGCTTACTCAGAATGTTTTTACAAACAACAAATGTTGAGCTCATAGGGTGTGTGCAGTTTAAAGTATTTGAAAAATTTACAAGTACTTATCATATGAGAAATCATGTTACTAATTATTCATAATGTATACATGAAAGACACACATTCGCAGGAAATCAACAAACTGATGGCAGATAAATTTTATGATATTGACTACCGGTAAGTGAAAAATCAAAATTTGTTCTTCAGCTGAATTCTTACTCAGGAATGCAATTTTGTTAGTGTTTTATCAATATCCATAAAAGTATCCAAGCTTTTGTTTATTTTTGTCAGCTACTGCATGTATCAATCGGAACAACCTACTTTGTGTAAATCTGATTGGTTTCTAATGTGATCTATTGTTAATGAGCCTAGTTTATATTATTTTATACACGAGTTATTACTTTTCCCTAATGATAAATGAAAAAGGCACCTAGCTATTTTCAGCCAATCAAAAAAGTGTAATTTTTCATGTATATCAGTACTGTGATGAATTCACCAAACCAAACAAATAACTGAAAAGGAGTTGTAGTCTACCAAATAAAGGCCTAATACACATGTATTGCTACCAAGTATAAATACCAGTGCTTCTCTGAACCATTAAGAAGAGAATCTAAAAGACTGCCAAGCTTACAGGAAGTCATGAAATGTTAAGGTCTGAATAATTCTGGCCATAACTTGGAAAAACATAACACTTATCAAATTTCAGTTAACACTAGGCTCCTATTCATATTTTAGTGAAAGCGAAACCTACTTTTTCACTGAGTTTCAATGGATTACTCTCCAAAGTTTGGAATCAATCACAATAGACATTTAGCACCATGTTAACAACAAACCCCAGTTTCAGGTTAGGCGTTAAACGTCTGTGACTTTTATTGGTTTAGCTATGTAAATATGAAAGTATAATTTCATTTAAAGAGGCCGTCAAATTGCATTTCCAGACAACAGCAGTGTTTGATTTTCTAATGGAGACAAAAAAGTCCTATTTTCACTCATAAGCTAAAAATTGTTTATTCTATTCGTATTCGATGACATGTAATGCCATGGGTGGCAGGGTATTCTGCAGTTTAACCAAAATTTTATCTTAGCATGTACTAAAAAGACTGGTTAAGAAATTTTCTCACTGAGCATGTGGTATAAACAGAAATTCAGGATAAAAAACGTTCCGGTAAATGACTTACGTGAAAAATGACCGCCAATCAATAATGACTCCTAAGTTTCAATGTGGCGCGACCCGCACTAAAGGTCCAGACCGTGAAACGTTGGCCTGTGAGAGCACAACTCCACGCTGTAATCTGCACTTAGAAGATAAGCAGACTGCAGGAAAGCCGACGTGTGAAATCGTAGCACAAAGATGAACGAAAAACTAGATAAAAAAACGATCTTCGAAAGCGTGTAATAGCCACCATTACCAAATGGTCGCTTTCTAAAGCTTTGAAGCTTACGTAACTTAGCCGAGCGTACACTGGAACCTATCTTCGACGTTAGTAAACCACGTGACAAGCGTTCTGTTCACCGTGACAAATCCAGCCAGGAATAAATATCTTGGATCATGGCATAGCGTGGTTTACAGTTCGTGTAAGCCACACAAAAAACTGGAGTAAATTGCAATTGACTACTAAACTACTTCTAGCGACTATTTGAAGCCGTTTACACTGCAGGGTGGAGAGATACACAGGGGAGTTTTAGATCCACATTTGTCCCTAAAAACGAGTGACCGCAAGCAAAAATTTTTTTTGGGATCACTTTCTGAAGGAGCTTAGAAACCAGGCTTAACTCAGTAGCCAAGCCTACTGAATTTGTGCCCAAGCCTTTTCTTGCTTGCGTGACCTTTTTTGTCACACTAGAGAATACAAGGAACTTCGGCGAGTAGTAAACACAAGCTCAAATTTTTAAAGCAGTAAAGAGGAAAACTTTTTGAGACTGAAAGGTAAGTAAGTAAGTTTTTTAGTGTTTTACAACCTAAATTTAGTGTTTCCTTTTGTAATTTACAACGTACAGTAAATTGTCAAATCAATAACTCGAAAAGCTTACAACTAAAATTTAACTCTTTATTAATAACCTTATACTTTCTGGATCTGATATCTCAATTAGCGATAACACCAGAAATAATTTGCTTTTGTGGTATATACTATATGTTTACCTAACTTGTTGAAGTACGTTGTCATGAAATAATGCACTTAGCAACAATTAATCTAATTACACAAAACTGAGTCAATGTTTAAATTGTTCCCTGGACTGCCTGGACTGCCTGGACATCTGAGACAACTGATAATGCATTTTGGGAGTGGTAGGGATGCTTACTTCATAGTGGCTATGGCTGTACCTGTCCTTTAATTTGCCTTGTTGTTTGTAATAGATTTTCCTTGCATTGTCTGTTATTTTTTTTTCAGGAAATTTTAGTCTGCAAGAAGAAAAAATCTTTTACAGAAGAATCCTTTTCCTGTAACGTTTACAACTGTTGCTTACGTTTGCCATATTTCTGATATTTTTATCATAACAGAATTTTTCACAAAAATTATTTGACATTGAATTCTTATACAAATACTGCAAGGTCAAGCCTGCCCACCAACCCATCAAGGTGGTGTTGAAAACTGCAGTAAGGTCTATTAAATATAGTTAAAGTACTGAATTTCACTCCATGACTTACTACTACAGAATATGGGGCTTTTTATGATTAGGTACCAAACAAAAAAAAATGCTTTCTTGGCTCATTTGCATCAAGCCACCTAATATTATTCACAAAGATTAGTTGACATTGGATTCTCATACAACTACTGCAAGGTCATGCCTACCCACCAACCCATTAAGGTGGTGTTGAAAACTGCAGTAAGGTCTATTGAATATAGTTAGAGTACTGAATTTCACTTTATGACTTATAATTACAGAATATGGGGCTTTTTTATGATTAGGTAAAAAACAAAACAAAAAAAAAAGCTTTCTTGGCTCATTTGGATCAAGCCACCTGATATAATGCAATCAATGTCTTGTTTTCTGTATCATGAGTCATTGCTCAGTTGGAATTGATATTTAAATCTTAATTATAATCATTTAAATCCAACTGAATGTATTTCTTTCATTACTTTTCCACTGACTGCCAAACCAGCAAGCCTTGAGGCATTAAACTGTGAGGACTTTAAAAAAGGCCCTGTATTGTTTACATGTAGCTGCTTTGGGGGAGGGGAGTGGTAAAGTTTCAAATTTGGTTAAGAGTATGTAACACAATCATAATAATGATAATAATGTTAATAATAATAATAATAATAATAATAATAATAATAATTCATTTTTTCCATCCTTTGTTGCAAATGCGTCTGACCCAGAGCCATTATTGGAACATACCAGAATAGCCTTTTTGTTAATGAAAGGCCTCAGTGGTACACAGATATGATATGAAAATAATTTTCTCTTGTGTGAGGCATCAGTCAATTTAGGAATTACCAAGTGTAAAATTTCAAGTCAATATGGTCCAGAAACTACTCATTTTTGTAGAGGGTGGAGCAGGGAGGGGTGGAGGGGTCGAAATTATTAGGTTTGCGTACCGTTTTCACTCTTTGCACCCTGAACACTCAGTCACGCACACTTCAGATGGATGCTCGACACAACAGCGTCAAAAAATAATCAAGCAAATAACTAAGACGTGCAAAGCTTCCACGGTGAATATAAATTTACCGCTATAAACAGTGAAAAGGCCTTACAGATTTTACACGTAGTTTTTTTGAAGGTACAACTTCCTATGACGTTCTAACAAGATTATCAAGTTGTCAAATACGTATTTTCATATGATTCATACCAATTGCTTTATTAAGTCGAAATAAGCTTAATGTCAAGAATAAATAAGCGGATTACTACACTTACGACGAATTTTGTGGTCCGTCAATTACATAGTTCACCGAAAGGTTAATTTTGTTTGCCTGCTAGGATTTCTTTAACATTGAATACATTTGCAAGACCTGTACTCGACGAGGTGCACTTCTTGCGATTGTTCTGCAATCTAGCGAGTCCTTCGGAAAAACGTCACCGAGAGCAGAGCTAAGACACTATTCAGAAGCAAGTATTTTCTAGGTTTGAAATTCCCTTCGGTTCCATTTGACCGTGAGTAGAGTTTAGAATTCACGAAGAAAGCGTATTTTAGCCAAAGGCAGAAGATTCGTATTTGAACGGAGCGCAGCGAGATAAGGTAATATTCTTTCACGCGAAAATTAAAAAAAAATAGGGTTAATAGATAACTTCTCATTTGTTTTTTCTCGCGCAAGTAACAAAAATGTTCCCTTCCCTGTCCCCATCCAATCGCACTTCAACCAGTCGGGGGAGGTGAGTA